CTTGGGCAACAACTTTTTCGGTCAAGAAATACCTGTGGAGATAAGCAAGTTAACAAAGCTCAAGTATCTGAGTTTCTTCAACAACAGTCTCACTGGTGCTATTCCTTATCAGCTCTTCAATCTCCAAAACGTACAGTTTTTGATTCTTGGAAGAAACAACTTCTTCTTTGAAACTCCTGGGTGGTCTAAATTTTCAGGCATGCCTTCTTTGACATACCTTGATCTTTCTGGAAATTATTTCCATTCAGTATTTCCAAAATTTATATCTGAACGCCGGAACTTGACATTCCTGGACTTGTCTGAAAATTTCTTGACTGGCCAAATACCAGAACAAGTATTTACCAATCTGGGCAAGCTTGAATATCTCAATCTCACCAACAACCGATTCCAAGGACCACTGCCATCAAATTTTCCCAAGCTTAAACACCTTCATTTAGCACAAAACAACTTCGGCGGTCCAATTCCTGAAGATATTGGTTTGATATCTGGTCTTCAGCGTATTGACTTGGCTTGGAATTCCCTTGAAGGGCCAATTCCATCCTCCATAGGCCAACTCAGGGAGCTTAAATACCTTGATCTTCGAAAAAATTATTTGAACTCTTCAATCCCATCTGAGCTTGGTCTTTGTACCAGCCTCACCTACTTGGACCTGACTTCCAATCACCTTGAAGGGAAAATTCCGCCTTCTATAGGCCAACTCAGAGAGCTCCAGCACCTTGATCTTCACTTGAATTCCTTAGCCTCTTCAATCCCATCTGAGCTTGGTCTTTGTACCAGCCTCACCTACTTGGACCTAGCTCACAATCAACTTGAAGGGAAAATTCCACCTTCTATAGGCCAACTGAGGGAACTTCAGCACCTTGATCTTCACATGAATTCCTTAAACTCTTCAATCCCTTCTGACCTTGGTTTTTGTACCAACCTCACCTACTTGGCCCTGGCTTCCAATAAACTCAATGGGGAACTGCCTCTGTCCTTGTCCAATCTGAAAGACATCACCGATCTGAGTTTATTTGCTAATCGGTTTACCGGTCCACTCTTGCCTTCTCTCCTCTCCAATTGGACCGAAGTGGTCTCTTTGCAACTTCAACACAACAGCTTTAGTGGGAATATTCCACCAGAAATTGGACTGTTGACAAAACTCGATGTGCTTTATCTGAATGATAATAAGTTCTCTGCCTCAATTCCGTCAGATATAGGAAGATTACCATATTTGAGAAGCTTGGATCTTTCGAGAAACCACCTCTCTGGGTCAATTCCTCTAACACTATGGAAACTTCCATTTATTCAGAGCTTAGATCTTTCCAACAACAATCTCAGTGGCCCATTCCTGTTCCGGGAGAATTTTGATTTTTCTAATAACATTTTCACACCGGAAATCCAAAAAGCCCCCGACAATACTTTTGTTGGAAACTCTGGCTTGTGTGGAGATGCTAGGGGCCTAACTAGAGCGTGCAATTCCAAAAAAAATAACAACAAAGTTATAATTGGTGTCCTTGTACTTGTTTGTGGTTTATCAGTGGTTGCAACTACAATTGCTCTGATTCGTATGTTCCATAAGAAAACCAAGCGTGCTCTTAAGAAAATCAATAGTGCTCAAAACTTTGAGAATTTTGAGTCAATGATATTGCAAGAAGAAGTAAAATTTACGTTTGGGGAAGTTGTAAAGGCCATAGAAGATTTTCATGAGAAGTACTGTATTGGAAAAGGAGGATTTGGAAGAGTATACAAGGCAGAATTGCTATCAGGTCAAGTTGTTGCCGTTAAGAGGCTTAACATGTCAGACTCTAACGACATTCCAGCAATCAATCTCCAAAGTTTTGAGAATGAAATCCGAACTCTGACAAATATCCGGCATAGGAACATCATTCGGCTATATGGGTTCTGTTCAAGGAGGGGATGCATCTTCTTGCTCTATGAATATTTAGAGAGAGGCAGCCTGGGAAAGGCATTGTATGGGGTTGATGGGGTAACTGAACTTGGATGGGCTACAAGGGTCAAAGTTGTGAAAGGATTAGCTCATGCACTTTCTTACTTGCACCATGACTGCTCTCCACCAATTGTGCACCGTGATGTAACTGTCAACAATGTATTGCTTGAGTCAGATTTCGAAGCTCGACTTTCTGATTTTGGAACAGCAAGACTGATTAGTGCCAATTCATCCAACTGGACCCATATCGTTGGCTCATTTGGCTACATGGCACCAGGTAACATACCAATTTAACGTTGTGCATTTTCGGATCATATTTAGGTGACTGAGATATGTTCTAAGGATATTTGGTTTTGTTTTTCTCTTCATGTGCAGAGCTTGCATTGACAATGCGAGTCACGGATAAGTGTGATGTATACAGCTTTGGAGTGGTGGCGCTGGAAGTTATGATGGGAAGGCACCCAGGGGATCTGCTAGAATCCCAGCTATCAGAATCATCAAAATCAATGAAGGAGGACAATGCAGAGTTGCTTTTGAAGGATTTGTTAGACCAAAGGCTGGAGGCTCCAAGCAATGAATTGGCAAAGGCAGTGGTGCTTGTGATGAGTTTAGCCTTGGCTTGTATACGTACGCGTCCCGGGTCTCGACCTACAATGCTCTATGTAGCACAAAAACTATCAGCTCAGAGACTGCCTTCCCTTCCTGAACCATTTGGCATGCTAACCATCAACAAGCTGATGGGGATATAAGAGAAATTCTTATACCATGTATGTTAACATTAACATTTGCACCGTCCATTCCTAATTACTCATCTCTATTCTTTTTGGATTATATGTGTCTCATTTACTAGCAATCCCTTTTTTTTTTTCTTTTTTTTTTTGGTGGTAAATTTATTACTAGTATGTATATGGGTGAGTTATATTATACTTTAATTTTTTTCAATATTTTTAATTATTAATAATAGTATGCATAGATAGAAGATCAAATTTTGTATAAAAACAAATTTTATTAATTTAAAGTAAAATGTATTAATTTTGTATAAAAACAAATTTTATTAATTTAAAATTTGAGTAGAGTCTTTTCCTCATTTTCTTAAACAGACATTTGATAGTTATCTAAATATCTTGCATAATTTTCTTCAAAAAATAGGCTTTGGATTTGGATATAGGCCCAATAAACAACGGGTGTACCAATAGCCCACTAGCCCACAGAAGATGCGAGCCAACGGATCTATTTGGCGGGAAGCAACGGGTCACGCGAGAGTGCCAGCTCATCTTTCCCGCCAGAGACCCCGATAAATACCGGAAAACCCCACATGGCCATTGCTTCTTCTTCTTCTTCTTCTTCTCTGTGAGACTGTGAAACCTCAAAATCTCACCTTTCGATCGAATCTAAATCCCGCATTTCTCTTTGATCTCTGCAATGAGTTCCTTAGGAACCTTCAAATCCAAGACACCCAGAAGCCGAGAAAAGAAAGTCCTAAACCCAAAGCCCCAAATCTTAGGCAATGAGACACTGAGCACCAAAACCCCTCAGAAATCCGAAAAATTCTCTGGACGAGCACGAAACGGCAACGTCGCGTTCTCCATCGGCGACATCAGAAGAGCCGCCGCCAAAAGCCTCAGCGAGTCGAGCCAGAAGCGACGGACGGACCAGATCGATTCTTGGCCCGACGAAAGCCCAAAGAAGAAACGCGTCGGCCGCTCCGAGAAGCTACCGGAAAAGTAAGCGTCTGTGAATCTCAGTTGTCTGTTATATTTATGTGATCTGCTCCTGCATTTCTAGGTTGATTTTGATTTCTTCGATTTGTGGGTTGGCTTATTTCTTCTTTTTGTTTCTTGTTTGCAGATATGAAATATTGAGTGAGTTTTTGAATGGCTTGGACACTTCGATTCGGTTGTTGCGGTTGAGGGGTTTGAAGCCCAGTTTTAGCAATATTTGCCCCCAAATCGAGTGTTTGACGGATAGGTATACTTCAAAAAATAAATAAGATTTTCTTTTCAATTGATTGTTTGGTTGCTGAAGAAATGAAATTAGGCTATTATAGAAATTGATCGTCTCTTTATCTCGGTTTTTAGGAGGTTTACATGTGGTCACTTGGCTCAGCTGAAGTTTGTTTTACCTGAGGTGATTGAGATAAAGAAAGTTCTTGTTAAGGATGAGAGAACCAGTTGTCTGAAGCCTGATCTTCATGTCACCATCAATGTTGATGCACTAGAGAGTGATGGCAAGGCGAAATCTGAAGGTGGTGGGAGTATGAATTTGAGGAAGACGTTCCTCAAACGGCTCGCAGATATTTCAAAATCCCATCCTGAGGTATACCCAATACTCAGTTTCTGATACAACATTACTAAAATGGTTTAATTTCTAAAGTATTCTTTGTTATTAAATTGATCTGGAATCTGGAAAGTTATTGGTGTTCTGGCATGACTTTGAGCGTGCAGAGACTTTAAAGGACGCAAGGATTTAGAATATAAATACTGTATTAATTTATGTAACAAAAATAACTCTATGCACAGGGTTTCATTTGTTTGGTTTTTTTCAAAAAGGTTATTCTTGCAGTTGGGTTCCTATATTAAAAAATGTTTTTATGAATATCAAGTTAGATTATGGTCCTGTACTTGGGACTTCAAGGTTTTATTTTTATCAATTTAACAATTTATTTTTTGAACTATTAATAGCATGTGGTCTAACAATGCTTAACATGCTTTCAGGATTATGAAATTCCAGAAGAAACTTTGCCTCAGCCATTTGATATTAGGAAGCAAGATATACAATCAGATACAGGCAAGCTTCCCTTATCATTATCTTCTGGTGACATATTGACTGATGTACACACAGTTGAGCAGCCAGCAGTGTCCACAAGCTGCCTTCAGGGCGATGAAGTTCCAGAATCAAACCTCAATACAGTTTGCTCTGTTGGGGAAAGGAGTACTTGTGCTTCATTGTATGGCCAAGTGCCTGTAACTCCAACCAAAGGCATAGACCCCATAGAAAATGATGGTAGTTTGCCCACACAAAGTGATAGCATTCAGTCAACTCCAGCAAAGCTTGCTTCAACTCCAGCTAGGTTGATGGCTGACACGCCTGCATTGCACCGACCAAAGCGATGTTATATGAGCCCAGATGATAATTCTACTAGCTCACCGAACAAGTTGGTTAGGCGTCCTCCACGCTCCAGGTCTTTGAAATTTGACACTCCTGTGAAGAATAAAAATGTTGAGGATGAAGTTCCTGATATGGGTGGTGCATCAATCGATAATGACAGCCTCGATATTCTTCCAGAGGATCTTTTGCAATCGGTATGTCTATCATGAATTCTCCAATTTTTTTTCCCGTATTGAGCATGACTTCTATGTCTAGAATTCTGTGAAAGCTGTTGGAGCTTACTAATTCCATCTTACCTTAATCCACCTTCGTAAAAGTATCATCCTTTTTTTTTTTGGTCTAAAATGAAATGTCCAAAAGGAGTAGATTACATTTAATGTAGACTGGACGTATGCTATCATCATTACATTTGGTGCTATTACCATTAATTATGGCAGCATGTGTTCGGAACAATGTGCATACATTGCTAGAAAGCTTTCTTACTTCTGCTAAAATGGTGTAGCGTATTTAAACAAATATTTCCTGAATCCAGCCCACAATGTGTTCTTGTTCTCACTCTTTATGTTCAACACAGATGAATTTAATTTTGCTCAATTTATTCCCGAAAGTTATTGGGAACCATGTTATAGTCGAAACTCTTACGTGGTTGGAAATGTACTTCAGTCTCAATCTTCTAGCCTGCTTATTCCAAGTCTTTACATGTACTACCTGAACTTGAACATAATGAATTGTAATTCTGAGAAGAATATATCTTTTTTCAGCTTAGAGAAAAGGAGAGGAAGGCAATAGAGGAGAGAAATCCAGCCATCTCAGAAGCAAAGAGGCGGCACCAAATGATTTCCAGCCTGCCTAAGCTCTTCAATATGATTCATTTCCTATTGCAGTCTATGAACCGTTCCGTTATCACAAAAGAGGAGCTTGTACACAAGCTAATCTGGACCAATTTTGATATTGTTGACAGAAGTAAGTCTTTAAATGAAAGCCAATATTTCTATGAAAGCTCATGGTGAGCCTAACTCTTTCTTTCTTCTTTTCACAGAGGAAGTTCAAGAGCAGCTAAAATTGTTGCTAGAGCTGGTTCCTGATTGGATTTCTGAGAAACAGTTGGCATCTGAAGCTGATTTGATTATGATCCAGTGAGTTTTATCCATAGTTAGAAGTACAAATCATGCGTTTCGAGTGCAGATGTATTTATCTTCTATTAAAAGGATAAACACTTAATAAAATTGTCTGATGTCATTACTTATGGTCTCTTGCAGCATTAATAAAATGTCAGATCCCGAGTCCATACGTGCAAGGCTTGAGGAAGCAAAGTGAGATAGAGAATGCTAGAATTTTTGAAGCTGTACGAAAAGCATATTTAGAGATGTTGTACAATTTTCCCATTTCATTCGGCATCTTAGTGTGTGTTTATTATTGTTGATGTAAAGGACATCTGGGTGGCATAATCATGTAGGTAGAACGAAGGCCTTCTCCAAGAATGTTATTTACCAACAAGATTGTATAAATATCTATTTCCTTCCTTCCTGTTGTTTTTAGTTTTCTGTGTTTGAAATAATGCTGAAATCTCTAAGCAACATACAAAATGCCATCACAAGCTGATGGAATGTATACTCTCATCTCTAGTCAACTTCAAGCCTACAGGGTTTTTTACTTTTCTTGTCCACCGTAAAGGGAAGACATCAAATGAGGCAAATAATTGAAGCCTTTTTATATGGATCCTTAAAGATAATGTTCTTCTTTGCTCAAATAAAAGGTAACTTCGATTACAAGTTAACTTCAAGCCTATTATACCCCATATTTAAATCATAACAAATAAATAATAATAATTAATGCCAGAGAGATTATTGAATTCCCTATTATACCCATAATTTTTCTTAAACCCTAAAAAAGATTGGCTTCTCTTCTCTCCTCATCGCTCGACAAACAAGGATGAAAAACTTGTTGGAAAGCTCTGAACCGGAGAACAACAGCAATGCTGGCCCAAGTGATACTGTATGCATTTCTCTTCTCTTATGGACTGTAAAATGAAGTTGTTATGTTGTGATTGCTCTAGTCTCAACTCGCTTAATTTCTGAGTTCCCATGACACCGAAGCCAGTGAGCTCCCAAAAGGCCTCGTGCTATATGGAGACGGGCATGTACATATAAGGCACATCACCTCTTTTCTGTTGGTCGATGTGGGACGTTACAATAATAGCTTCCTTGGAAATGTTAGAATTCACTTTTCATCTCTAATTGTCGTATGACGGTTTTACATATGCAATTGGACAATAAATTTTGAAGAATAAACACTTGATAAAATTGTGTGATGTTTATTACTTCTCGTCTCTTGCAGCATTAATAAAATGTCGATCGCGAGTCAATACGTGCAGCTAGAGAATGCTAGAATTTTTGAAGTTTACTTGTACGAGAAGCATATTTAGAAGATGGTGTACAATTTTCCCATTTCACTAGGCATCCATCCATTTCCTTCCTTTTGCTATGAATCTTCTCTCGTTAGACCTGTTGTACCAGCTTTCAATTTCTCACTAAAAACAATATCTTAATGCTGACGAATATTGCTCCTCTCTAGTCGAAAAAGGCTGCTCTAACTGTGTACGTGTAAAATATTTTACAAGAAAAAGAATATATATTTTTTATAAAGTCAATAAACCGGGAGACTTTGGAAAAACACAAAGGAGAGAGAAATTTTGTAAAAGAAACCAAAATGGACAAAATTGCCCTTATTTGTTTTTGGATTTCCTAAGGAATTCTTTACATTTGCATGTATTTGATTTGAAAATTGAGAGGTTTTTATGTCTTTTTTGAAAAAGCTTCCAAAAGTGAAAAAAATTTTTTGACTAAAACCTAAATTTACTTTTTCTAATTTTCTCCTGAAGATATCAAATCAAATCAATTAATGGAAGACAATATTTTTCAACTTCGAGTATGGAAATGAGACTTCTGATATAGATAGACTAGCAGTTGGAAGAAAATATATTCATTAAAAACAATAAGCATCTCCATCTTTCAATTATAACACAAATAAATCATTAATACTTCATAAGAAAATTGAACTCTATAAGCCTATTACACCCATATTTAATACAAATTACAAAAATAAAAAAAACCCTCCATCCACAGGACCTACAAGGAAAGGTTGGATTTTCAAACACCCCGCCCAACCTTTGGTGGGGAAGCTTGAAAAGATGTTCACACACTAAGCAAAATAGTAAACGGTCAAAGAAGAGATAGTAACCAATTTAATATATTCTTCAATGTTTAGTAAACGGTCAAAGCAGAGATAATAACCAATTTAATATATTCTTCAATGCATTTTCTGCATGCCATTGTTTCTCTTCAAAACTTTTTCAGAGAACTAAAAAAAAGCTCTGAATTCAATTAGTTCTGTTCCAAGAGCATGAAGAAATCAGAGAGACTTATTTGTTTTGTTCTTCTGCTCTGTCTTCTTGAAGCAATCCATGCACAAACTGAAGCAGAAGCTCTGCTAAACTGGAAAATCAGTTTAAGCTCTTCTTCTTTAACATCATGGACTCTCACTAGCAGCAGAAGCAGCCCTTGCAACTGGACTGGAATTCAGTGCAATGAAGCTGGCAGCATTGTTGAAATAAATTTGGTGGATTCAGGCCTTGATGGAACACTCAACAGGTTTGACTTCTCTGCCTTTCCTAATCTCTCTTCCCTCAATCTCAATTACAACAATCTTGTGGGAGAAATCCCAGTTGGGATTGGGAATGCAACAAAGCTCACTTTACTTGATCTGGGAAGTAATAACTTCACAAACCCGATTCCCCCGGAGATCGGGAACCTCTCAGAACTCCAAGTTCTTCTTCTCTACAACAATTCACTCACAGGTCAAATCCCATATCAGCTTAGCAACCTACAAAAAGTTTGGAATCTCAGTTTAGGAGCAAACTATTTAGAGAATCCTGATAATGTTCAGTTTAAGGGGATGGCATCTTTAACAGACCTTTGGCTCTACTATAACAATTTGGTGGAGGTTCCCTCATTTGTCTCAGAATGTCCAAAGCTAATATCTCTAGATTTGTCCTTCAATCTGATCACAGGTCAGGTTCCAGTGCAACTACTGACAGGTCTTAAGAACCTTGAGTACCTAAACCTGACCTGGAATTCATTTGAGGGACAAATTCCTGCAGGTATTAAGAATTTTTCTAAACTTCGACACCTGAGGTTGGGAATAAACATGATCAATGGTACTATACCAGACGAAATTGGGTTCTTGTCGAACCTCGAATTGCTTGAACTGCAAGAAAATTTGTTCCAGGGACCAATACCATCCTCAATAGGAAATTTGCAGATGCTTCAGAATTTGAATCTTCATAGTGCAGGCCTGAATTCCAGCATCCCGAAAGAACTTAGTTCCTGTGTGAACCTTACTTTTCTTGATCTATCAAAAAACAACCTTACTGGTTCTTTGCCTCTTTCCATGGCCTTCTTAACAAGGATCGAACAGCTGGCAATTTCAGATAATCAGTTATCTGGTGAACTCCATTCATCCCTTTTATCGAATTGGACAGAACTCATTTCGTTGCTACTCCCAAATAACAAACTGTCTGGAGTCATTCCTCATGAAATTGGTTTACTCCAAAAGCTCAATTATCTCTATCTTTATGAAAACCAGTTTTCAGGTCCCTTGCCTCCAGAACTAGGAAATTTGTCGAATTTGTTAGAGCTTCAAATGTCCACCAATTCTTTCACCGGTACCATCCCTTCAACCATTGGAAATTTATCTAAGCTTGTCAAATTAGGCCTTTATGAAAACCAGCTCAGTGGAAACCTTCCTCCTGAAATAGGAAGGATGGAAAACTTAAAAGAACTGGACTTCAGCTTCAACAAGTTGCAGGGATCTTTGCCTTCATCAATAACCAGCTTGCAAAAGATTACCATATTCTATGTTACATCTAACAACTTGTCAGGAAGCATTCCTGAAGATTTTGGTCCCACTCTTTTGAGAAATGTGAGTTTCTCCAGAAACAATTTCTCTGGAAAGCTTCCTCCTGGAATTTGTAATGGAGGGAACCTTGTTTACATAGCAGCCAATTATAACAAACTAGTGGGACCTATTCCAGGAAGTCTTAGGAACTGTACAGGATTGAACCGAGTCCGGCTGGAGCAGAACCTTCTCAGTGGAAATGTCACAGATGCATTTGGCGTATACCCGAATCTGGAATTTATTGGCTTGGGATATAACCAACTCTATGGTGTTTTGTCATCCAACTGGGAAAAATGTACAAATCTCTCAGACTTCCAGATACCTTCCAACATGATATCAGGTAACATCCCACCAGGGCTGGGAAAACTGCCAAATATGCAAAATCTCGACCTTTCTGATAATCAACTTACTGGGAGAATCCCCGTGGAGCTATTCGGTCCCTCTTCGCTTCTACTCAAAATTAATATGAGCAACAATCAGCTTTCAGATGGGATACCAGCAAAAATTGGAGCATTGGTAAAGCTGCAGTACTTGGATTTTTCAGCAAACAATTTAAGTGGGCCAATACCAGAAGAACTTGGGAACTGCCAGGAACTTTTATACTTGCAGCTGAGTAGAAATAGACTAAATGGCACAATGCCATTTCAGCTAGGAAATCTTTTGGCGTTGCAGTATCTCCTAGACCTCAGTCAAAATTCAATCACAGGAAAGATAACCCCACAACTTGGGAATTTAAGAAAATTAGAAATCTTGAATCTTTCTCACAATCATCTCTCTGGTTCAATACCTAATGGTCTTCAGTATCTACAAAGTCTGCAAGATGTTGACGTGTCATATAATAATCTTGAAGGTCCTCTCCCCGAGAATCAGGCATTTCGAAAAGCTCCAGCAAAGTCAGTGGCAGGCAACCCTGGTCTGTGTGGAGAGAAGAGACAAGGACTGAGCCCCTGCAATGCAGACTCTTCAACCAAAAACCAAGACAAAAACAACAGAAGGAAATTGATTATTGCCATAGCTACGTCAGTGGCTGCTTTAACCCTTCTATTAACTTTGGTTGGGGTTTACATTATGTTGTGTCGTCGATCAAGGGCTAATCAACATAAAAAGGACAATAATATAGAAGGAAGATCCACATTTTCTGTATGGAATTACATGAAGAGAGTTGATTTTAAAGACATAGTTGCTGTTACAGAGAATTTCAATGACAATTATTGCATAGGAAGGGGTGGACAAGGAAGCGTGTACAAAGCAATGCTGCCTACAGGTGACATCTTTGCTGTGAAGCGTTTTCAACCATTTGATGAAAGTGAAAATCCCAAGGAAAACCAGACGAAGAACTTCATGGCTGAAATGCATGCACTCACTGAAATCCGACACCGAAATATTATCAAACTGTATGGATTCAGCTCCTACAATGGCTCCATGTATTTCGTGTACGAGTATGTAGAAAGGGGTAGCTTGAACAAGGTAATTCAGGAGGAGGAGGGACAGATTTCGAACTGGGAAATCCGGTTAAAGATTATCAGAGGAGTGGCACATGCACTTTCTTACCTGCACCACGACTGTTCCCCAAGAATCGTGCACCGAGACATAACAGGAAATAACATACTATTAGACATAGACTTGGAGCCCAAGATATCGGATTTTGGAACAGCAAGGTTGCTGGGAGAGAATGAGTCTAACTGGACAGTTCCTGTTGGCTCATACGGTTACATGGCACCAGGTATTTCTCAAATTCACCCACAACTGAGCAACATTTTTGTCCTTAAAAGGCAACAAAATTCAACCAATATATAGTTGAAACCATGAACTCAAACTTCCCATTTCAAAAAAAAAAAAAAAAAAAAAAAAAAAAAAAAAGTCCAAAAAAGGATATATAATCTCATTAAATTCTTGTACTTGTTCCTTTGTTTTTGTTGCAGAGCTTGCTTCTACAATGAAGGTGACAGAGAAGTGTGACGTGTACAGTTTTGGCGTAGTTTCTTTAGAGCTACTCATGGGGAAGCACCCTCAGGAACTCCTCCTAAGTCTGCAATCTGGAGAAGACATAGACATGCTCTTAACTGATGTCCTTGACAAGAGGCCTGCACCACCTGCTGGTCCAGTTGAACAAAGTCTGGTCTTAGCTACCAGCCTCTCATTGGCTTGCATTCATGAAAATCCCATTTCTCGACCCACCATGCATCAAGTGGCTGCTCAACTCTCAGCAGCATCCACACATATGTCTCCACCTGCATCTTTCCATACGCTCACATTAAGGAACTTGATGGATATGTTGTAGTAAAATATAACTTTTATTATAAGCTTGTTACCTACTTCATGGACATACCACTAGAAAAGTCACTTGATTCAAGAGTTTGAGATGAATTTCTTTTCTTCAAACCCCAAATTGCTGTTTTTTCTTCTTTTTTTCTCCCCAAAAGCCCAAAAACAACTAAGACTACGGATATTCCTTCGATTATTTTTTGTAAGTATTTTATTATTTAAGGCAAGTACTTCGAAGTTATTTTAAAAGGGGACAATTAGTCCCTAAAATCTTTTAAAATGTGGATGATAAAGAATATTTCTGGGTATGCGTACTAAAAACTACCAGAGAAGAGAACCTACTAGTGAACTTGGCAACCGCTCAAATATGGAATATCCATTTTTCAGCATTGGAGAAAGAAATATGGGTAAGCAAGAAGTCTATTTCATTCAACCACTAAATTTTACAACAGCCAAGCGTCACACAGAAATAAATACATAATTCACAAAAGAATTAAAAAAATGGACATCATGAACATACAATCACAAACCAATCTTGTTTCCTCCAAAAAAAGAAAAACAATCTCATACAAACACTAAGCTTCAGCAGCACCCCCTCTATTCAAAGCCCTTTCCAACCTTGTCTCAAATGGGGTAGAATGCCAATTCACTCTTTTATCCTGCAAACCCATGAATTTTTATCAGAACCCACCAAGACCTAATGGAAAAGAGTCTCACAAATCTTACTTCCAATGTACCTCTCTGTATTTGCTGGTGGTATTTGGTATTCCTTTGTAAGAAGAAGCACCAAAAGAACCCTTGGCAGGAGGAGGTGAGTGATTCCAGTAGGTTCCAACAGTCCCTATTATCGGCATCTCATCGGGACTTCTAGTTGGCGACTTCCTTGGTGAAGAGGAAGCTGAAAACTGTCTGAGCTCTTCAACAGTTAATGCACCTAAAATTGGTCTATCTTCTTGGCTTCTGGCTGAGTTTGATCCGTGGGACATGCTTTTCTCGGGTGTGCCAGTGTCCAAAGCAATTGTGCTAGTCTTGTTAACAGGTGTATGTTCTGATGAAACCAACCAGTTTGAGAGGCTAGCATCAACTGCCACTTCTTGGTGAGGATTCTTCGAATGCTTCTTGTGTTGATCAACTTTGGATTTGAAGCTTAAACTTGGTTCCGAACTGAATGAAATCCGGGGCTCTTGATCCAGTGTGAAATTCTCTTTCTGAAGCTTCATTAGTGATGTCCCTTTGGCTTTGACAGCTTTCCACTGTGTAAGATTTTCAACAGGGTTTAGCACGGAATGAACATAACCACTCCTATCACGTGCATTGTGGTTCAAACCAGTTGGTTTTATTGGCATTGGACTATCAAAATCCTCAGTACTTATTTGAGGTATAGAAACCCCTTTATTCGATTCTACAATTTCATCTTCGTACTCTAGTTCCGCATCATCATCATAGTAATCATCCTCATCTTCATCATCAAGATCACTGTCTTCAGAGTCTAATGGTTCATCTTCATCATCACTATCCCTGCAATTCTGGTACCTATGATTAGGAGGGTATGACCCTGAGCTCGAAGTGATCGAACTATCGTCAGAGGAAGACTTGGATTGGCATGGATTTTCCAAAATCTTCCTCTCTTCTTTCTTCCCACTCTCTTCAGTATCCAATAAAGGATCCGAGGTCTCGTTGCTTGAAACATGCTCGTAGGTTTTGACATTAGAATCAAAAGTTACTTTCTTTCTAGCATTTAAGCTCAGTTGCTCCACTGGCTTATCCCTGCAGACCATAACTCGTAACTTTAACATAAAAAACACCAAAAAATAAGTGTAATCTAAAAGCAAACAGATGCAATTGAACTGAAAAACCCCATTAAGTGGAAGAAAAAAAAATATTAAGAAGCAATTGAACTGAAAAAAACCATGAAATTCAATCGCTCACCGGACTTCTCCCAATACGGGGCTAATAGGAGTTTCCTGAACCTCCGATACAGAAGAGACTGCAGATTGAACAGGCTCGAAACTTGTATATCTCTGCCAAAAACAAATTCAGAGAAAGAGAGATTAGTTGAGATTAAATACAAAGCTCTGTTTGGCTGGTGATAAATCCACAGAAAGTCAAAAAAACAAAGTCTTGAACTTGAGTTTTCTGAATAAAACAATTAAAAGATAGAGAAAAGCTTACTAATTGAGCCTAATTCAACAAAATATGGCCTACTCAGAACTGGCTGGTCTGTTTACAAACTTAGAACCCCAAAAAAGGAAACAATAAAGAATCAAAGTTTAAAACTTTGCTTGTTTCTAGTCTTTCTTTCAACAGTTTTCGCAGGAACCAAACAGGCGTAAACATGACCATAAAGCAAGCTTAGAAACTCTGACTTACATGGTCTCGGTGCTGAACCCTGTACCTCTGTATCCTGCGTTTTTTGTCTTTGGAAGAACCAAAACATGCAAGAAAGCAACCCATTATTGATCTCTTTCCTCTGGGTCTCTCAAAGATTGCGTCTTTCTGTAAAAGAAGGAATTGCGTTCTGGGTTTTCATAGTTTCAAATCCATCTTTCCCACTGGAAGAGGGGGAGAGAGAGGGGGAGAGAGAGAGAGCAGTGGCCGTTGGGTTGGTGGGTAAAGAATTAGAAAGTTTTGGAAAGGCAAAGGGGGGGAAGGAAAGGACAAAACGGTCATAAACTTTGAAGGATTTGGGGCTTGAGGACCCTACCACTAGAGAGAGAGAGAGACAGAGAGAGGGCGCCCCTAGGGTTCTTTAAATTTCGGGAAAAGGGAAGTGACCGTTAGGGATTCATGAGTGTGTTGATCACAGCCTGTAAATTGGGGATTTTTCTAACGCCAAGCTGTGTTGCAGACTCTGTCTTTATTTAATCTGCACCGTTCATCACTGATCACTGAAAACATTGGTAGCCTGTGGGCCCTACATCTACCTCATGTTTTATCTGGACCCTTCGTACCCGCTCCGCTGGTCCCATGAGCGATGGGCCAATGGTTTAGAATAATCATGAAATGAGAAACCGACTCTTGCAAGGTGGGAGGGATATTGGAAATAAGAATACTTGATTCTGAGTTCATTCAGTTTTGCTAAGTTTTAATATCCTAGAGTATCCCCATATTGCTTGCATCCCTGCAATGAGTGGGATGGGATCATAGGGCCTCTATATTTACTATCCAGTTATATCACCCTCCTGTCATTAAAAAAAAAAAGTATAATTTATTATGATTTACAGTGAAAAAGAAATTTTTTGATAGATCTTGTGTTGGTGGTTCGGCTTGAATTGTATTAGAATTGAGTCCGAGCCAATTATCATGCATCTCACAACTCTAAATGAGATTGTAAAGCACAAATTTATGAATTCATCAAACAATAATAAGGGCATTAGTTAAATTTAATTAAAATAGTTTAGGATAGGTTGAACCGCCAAGCAACTTAGTTACAATTGCAACTAAATTGTCCCATCTTCTAGAAAATCATAAATTAAACTATGATACTAATAAGAAAAATTCATGTGTCTAGAAACAATTTCAGGCGAGGAATGATAAATTCTTTGTTCATGTTATCTCAATCCACAATTGGAGGTAAGTGCTCCATCATTACTAATAGACAATGAAAAAAATAAGGGTCTTCCTTTAAAAATGAAGGACTTTATTCAAAAGAAATAATTTATCATAATGATAAAAAGGAAAAGCCATAGTGGGGTGAGAGAGGCTCGAACTCTCGACCTCAGGATAACTCAGAAGCTATGAGACCTACGCGCTAGCCAACTGCGCCACCACCCCGTTGTTGTTTTATCTTCTACAGTAATTTTACTTAATGTATAACATTCTCGCCGTTGGTTGGGCAAACCTTCGCGGCTATCTTCCAGTTCCCACGTGCCCAATTCGGTGTCGTTTTCAAACAAACCCTAGGCAGTAGCCCTTCCCTCCTCGACACTTCCTCCTCCTTCCTTTCTAACCCCTCTGTGTCTCCTTTCTCTCTCTCTCTCTCTCTCGTTTCAGAGAGCAGAAACAACACCAAGACACAAAACACACACAGAGAGCCAGACATGGACTCAGACGAAGGTAAGCTGTTCATAGGAGGGCTGGCCTGGGACACCACAGAGGACAAGCTCACCGACTACTTCAACCAGTACGGTGACGTCACCCAGACCGTCATCATGCGCGACAAGACCACTGGCCGGCCCAGGGGCTTCGGCTTCGTTGTCTTCTCTGATCCCTCTGTGCTCGATAGGGTCCTCAACGACAAGCACACCATTGATGGCCGAGTGGTCAGTCTCTGTCCCTCTTTTATTTTAGCTGCATTGGCTCATCGATTGGGATTGCTTAATGCTTTTCTTGTTTATGCTAATTTTATTGGGTTTAATTGTTTTTTTAGCTTCTTGTGTGTGTTCTGCGTTCTGGGATTTCGTTACTTTGCTGTAATGTGTTATGGGTGTGGCTATTTTGATGTTAATTTTTATAGGCTTTTACATGCTTTAGCTGTTTTGAGTGTTATTGCGTTCTGGAGTCTCTTATTATGTGGTAATGTGTACTGGGTAATGCTAATTTTGAGTTGGGCTTGCATCTGCTTGCTGAAGACCTATAACAGTTAGCGAAAGAATCAATTATTTGGCTTATAATGTCTATCTTTGTATTGAGTTTTTTTTAAAAAATAAATAAATATTTATAAAAAGAGTATCTTTATTGTGTCTTTTGACTTTCTACTGATTTTGTTGGTTGTTAAGCTCCTTGTGGGGAACTTTACAGAAGTAATTGCAGTTATGTGAATTTTTGGGTTCATTGTGGTCTTTGACTGATGAAAACCAAATTCATTAGGGCGAGAATTCCATTGTCATTGCTTACTTAGTCTGTTAGAAATAATTTTGTGTATGTGACATCTTTTCTAAGATGTAAAGTGTGTGCAAGCAATGATTTTTAATGGGAGTTTCGTATTATTATCTACTTCTTATTCGTTAGTGAAGATTTGTCTATGATTTTATATTCTGGGTGCCCATTGATGCGAAATTATACGCATAGGGTGCTTCATGGAAGCACAAGATAAGTTGTCAACATTAAAAAACTTGACTATTCAATCCCAAAACAGTCAGTAATTTACTGAAAATTATGTTGTATAACAACACCAACTTACTCTTGATTTAAATGGCTGAATTTATTTCTTAAGCACGGCTTAATGGTACTGGTTAAAAAGTTTGTACAAACACACATAGGGAGGTTGGATTATTTTCTTTTATTTTAAAATTTTCTGTCATGGCCTTCAATTGTGAAATTGTCCAAATACAAATTTTTAGCTTTTAGTCTCAAAATGATTGACTTCTAGTTTTTAAGATTCAATTACTACTTTTATGTGTCTCCTTACAAAAAATTCTGAGCTGATTTGTGTATGGAACAATTTTTCAGGGATGACATAAATCTACCACTTTCATTTTATTGGGTTGTTTCTTGCCCCTAATGGATGGGCGTATGCTAGTTTAATATATTTCTTTGCTTTGTCTGTACATATGTTTGTCCCTTCATCAGTTGAATGTTCTACTTTGACTACACAGGTGGAAGCAAAAAAGGCTTTATCAAGAGAAGAACAGCAGACATCCAATAGAAGTGGAAATTTTAATACCACCAGAAGCTCTGGTGGGGGAGGAAATTTTAAGACCAAGAAAATATTTGTTGGAGGATTGCCTTCCACACTGACAGAAGATGGATTTCGTCAATTCTTTGAAAATTATGGCACTGTCACTGATGTAGTAATAATGTATGACCAGAATACTCAACGACCCCGTGGTTTTGGTTTCATAACATTTGATACTGAAGATGCAGTTGATAGAGTACTACACAAGAACTACCATGAGTTGAATGGTAAACTTGTAGAGGTAAAGCGAGCACTTCCTAAAGATGCAAATCCTGGTGGTGGGGGCCGTGGTGGGGGTTTTCAAGGTTACAATGCCTCTGGTGCCAGTACAAATGCATTTGATGGCCGCATGGATGGCAATAGGTACATGCAGCCACAAACTACAGCAGGTGGTTTCCCTCCATATTCTGGTTATGGTGCACCAGGGTATGGTTATGGGGCGGCAAATACTGGGGTTGGTTATGGAGGTTATGGAAGTTATGGTCTTGGTGGTTATGGAAGTGCCAATACTGGTTTTGGTGGTCCTGCAGGATCATATGGAAATCCGAATGCCCCTAATGCTGGTTATGTTAGTGGGGCACCTGCTGCATTGAAAAGTACTTGGAGCAACCAAACTCCTTCTGGGTATGGTGCTTCTGGTTATGGGGCTGCAGCTCCTTGGAGTGCTCCTGGTGGAAGTGGTGCTCCTTCTGCTCCAAGGGGTCAATCCCCAAGTGGGGCCTCTGGTTACGGAAATCAAGGTTATGGGTATGGAAATTATGGCGGGAGTTACGCTTCTTATCCTGGTGGATACGGGAGCTCTGGTGGGCGTGGTGGAAGTACCCCAACTAGCAACTCTGGTGGTAGTGCTAGCGGTGGAGAGCAACAAGGGACCCGTGGTGGCTACATGGGGAGTGGCTATGGCGACACCAATGGAAATTCAGGGTACTCTAATGCATCATGGAGATCTGATCCTTCACAGGCCACTGGTGGCTATGGTGGTTCTCAGTCCAGGCAGGCCTAACATTGGAGATCCAACAGATTTTGAAATTTGTTTCACAGGAATCCTTGTGCAAGTGATCATTTCTCCAGTCTGACAGTTTATGCGTGAGAAGAGTTGAAATTAAATCCAGAGACTGGTTGGATTGCTTAATTCTTGGTGGTAGTTGGCAGGTCTGCTAGAAGTTACAACCAATACATTCTAGTAGTAGTAATTCTTATTGAAATTTTCAGAATTTAATATCTAGGATGCTTATATTGTGCGTGCTTTATGATTTTGGAGCTCCCCTCTTCCCCTTTCCACTCAACCCTCTCTCTCTCCCTCTCTTTTCTGTTCGACCTAGATAGTTTCTATTGAACTTACTTATCACTGTGGGTAATGATGATAGTTATTGTTTCTGGTGCTGCATTAGTTTTATCAGTTGTGATGTGCTAGAAATTTGATGTTACTGTCTTCATTATTCATGCTCATTGAATTTTTTTTTCCTTGATCAGACTCATTGAACTTATTTATCCGGTAGGTAATCACGATAGTTCATTGTTCCTGGTACTGGATTAGTTTAATTCAGTTTCTGTGCGCTAGATGTTACTGCCTGGATTACTCATGCTTTGAGTTTATTATGTCTGGTCCATTTAAGCAACTGGGCTGCTGCATTTCTAGCGATTGAAGGGTAGATCTAGTAAAAACTTAAGTAGCACCGAGTAATATGTGCACCGCATGATAGGATTACTCTACACTCTTCGTGAAATTTGTAATAACTTTCCTCCTGGATTTGCACTTCTTGTGCAGGAGATCCTACTTTTCAATTCTGGGATGCAATAATTTTATAAATGGGATTTGTAGCATGGACATGATTTTCAGGTTGGAGTTGCTCGATGCATTGCCTTGGTTCAGAGTTGTCCAAGCCAGTCTTTGTGGTGGTATGTTACCAAAAAGTTTATGTGGGTAGTTTTAGGTGCTCAGTTTCATTTAATATGGGATTATATAAGTACCTGTTTATGTGTTTTCCTTGATTATAGATGTCGGTAGTGTTCTTTTAGGATTGAAGAGGGGAAAAGGATAACAAGAGAAACAAACATGAAAGTAGAAATCTTCAGAATAGTTTTGACAGTTCGAGTCATTTGGAATCGGAGTTATTCTTGATTTATATAGTATATAGGGTTGGCTAACTTTTCAAGAGGCCCCAATTTTGATTAGAGATCCATGAAGACAGTACTTTATCCTTTTGTTGCATGATTGGGAATATTAATGGTAGTTGAAGAATAATTCATACGTAATTTCAACTACATATGCCAGTTTGGGCAACAAACGTAGCGCTGGCTTGGCTTAAGCGTAGATCAGTGTGAATTTTATTATGAAACTCACACCAATTGGCGGCTTGCAAAACTCCACAATTTTTAGGCAAAAAATAGAAGGGAACAAGAGTTTTAATAGGAACACCGTTGCGTCCTTGGTTGATTGTGAGGTCTACATCCATCAAAAGTTGATAGTCACCCAATGTAAGTGAGCTGATAGTTGCGCCGGTTTATGCATTAAATTGTTTCCTTGGCCTGATACTAGGCCATCATTAGTGGTCTCTTTCCTATCTTTGTTAGTTTCATTACTAAGGGTTTGTTTTGGAGTGATTTTGGATAGGTCAAAAAGCACTTTTTTGGAGAATCACTTCTCTATATAATCACTTTAAGTAGTTTTATGTGATTCTACAGACGAATTGATTCTGACATATCTAGAATCACTCACAAACAAGTCATTTTGCAACAAAAAAACAAGTTAGTGAAAAAGGAATCCCTTTTGCATTACTTGTGAATGAACGGAACAGAAACAATCATACTAGTCCTTGGTGCTCTTTCGTTTCCAAGACTTCAATAAAAATGCAACAAAAGAAAAACATATCTAGAACAGATGGAATGGGAAAACAATTCCTTTTCTGAGTCAGCATGAATTAATTTATTCAGAACATGAAAAATACTAGACATATTCAAGCCAAGCCACACTTGACGTCTATTTTACTTGTCTTCTTCGACAAATTTCGTCCAATCGCTTCCCCATCTTCAAAAGTAACTGTAGTAAAACAATCAGAGATCAAAAGTGAATTACAACGTTTGGGGGCGTTTGGTATCTTATTCAAATAGGGAACTAAAAAATTTTGATTTTTCTTAAAAACAAGGAGTTCTTAAATCTATTTTTAAGATTCAAAAACTTGTTTGGTATACAACTTAAAAACTGTTCTCAAATCTTAAAAAATTGAGAACTTGTGGGTTATTAAAAAAAAACTGAAAAAACATATATTTTTTGTTTTTCATAATTGTAGTGTTTTTAAGTTGTTCTTGAGTTTGAGTTTTTAAAAATAAAGCTACCAAATAGGTTTTCTTTGTTTTAGATTCAAATTCTGTTTTTGAATTTAAAAAGTTGGATTCAAGTTTAATACCAAACAGACTCTTAATTTCCAAAGAAGTTCTTACATGCATCTCAACATTGACAGACACATCTACAAAAACATTGACAGAAATATCATCTTGAGTTCACATGGATGACTGTATTCGTCGACTCTTGGAACAATCCACATATATATATATATATATATATATATATATATCAAACAAGAATCACTTTGGATAATACATTTAACCAAATTTACTTCCTCACCTTCTCTAACCCCTTCCGCATCTTCTCCTGTTCCTCTTTGTAATACTCATCATACAGCTGCAAAATTCCAATACAAAACTGTTTCAGTGCATAGCATTATTTTGATTTTTGATTTTTTCAAATTGGCATATATCATCCAATTAGAATAAGGAGCATCACCAAAAAAAAAAGAAAAAAAAAGTGATTGCTACATTTACAAAAACAAGCTAATAAAGTTTACCAAATACATAGATTTTATTTCCTCACCTCTTCTGGCCATAATTGAGGATCCTCATCCAGATCCATAACATCCACCTCCGACTGCTCCTGAAAATTTTCAGTACAAACTCTAACATGCATTTCAAATCAGCATATCCACCTGACTAGACTAGAAAGATCAAATTTTCAGACTCCGGGAACTATTCTATTCCCACTTTGCATCAAACTAGTATCACTTTCTTTCCTTTTAGATTTGATTAGTGGAACCTAATAATGGTTCACGAGCAAACAACATTTTATGTGCCTAAAACAACATATGTCTAATATCCGAAACAATCGAAATTCGAAGAGCAAAATCTTCTAAAGAACACCAGGTAAACTTGGAATTATGAGAATCCATTTCATTACCTCCTCACAGATCGATGTCCCGACATCTTCACCACCAGCATCCTACAACAATCATAGATACAAAGTTCCAAAGTGATTACAAGATTTATAAACAAGCTATAGCATGTGAACCCAGATGTGTCTAGAGCAATACAAAGGAACATACACTATCCGTGTTTTCAAGATGGCTCATCATCATTTTGAAGATGAACTTTGGAAACCTATTAGGATCATCACGCGTTGGGGGCACTAGCTTCCTTAACTTTGCAATATCATCAAGAATAAAATCGAGAGGCCTGCAGATTGGCAGTTGAACCATTTCAAATTGGGAAAGAGGGGGGAATAGTCACATCATACACGAGGACACGTTAAAAATTACAAGAATAATAGAGGACAAATTAAATGGGTGAGGATTTTTAAAGGCTCGAATCCTGCTTCCCCTCGTGTTGCTGTTCAGGAGCTTCTTCCATTTTCTTCTCTATCTCGGAATATTTGTGAAGTAGGTATTATTCATGGAATTTGAGTTGAACCTTGTGCGTGTACGACACCCGGCGGGTGCCAGGCACAAAAGACCAAAATACCCTTCTAACTAGAAACCAAATTTTCTACCAATTTGACTTATGCCGAAAATTCGGCAGAGTCTCCTTTGTAAATTGTACGTTCCCAAAAATTTTACCTATAAAAAAAACATAATTTTTATAATCCCAACATTCAGCATGCACGATAATACCATTCAAGCGACCAACATCAATTTATTATGGCCTCAGGCCTCTCTGACCCAAATAAATGTTCTGTTATCTAAAATTCATCTCAACTTTCATATCATTAATAATACATTAGCAAATTCAAACACACTAACTCGCGGCTACACCTTGTAACATTAGGTTGCCTACATACTCTTACTGAGGGAAAAAACCACATGTAGTTCTTTTCCTTTAATAATGTACTTGAATATCTTATTCATTCATCATATTTGTCATGTGTTTTACAAATCAAACTGAGTGCTCATGCGCATGATGTACTCAATCATATTCACAACTCTAAAACAATATTTTGCAGCTTCCCAATACTCGAAACAGTCATACACTGAACTCCCTCTAATTCATGAATCGTTTTGTATATTATTCGCTTAAATTATATATATAAATATATATATATATAAGATTATAATAATAGAAATAGAAATAAAAGTAAAAATAACAATAAAAAAAGAAAATATATATATATATATGTATCAACAACTTAACTGAAATATATATACATATATATAAATACAAAGTTCCAAAGTGATTAAAAGATTTATAAACAAGCTATAGCATGTGAACCCAGATGTGTCTAGAGCAATAAAAAGGAACATACACTATCTTTGTTTTCAAGATGGCTCATCATCATTCTGAAGATGAACTTTGGAAACCGATTAGGATCATCACGCGTTGTGCGCACTAACTTCCTTAACTTTTGCAATATCATCAAGATTAAAATCGAGAGGCCTGCAGATTGGCAGTTGAACCATTTCAAATTGGGAAAGAGGGGGGAATAGTCACATCATACATGAGGACACGTTAAAAATTACAAGAATAATAGAGGCCAAATAAAATGGGTGAGGATTTTTACAGGCTGGAATCCTGCTTCCCTCCTGCTGCTGTTCAGAAACTTCTTCCATTTTCTTCTCTATCTCAGAATTTGACAAACTGAGATTTAGCTGAATGGAAAGTTGGTTCAAATTAAGAGAAGAAGCAACCAAATTCATAAAAATATTCGAATTCACAACTAAATTGAACTAATGAAAAGTAACTTTAATCATATATATCTCATGGCAAGCCTCCACTAAAATAAAACCTTTAGGGTTTGGCCAAGAGAAACAAGACAAGCCTTGACCAACCAAGGGAGCAAACAAAAAACGACCAAGGAAGACAAGTCGCGCAGGACAAGTTCCAACCAAACACTACAAGAAAACAGGCCTTCTGTGACCAAATTTTACGTGACGCTGAAAATTTCGTCACATTTGGCTTGTATAAGTGAGAAAATTTTGCAAGTCGTCACTTAAACGTCTTGAAAGGACCTAACAAAATTTTCGCTCCATCTTCGTCACATTATAATTTCGGTGTCGTCACAAATTACATAGCGGGAAATCTTGGCGCCCAAATTTTTTACTAAATGTGACGAATAATGCACATTCGTCACAAAGCATGAAAGTGAGAACTGAAAATTTTATTGAGTGAAGATTGGCAGCATCACTTGTGGCCCAAAAGAAAAAACATAAAAAAATAAAAGAGAGTTTCACTAAAACACCCAAAATAGGAGCTGAAATTATAAAAAAAACCCACATGGAATGCACTTTAGAAATACACCCAAAATCCATTTATTATATAAGAAATTGGTGTTGAAGTTCCTATAAATTACAGGACTACCACTGAAAAAAAAACTCAAAAAACACCCAAAACAAGCCCAATCAAATTTTATAAAAAAGCCCAATTTATTTTTTTTTTTTTGTTACAAAAAGTCCAAAACATTTTATTACAACACATAACTGTCTCGAAAATAGTAACTTCAAGCACGCATCTTCATTAAACCATCTCAACAAAACATCTCTTCATTTCACCGTCTTCATCATTTATGCAAACTGAAACTCCATAACAACCACCAAGCTTGATCTACTTTCAAAAACCAACACCACACACTAACCTCCACCTGCAAAACAAAGATAAAATTTCAGAGAACAATTTCAACAAGAAAAGGCTTCAAAGGTAAGACATTTAAAAACCAAACTTTTATTGTAATGTTGATTAATTTCTGTAAAGTTCCAGTCTATGATAATAACAGTATTTTATATTCGAATCCAAGACAAAATTTTGAAATTATATTGGATTTTCACTATTGGACTAACTGCATATGACTATAAAATAGTCAGTTTTCAGCAACTCAAAAAAGAAAGAGATATTTAGTCATATACTCATTCTTAATACTGCTAGTTTACTTTCATGTTGATTAATGGCTGTAAAGTTCCAGTATAGGGTAATAACACTGATTGTTTCCTCTAAAATCCTATTTTGAATGCATGTTTACCACCATAAAGTTCCAGTATAGGGTAATAACACTGCTTGTTTCCAATGAAATCCTATTTTGAATGCAAAAGTTCCAGTACAGGGTAATAACACTTCTTTTTTCCTATGAAATTCTATTTCTAATGCATTTAACCATTGTAAAGTTCCAATATAGGGTAATAACACTACTAGATTCTTCTGAAATCCTATTTCTAATGCATGTCTACCCCTTGTAAAGTTCCATTATAAGGTAATAACACTGCTAGATTCCTCTGAAATCCTATTTCTAATGCATGTTTAACCCTTGTAAAGTTCCAATATAGGGTAATAACACTGCTAGATTCCTTTGAAATCCTATTTTAATGCATGTATACCCTTTGTAAAGTTTCAATATAGGGTAATAACACTGCTAGATTCCTCTGAAATCCTATTTCTAATGCATGTTTACCCCTTGTAAAGTTCCAGTATAGGATAATAACACTGCTTGTTTCCTATGAAATCATATTTCTAATGCATGTCTGTAAAGTTCCAATATAAGGTAATAACACTGCTACCTAACAACAAATTATAGTCGACTCAAAAACCAATAGTGCATAAACAGAAAAAACACGAATATACTCAGATTCAAAATTAATATGATAACAGAATCAAATATCACAAATCTGTAACACAGCTCAAACCAAAACACAAAAAGCAAATCCACAACCAAACTAAATTTGAAATCAATCCAAATTATAAACAAAAAAAATTAAAATCACAATTTAAAACTCAAACAAATATCTAATACAAATTAGAACGAAATTAGAAAATCCAATAGCTTATCTCCAAATCGACAATAACAAAAATAAACATATAAAATTAAGAAGAATTGGATCTACATTTCAAATTTAAACTCCAAAACTGCAAAAATTATGAAAACTTAACCAGCAACTTAATTAATCGAACATGAAATCACCCAAATCATACTACAATAAAATCAAAAAAGTCCTTACAATACCTATACCAACATATTCAGACTAACAAGGGGAAATTTTTGGTCTTGGACCCCGGCCAAAAAGTGGCCGGAGTAATCCGGAACACTGCCAAAGCCGTCGGTCAAACTAGGGTGTATTGATTAATTTCCAAAACTCCAAAATCTATCCTAACCACATACATAAACAGCTTAAGCACGAAAATTAGATAAAGTTTCATACCTCGATCGACGGAAACAACAGCCGGAGTCACCGAAAACGACGTCGGAAAACTTGAAATCCACAGACCTTTTGAGTTCGCAGCGTCGTCGTCAATGGCTGATGTGGCTGGGCTTTAGCCCAGACTTGATCGTCGGCCTTGACCGATCCTTTTCCGATCGCTGTCATGCTGGCCGTGGACGAAGCACCAAGATCGTTGGCCTAGGCTTGGTTTCTGCGAAGGGAGAGAGAGAGAGAGAGAGAGAGAGAGAGAGAGAGAGAGGGCCCAAATTTTTCAAAAAAAACTAATTTAATACTAAATGGGTAATAAAGGTATTTCATTTAAGTAATTAAACTAAAAAATATAACAGCTGTCAGTTTTGGGTATATTTGGGTGTGTTTATATGTTTTAAATAGTGTAGGGTATATTTATAGTTTCATGTCTAGAATTGGGTATTTCACTAATTTTGTAAAAATAAAAACAAGGGCTATTCTCTAGTGGGGACTTCTATTTGAGAACCTCTATGTGAGGACACCATTGGATCCGATCTAATGACTCCACATAAAGCAGTTGATGTGAAACTAATGCACTGGAACAAGGCCCTCAACTTGGAATCTCAACTTGCGCGTCTTCTCTTATCCCTCCAAAACAGCTGTATTGTGTATGAGCCTCCAAAACAGCTCTCTAGCTATCTTCAACTCTGACTCTCTATCCATCTCTCTCTCGCCGGCTCTCTCTTTCGACTGGTCTCTTTCACCGTCAAACCTCCCTCTATTCCATAGGTAACAAATGTCTTTCGTCCTCCTAGAATTATTTTCTATAATTTTTGAAAAATCAATTTATATATCTCTAATTTGATTTAGGGTTAAAATATTTGTGTATTTAATGCGAAATCATTATCTTTTTCTATATATTTTCGATTTACATAGAAATTAGGGCAAATTTTAGTGATTATATGTGGATATGCGTTTGTTCCTCAATTGTTTATGAGATTCTAAATCAGATGTCCTGTTGTTTGTGATTTGTTGTTGTAACAAGAGATGAGAATCATATCTCTTGGTGTTTGTGATGACTTTCCCTTCCAACTTCCTGCCAACTTTGTATTATGTTAATGGAAATTACAGAAACCCATTTGATTGAAGCTTGGCAACAAAGAGAATGCTCTGTGTAAGTTTCTGAACTAATATTTCTTTTTGCTTTTTCTCTGTTTTCTTTGTATCTGCCTGGAAATGCATTTAATTATTCACTATCGATGTGACTTGGGCAACAGATGAGATGAATAAGGGCATTTTGTTGATATGGGGCAGTATTATGAGATAAATATGCAACATTTTGTTGATAATTCAAAGCTTAAGAAACATGGTTGTAAGGTGAGAAAACACTATCTCTAACTTAGCACAAATGTATTGGCAAAATGTGAATTATGCCATTTTTACGTTTTGTTTCTCCATCAATTTGATGACTTTGTATCTATATTTAGTTTAAGTTTTGATGACTTTGTAAATATATTCAGTTTAAGTTGTTACAGGTTTGACCACCTAAGCTGTCTCCACCACCACCATATCCCTTTAGTTTTCTAATTGTTAATTTAGTTTGTTATGAAATTTTTGTCAAAATAGTATCAGAAGAGTAGCTTTTTATGTAATTGTTAATTTAGTTTGTTGTGTAAGCACATCTTTTCGTTATAAGGAGGCCATATTTTCTGCCTATATTACCACTGGAAAGATTCTTTTGTAGCTTTTTATGCTTTGTACATACACCTTCATTTTTAGGAGTGTGATTTTTATTTTTTCATGCTTCTTGACATTTAATCCTTTGATGGATTCTGTTTTCATCCTTTTATTTTCCTCACCATGGTCACTTCTTAGACATCAAACATTAATTATGTTTGTCTTCTCACTTTAATGTTAACAATGTTGTATTATGTTTTATATTTTCTTACAGTGTGTAGCTTCCCAACCATAAATAAGGATGTTCTTCCCCAATGGTAATTTGGCCTTTTATCTCTCTGTTAAATAGCTTGATGTTCTTCCCCAATGGAAATTTGCCCTTTTATATATTCTATATCCATTTTTATGACCATTTTTCTTTTTTATGACAGTTGAACCAAAAAGATCCATTCTTTTTGGTTGTCGTTGATGATCGTTTGCAATTTGGTTCAACTCTTTTTCATCTTGGGACAACATTACTTTCAGTTGTAGAAAAATTACATTGTAGTTATGAGAAGAAAAAAAACATGTAGTTGAGACTATTGTATATCAAACAACGTAATTATTTTGATGTAATGGAATGAAATTTGAGTTCAATTTACTTGTGAAACTTTGGGGATCTTGAATGTATTATTTTGCTATATTATACAAGAAAATAATATAATGGGGAATGGTAGTAATCGAGTTGAATTTAATTGAATTGAATGTTGGTCAGATTATATGTGAGACGTACACTGTCACAATTTTCATAAATATATGAGGAACAACTCCCCACAATTTTCATAAATATGTGAGGAACAACTCCCCACTCACGCTTGTGAAATGTGACCAATGCAGCTTGTTACCGATAGATACAATAAGTGACGAAAGATGCCTTGTGCAAAGGTACTATATGCGACGAAATATTCGTCACATATAGAACCAGTATGTGACGAATCGTAAATTCGTCACGTCAAACAATCTGTGACGGGGTATAGGTGACGAACCTTGTGACGCTGAAAATGCGTCACATATTGTCAACTGTGACGAATTTACATGTTTAAGTGACGACTACTCGTCTTCACAGAAGGCCTGTTTTCTTGTAGTGAAACTAGATCGCAGACTCAACTAAAATAACCTTAAATATTGAAAAAAGGAGAGAGAGAGAGAGAGGAGAGAGAGAGAGAGAGAGAGAGAGAGAGAGAGAGAAATTTCATGCATACAGATACAGTATCACTTCGGCCAGAAAGAGCATTGCTGCTGTTCTCCTCCGGTTCAGAGCTTTCCAACGAGTTTTTCATTCTTGTTTCTTGGAGCGATGGATGGGTGGAGAGAAAAAAAATATTTTTTAGGGTTTTGAGAAGACGAACTTTGCGATTTTTTAAATGAAGACGACACGTTAAGAATTAGAAGAATAGAGCCCAAAATAGTCACCAACTGAGAAACAAAGCAGCCAAGAGAAACAAAAGGGTTTAGGGTTTCGCCAAGAGAAACAAAGCAGCTCTTGACCAACCAAGAGAGCAAAGAAAAACCACCAAGGAAGACAAGTCACGCAAGACAAGTCCCAACCAAATCTACACTTAACACTTAACTTAAATTAAATATTAAAAAAAAAAGAAAAAAAAAAAAAAAAAAGAGAGAGAGAGAGAGACGCATGCATACAGTATCACTTCGGCCAGCATTACTGTTGTCCTCCGGTTCACAGCTTTCCAACGAGTTTTTCTTCCTCGTTTCTTGGAGCGAGCGAGAGATGGGTTGAGACAAGAGTAGACAATCGTTTTCAGGGTGGAGAGAAGACCGACTTTGCGTTTTTATTTTAAATTTTTTTTGTGCAAAATGATTGCTTTTTGTTGAAGTAGCAAAGCCTCTCAATAAATTACAACAAGAAAAAAAGCCTTTCAATAAAATAAAATAAAAATCAATAAGACAGTTTGGGCAACAAACGTAATATATGTAATGTTTGGCTTAAGAACTTTCATGTTCTCTTTTATTTATTTACCAGCCCCAAGTGCCAATTGATTTTTATTTTTGAATTACGAAATTAAAGATAATCCAACCAAAAAAAATTGAAATTGTGTTTCTTGAAAATAGAACCCAACTTCTTATTTTGGTTTTTATTTTAAATTTTTATAATGTTAAAAAATATTATTTTACTATATTATTTTTATTTAATGAAAAGTTCCAATACTTAATAAATTCATGGATAATTTTCATATGTATGCGACTGAGATGAAAAAAAACTTGATGCGAAGAGTGAAACTCAGTAAACTTCCGCGTACTAAAATGAAAATTACCGTAAATTCATTAATCAATGATAATTTTTATATTTTGAATGTTTTACCATTCTTTGCCTTTTATTATATATATAGATTTTCTTTGGTACATATTTTTTAAATGTTTTTCGGGAACGTTACTACTCACTGGTGATCCATTTTACAAAATTTAGCGAAAAACTGGCTTTCTTTCATGTTTTTTTTCCTTCCCTTTTTTCTGTTTAAAAAACAAAACTTCGTTTGTGTCACTGAGAGAATCGGCGGTGGGATTGCCAAACTGCATTTCCGGCTACTACACCTTACATACTCAGCCAAGAATTAATTCCAAACCTCTCTAAATAATTTTCAAGCGAGCCCAAAGGTGAGTGAGGCTAAAATACGCGACTGGATGCTATTAATCATTGATATGTGGACTCCACCATAAAATCCACACTCGTTGGCGTATGCTTGGGTGACTGTCATCAATCGAAGAATGTGAATCCCAATGTAAGGTGTGAGGTCTACGTCCATCGAAGGATGACAGTCACCCAACACAACCAAGTGAGCGTGGTGATCGTGTGGGGATGGTATTGTCAGAATATATGCACCTGTTTATATTGCCATATGCATGTGTATCTATCATCAGTAGCAGTCTAGCTATGATCCCACATTTCCACTGGGTGTTTCTTTTTCCAGTGGGTTTTTGTGTGGGTCTATGAACGTGGGTTTAGTTAGTCATGGGAACAGTAACCTCCATATGCACAGCATTTTGAACGAACAGAAGCCCAGCCAAGCCATAGCTGTTTCCTTTCCCTCATGCTCTATTATCGACCACCCCCTGTTTATTCCCTTATCTTTTCCATCTTCCTTCTTAAGTTTCTTGGAATCACTTTCTAAATATTTCTTTTAATTTTGCCTTTTTTTGGGCTTCGGTGTCTCAGTCTATTTCGAGTGTGACGTTGAGCTTTGCCCTTAGACAGATTGCACACAATTATTGTAATATGGGGTCTACAGACCTTGAAAGTTTACCAAATATTATTTGCTTGTGATCTTTATGTTCGGTATTGGTGGTGGTTTTCAACTTTAGTGTTTGTCTTGAATGCTTTGCTGTTTCATGTTTTGTTTTTGCTTGCTTGCTGTTTGTTTGAGTGAGTCTTTGCCTTCGTTGAATTTAGCTTCAATTTGTCTGTTCTGGTTGCATTATGGGTGTGTTGTCCTTAATCTTTGGTGCTTAATTGCACTGTTCTTCATATTCTTTTACTTTACAATTCATTTTTTGTTGTTGCTTAGTGATGAGTATATCCTTATGGAGAATTCTTCAATAAGTATTTTAAGTTAAGGATTTGTTACATGTTTCTAATTTCGGCCGTTTGATTGCATTTATTAGATGTGTTAGTAGATTTAATATGTAATATACATGCAATCCAATGGTCGAGATTAAAATTATATAATCAATCTTTCACATAAAATACTTATTGAAAAATTTCTCATATTTATATATATATACACACACGTACATAATTACTTATGACATATGCGAGATTGGATTGAATTATACCTTTTCACTCACTTTCAGTGAGTGTCAATGGAATCCATGAGTTGACACCACGTTTTCCACTGCCAGTCTCCACCACCATCAAACGTCCTAAGTCCAATAATTAATGTAGTACTTATTTCAAGCAATGTGGAAGTAATTTGCATGACCAGAATACCATCTCTATGATAAGATTCCTAAACAAAAAGAAACAAGTGAATGAGATCTAAAAATATAATTATTTATTTTATTTTCTATTCATAGTTTTGTTTGGAAGCTGAAAGACCAACTAGCTAACTAGACTCCCATGACCCTAAAAAAGCTAACTAGCCTCCAAATCTGTCTTTCTTGCTCTCTCTAGCTCTGACATTATGGAAAATCCAGAGGAGAAAGGCCCTGCATATGGAGGACAAGATTTCACACAAGATGGGACTGTGGATCTCAAAGGCAGACCAATTTTAAGATCTAAGACTGGGAGATGGAGAGCTTGCTCCTTCATTGTGGGTATGTATGTAAATAGCTTAATTATAACATTATATATATACATTTACATATATATATTGTTGTGTTTTTTAGGGTATGAAATATTTGAAAGGATGGCAAATCATGGGATTTCAGCAAACTTAGTGGTGTATTTGACAAGGAAGCTCCATGAAGGCACTGTACAATCTTCAAACAATGTCACCAACTGGTCTGGTACCCTTTGGCTCACACCTATTTTAGGTGCTTACATTGCAGATACGTATATTGGTAGATATAGGACCTTTGTTCTAGCAGTTTCCATTTATCTCATGGTAAATTCTTGGACACAACTTTTTACTTTTTTCAGATGAATTGTCTTAGGTAGCTCATATAATAACCGCAGTAACAAAAATATGGGTTTCTCTTAACAGGGCATGTCACTTTTAACACTAGCTGTATCAGTGCCAGCTTTGAAGCCACCAGCTTGTAACCATGGCATTCAAGCAGAGGACTGCACAAAAGCTTCACCTTTTCAAGTGGGCATCTTCTATTGTGCATTGTACATGATAGCAGTTGGCACTGGTGGAACTAAGCCCAACATCTCAACCATGGGAGCGGACCAATTTGATGATTTTGAGCCCAAGGAGAAGTCCCACAAGCTCTCCTTCTTCAATTGGTGGATGTTTGCCGTTTTCTTTGGCAACCTTTTCTCAAGCACTTTCTTGGTGTACATACAAGACAATGTTGGTTGGACTCTTGGCTATGGCATCCCAACAGTTGGGCTTGTGATTTCAGTGGTGGTGTTCTTGGTGGGAACCCCATTTTACAGGCACAAATTGCCTTCAGGAAGTCCTATCACTAGTGTTGCTCAGGTACTAGTAGCAGCAGTTAGGAAGTGGAAAGTTCCTGTCCCAAATGACCCAAAAGAGCTTTATGAGTTGAGCTTGGAAGATTATGCAGACAAAAGCAAACTCAAAATTGACCACACCTCATCTTTGAGGTACTTGTTCTTAATGTCTATGTTTAATTCTTAGTCTCGAAATTCATACATCTCTTATTATCGAGGAAATGTTCTTTTGTCAAACAGTCTAACATATTATGTTATTATATTATAAATTTGAACAATTTATGGGTCTCAAACAAAGTCTCTCTTATTAATGAGAAAATGTTCTCTTGTTAAACAGTCTGAGATATTATGTTATCATATTATCAATTTGAACTACTAATTGAGTGAATTCTTGTTTTAATAATGGTAACAAATTAAGTAACTTAGAACCATTTTTTATATCACAATCTCTTAGTTTTAGACAATATATAAACATATATAATGTTCATCATAGTCTTCAAACCAAGTGCTTTCAATTTCTAACCTTTACCCCTAAGTGGATGTCCCACCTTACTTGCTCTGCATTAAGCTCCTGCAGATCACTTGACAGAGCTGCTGTGAAGAGTGGACCGAACACACCATGGACTCTATGTCCAGTGACCCAGGTTGAAGAAACCAAACAAATGATGAAGATGATTCCAGTTTTGCTCACAACATTTATACCTGCCATCATCATAGCTGAGACACACACCCTTTTCATCAAGCAAGGCACCACATTAGATGCTTCAATGGGTCCCCATTTCAAAATCCCCCCTGCATCTCTTGGATCATTCATAACACTTTCCATGTTGGTCAGCCTCCCAATCTATGACCGTCTCTTCGTGCCAGCAATCAGGCGTTACACGAATAACCCCAGAGGAATCACACTGCTGAAGAGAATGGGAATTGGGTTTGTGATGCAAATCATAATCATGGTCATTGCCTGTTTGGCTGAAAGAAAAAGACTCAGCGTTGCAAGAGAAAATGGCATCTTTGGCAAAGGAGAAAAAGTACCTCTCACAATTTTCATTCTGCTGCCACAGTTTGCTCTGATGGGTGTAGCTGATACCTTTGTGGAAGTTGCAAAGATTGAGTTTTTCTATGACCAAGCACCACAAGGCATGAAGAGCATGGGGTCTTCATATTTCACTACAAGTTTTGCGGTTGGGAATTTTCTAAGTAGTTTTCTTCTAAAAACAGTTTCTGATGTGACCAAAAGACATGGACACAAGGGCGGCTGGGTCTTGGACAATTTGAATGCCTCACATTTGGACTATTACTATGCATTGTTGGCTGGCTTAGTCTTCCTTAACTTCCTATTCTTTCTGGTTGTTGCCAAGTTCTTTGTTTATAATGCTGACATCTCTCAAGCCAAGGTAGCTGTGGAATCTTAAGATGTGAAGACTTGAAGACTGGACTAGTTAAGCTGATCATGGATTAGAAGCTTTTTTGTACATATATGTTCCTTGCTTCTCAGTTAACTAGATCAAATAAAATCCAACTAATTTCTTTCGGTCTCTGTCTGTAAACCCAATCAAAGATTTCCATGGTACAAGATGAAACCGATTTCTCTTAAGAAAAGTCTTAGTATTTTGAGACCGTTTACATCTCCTACAGAAGTGAGACCCATATAAAACTCATCTATGCGGAAACGTCTTATCAGAGTTAGAATTGCATTAGCTACAAAAATGGCTAAGGCATCCAGCCTCCTTAAAATCTTCAGATTCTTCACCATGGCTGATGCATACGTCTGTCTTTTTCTTATGATGCATTCCAATTTTTTATAGCAAGTTGATGCAGATTGATTTATATAAATAAATAAACAAAATGAAGAAAGAAAATTATTTTTGGATTTCGCATATTCATGACCGGCTAATTTTGATTCCATGAAAGTGACGCTCCATACAAAACAAACACATTGCAGTGGCATGAGGTTAATTTCAAAATGTTAGAATATGATTAATCACATGTGGCCTACCAAAAGAACGATGAAATTAAAGACACATGTCAAATTAAAGGGGACAGCAGATCGTAATCTTTCGTTTTTCGCCACCTAATTTTTTGGTTAATTTTGATGTGACATGGGTATTATCAAACTTTAGGATCGTTTTCTGAAATATTTTTATTTTTAAAAAAAGAGAGAGGATCCAAATCCTTCGATGGTTTGTTGTAGTTCAGGGCTTGTTCTTCTAGCACTTGTCGACATCACTCATCTATCTCTGGTCATTAATAGTTTCAATTATTGCTGAATTATATTAGTAAATATATTTTTTCCAATTACTCAACAGAGAAAAATATATATTAGAAAATAACACAAAGATCCTAAGTCGGCTTTTTTTTGCTTCTTTGTCTTTTTGTTAAACATTTACTAGTTTAAGAGAAGGCGAATAAGTTAGAGTTAAAATAAAATCGACTAGCTCATAATTTCGTGAATGATTAACAACCGTTGATTAATATGAATTTTAAATTTATTAATGGTTACTTGTAGTCACCCACAAGACACTATACCGTTAATAAAGCTTATAGGTGAAAAACAAAAAATGTGACCAACAAGGTGACAGGAAATAAATCTAAAATGTTGGAGCCACCCAACTAATTAATTACCCGTACGTCCGAAGACTTTATAAAAAGCTATGAGCTAATCACATGACTTTCAAGGCCCCAAGTCCCTAGTCATTTGATTAAACACATGATGGCAAGTGTAGAAGAGAAAGGCTCTGCAGATGGAAGAGAAGATCACACACAAGATGGGACTGTGGATCTCAAAGGTAGACCAATTTTACGATCAAAGACTGGGAGATGGAGAGCTTGTTCCTTCATTGTAGGTATGTAATGAACTCCCTAGTTTTTTGTTCTTCAAATATTGTAAGGGCCCCTTAGCTGGGAGCAAAACGTGCATATCCCGGAGGTATACATCTATTTGTAAGTTTATTTTTCTTTTTACGTGACTTGTCGCGTAAGGAGATAATTAGACTGAGTATGTGTTATTAAGTCTCGTGGTCAAAACCATCCTCCGTTTCACTATGACGGATCAATATGTATGATTTTTTTTGTTGCTGTTGGGTGTGTTTGATTAATTTGTAGGGTATGAAGTGTTTGAGAGGATGGCATATTATGGAATTGCATCAAACTTGGTGATTTATTTGACAACGAAGCTCCATGAAGGCACTGTAACCTCTGCCAACAATGTTACCAACTGGGTTGGGACTGTGTGGATGACACCTCTGTTGGGAGCTTATATTGCAGATGCTCATCTCGGCCGCTACTGGACTTTTGTTATTGCTTCTGCCATATATCTTGCGGTACCAATTAACTCAATTCCAAGCACTTAATAAATTATATCCACATGCATATACATAATTTCTCATTTCTCATGATAGAACTTGCATGCCAATATATATGCACAGTATATATGGATCATTAATTGTTGAACAAACCACAAGCATTATATATAAGTGATAATTTTCTGCTTAAATGTGATCACATCTCACCTTGGTAACATGCAAGCTTATTAAGGGTTTTTGTTTTTAATTTAAAAAAAAAGTTATACTAAAAGGCTTCGGCCGCTAGCATATGCATTCACAGATAATTTACAAGAACAAACCTATTTGGTATCGAAAAGGTGATGATAAAATCACCCTTAACTTATCTCATGCACTCCTCACTTGTGAGTGGTAGAAGAGCGTGTGAGGTGAGATTTGAAGTGTCAAAATAATTCCCAATCGGATATCATGATGGCCTTTTTATGTATTTCTCATTGTATATTTTGGGATATAATTGGTAGTTCGATCACACATCACAAGCCTCCTCATGCACTTGCCTGCCTCTTTAACTTTTCCTATCCAGTTATCAAATAACTGCTCTCAAATAGATAAGAGATTAGTTGATCATGACAATTTTAAATATGAAGCAGATTCACAATTTCACCAATATGCCTAATAATGAAGAAAAATGAAGCTGAAATTTGGCTTTTGGGCCATTTGGTCCCTATCTGGCTTTAACAATCTATGCATTACATAATTTTTTCACTGTATCTATACAAGAAACTCATAATGCTCCTCTTGGTTACCAATTAGGGGATGTCCCTATTAACCCTAGCAGTTTCATTACCTGCCCTAAGGCCACCATCATGTGGCCATGGAATCAAAAGTGCAGATTGTGACAAAAGAGCCTCGCCATACCAAGCAGGCATATTCTATGGTGCATTGTACATAATTGCAATTGGAACAGGAGGGACCAAACCCAACATCTCAACCATGGGAGCAGATCAATTTGATGAGTTTGAGCCCAAGGAGAAGACCCAAAAGCTCTCCTTTTTCAACTGGTGGATGTTCAGCATTTTCTTTGGGACCCTTTTCTCAAACACATTCCTGATTTACCTACAAGACAATGTGGGCTGGGCTCTTGGCTATGGGCTTCCAACACTTGGGCTTGCTCTCTCTATTTTGGTGTTTTTGTTGGGCACTAAATTTTATAGGCACAAATTGCCTTCTGAGAGTCCTTTCAGTAGGATAGCTCATGTGATTGTGGCTGCTCTAAGAAAGTGGAGGGTTACAATCCCAGATGACCAAAAAGAGCTTCATGAGCTGAGCTTGGAAGCGTACACAAAGTCTGGGAAATTCAGAATTGACCACTCCCCTTCATTAAGGTAGATCCAAATGACCCTATACCACATTTTTAATAGGATTGTGATGCGGTCTATATAATGTAGTTAATTAATGCGATACAAATAGTTTTATTTTGATAAGCCTAAATATCGCTAGCATTTTATTACCTGCAGATTTCTTGACAAAGCAGCTGTAAAGAGCGGGGCAACCTCACCGTGGATGCTATGTCCCGTGACGCAAGTCGAAGAAACCAAGCAAATGATCAAACTGGTTCCGATTCTGATAGCAACATTTGTGTCAAGCATGATGTTAGCTCAAGGAGGAACACTTTTCATCAAACAGGGCACAACACTAGATAGAAGCATAGGTCCCAACTTTGAGATCCCTCCAGCATGTCTCTCAGCATTCATAACAATCTTCATGCTGATAAGCCTTGTAGTCTACGACCGCCTCTTCGTCCCATGGATCCGGCGCTACACGAAGAACCCTAGAGGGATCACATTGCTGCAGAGATTAGGCATTGGCCTTGTGTTACATGTCATGATCATGGTCACAGCTTGGTTGGCTGAAAGAAAAAGGCTGAGTGTCATAAGAGAACGTCAATTGTTTGGGGAAAAGGACACCCTTCCTCTCACAATTTTCATTCTTTTTCCTCAGTTTGCTTTGTTGGGGATTGCCGATTCTTTTGTGGAAACAGCCAAGATAGAATTGTTCTATGACCAAGCACCCCAAGGCATGAAGAGCCTTGGGACCTCATACTTCACAACCAGCTTGGGAATTGGAAGCTTTCTTAGTAGTTTTCTTCTCTCAACAGTTTCAAACATCACCAAGCAACATGGCAGGGGTTGGATTTTGGACAACCTAAACATCTCTCATTTCGACTACTACTATTTGTTCTTGGCTGTCTTGAGCTCTCTCAACCTGCTCTTCTTCCTCTTCGTGGCGAAATACTTTGTTTACAATGCAGACACGACAGAACCGAAAGGAGACTTTGCCATGGAAACTTTGCCAAACAAACCTCCGGCTGAAGCTCAAACCGAAGCCTCAAATGCTCTACTTGTAAGCTGATAAAATGTTTATTGTGTTTGCACAAAGGAAAACACAAAACTATATCAAGACATATAAACTTGAAGACCAGGTTTCAAACCTAAACAGGCTTCATTCTGTTGGAAGAACAACAATCATTAACGAAATTAAACAAAGCAGTAAAATAAAAGGGTTGCAGTGTCCTTTAATTAATTAATTTGGTTTAATTTAAATCATAGAGCCCAAGAAGGCCCAAGGCCCATCTTTTGGTTAATTAAATATATATATATATATATATATTAATTAATCATGGGCTCAATTAAATAGACATTGATCCAAAGGCCAAAACCCACAAGCCACTCAATTGGGCCACTTGCATAGCACAATCCAAACTACATTATTTCTAAGAGTAAGTCTTATAAAGACCTTCAAGGAACTCTAGTTTTCCAATGTGAGACTACTTTCAACTCAAGCTTCATTCTTGTGAGTCAAGCATTTGCCAAACTTCCAATGGATGCAGCCTTCCAATGTATGTACTTATGAACTTTATCAGTTATCCAATTTGAGATTTTTGTTTCCCTCTTCTGGCGTTGTTTCACTCTCCATTATTCTCAAACTACCCTTATCTCAAATCCTTCCACTTTCCTCTTTTCCTTTCCCCTTACCCAACCCAACCCTAAATGTTTTTTTTTACAAAAAAAAACAGCTACAATTGCACAACCTGTCAAGTTCTTGATTGAATCACACATCATTAAAATTGCCCTTTTTAAATTAAAAAAAAATCTTTTCATAATTAAATAATATCTTAGCCTGATTTAATTACATTCATTAGTAATTATGTTCTAACTATTATTTCTCTAGTGAATAATTAGTATTAAATATTTTAATTAACGTCATAAATGATATTACTTAATAAATAGTATTTAGTTGTTAAAATTTTTGAATTTGATAAAATTCTTAAATACTAATTATTCACCAAGTAAACAATAATTAAAACATGAGTAATAATTAATGTAATTAAAAAGAGAAATTCAGATTATGGTATTTATAGAGTATAGCCGGGCGGCTGTACTTTTAAAAATATTCTATTTGTAGAGTATAGTATAGCCGCACGGCTATACGCTTTTAAATTAATTAATTAATTAATAAATTGGGCTGCCTAGGAGCTATGCGGGTCCTTTTAAATAAAATAAACAATATAGCCGGTCGCCTATACTCTTTAAATATCTAATGGGTGCCTTTTTATTTTTTTAAAACTTTTTTCCCTTGATTTTCCTTTGTCGATAAGTCTAGTCTAGAGTATTATCCATTACATTTAGGCCATTACCAAGGTATAGGTATTGTCCCCCTTTGATTTTTTAATTTTTCAAAGTTATTACCCGTATAAAGAATTTAGGATTTCCCCATTTAATACTCATATTATACACGTACATACATATTTGTCAATAGTACTTCCGTTTTCCGTATACGTCTTAAAGACTCGATATAATGAAAGCAATCGTATTGTACACGTACGCACATATTTTAATGATTATTTAATTCAAACCAATTAATTACTATTGACCAAGTAATTTACGAAATTGAGTAAAATATTTAAATATTCACTAAAGAAATAATAATTAAAACATAATCACTAATTAAAGTAATTAAAAAAGGGCTAAGGTATTACCTAATTACATGTATTGAATTTAAGAAGTTGGCCCAAAAGCAAAAGTAAAGAAACTAATTTTATATTTTAAAATTTTAAAATTTTAAAAAAAAATTTTTAAAAAGGTAGAACAACCTCTCCCGACGAAAAAACCTCTGCCGACGAAATTTTGTCGGGGAAAATCTAATCTGGTAAATTTTGCTGGCATAGAACTGTGTTGACGAAATTTTGTCGAGAGAGGTTTAAAAAAAAACCTAAATATAAACTCAGTATAATTTTGGTCAATAAATATTTTTTTAAAACAAATTTCTTTTCATAATTAAATAATATCTTAGCCTGATTTAATTACTTTCATTAGTAATTATGTCGTAACTATTATTTCTCTAGTAAATAATTAGTATTAAATATTTTAATTAACATCATAAATGATATTACTTAATAAATAGTATTTAGTTGTTAAAATGTTTGAATTTGATAAAATTCTTAAATACTAATTATTCACTAGGTAAACAATAATTAAAACATAATAATTAATGTAATTAAAAAGAGAAATTCAGATTATGGTATTTATAGCACGGCTGTACTCTTTAAACATTCTGTTTGTAGAGTATAGCCGCTCAGCTATACTCTTTAAAAATAAATGAATAAATTGGACTGCCTAGGCCTTATGCGGGTCCTTTTAAATAAAATAAAAAAATAAATTGTATAGCTGCTAAGCTATACTGGGGGACAGTACTCTTAAATTTTATGAAATAATTAGTGTAGCCGGGCAGCGATACGCTTTAAATCTAATGAGTTCCTTTTATAAAAAAAAAGATTTATCCCTAATTTTTGTTTATCGATAAGGCTAGTCTTGAGCATTATCCATTACTATTATCTTAGCTTGATTTAATTACTTCAATTAGTAATTATGTTCTAACTATTATTTCTTTAGCGAATAATTAGTATTAAATATTTTAATTTACTTAATAAATAGTAATTAAATTTTTTTAATTTTTTTTTTAAAAATAAAATATTTATATACTAATTCTTCACTAAGTAAATAATAATTTAAACATAACTAATAATTAAAGTAAAAATTTATTTTCAAAAATAAATTAGTAAGTCTTGTACCATGTGACTCTTTAAACGAAATAATGAACGAAATTTGAAAAAATTGACAATAAGGGCTAAATTGACTATTTATATAAGTTCACATGCTAAATCAACTGAAAAGTTAATTTAGGGTGTTTAGTTCGATTAGAGTCATCATTCAGCGGGTAAAATTTCTGATCCTATATACCTTTCATGGGTTGAAAAGTAATACGAAAATTACTAGCGGCCGTTGGAATTAATTTGATGCATATTGGGGTATTCTTATTTTGAATAATTATTTGCAGAATTTTGGATTTGATATTTCAACTTTTGTACATTTAAGATGTTACATGTGCCTTTGAAAGGCGGGCTGCCTTAGAACTCATGATAAAAAAAATTAAATAAAAAAAAACGGGAGTGGGGAAATAAAACTAAACATGAACAGACAAAAAGAGTATCAGAAATTTCAATTTTTTATGACTTTTAGAAATAAACAAGTTTGAAAACAAAACTAAATATGAACAAGGAAAAAAAATTTATATGAAAAACCTAGCCACAAACTGAAATCTAATATGTGGGATTCAGTCTGAAAATAAAATCTACATAATCAAATAGCTCCCATTCTTTTAATTTTGCTAGATGGATATTCTTGGCATGAACAGAAAAATCCCTGGCATTGCATGCTTTGTCAACAGACAAGAGGCTGTAACTCACATCTAGCAATTGATTCCAAGAGCCAGGTGTGGCCAACGATTTGGGATCCAATTTTTGCGGCTATATCCTGGGCTTCATTTGACCTTTGCCAAAGGATTGAAACTTCTTCCCCCAACTTGCATCCTTCTTGGGGGTCAAGGTTGTAAACAACTAGCGTCCTTGATGCTGCCTGTCCAAGAGAACTTTGTTCCAGCGCTTCTTCTGTGCTGTCAAAGACAGTACCTCCTGCGGCTATGATCAAATCTTCAAGATCTTCCTGTCTATCCAGTACAAAATCACCAGCAAAATAGAAACTCAAACCATTGAAGAGCTTTGGATCCTGCAAAGGAAATAATCCAATAACTCAAATCAAACTAGAGTTCTAAGAAGATTTGCATAATTGGTTCTAAAGTTATTGGCAGATATTTCAGTTGGAGGCAATTATTGGAAAGTAAACTAGAGTTTATGCATTTTCACAAAGTTTTCTTTGAGTAACTTACCTTGTTTGATGCCCGAAGCCTGCCAGTTTTTGGGCCATCATGACACCCATAGTTATCGAGACTAACTTCATAAGGTTCTTCATCTACATGATGCATGGCTTCCATGCATGCTTTTACCCCTGCACCCATTTTCTATGTAATTAGACATTTAAAATGAATAAAAAGCGCACTCCATATGATAAATAACACATTAACTAAAAGACCTGTCAGAAAAATGCACGAAAGATCTTTCAAGCACATCCATAGAAAATGCAATTGAAGCTTACAGTCAATTTTCAGAATCCATCTTCCAGCCAAAATGGCCATGCAGGTTTTTAAAGTCCGGACATATGCACCATCCTCATCCACGGCTGCAATTACATGTGTAACATCTGGTCTCCAGATCTTGGACACAGTTCCACCATTCATCTTGGCAAACTTGATCAAAAGAAGCTGCACCATTCAGAGAAAACATACAAGTTGCTCATACAGCAACCAAGACATTTAGTTTATACAATAGAACAAGATCTTCCAGATCACATAAAAAGAAAATTGGCATTGCAGATTGATTACTATTGGTAGAATTCACAATTCACCTTATAACATTATTATAAATTTTATCCAAGGATAAGTCTAAATAGATTGCAAAACATAATGTTATCAAATTAGTAATTTGACCACAACAGGTCCTTGCAAGGTAAACAAAGAAAGGATCAATATCATTGCAGAGATAAGCTCTACCAAGTTTTGAGACACTCAAGATTACTTTCCATCATGTCTTAATAACAACATGGAGCCAAGTGGCTAATAACATGAGCAATTCCTTTCAAACTAACCTTCTCTTCAGAAGACAAACCAGAAGGGCATAAAATCCATTCTTTTGCTCCATTTGAAGCTACCCAACTGTTGGACAGTGGACATATTCTGCGTGGCAGAAAATTTGACATTCGATTAAACATTGACAATGTAACTAAGAAATAAACATTTTACAAGCCTTTTGTAAGGACTTAGGGCTTATAAGTAAATTAAGCATCTTGAAGAGCTAATAATTAAAAAATAAAAGGGACCAAAACATAAGAATTCTGCTTCAACTAATCATTTGGGCATCAAAAGAGCAAAAAGAACGATGTCATACTTGGGATTCTCAGAATTTGACTTCTCACTGGGAAATTTAACAGAACAATGAGCTGGACAGAGCAGCAGAAAGTTTTCCTGTAAGATGTCAAAAAACCATTAACTATTATTTAAGGCTTAATGGACTTAGGCAAAAATGTAAAGATAAAAATAAAATCTTAAGACGATAGATACTAAACAAAAGGACGACAGTTAACACATTGAACATGCTACTCCATAAAAAAGCAAATGATACATACCCTGTCCCAACGACATTTAGAAATTCCAATTGCACAGGTAACATGATAGCTTCTCCGGCATGACTTCACAAAGCATCCTAATGCTGCTCCCTTTAGCCCACATTTGCTGCATTTAAGCTTTGCACCCCTTGCCACTTCCGCTTTCAACTTCTTAACAGCTTCACCAACAAAATACACTTGTGGTGCCCTGCAATTTAAAATCCAAAATATGTTCACTATATATTCATCTTTAGAAATACATACACTTTCGTGTATAACCGAAAGTGTATAGAAGACATTATTATGTTTTCAGAAAAAGAAAACATACACATATTTACTAACTATGGTGGACAAAAAAATTGACATATTACTGCTTGAACATACCAATCAATGCATATTCTGTGAACAGGTATGGCATTTGAAACAGCTGCCTCATCTCCCACTACCAATTTCTCATTAGCATAATGCAGGATTGGCCCTGTAACCTGAAAGATTTCATCAATTCAATTGAATTACACTTTACCATGTATACAAAATGGCACTAAGATTAATTAAACCATGTACGAGTAACTAACCTCTGAGATTGTGGAAGACTGGCAAAATGCACAAATGGTATTAGAAGATGTCCTGAATCCATATTCCAGCTCAGAATTAGTAGTTGAAACTGGCTCAAAGTTCAGATTCTTTTGTCTTTTGAGGTCCCTCAAATGACCATCATTTTCAGTTGCTGAACTATCATGCCTCTTCAGACCTGTTCTACTATCATCAATTTCACTGATAGATTTCCTGACCAAAGAACTTTCTGAAATCTGAAAAAAGAATCACATAAAAAGTAGAGGATATAAATAATCACAATAATGAGACATTAGTATAACTGTAGAACATAATAATATATCAATAAAACTAGCTTTGAAATGAAAAAAATAAAAAAGAGTTCATATACGCGTAGACACTCATGCATCGCACAATTTCTATTCAACCATGGAATTTTCAAATTTCTGTCAAAATAAAATATTTATATTTACTTCATAGATTTCTCACACATGATTTTATTTCATCGAGCTTGCATGACTTGGGTAAGATACCAAAGGTGAATGCTAATTTTGCACTTTTGTAACTTGAAGAAAACAACAAAAGGCATTAGTAAATCAAAAAACTATAAAAATCTTACTTGCTCACGGTGACGATCAGAGCTATCATTATCTGAACATTTGGTATCACCAAATGAAGGAGGACTGTCTGGCAATGACTGCGCTACCTGATTCATGTCTCTTTCTATGGTCATACATTCTTCAAGTCCCCCAGCTCTTATTTGAGAGCTTGGAGGCGAATTGGGATTTCCCACTCCATTAAATCCATCTATTGGCATGACACACTTATCTACTTTGCAATTCGTGTCTACTACATCTGCAACAGAACGATTCAGACTACATGGAACCCAAACTCGTTCATTAGCACCTGATGAATAGATGGATTGCCCACTGTTTGAATTACCCCCTTGGCCATTGTCAAATGATTCTTTAGCCATTTTCCCAGCAAAACTGATATTAGGTGAAACTGTCCTAACATCTGCAGCAATTGACACATACAGCTAAAATATTATCGCCTGACAAAGCTTTAAAACAAAGAGCAGTGGGTGAGAAGCTCCAAAGTAGTATCTAAATAAGTGTATTTTTACATAAAGGTTGTACCAGAAGAAATGGGCTGCAACAAGTTGGCACAGAAAGACGCATCCAAGCTTTTGTAGATTGCTACTATGTTTTCCATGAAAGGCGCAGGCCTGAGATCTGCCAGGCCACAAAACCATTGCATCAGATAGAAAATTAATTAGATAGATTATTTTTGAGAGTTCATACAATAATTTTTTCAGCCAAAGAAACTAACTTTTTCACTAAAAGTACCATCTCCCATCATAAAACCCTAATTAAGGGCAATGAACAACAATACCTCGATCCGCAACTTGAACTTTACACAAAGGGCACTCTTTTCCAAAATGCGTCGAATTGGGTATGCAGGAACTGCAATTAATTCAAAATACAACGTCAAATTAAGAATCTTGAGATGCAAAGTAACCGAACAAGGAGATTAGGAAAAGGAAAAAGTTGAAGAAGAAGACGCACTTGCAGAAAATGTGATTGCATGGAAGCAATGTTGGCCGATGAAGCAAACTCAAGCTGCACACAACAAGAACAACACAAAAGCAGAAAAACCGATGTCAGATAAACCCTGTTTGTTTCTCATAAAACCAAAACAAAAAATACCGAAAAAATAAAATAAAAAGAAGATAAATTTAGCAAGCGAAACAAACCAGAGCGAACACTTGAGCTCGAGACCCAGTTTCTGAAAATGAAGAACCCACGGATTCATCATCGACCTGGTAGAACTGTCACTACACTTAGAATCCGCCATTGAAGCTTGGCTCTGGAAACCGAACAGATGAAGAGAACAAAGAGTGCATAAAGGTTTCAGCGGTGGAGGAGGAGGGCATGGAGTATTAATATGGGGGTCTTTTCGCTTGGTGTGTTGGAGTGTGAGGGACACGTGGACACCGTGATTTGTTCTGCGAAATAAGAAATGGGCGGGTGATTGTTTTGATTAGAACGCTGACGTTTCCACTCGCGCGCATTTTCCATTTTCGGTTTTAGAGACTCCCGCCTTCGTCTCCCTCTTATTTTTATTTTCCCCTTCTTGGGTTATTTCAAATTTAAAGATTGTGGGTTAATATAATAAAGGCATAAGGCCTTTTACGATTGTATTTTTTAATATTAAACTCCCTTCAATTACAATATAAAAAATTGTAAAAGAAAATTACAATTGTAAAAAAGTGATAAAAGAAAAAACAAAATGCATGTTCTTAGAGGTTCGTGAAATAATCTCATTGGTACATTAGTTCTTATTTAATTTTCATATTTCCTTAGATTTTAAACTGAAGGAGCCATGATCATCATGTCACCTCTTTCATTTTGCTATTGCAGTCTAACAGAGTTTTCCTCAGAATTAAATTCAATCCCTGAAAAATCCACAGTTTCACCATCTCTATAGATTGTTCATCACAAACTTGGGACATCAGATGGACTGTCATTCCCCTCCTCAACAGAGACCATCTCCACGGCCTCACCGATGTTATTTACCGCCAACTATGTTGATGGTACATTGGTTTCTTCAATGCTATGTGATATATCAACTGCCTTGTTGGACAAATTTTCAGAGACAGTAGTTTGAGATTCTATGGAAGTGTCTGTCAAATCTGTAGCACCTCTGTCACTGGAATTCCAATCCAATTCTAGGACACCACAAGACCCTCCTTGAGGACAAGATTCTGTAATCAATGATGCTGTTTCTTCATTAAAGGCGACTTCTGCATTGTCTACGGCTATCACATACTCCTTCGATTGCGTATAATCATCTGAAGGACTTACAACATCATCCTCAAAAGAGTCAGTTGCGTACTTTGATTCTCCATTGCACGGTTCAGCATTTAAGGCAAGTTCTGGATCATATGTGGCCACTGCATCCTCTAAAGAATTTCTAACATCTTCCTGAAAAGAGTCAGCTGCATTCTTGGACTGGTCCATGCATGGTTCTGCATTCAGTGAGGCTGATTCAGCATTATAGGCAACTTCTGGATTATATGTGGCTGCTGCATCCACCTCTGGCTCCACATAATCTTCTAATGAGTTTCCAACATCTTCTTGAAAAGAGTCAGCTGAAATCTTCGATTGGTCCATGCATGGTCCTGTATCCACTGATGCTGTTTTTGCATTGTAGGCAACTTTTGGATCATGTGTGGCTACTGCATCCTCCTCTGGCTCCACATAATCTTCTAAAGAGCTTCTAACGTTTTCCTCTAAAGAGCCAGCCGAATTCTTGGATTGGTTCACACGTGATTTTGCATTCAATGATTCTGATTCAGCATCAGAGGCAACTTCTGGCTCGTCTGTGGCTACTGCATCCTTCTCGGAAGAACTAGTAGCATCATCTGGAAAAGAGTCAGCTGCATACTTGGATTGGTCCTCTGATTCTTGTTCACTGACAGGCTCTTGGTCCAGAGGCAACAGTGTTTTCTCACTCTCCAGCAGCTTTTGGATTGTTTCAGCAGCAAAGTCTATAGCCCATATATCATCATTGACATCTCTGCGCAAAAGGATTCAAGAAACTGTAATGTCTAAGGGATCAATATAAAACTCAATCTTTTGAGCATGGCAGTAGAAGCACATGCTAAATGTTGAACTTACAGCTAGCACAAGTGAAAAAAAGGACCACCTTTAATGAAAAAGGATGGAGAGAGAGAGAGAGAGAGAGAGAGAGAGAGAGAGAGAGAGAGAGAGAGACCTTCTTGGATCTAGTCCAGCTGAAAGTAAGGCTGATTTCATGAGATTTAGTAGAAACAAAGGGTTATTGGAGAAGTATCCTCCATACTTTGAGATTTCCACCAGAAATTGCACATCCAAAACAAACTGCTCCAGGAAACATAAACAAAATGATATATATTAAATGAAGAGGCATCGTAATAAAATGGATTACAACGAGGCTGCTAGCACTTATCTAAGCGAAAGGCGAAAGAAAAAATGGGCCACAGACCTGCTTGAAATTGAGAGGAAGCTCTACTGTCATATTCTCCCCATCGATATCCCAGTTCTCTTTGTTATTTGAAACCCAAACAAAGACGGCCTCTATAAGCTCCCTCAATAGCTCCAATAACCAATCAACTTCAAAAATATTGTCTTCAGAAAGTTTTTCCAGTTTTCTCAGCTCTAAAAACAGTACCTGATGAGACATCAGAATCACAACATATAAGCAGCATAAAATCTAGTCCACAAACTACAGATTTTATCAACCAATAAGAGTCTAACGACTAATGCATGAGGAAAATTAAAAGAAAAACTGCTGAACGAGGCAGTGACATGAAAAACCATCTACAACTACCATTTATGTTGGCAAAAATACCTGAAAGGCAAGGGAAGGCATCACTCCATGAAACATAGAAGACTCACCAGGCCCGTCAACGCTACTTGCAGGAGTGAGTTTGTAGCTAGTTTTGACGGACATAATTTTCAATATAAATTGCTCACAGAAAAGAGCTCTGAGCCGACAAGAAGCCTCTTGAATGAACGAAATACAACTGTCAAGTTCCTTCACTTGAACCTCAACTGGATGGATTTTCATTAATTCCGAGTTGACATCACTAACACCCTTGAAGATGCTTCTAACCATGCTGGAGAAGAGTTGCTCTAGTGCTGACAGATTGGCTAAGATAGAAACCTGTTGTTGCACTGAATTGGCCAAAGAGAGTCTCAAATTATTTGTTTCTGCAACAGCTGTTTCACAGTTGATGGCTCTTTCAAGGATGTCTATATACTTTTTGAAGAGGTTCATAAGTCCACTAACGATTGATCCTTCAATTTGAAGGGAAAATAATGGGGTGACATCTACAGTGATAGACTGGAAGGGAAAAAACAAGTTATAAGTAAGAATAGCATCACACCAGAAAGATTAATAGTTTATATATACACATATAAAAACTATCATGACCCTTTATACACATTTGGTCTCTCATTCAAGAGCTTTAGTCTCATAAACAAAAACCCAATGCATGTCTATCACCCAGCAGCTTTGCTGGGTTTTTGTCTAAAATCAATACAAAGACAAAATTATACATACCTGCAGCAGTGTTACAAACTTCCGGCCGCTGTTAGTGAGCAAGCAATATTCTGGTTGTTGCCCGACAACCATGGAAGAACAACCTTTATTCATAATTCCTGATACAAGATATCTACCCAAAACCCAAGCATCAGTCGCTGTAAAGATATCAATTACTTTCTTAAAGTGGTCTAGGTGTTTATGTAGAACCTCTTCCATGCAAGGGCGAATACGCTTGATCAAGTATGGCCGCAGCACTAATCTCTGAGTTTCCAACAGAGAACAGAATGACATTGCAAACTGTACAGCTTCCACTGCTGTGGACAATCCACCACTTATTTCTGAGATGGTCTTAACATATTTATCAAAACAAGCACCAAACAGTTTTGTTTCTTGACGGGCCCACTGGACAAGTTCCAATGCATAAGGAGAAGTTTCCCCATATAACATCACAAAACTTCTTGCTGCTTGAGAAATCATAGAGAATACAAACTTAGAGAGTTCCCTGATATATACCCTATGTAAGAATGATTTTGAAGCCTGAAACTTATGTATCCCAGACGCAATGCGTGAATGGTAGTACTTGATCAACAATTGAGTTGCAAGGTGACTGTCACCTAGCCTGCAGAGCCCCACCAGTGCCTTTTGAAGCTCCGGGGCAGCTATTCTTCGATTTTCAGCCACCATTGTCAACTGTAGTGTAAGCATGGCCTTCCTCTCAGAAACTTCAGAGCTAAACAATCTCAACTCATCCACCGGACAATCCTCTTCGAACCGCAACCTTTGAAGATTCTCATCCTCCAATTCTATGATGGACAGTGCCTCATCTATCCTGTTCTCAGACAAGAGAGTGTCCAAGGTTTCTAAAACATCATTTGCATGAGCTTCTAACTTGCTGATGGGAAGCAGCTCCTCACATCCAGATTCTTCGATAACCAAGTCTATAGTCTCCTTTGATAAAACCTTCAAATATATTCCATCTACAAGGTCACTCACTAGCCTCTTTTGGGTCACTACATGGTTTTTCAGTTGCATCAGCTCACTTTCTACATGCCCTACTTCTTCAAATATTCTACAAAACAAAACCATCACCTCAATTCCCTAGGGTCAAGTAACTAAATTTACTTCAAATTTTATGAAAACAAATGTTGTATATAATCAAAGATAACATTTTTAATTATGCTTAAAAAAACGTAGTATATAGTACCTAACAAAGGCCGAATAATTGGAAAATATGTGTTTGTGAAATTCTTCACTGGATGCAGCCTCTAGCTCGAGGAGCTCTGAACAAAGATGCTTAATTCCCTACATAATCAACAGCAAACAAAGAACTTAATAATACTCTGTCCCTTTCTTTTTCTCAGAGCTTTCTCGGAAACTAAACAGAAGGTAACTAATTAATCAACTGAAGAAATTAACGAAAAGAACTGACCTTTCCAGTCATGGATTGAAGATCAGACTCGTCGTCTAGGTCGCTGGACACGGAGGACAAGTCGGAGGCGGAATCGGACTGCGTGCAGTTCTCCATTTCGGGAAGGTCTCTGAATCGGAATCTGGAGGACGAAGACTCCATGGAAACTGGTCTTCCACTGCCCGAACGACAACGTAAGCTCCAATGGAGGATTTAAACGAAGCCATTTTGTTAGCTTCTGAAAATTCAAGCCTTTGGAGCTCTCTCCTTGTCGTTTCGTATTGGCGCGCTTTGGTTTCTTCGTTCCTCTCTCTCAGCAAACGGCTCTGTTGCAGTACCAGGTGATGGCGACGTGTTGGTGATGCGGAGTTGGTTGGACGGCGTCGTTTAGGGAATAACGGTGTGAAACTGAAAGAGACTTTGGACCAATAGCCGAAAAGAGCCTTTCCTTTCTAACTCCCAACCAAAAAATGGTGTCATAAAAACGACAGTAGCTTTTGCATTTTCCTCTTCAAACCGCCAAACGGCAATGCGAGCTCCGTCGTACAACCACCACGTCACGGCGTTTCTCCTCGTCCTCCTTCTTCTACCGCTCTTCCATGGCCATGGGGTCGGAGGAGACTGGAGCGGCGACTATTCCAAGCTCTCGGGAATCATAATCCCTGGCTTGGCCTCCACGCAGCTTCGCGCTTGGTCGATCCTCGACTGCCCTTACTCTCCTCTCGATTTCAACCCTCTCGATTTGGTCTGGCTCGACACCACCAAAGTACGTCTCTTCTATTCTCTTCTCTTTGCTTCGTTCTGCTTTTGATTTTCGCATAATATGAGTTTTGTCTGCGTTTCTAATGATCGTTTTTGCCTCGCAGCTTCTCTCTGCTGTGAACTGTTGGCTCAAATGCATGCTTCTGGACCCGTACAACCAAACAGATCACCCTGAGTGCAAGTCACGGCCCGATAGCGGTCTTTCGGCGATCACGGAACTCGATCCTGGCTACATTACTGGTAACTTTCCATGGTCTCTGAATTTCATGTGTGTCTTTTGAATTTGATTTTTCAGGTTTTGGTTATTTTTCAAGTTTCTTGCTTTCTTTTGAACCATTTCCAACAGGTCCTCTCTCTTCGGTATGGAAAGAATGGGTGAAATGGTGTATCGAATTCGGTATTGAGGCGAATGCTATCATTGCTGTGCCGTATGACTGGAGGCTGTCACCGTCTATGCTTGAGGAGCGAGACCTTTACTTTCACAAGCTAAAGTTCGTATTTTTATCTAATTCTCATGGCTTATTTACTACCACATTTGCCCAGTCAGCTTCCATTTGGCAAACTGAGAATTAATATTTGTTGTTAATGAACTAAACCAACAATCAAATTGAGCATACATTCTGTACCAGAAGAGTTATTGTCACAATTATGTTCATATACTGATGTGTTAATACAGATTGACATTTGAAACGGCACTAAAACTTCGCGGAGGCCCCTCAGTAGTGTTTGCCCATTCACTGGGTAATCATGTCTTCCGCTACTTTCTGGAGTGGTTGAAGCAGGAAATTGCACCGAAACATTATATCCAATGGCTGGATGAACACATTCATGCCTATTTTGCCGTTGGTATGATTGGTTTGCATCAAAGTCTGTTTACCTTGAATGTTTTGTCGCTTACAATAGTGCATGTTATTTATCTAGTTATTTTGTTGAGTTGAATCCAGGAGCTCCACTTCTTGGTGCAATCGAGACAGTCAAAGGAACACTTTCTGGATTAACATTTGGCCTTCCTATTTCTGAGGTGACCTCCTTTTTCTTATTCAATAACTCTCCTCAACAATAGTTCATTTCTTTTTCTTATTAACTTTTAACTGTTCAACATATGTTTTGTTCTTCTTTTTATGTATTTAACTATTTGTTCTTATGGAAAAAGAGGGCAAAGTGATCTTTTTATCTTTTCAGTCATTATATCCAGATACACTTAGAAATTCGAATTGATATTGTCTTGATCATGCTCAGAAAACTCAAAGAATATAAATTGGTATGGTAATCAGTTAATATCATTGTTCATACCTAAATTACATTGGTTACTTGGACCTTCTCTGAACTAACTGAGCTAGCAAATGTGGCTTTCACTAGCTTTTTTGAAATAGTGGAGATTCATGATAGTTTCTTTTAGATATGAATTCATGTTCTAACATGTGCATATGATAAATGTTTGACGTTTCTAACATGTGCATATTTTAAATGTTTGACATTATCAGGGGACAGCTCGGTTGATGGTCAATTCATTTGCATCTTCGTTATGGATGATGCCATTTTCAAAGTACTGTAGGGCAGAGAATACATACTGGAAACATTTCTCTGGGGGAAACATGGACAAGAGGGGTCATAACATGTATCACTGTGATGAGCGGGAATTTCAGTTAAACTTTTCTGGATGGCCAACAAATATTATCAATATTGAAATTCCTTCAATCCGCGGTAAATTCTTAACGCTCATGCAAATTTTGTGGTTAAGATGTTGTTATTATGCTCATATGTACTCTTTGCATCTTATATTGGCAGGATTTGGAGCCTATCCATCAGTTACTGAAATAGCTGAGGCTAACTTGTCTAGCATAGAATGTGGACTCCCTACCCAATTGTCTTTCTCTGCTCGCGAAATATCAGATGGGACCTTTTTCAAAGCAATAGAGGATTATGACCCGGACATCAAGAGGATTTTGCACCAATTAAAGACGTGGGTAGTTTGTTTATAATCATGAAGAATACCATTTTGTGTGTTTTTTTTTCCTGACATTGGATGCCTTTTTATTACAACTTCTGTTGTCCATGCTGTTAGTTTTGAACTTAGTCTGATTACAGCTTCCAGACTTCATTTTCTTTGTGTCAACAAATCAATGCTGCCTTCAATACCCGTTTTACTTTCTTAAGTTAGTTGTGTTAGTGTTCCAATCACCCAAGTTAAATTACACCTTTTAATGCTAGTGGTTAAGGACATTTTCTCCTATAAAAAATTGTTGTTCTTTTTCCAGTGTATATTTTGCTTTAGTTTTCTCTTTCAATTCTTTTACAGGGTGGACATCCAAGATTAAGCCATCTTGACTGTAGTTACCTAATTTTGTATGGATAAAGATGCTTTAATGGTAGTTGTTGTGTTATGCATGTTGCCCCTTAACTTTGTACTTCTATTTCGATAATTTGAATTTTTTTGCAAGCATAGATGAAGTTGTGTCTGGTTCAGATTTCCAACTAGATTGTGTTTGCGATGCTGTGTATTTCAGGTTATATCATGATGATCCAGTTTTAAATCCACTTTCACCATGGGACAGGCCGCCTCTGAAAAATATCTTTTGTATCTATGGAACAGACTTGAAAACTGAGGTATATTTACATTCTTGTAGTGGATAGAATATTTCTCTGTGTCATTAGTATTACTGAAGCAATTTCACATTATTGGCGTTCTTGTTTTAATAACTATTGCTTGGTTTTTTTTGTTTTGGTTTCTGTATCACAGTGTGAATTTGGAAATTTAATGTTTGTGTGCTTTATTTCTTAGTATTTTCCCATACTTGAAAATTCTAGTTTATTATTACTAAATGGTATTTGCTTATTAAATGCACTTGGTGCTAGAATTCATGGTTCACCTTGTTGTTGTCACTTGAAGTTTGTAAGTGATAACAATTTCAAAGGAGTAATATAAGTAAAACTACTCTTCAGAATCAGACATGATTCTTTTTTAAATACACTAATTTATTTTACTTCATATCTGTCACAAGTTCAATAACATTTATGTTATTTTTGGTTAATTTCTCTATGAATAACTTATCATCAGTTTTAGTGACAATAAGAACAGCTGCTAGATTATATTCATCCTAAGATATCTCTTTCTTATGACTAGGGATTTGTTGGTGCCTGTTCTACATTTAGCTGGTAACGGTGTTGTGGTGAATGATAGTTTTGGTATCTTGGCAATGGAAAAACAGGTTGGTTACTATTTTGCACCGAGTGGCAAGCCCTACCCTGATATTGGATCATTACCGATGTGATTTATGAGATTGAAGGTTCCTTGTTCTCAAGGTAAGTTTTCTTCATCTTTCCAGACTACATCAGTAAACCCTGTGCATGCATGAGTGTGGGTTTATGTGCAAGCGTGGAATGTATGATCAGATCTTATTTTTGCTTAATTGGTAAAAAATCACGAGGTGTTGATTTCGTGTAAGCTAAGAAGAGAGATGTTACCACTAACTGTAGTAGATAATTTCATAATATTCTTGCAGGTCAGGAAATCTTGTTGAAGGAAATCCAGGAGCTTCAAGTGGGGATGAGACTGTGAGTTCAAAATTATTACATGCCAGCATGGTTTCAAGAATAGAATATGTTTAGATTCTCCTGCTTCAGTATTATTATGAGTATCATACTCAGCATTTAGTAAACAAATCATTAACAGGTACCGTACCATTCTCTTTCTTGGTGCAAGAACTGGCTTGGACCAAAAGTCAACATAACTAGGGCTCCTCAGGTATTGGCTCTCAGTTTAGTATATAGTACTCGACCTCGTTTACAATGACTCATTTCAACAGTCTCTTTACAAAAACGGAAGGATCATCATTAAGTTTGTTTTTCTTCACCAGTAAAGTGGCATTATATATGAGTTTTGATTTTTCTTTTCTTCTTGAAATTGCAGTCAGAGCATGATGGTTCTGATGTACAAGTGGAATTGAATGTGGAACATCATCATGAAGAAGATATTTTGCCCAACATGACAAGGTTGCCAAGGGTCAAGTACATAACTTACTATGAAGATTCTGAAAGTATACCAGGAAAAAGGACAGCAGTCTGGGAGATAGATAAAGGTGTGGGTCTCAACCAGTGCTCACAAACGCATAACTTCTCTGCATGGAAATAACTTTAAAGTATGACTAGATAAATCACATTGACTATTACAATATAATTCTGTGTAGCTAAACACGATGGTTTGTTTCACTTAGACTTCAATTTCTCATTTTTACAATTTTTTTTTTATATTAACAATTAATGATAGCAGATTCTAAATAAATAGACAATACGTTGACACTGTCTTAATGTAGCGAATCATAGGAACATTGTTAGATCCCCAGTTCTAATGAGAGAGTTGTGGCTTCAAATGTGGCATGATATCCATCCTGATGCAACATCAAAATTTGTTACTAAAGGTGAATGTTTCTTCTCTTCTTCTATCTCCTCCTCCACTTCCTCCTTTAAGCAGTGTTGCTGACATATAAAATCTGCAACAGCCAAGCGTGGACCTCTGAGGGATGAGGACTGTTATTGGGATTATGGAAAAGCTCGATGTGCATGGGCTGAATACTGTGAATACAGGTTTGTTCTTTTAAAACAACTGATAAATCTTAGCTGAAAGTTTTAAATTTTCCTTCACCCCTCCCTCCTTATTTTTTTTCAAGGAAATAGAAACATAAAAACCTTACCCTGATGATGCAGATACCTTTTCGGAGATGTTCATTTAGGACAGAGCTGTAGGTTGAAGAATTCTTCAGCAAATCTTCTTTCGCATTATTTGTAGATTAGGAGGTATTCCTTCTTCTCCTCCTCTTACTGAAAGCTTAATACTACTGCACTTGTTGGGCTTTACCTTACATGGCCTTGTGATTTTGTGGAAACAATGGGATCACACAAGAAAGTGATACTGAGACATGTAAGGTTTTCATTGATTAAACATTCCAATATCCATAGAAATGGTTTTTTAACTATAATCTATGCAATTTTGATGATATTTCAGGTCCATTGCCGATATTTGAGATAGTTGGAGGCACAGACCATTCACATACAAGTGGTCTCACTTTTGTCTCCTGTAAAACTTTAGCAGTCATTGCAAATTCCCTTTTGTATCAAGCAGAATCGGGACAGCATCGGATCTTCAGAATGCTTGATGAGTTGATGGTAGAACTCTAACTTGGTGCCTCAGCCTTGTCTTTGCTCGATTTTGCCACTGGAAGACACACTTCTAGCCCTGATTAGCCTTCCCAAACTCTGTCAAGCTGTAGCTTATTATTTTCTTGTAGCTTTTCGATGCACCACCAAATTATTTTGCAAATGCATTGTTAACATGGCCTGCTATCAGATTCTTGCCAATAAGTGTATTTTATTTACTTGAGAAGTATAGCTTGTAAAGGCTTTTAGTGCCGCAAACGGATAAAAATGCATTCAACTACACGGTCTATATCTTCAAGATTCACTGAAATACGTCCTCGTTGATTTTGTATGTAAGTTATTACTAATAATTTATCTTTTGTATCTTTAAATCTGCAAACTCTATCTGGAAGCCTTTTAAATTGATGTAATTCTGAGAAACCCTTGTGGAAATTTTCGGAGTTGACAAAAGCTTAAGTGAAGTAGAGGCACAAACACACCCAGGTTTACATGACACATGTGATTAGCATGTGATTGTACAAATCAAGGAAACAAGCAATGAGAATCCAAATCTACATTTGTATCATACCTACAAGGCAAAGCTTAATTGTTCCTATAACAAAGATGTGTGGTTCGCTGATAAAAGAAAATAGGGGGATCAAATGGAAGAAATGTATTTAAGAATGCAGGATCTTCCAGAAAAAAAGGCAGCTAACTGCCCTTTTTGATCTCGAAGGTGTATTGTAGTTCCATGTGACTTCTCCGGTCATCATCTTCGAACTGTAAAATATAAACCAATCAGAAAAATCAACATAATTCTGTATATACACGAACAAAATTTACAAGTTACTACTCATTATGTAATTACCACAGAGATGAAAACAATGCTAGACGAAAGCCATTTTGCAAACATGAAGCAATGGCTACAAATAGTCTCTTCGACCCCAAGCAATTACGACAGATGTTACCATTGAAAAATTAAAAATTGAGCTTGCTGCTTGCAAATATGTACTAACTTCCACGCACCTTAAGCTTTGCTGAATAAATGCCCCTTGCCAGCAACCCAGATGGAGTTGTCTCCTCTTCCAAGGTGTGCACGTATGGTTCTTTGTTAGGAGCAAATGTACCCAACATTCCTTTGCTCTGATCAACTGAAACATAAGGGAAGGGAAAAAATTGGTATAATTGTTAAAGACTACACAACCTAAACTTAGAACAAGATAGATTGAAAGGATCAATCTTTCTCTCTTGTTAGTCCAGTGGGTTGAACGAAAAAAGTAAACTGGTTGCGCAAAATCAGTATGTATTTATGTTAACATATTTCAAAAAGCTTTTAACCATCTGTACTGCATTTAAAACATCTAGAGAAGACAATCAAACAGTCTTAGTACCTTGGAGCCCTCCTTTCCATACTGTGTTGGAGTAGGTGAGGCCTGAAACAATGTTGTGCAGAACACTAAATGTTAGCTTAAGCTGATATCGAGATCCTTCCTTGAGTGTAAACAGGACACGGTCAATCTGATTTTCATCAACAGGCAAGGGAGTACTGATTTCCTCGAAATCATCGGAAATGATTCCGATGGAGTGGAATTTGACTTCAGGTTCCATTTGGCCTAATCAAATGGAAAGACCCTTAGCAAGAATAAGACAACAGATGCAAAAACCATCACAAACTAGGTGTCAAATAAAGACCCAAGCATAAAAGTGTGACGACGAAGACAAACCATTTAAATCGTTTTCCAAGCAACCAAGCAGCTTCTCTTTCCACTTCCTTAAGCTTTCATCATCCTGTTAAGCACAGGTAGCTTCAAAATCAAATTGGTAGGCTCCAAACAGTTTGATTTCCAATTTCACACAAACTGACCAATCTAAATAGATGCAACTTCAATTTGGCAGGAATTAGATCAATATAATAAGATTGATCTGATTGTGATATCAAAACTAAAAGGTTGTATTCAAATAATTTCAGATGCATCACCCAACTGAACATAACTGAGATTAAAATCTCAAATGTTCGGGCAATGGCAGGGGCCACACCACACATTCAGACAGCTAATAAAATGAGACCAGAAAAAAGGCTTTTTCTTTCTTTTCCTGCATTTTCTGAGCTACCAAAGACACCATCTTTTTGGGTTCAAGAAAAAGCCTAAATAACCCATTACATATATTCAATCAAACAAAACTATCATTAACTAAGAAAAAGTAAAATAGACTCAAATCAACATAGATGAAAAGACAAATAGAATTGTGGGGGTGAGAGAAGAACAAAGAGAACCTTGTCTTTATCAATCTGTTCCTTAAGAGAAACCAAAGGCCCAGGTACAAAACCAGAAGCAATCCCATTGCTCTTATCATCATCATCTTCTTCTTCTTCTTCTTCTCCAACTCCACAAACCTCACTTAGCTTTTCTCTCATTTCCTTTTGCTTTTCTTCTCTTCCCTGATCACTCACAACACCACCAGCTGAAGACCCTCCTGATGATGACCCTGCCTCCATCTCTCTCTCTCTCTCTCTCTCTCTCTCTTACAACAACAGTAAAAAAGGCACACACAGAGAGTCAAACAAGCCCTTTGAAATTTGTTGGGACAAGAACTCAAAGAACAAAAGTTGTGTTTCAATTCAAAGAGAGCCAAAAAAATACGTATAAAGTAACGTATAATCTCTCCGTTTTATACACTTACGCTGTTTGTTTGTCTGCTGACTTTTGTCGTCTTCTAGAGCCCTTTATACCTATCTCTGCTGTGTGTGACTTTGTCGGCTGTACTGTCTGTCAACTGTTCACTGGACCATTTACGAAGCAGCTCACTGTATTTAAATATATCCTCAACTGCAAAAGGACCAATTTGCAATTTTCCAATACTTTTCCAATATGACAAAACCACCGTGGGGTCAATTCGTGAATAAAACTGAATAATACATCATGTCTTTTTCTTTTCTTTTTACCCTATTAAATTTCAAACTCACATGAATATGAATATGTAGATTACACCGGTTGATCAAGGCAATATACCGATTATTTTATATTTAATTTAATCTTTTTATGGGACTCTATTCCAATAGAAAAGGATTTTGACTTACAGACTAATAATATCAGGTTTGAAACTCGTATAATATATTATTGTGTATATGTGAGAAATCTCCTCCGCATATAATTTAAACTATTGCCACTTTTCCAAAAAAACGTTTGATCCACCTCCATATATTATAAACCGGATCTTTTTTGTCAAAAGAAAAAGAAAATTTTCAAATCAACATCAGACCCGAAAAGAAGAAAAAGATTTCAAACCCATTTTTGGCCCAACTCCGACTCAAGGGTTCTAAGCCCTTTTTTTTTTTTTTTTTTGCCCTAAACCTCCCCAACCCATGTATGGAAAGGGCCCAAATTAAATCTTTTCCGGGTCGGGCTATGAGAGTGGGTTCCATATAAAAGCAAAGTCAGTTAGTTATATACAGAAGCCCAAAGTTCGACACGTGGTCGACTCACGTAGAAGGATTTGTCAACCTAATACTCACAAATTTTGCGTCATAAATCAAAGTTTGAACACATAATGAACATTTATCTTCTTTGGCTACAATTCTGGAACAACATAACAGTTGAAGTGTTCATTAACGATAAGCCAAATCTTAATGTGGCCTAACTTTTGAAGAACGTACGCTCACAAACGATTCACAAAATGCATAATTATCGCCTGCGGTACGCAATTTCTTTCTTATTTAGTTGCCAAATACATACGTACCTGATAGTTATGCTAACACTTACGATAGTTAAATACCTAATCAAATATCCTCTTCTGCTTCATTCATACCGATGATGCGTGGCCAAGAAGAGTAAATTCAATTCAAAGATAACCATTTTAGTACGCTTCTAAAAGTATATTTACTAGTGCTTGTTAATTTGTAACCTAACACAGGACACGTGGCAATCGTACGTGGGATGCTAAAATGTACAAACCAAATAAAACCCTGGTTGGAAATCTTTTGCATTTTGATCACAATACTAATCATGACATGTGGCCGAATTAAAAAGAGTCACAAAATTCTGTGAAGAGCAAGACCAAACTTTTTTCTTCTTTTATACAAGCCCTATTAAGAAAGAAGAAATCGAACTTAAAACCTCAAATGCAGAATAAATATGTACCAGCTAGAACTAGAAACTTCGAAGCTCAAAGGAGAAAGAAGAAGTGCCAAGAATTTGTGGCAAATATGTCTTCTATTCCAAATTAATCCAAACCCATCCCTCAACATTCCAACAAGCCAGTAAACATCTGACGACAACTCAAAGGCTCTATTGTGAGGCTAGCAATGCTAAAGCCACAGGCTTTTTAGGTGCAGAGGAGAACACGTAGATGCAAAAGTGCCTGTTAAACTTATGGTTAAACACCTTAAAAAGAGGGCAAAAATCCCTAACACATACAGTGAACCAAGTTTTGTTGAGGTCACGAACAAACGTATAGTATAATATTGGTAATTTAATCCTCAGCTGCATGATATAATTGTGGATGTCCATCTTTTATTTAATGTTTCAAATGGATGTGTGATACGTGACCCATTAGCCAATCAAGCTCTAGAATGCTCAAACCCATCACATATTTTTGCATGATGAAGCATGCATGCGTTTGCATGGTTTTACATGCATGAGTAAATGTCTTGTAAGTTGGGAAGGAAAAGTTAGGGTTAAGATGTGTATCTTAAACTACAAATCCCTGAAACTTTAAACCCTAAATTGTTTTTTTTTTTTTTTTTTTTTTTTTTTTTTTTTTGGTTTATTTTTTATTACTGATCTAATGTAAATTTAAAATAGAGTAATTAACTAGTACCGAGTACCAATTTACAGTATATGATATATTGTCGACATTTGTTCAAACATTATCCGTAGACGAAATATCGACACTAATTTGGCACTAGTACCAAACATATTATTATTTTTCAAGTTATGTTATATGAGGGCTGCATGGAGCAAAAGTCATAGTCCGCCCAAAGAGATCATTTCGTCTCAATCTCTCAATGTCCAAGACCCCATACCTCTCAACCCATAGCCAAAATTCTCTCTCTCTCTCTCTCCTCTCTCTCTCTCCTCTCTCTCTCTCTCTCTCTCTCTCTCTCGTTGTCTATAAATACCTAAACCTCCTTATGACATTCAAATCATCACTTTGAACATCAATATTCATTCATAGCCTACAAACCTACATTCTGACATCCCATCACATAGCATTTGCTGAAAAAACCAGCCTTTTGGATTGTTTTGTTCCTCTTTTACACACGACAAAAACCACACACACACAAAAGAGGATGCATCAAACAATGGCTCTGCAAAAACATTTGGTCTTGTTCTATGTTGTTGTCTCTTTCTGTGCTGCTTCATGTTACAGTAGTGGTTTCCAAGAGGTCAACTCACTTCATAGTTCTGTTGACCATGAAAAAGAGTCTGGCTATAATTCTAGAGCTCATCCTTCATACATGAACACCATTGAAGGTGTCAAGTTCAGGGAAGTCATCGAGCCAAGAGCTCAGCTCTTCAGTTCGAGGAAGCTCGAAAGAGCGGCCGGTAGCAAGTCATCAAGCTCGGTCAAAACGATTAGCGTTGCTAATTTTGGAGCTAAAGGAAATGGTGCCGATGACACGCGGGTATAAATATAATAGATGATGGGCTTATAGGCTTGTTAATATTAGAATATTCATATAGTAATTAATGCCACACACACACACATATATAGATAAATATATGACCACATTAACTAATAACAACCCTCGGCGGTCACAATTTCTGTTTGGTTTTGCGAAGATGTAACCAATAATGTTCGTAGAAATTATGTAGAAGTGATAGTTTCATATCGAACCCATTAATAATATTATCTTTTTATGAGTTCGTGATAAATGGTACAGATAATATGCGCTTGTTTTAATAGAATTTGTGTTAAAGGTAATGTTTAATTTGTTTCTTCATGTACATACTGAGTTCGTTCAGGCATTTGAGAAGGCGTGGAAGGCAGCTTGTTCTTTCAATGGAGCCATAGTTCTTGTGGTGCCACAAAAGACCTATCTTGTTAGGCCGATCGAATTCTCAGGCCCCTGCAAATCTCATCTTACAATGCAGGTAATTGAGATTAATGTGTTTAATTAATTTTGGATGTTTTCATAAGCATAATGTTGCTTGTTTGGAAAATTTCAGATATATGGAACCATAGAAGCATCAGATGATCGGTCAGTCTACAAAGATATCACGCATTGGCTTATCTTTGACAACGTCCAAAGCTTGTTAGTTGTAGGTCCTGGAACCATCAATGGCAATGGAAATATATGGTGGAAAAACTCATGCAAAAGAAAGCCTCAGGTACTAATTAAACCCTAAATTAATTTGCTCTATTCAACTATGAAAACTTGTAAAATTGACTTACTAATTAGAATCTCTTCAATTGATTCACAGCCCCCCTGCAACGAACAGGCCCCCACGGTACGTATACAATCCTCTAATCAAAAAATTTTATGTGCTTTTTTTATTATAATTAGTGCCATTAATGAAGTTTGAAGTTAAAAATTGTTCATGTCCATGCCTTGGGTGCAGGCTGTGACCTTCAACAAGTGCAATAACTTGGTGGTGAAGAATCTGAAGATCCAAGACGCACAACAAATGCATGTTAGATTTCAAAATTGTATAAATGTTGAAGCTTCCCATCTTACAGTAACTGCACCAGAAGATAGTCCTAATACTGATGGAATTCATATCACAAATACCAAGAACATTACCATCTCAAGCTCTGTTATAGGAACAGGTACATATATATATATATAAAGAAATATATATACAATTATTCTCTTATCGAATGTCCGCCATAATAATGTCCGAAAAATGTCCAAATAAGAGATTTTTTGTATATATATGCACACATACACACTCATGTATGATCATCAATTCAACTAATTGAACCATGTTGTTTGAATTGAAGGTGATGATTGCATCTCTATTGTAAGCGGGTCCCAAAGAGTGCAAGCTACGGACATAACTTGTGGACCAGGCCATGGAATCAGGTTAATTTCCAACTCTAAACTCCAACTTCTTCAAGACCCAAAATTGAAATAAATATTATCAACATAATGTTAATGGTTTTTATTTTTTATTATTTTGATTCCATGGGATGTGATTAGCATTGGTAGCTTGGGAGAAGACAATGCAAATGACCATGTTTCAGGAGTATTTGTGAATGGGGCTAAGATTTCTGGAACCTCCAATGGAGTTAGGATCAAGACATGGCAGGGAGGTTCAGGTAGTGCAAGCAACATTGTTTTCCAAAATGTGGAAATGAATGATGTGACTAACCCTATCATCATAGACCAAAATTATTGTGACCACAAAAACAAGGATTGCACACAACAGGTAATTAATTTCATTAATTGGTATCTAATCCCTTCATTAATTTGTCCTACATTGGAAACTTAATCAACCCTCCTTGTTTGATTTGTAATATATTGCAGAGGTCGGCAGTTCAAGTGAAACATGTGTTGTACCAGAACATAAGAGGAACAAGTGCTTCAACTGATGCCATAACATTTAATTGCAGCCAAAGTGTTCCATGTCAAGGCATTGTGCTTCAAAACATTCAACTGCAAAATGGAAGAGCCAAATGCAACAATGTTAAACCTGCGTACAAAGGCGCTGTCTCTCCTCGATGTTCTTGAGGACTGGTAAATTAAAAAAGGGATTATGAAATTAGGTTTGGACTGTAAATCATGTATTCTTGTACCCAATAGCACATAAATAATTGTTTCTCTGTTGTAATTATATGATCATATAATTATTGTGAATAAGCATACATAAAGAAAAGATACAACTTTGATACAAGTTACTTTTATACAACCCAAGTGTCTTCTTTTTCCACTTGTACTTTCGTTTGTTGGCATCAAAGTACTAGTAACCCACTCGGTATCCGTATAGATAGCTTTACATTACAACCAAGGTTTCTCCGCAGGCACCACAGGCCTTGTATAAAAATATATATATATATATATATATATATATATATATGAAAAGGTGGTATTAAAAGAATAAAGAAAGTTACAACAATATAGTTTAAGACTACATAGGAGAACAAAGATCTCCAGACGAGCAAAGGCATTGTATAAAATAGTTACTATATTGGGGTGATGCAGTCATCACTGTGTAGCGGGATTCGATATATCTATACTTTTATCCCGACCGTATGACGCAGCCTGAGAATGGTAACTCAACCAAATCAGAAAATGGATGTTTTTGTATGCGGGAAATGGTTTTGAAGTTGAGAAAGGTTTGCATGAATGTATGTGTGGCTATCTGAAGGGTTCAACAGGAGCAGACTCTTCAAGAAAGACTGCAGCCTCGAAGCATTCCGCAGCCTCTAATGAAGAAGATGGGGTGCCCTGGGATTCGTAGAGAAGGCCAAGGTTATACCATGCAGAATGGTTCGTTCTATCAAGACTTAATGCATTCATCAGAAAGCTTCGGACAACAGTGTACAAATGGTGTGAGCGATCACCAAGCCGTCTGAGGACAACAGCTGTAGAGATTAAGCTCGGTACATGGGAAGGGTCAATATCCAAAGCTTCTGAAAAAGCTCTTAGAGCTTCTTTATAGAGGCCCTTCGTTTCATAAAGCGCACCTGCAAAATCGATGAGGTCCACATCTTTAGCACTACACACTATGCCAGGAGAAGTTTCCAAAAACACAAATGTAGAGGGATACATATATTTCGTTCTCAATTATTAATTGGTGAGTGATCTAATTGTTAGTAAACAGGGAAACAGAGCAGTTCATGAAAGAAATGATTGAAAGATATAAGAAAAAACACAGACACACACACAAACCAAGTGAGTTTCTGAATTTACCTGTGGCATGACATCTATTAGCAGAGTAAGCATTTATGGCTTTAGCTTTGGAAAGACAAATCTCAGCATCACTCCATTGTGAAAGATTTATGTAGACATATGCCAGATCATGCCATATTTCCAATTCCAACCTTCCAGAAAAATTTCCATTACTCTGTCATTTAATAAAACAACAGAAGATTACTTGCAGTGGAACAATTCAAGTATCAAAGGTATATGAAAGAAACATCCATTCACAACTTGTTTTTCAAATAGTTCTAAAAAATGGGAAAAGTAATCAAATAATGCACCTTTAGAAGCTTGTTCCCATAACCATAGCTTTTACTCTGAACTTGAAGAAAAGCGAGAAGTTGAGTGTAGGTTGCAATGGCATTTTTAAACTGACCCTGTGCAATTTGAAGTTTCGCTTTGGTTCTCAGTAATTCACCTTGTTCCCATTTCCCTGACTGATCCAAAGCAGCCTCTATGATTGTTTCAGCATCCACAAACCGTTTCTGAGCTGACAGTATTCTGCTCAACAATAACCAACTTTTAATATTAGACCCACCTTCCAGCTTTAACATTTGCTTTGCACAATCAACTGCAGCATCCAACTTTCTCTGCTCAGCATATTCTAGACTGAGATGGTAAAGAATAACAGGGTCACTCATTGTTGTCATTCTCCCAGCAGTTTCCAGGGCCTGAAGTGCCTCAGCCTGTCTTTTCACTCTCTCATAATCAGCAACCGCTGATTTAGAATGCGCTGAAAGTGATATGCCCAATAAACAAGCGGCGGTACTTTTCAAATGATCACACTTACCATCCAAACTTTCAATGGCTCTAAGGGCAAAACCTACCCCTTCTTCTGCATGACTGGGGTTTTCCCCACATATCTTCAATGCCAATAACAAAGCTGGAAAGCACATTGGATCCTCGCTTTTACTCAACAATCTCCTCAGTAGATTTAAAGCAACTGAATGCTCACCTGCTCCGTAGTAGCAGAGAGCTAGTTTGTAGAATATTTCTTTCCGATCCATAAACCCAGGTAGCAATTCTTCAACTTGACTAGCTAAAGCCCTGGTATCCCCTGATACAGATAGAGCAAATGAAAGATGATCCAAGATTGATGGATCCCAGTGAATTCTTTTAAGACACACTTTTCTAAGTAGTATCATTAGCAGAAGAATAGCCTCTTCTAAACTGTTTCTGGGTACAAATGAACTGTCCATTTGGGAGCGGAAGTTTGGGGGGCTTGCTTCAGCTCCACTATAAAGAAGAAAAACAGCAAACTCCTTCTGAATCTTTGCAGTAGTTTCTACCTCAAGGTTCCAGTGATGGAGTAAAGCCCGTCGGTAGGACAAGATAGCTTCATGCGGACAATCAGCAAGTTTCCATAATTCTGGGAGCAACTCAACACTCTTACTTACAATCTCCTGCAATTTACAGTCAGCACCAAAGTTTTGAGGCAAGCCGTCTGGTAATGAAGATTCAACAACGTCCAGAATAACCTGGCAAGATTGAGCACCTTCTGCAAGAATGATTGAAGATATACATAAGCCACACGGTGATGCTCTGATTATCAGGTAAAGCTCACAAATTCCTTCTTTTTCTTTACCCATCCCAAGTAAAACACTCAATATTATGGTGAAGAAGCATAACAGAGCATTATTTTAAATTGAATTTGTTTGATGGTGGCATCATTACAAAATGTCTTAAAAGCCTATTATATTCTTACAAAATTAATGCGTACTAATTTTTTATCAGTAAAAGTAAACTGACCAAAAACTAAACCGCCTCACTAAAATAAATGAGTACAGGTTACAATTATGTACAGTCTCACATAATCCAAGATTCTACAAGCAAGAATGAAAAATATGTAAACCAGCATATTAACAGTACCTTTAAACCTCCCAAGATCCTGCAATGATTTTGCTTTGAGAAGTATTGCTTCCAGAAGTAAAGTTACAGCATTTATAGACATTGGCGGGGTAGACAAACTTTGAGAACGTCTCCTACGCCGCTCACCTCCTCTGACAAGGGTATTTTTTATCTTCGGAGTCAATGCAGCAATATCTATTCCTTCAAATACATGTAAAGCAGCTTCTATGTTTCCTTTCTGATATTCATATCTTCCTAATAACGCTCTTGCTTCCTGAAAATTCAAATGTTAAGCTTTAAAACACACAAACAACTTCCAGGGTCACCAATACAAAGACTGCATTGTTTCAGACAGGCTCCTAAGGCAAAGAACTCTGCTTTTCATTGTGAGAGTCTGACTGACATGCTTTGGTGTGCAAAACCACTATTGGCTGCATTTAATTATCCTCGATAGCCTCCTCCTGGCATACCTAGTTTTCTCCCTAAAAGGTCAATGGACAGCCTTTAGTATGCGAAGGGCCTAAAAGTAGGACTATTTTATGAACTGAACAGCAGCCTTAATCCATGCAGAGTGACACATTGACCCAGGAAGGTTTGTCAAAAGTTGCAATGACTTCACCTCTCTGTTCATGATGGAGATGAAGGGTTTGTAAGGGTCTATGTGGAAATCCTGATCATTATGACCAAATACTCATATATTTAAGGATAATAGAATGAAAAGGAAACGGAAACTGGGTTTGACAACAATCAGTTTAATGTCTATTTATCAAAATCCTTTCAGTTTTATTAGTTTACCTCTGGGGAGTTAAAAAAAATATAAAATAAAATTGAAATTGAAATTGAAAAGAAGAAAACAGGTGGTTCAACAGATAAGCAATTTTTAAAGCAAACGAACCTCATAGTTCAAGCAACCACTCTCACGCAGAGATGACTCAGCTTCTTCTATATTGCCAGTGTGTGGTTTCTTTGTAACCTCGACAGCTCGAGATGAAGACTCACTTGTTGTACGATCCTTGGTTGCAAGGGATTCATTTTCTGAAGGAACCATTTCATCTGCTGCTCTTAATTGCTCTCCAGAGCAGAGGCACTTCATTACCTTTCCAAAGTTCCGCGTATATTTACCCCTCCTCCCCTTTTCAGTTCTACTCCTCCTCATAATGCTTCACAGTGGTCCAAAATCTTCAACCACCAACAGTAATTCAGAACCTTTGTGAGTGAAATTGGAACATGCTCATTACAACAGTTAAGTGATAACTTTTAGACCATGATCAGATTAAGATAAAGACCAATCAGGCAATCGCTCAAACTTTTGCATTAAAAAGAAGTAATTATGAGAACCCAACAACTAACTAATCCTACATATGATGGAACAAAAAATTTCGGGAACCATAATTTTAACACTGGAAAAGAGAATACAAATGAAAATTAACATGAAGAAAATTTCTTCAATAATAAAGATATAAATTTACCAAAATTCAAGGCCAAGACCCTAACTTTATCACTCACAGAAAACAATAACTATCAAACCCAAAAACCCATCAGTCACACTTGATAAAGTCCAACAGCATCATCAAATTTCAGCCTCACCCACATATAACCCTCAAATGGCATCAATTAGAAAGACAAACCATGACAAATTACTAGAGCCAAATGGAAATTCCAAACCCTAGAAACTGACAGAACAACCTTAAATTGTATAAATAACCAATGAAAAAGAAAAGCAATCACCTTTTGTTTGTGCAAAGCAGAAAAGCAGAGGCTAAGAGCTCACATGACATGAACAGCAATGCATTACTCATCACTTCAATTTTATTTCCAACAAAACCCTCCTTTGATGGGTTCTTTTGAATCTTCCTTTTCTTCTCTTTTCCTTGTTTGCTTCTTCAGTAGGTGATTTGGGTGAGAAGAGGGCATGGAATTTTGAATTGAAGCGTAAGCTTGAAGATTTTCTAGGGGTTAAGAAATTGAGGAACTCAGAATAAATAAAATAAAAAGTTGGGGTTTTCGGGAATTGGGAAATTCCTTTTTGGGTCCCGCCGCGTGTAGCATCTCATTTACTTTTACCACCGTGGCTGAGGCTGATTGTTCGCCACGTGGAATGCGTTTTAAGACGCTTCGTTGGCGTTAAACGGTATTTAACTACACTGTACGAAAGTCAACAGTTATTTCTCTTTTTCTTTACCATATTTCCGTTAATTTGAGACGTTTGATAACTATTTTAATTTTAGTTTTTATTTTTTATTTTTTATTTTTTATTTTTTGGTGTTAGAGTATAGAGAAAAATAAGAGTGAGAATGTGAGTAAGAATGAGATTGAGAGAGAGGATGAAAGGGAAGAATGAAAGGAATTAATAACAAAAGTGAAAATAAAAACTTGAAAGTGAAAACAATTTGAAATAGATTTCAGCTTTTATTTCTTATTTTCATTTTTGTTATTCTTCCTTCCTATCCAATGGCGATTCTTGGGGAGTGTAAAGTGAGCACATACACAGGACCCCACTTCCAAAAGGGCCCCCAAAATATTATATTGCTGCATGAAATATTATTATTTTATTGATGCTAGGTTTTTCTTTTAAATAAAAAATATCAAATTGGGTTTAGTTTAATATACTAATATAATATTAATAATATAACATATACTACATAAAATTTGCCACTAACTTTGCAGGCCCAAAAAAAAATTTCCATACTAGTCATATTAAAAAAACAAAAAACAAAATTTTTGAATACATAACATAGCCCAACCCTTATATAGCATTCAAGTTTATTTTTCCTTTCCCCCCACTGTCATAAGCCATGTAGCCTTTTTTGAAAGTTTCATGGATCAAGCTCAATTCTCTCTCTCAAAGAAATTTCCCAAATCAACGAGTTCATCATTATAAGATCAAGACAAATTGAGGTAAAACTTTGATAGTATAGTTATTGATCCAAGAAAATTCATTAATTATTTGTCGGAGAATTTTTATTTAATGTGACTGTCTTTTGGTGAGTTTTAATTGCAAATTTTCTATTAATATATATGTTCGTTTTAAGAGGCTCCATTACTCATTTTACGCAGGGCCCTTAAAATCTCAAAGACGCCTCTGCTCTCATCCTCTCCTCTCATCTTCCCTCTCAATGTCATCTCCACTCTCATTCTTCTTCTTTTTCTTTTATATTACTCTAGCACAAAAAATGAAAACTAAAAACTAAAATTGAAATGGTTATCAAACGGGCACTTATATTTCCGGTTTACAAAAATTAAAAATTTTAAAAATATATATTCCTTTTTCTAAATAAAAAAAGACAAAAAATCACTCTTCATCTCTATAGTTTGCTGCATTTTTAGTAATTTGACTCTTGTAATTTAATATACGTCGCAATTCAAAGACATGTTCAATTTTTCGACGGAATAAGCACATACATGGAAGGGTATTTTGAACGAACTTTTTTTATGGAAATTTATAGAAATTTGTATGTGTTTTAAATTGTGATATAATTAAACTATATGCCAAAGTTAAAATTACATAGACCAAACCAAAGTAGAAAACTATACAAACTACATGAGTCAAAGTGACTTTTTCCCATAACAAAACATAAAGACTAAATCAACCTCATTTATGCGACAATAAATTATACACTTGTCATTTTATGGGGTATTAAAAAGTGGGTGGAATTAGTACCTTTTTATTTTGTCAAAGTTATGAATGGAGAGAGGGTTTTCTCACACACGTTATTAAAATGTCATGGAAATCAACCTCATTTATGCGACAATAAATTATACACTTGTCATTTTATGGGGTATTAAAAAGTTGGTGGAATTAGCACCTTTTTATTTTGCCAAAGTTATGAATGGAGAGAGGGTTTTCTCACACATGTTATTAAGATGTCATGGAGTTCGAACTTGAGACTGTTGATTTGCAAATCCATACCCCTAATCAAATTCATACTCAAATGATTAAATAAGAGTACGAAATATACAACGGGGAACAAATCCTGCCCACCAAATATCTTTTCATAATACTATCAACAATCACGGATCAGAAACTGATCAAACATATGAAGATGTGGTTGCTGAGCTTTGCTTGATTTATTGACATCAAACCGTCTTCTGATGTATCTAGTTATGGTTTTCAAGTGCAGATAGATTTTATACATCGTCACCTCAGTTATCTATTGGTGCTGACTTGTTCCTCCACCTTAACTTTTGTTTTGGCATACAACGGATAGATTTCTTCCACGTATTTGTCTTATTTTATCTGAACTTTTCAAGTTGACCGGCCGCAAATAATAATGTGGCTTCAAAAAAACAATGCGGAATTTAAAAGAAGGAAAATAAGAAGGAATAAGACATTTTAATTGAATTAAAAACGAGCTTTTGATCAATTGTTGTTAACTTGTTAGCTAGTTAAATAGATTCACTTGAAATTCATACATATCCAATAATGAGTTGTTGATAAAGTGGTACTTTTTTTTTCCCTGTAAAATTAGAACATATCAAAAGTTTGAATCACCATATCTATTAACGAAATAAAAGTTCATTTATATCTAGAATGTCTTAAAGGTTGCATGTTCTTGATATATATTTTGTGGAAAAATTCGTAGCGCTAAGATTAATTAGCATGTCTTTGTATGTTTGTAAATGTGGGAGCAAAAATTACTCCCAAGAAATCAATCCACTAGGATCCTAAACTTGAGAAAGTTGCTGCAATCAAGATACATATTTTTCTATTTTCTATCAATGACTATACATGAATGAAATTATGGAATTAGTGGGACTTGATGGCCAAGGCCTACCAGGATAAACATGTCATACGTCCAAGATCAAAGGCTAGCATGTTTCATGCAACATGACAAAGCCCGCATGATCACCCACTATCATGCCCATGACGGAGTTATTGTGGCTCGTGAAAAAAGCCATGAAACATAGAATTTGGAGCCCAAGATTCCATTGCTCATGAAAAAAAAAGACCAATTAACGTAGCATCCCAATAGGAAAAAAGGGATGTACAATATTATTTCTAAATTCTCCTGCAATTTCTTGAATTCTTATTGACTTAGCATCATAGTGTTTTTTCGCAAATACCCCTCCTCACTTATTGGTTACAAGCAAAGGGTGATATCTTGCTTCTCAACATTAATTACAAGATTACTTGTTAGATAACCCAAAATTTTGCGCTCCAACGATAAAGTTGTTTTACATGCCAACAAGAATCGTCATAAAGCAACATAGATTACTTAGAAAATAATTTCATTGTCAAGGTAAAGTATTGAACAATAGGAATACAACACGAATATATTCTTAAGCACAAGGTTAATTTGACTTTTGAGTAGTTTGTTGAGTAGTTTTATTGAACGTGAGGTAAATTTGACAAAGTGTTAACTCGACCTTCGTTTTTCGGGGTTCATGTTATATGCCATTAAAATTGAAAAGATTTACATCCTTTTACCACAACTATGATTAGTTGTTCCAAATGATTGATGGTAGAGGTATTAGTTAAACGTGTTACATAAGTCTATGACAAAAAGGTAGGGAAAAAAAAACTTCATATAATTATAATTAAATATGTTTTTAATTTCAAAATAAGTCTATTCTTTTTGGTTTTTACAAATTACCCACTAAGAGAGATTATTGGTAGAAACTCGAACCTAGACCTTTATAGCGAAGAGAATGATCTTTACTAACTCAATCAACCCTTATTGACAAAATAAGTCTATTCTTCTTTTTTATAGTAATCCATTCCATTCAAGATTTGTGTTATTTATGCTAAGATATCTCAAGTCCATATCCCATTTGGACTATAACTATGATAAATTATCTTAATTACTAATGGGAAACCTATTATTATCCCAAACTGACTAGGATCGAGTGTGGACTCCCTTAGTTTAGGGTGTAATCTAACCCAATATAAATGGTGAAAAAAAAATATGAGTTTAATGTTAAATTTTAGAAAGTTCATCCTATTATACATCCGAATTATCAAGGATGAAGTGAATTTTTGCCACATCGATTTGCCACAATGAACGAACTTTGGTGTGGCACGCAAACTAACATTAATTGTGGCTAAACAGGAATCTAACTAGTTTTGGACTAGCCAACCCCTAACCTCCGAAGAACTTAGGGGCATATTTGTCATTCTATCTATCAGGGTATTCTCGTAGTTTCGTTAGAGAACAAGGGGCAATCGTTCAATTCCACATCTATAAATACAGAGAACTCAACCCCTCCTCCCATTCCTCTATACCATATTTTTTTCCTCCTCTCCTTCTCTCTCTCTCTCTCTCTCCCCCTCCCTCTTTCTCTTTTTCTCTCTTGTCTCTTTCTTTGCAACAATCTTTCTCCAGATTCCGGTTAATTGTCCGTACGGTCTCTTCTCTCCCACCCAAACCTTTGCCCTCCCGTTCTCTTTTTATTTTTTATTTTTTTGGGTGGGTCCTGATTTTTCCTGAATCTGCTTTTGTTTTTAGGATTTTTCATCCTACAGTCAGTTTCTAATTTTTTTTAACTGTTAATTTACCGTTTTACCCCTCGATTTGGACGTTTTGTTTTGTTTTTTTCCCCTACTTACCAAACAAGTTTTATCAGATTTATCCTTTTTTTATAAAAAAATTTCCTTCTGGGTTGGATTTGTGGTGGGTTTCATGAACTGCTGCTGCGCACGTGGCATGCACCCAGATAGCCATCATGAACACCAAAACGATGCGTTTGCCACCTCGTCGGATTTCGACGACCAATGCGTCAAATAACAACAAGCGCAAAGAGAAGGAGAGTGGCTTCGACGCGCTCCACCAGTCAACAACAACAAAGATGCTCAAGCTGGCCCCACCGCCTCAAGCCGGCTCCAACAGTCCACCAGAGCCGGCTTCGTCCGCCCAGCTTCTAGCCGGCTATTTGGCCCACGAGTTCCTAACCAAGGGCACCCTCCTAGGGCAGTCGTGGGACACATCCAAAGCCGAGCCGGCCCCAGGGCCTTCGGGTGATGAAGCCGAGCCGAGTTCGGGAGCCGAGCCGCATCTTGAGAACTTGGAGAGATACGTGGAGGTTGCTGATTTGCTGAAGACGGATGGGGCCCACCTAGCTGGCATTGTCAACCCAACTCAGCTCGCTCGCGTTTTACAGTTGTGAGGCAGATGGGAGCTAAAAAGGGCAGAAACCCATTTGGGCATTTTGGCATTTTGGCTTTCAAATATGGAAATTACATTTTTTTTTTCCCCTTTCTTTTTTTCTTTTTTGTAGTGGGCAAAAATGTATGAATGTGTGTATGTGCTCGCAGGGCTTGTAGGTAGGCATGCATTATGAATGTTTGATAAAATCGCTTTTCAATTTAAAATAGAAATGGGAAATTTTCTGAGCAATTACTCTTTGATTATTTTGCAATAACATCATATTTAGAACATCTGTAAATATTGAAATCGACCTTAACCAATAATAGAGATGCCACACCTAAATAACATTTACATCTAATCACACTTAAGTTACATTATCATTATCAAGTGAGATGTCAATCGGAAGCAAATTAATCATTTACTTACTCATCAACGCTAAAATCAAGTTTTCAATTACGCGTGACCGCCTCATCAAGAGAAGAGAATTTGTCTACGGCCATGTATGACTGACGGTAATATTTTTCATAATATGTGTAAGTATTGAGTTTCGATTTGTACATCTAACTTTATTTGTTGGGTTACGAATTTAAATGAGTTTGATTGAAAAAGTAACTCATTTTGCACCGTATATCAATATTTTGTGTTTCGCATTATCCCTCCCGGTCGAATCCGTCAAATAATATGTTAAAAAAGCCGACGTTGGCATAAATGAGACTCACAACTTTATTCAACAAAGATGTGGGTCCCATCTGCTCATGTGGTGCAAGCAAACCAAATTGCAAGTACTTGAAATTGGTTAACAAAACACGGCCGTTTTCATGTAACTACTTTAACATCTGAGGCGTCATCAAGACTTTACAGGAGAAGAGGGAAGAAGAGAATTAGGTGTGGCATTTTCACAAACACTTGGGGTGCAGAGACTTATTCACCACTGAAAAAAAGCACCAAAAAATGCTGAGCTTTCAAACTTGCCTCCCGCCAATACTGCCGAGCGCCTCTGTGCACCGTACCCGCGCTCTAAACTCTCTTTCTTGCTTGGCAATCTCGAAAAAATCCGATTCGGAGCCCGATCCTAAACCTCGCTCCAACGCGAAACCGAAACCTCGCCGCCGAAAAATTGAAACTTCTGAAGACGAAGATGAAGAACAAGGCGAGACGTTCCCGACGACGATTCCGAGGAAGCCTCGGCGTGGGCGTAGAAGCGAGGCGGCGGCGGTGGAAGATTACGTGCGGGAGTCACTTGATCGAACATTTGCATCGATCAGAGAGCAGAACCCAGAAATTGTTGAGAAGAAGGAAGAAGTGATGAAGAGGAGAGTTGACGACGATGAAGAAGATGAGGGTTTTGGAAGAGAGAAGAGCATGGTGGTTGAAGAGGAGAGTAGGGATTGGCCTTTGGATGCTGACGTGGGGTGGGGGATTAGGGCTTCGGAGTACTTTGAGAATCACCCGATAAGGAACGTAGTGGGTGACAATGGGGTTGAGCTTGATTGGGAAGGTGAGGTTGAAGATAATTGGGTGAAGGAGATTAATTGCTTGGAATGGGAAAGCTTTGCATTTCATCCTAGTCCGCTTCTGGTTCTTGTTTTTGAGAGGTACAACAGAGCAAGCGATAACTGGAAGGCTTTGAAAGAGCTCGAAAAGGCGGTCAAGGTCTATTGGGATGCCAAAGATCGCTTGCCTCCTCGGGTATGTGTGTGTTATCAAACTCGTCATTTTCATTTTTTGCAATGATTTTTGGATGATTGTTGTTAAAGATTGTAACTTTACCTCCAATTTCTGTTTTTGTATTCAACAGTCGGTTAAGATAGACATTAATATTGAGAGAGATTTGGCTTATGCTCTCAAAGTTAAAGAATGTCCTCAGATTTTGTTTCTACGTGGAAACAGGATCTTGTACAGAGAGAAAGGTGAGAACTTATTTTCCTTAAAAAATCAGTGCTTTTTTTAGCTAGAACCAAAGCATGGATCATATACTTTTGCAAGTTGTTCCTATGTTGCCATGATATTAAGTTTGTTTTGTTCTTGTAGAGATTCGAACAGCAGAAGAATTGGTTCCAATGATAGCGCATTTCTACTACAATGCAAAGAGGCCTTCCTGGATTGATGTCAAGGAGTTATCTCCACCTTACTAGTGGCAATCTGGTACTTAGAATCTGAATGCAGTAACGTTTGTTTTTTCTTTTGTTTCTTTATGCTTGAAGCTTGATTATGAGCTCTTCCCTGATGGCTTCAACATCTGTTTTAATGTTTTTTTTGCCCTCCAGGCTTCAGATTATGCGCTGGTGAAAGCATTGGTTAATTCAGAGCTTGGAAGCATGGAGCAAAATCGAGAGCAGGTTGTATTTGCACGTATAAGCTGATGATCCCTGGGTATTGATTTTGAATGGGTGTTAATTAGGTAATGAATTATTGTCATTTGTGTTTGATGATATCTTTCTTTGACCATACTGATATAATTTTTTATATGAAACGAACCTAATGGAGCTCACTCCTACAATGTCAGTGATTATACAAGATGCTAAATTTGCACAATAAAAAGAATTAGGTACAGAGTGGGAATTGGTTAGCTGTAATTTCAATGCATTCTTCACTCATGAGCTTCTTGTGGAATATGGACCAATTGTACTAAAAGCTAATGTCATGGATATGATATATCATTACACTAATTCACGGCTTGTCAATTGCAAACAAGGCAAGGCAGTGAAGGCACTCTATTAATAGGCTCAGAATTAGAAAACAATAGATCCCAAAAAGTTACACTAGAAAAGATGCATTCTTGTCAAAGGAATGTCAAAGTTCATACCACATGTTGCTTCTTCTTCCTCGTTCTCCTGGCAGCTGCAGGTCCATATATAATTTCCTATTATTCACTCATATTATCATAGGGTAGCTGATAAATACATGCGTATTCACGATTGGGATATGCCTAAACGCTTTGTTTTCGTAACATTCTTATACCAATTGTAATGTATAGGCTAGGCTGTATAAAACTGTTCTAATTTGGTTTTTGTATTCTCTCTCTCTTCCTAAGCAAACACATTTTATTCCCCTCTTAGGACAACCGACTCTCATAAGAGATACTGATTATTGCTGCATGTGTGTTTGTATGTGTTGTGGAAGCCGAAACAGAGTATGCGAGAACCAGGTGAGCAGCCTCTGTGTGTGGCATCATGGGACTGTTTTAATGGTGAAGAGGGCAAATGTAGCTTTGCGGGAAAAAGTTGAAAGGTTGTGGAATCTGCAGCTATGGTTTGCTTGCTAGACATGATAAGATTTTTGCTGGTGCGGCTGTGGTTTGCTTGCTAGACATGATAAATTTAAGTATGTATGTCAAGTGTTTAAGATACACTAAACGCAATAAGATCTATATCCCCTTTCGTATAGTTTTTGCATTATTTAATATATAATTACTTGTTGACTATGTACATTTTTATTCAACCAATACGCGCACTTTTCGGAAAGAGCTCAGAAATAGAGATTAATTTTCTTAAATTATGGTAGGATACTAGTGTCCTTTTAAACTTACAGTTAATATCAAATTCAGCAGTCCCCTTCAGTTGAGGGATCCCTCAAATAGTGTTATTTGAGGGATGGGGCGCTCAGCCGTTGGATCTCTTTTAATGAACTTGTGTGGTTGTGATTCTTTTAAATGTTTTAACCCGTTTGAAAACTCATGACCCACCACAAACTCCACTTACGTTTGGGAATGACGTACGCTGGAAACCAAACGTCTTTCTTCTTCCTCCAACGCTTGGAGACCTTTCACGCAGACCAAACGACGTGAAGAAGAAGAAGAAGATTCACCATCGTCAGTTGAAGAAGAAGACCCACCATCGTCAATTGAAGAAGAAGACCCACCATGAAAACTCCTGACCCGAAAAAATAAAACCAAGCGATCCGAAAAAATAAAACACGATGGCTGAGTTTGTGGAGTGCACGAAGAAGATGAAGAGCCCTCCCTTCCAAGACGAAGGAAGAGCTGCCATCGCGAGTTGAGCTTGCAAGAATTCTATGCCAATCAGGTAGGTGTATCCATAGCGGTGTTTATGTTTCGTTCTAAATCTGGGTTGTGATTTTCGAATTGGGGTTCTGCAATTGGTTTTTAATTTTAACAATTTCTGGTCAAGGTTGAGATGGGTTATTGATTTGGGGATTCTGTGATAAGTTTTTATTTGAGTTCCAATGGGAAATTCTTTATTTCGGTTATAATGATTAATTCTGGATATAGGTTCTTATGGGTAGTTCTTGATTTGGGTTCCATTGATGAATTCTTGATATAAGTTGGCAATTTTTAATTTGTGTTCTAATGGTAAATTCTTGATTTGGGTTCTAATGATGAATTCTTGATATAAGTTTTAATGGGTAATTCTTGATTTGATCAAAATCTGATCCTACACTTTTCTGCACTCCACAGAGTTTGTTTATTCTAATTCTCTAACAAGCTGTGCACAATAGAGATACTATACACTCATTTAATCAATAGAAACAGATGAAATATTCCTATAATTATAATGTTCTTAGGAGCATAGACGAATCAAATTCTGGTTTTTTTTTTCCTTGAAATCAATTAGGAGCAGAAATTCTGGTAAATTCTTGTAGTCTCATTTTTTCTTTTTCGTTTTTTTTTCTTGCATTGCAGGTTTTTAATGGAGTAATCTTGTTCGTTTATGTCAGTCTCGAAGTTGGACCATCTGCTGTACTTTGGATTTAACATCTTTGATGGTGTTTGTTTTGCTGTCATGGAACTTCTCATCCAAGTGATCATGTTTGTAGTGCTTTTGGGTTGGATATAAACTTTTATGCTTAGATGATAGTTCTTGGGGGCCAACTTGTGCAATTTATTGAAGTTAATTATCAATTTAAGGACCACCTGCTCTCAAGCAATTCTATGTGAAAAGGCTATTTGAACACAAGGCCAACCTCTTTATCTCAAAGCTTGTTCCATTTGATATATGACGGTTTATATCATTCAGTTTTATTTTTAATTAATATTTTCCAAAATGATCGTACCATTCACATTGCATAATTTCTCATTGATAAACAGTTATAGGTACTGCTTTCCATTCTTTTTGTTTTTTCTCTATTGAATTGAATATTCCTTTTGGCCGTTGTGCTTTTCTTGTTTCTGCACGAAGGAGGTGTGGCCGTGAAAGGAAGTTAGCCGTCTTATAATATACACATTGTAAAACTTAACTTGCTTCCGATTTTAGTGAGCAGGTTGCAGCAACCTGTAATGCCTCCAAATTTTCATTTTTTCCAGTTTGTGCTAAGTCTAATGTCCTTCTTCAGGAACCTCTTCACAGCAGTCTAGAAACATTTGAACAGATAATTACGAACAATTTATTGACACTTGAAAATTGAGTCTCGTTTTACATGTGAAAAGAAAAAAAAAAAAAAAAAAAAAAAAAAAATTAAACTTCCTTGTAGTGGAAGGAACAATATCCGAGTTTGACCCAAAAAGAACACACATCTTGTGTTGTTGCAGACACCTTACTAGCCATGTCCTAGCTCCTTCCAAGAAATAGGTGGAATCACTGGAGCTCAAAACATCATCCAAAAAACTAATCATCCTGACAAGACAAAGTAAATGGAAAAGAAATAAAAATTTATCTGTGACGAAAAACTATTATTCATTTCATCAACAAAATAATATAAGTTCTGTGAATCACTATAATTACCTGTGACGAAGAACTATTATCCATGTCATTAAAAGCATCTTTGTCAACAATTGAAGATCTATCATGGTCAAAGATAACATCACAAAGTTACACATGAGGTTAATACATAATAATAAGAAAGGAAAAATACAAATAATTTTGCATTCTTACGATTTTTGAAGCATAGGACAGTTCCTTTTGTCGTGTGTTTGTCCATATTTGTTTACTCCCATAATTGGTGCAAAGATCATACAATATCGATTGGTGTTGTAGGTGGTGTCGAAGATTACTGCATCACCATAAAACTTGTACGATTGCCTAGAGATTGCATCAACCCAAAAACATCGAGTAATCTTGTGTTCAATATTGGTCTCAACCTTGAATATGAACCATGGATTTTTTTCTTGCTCATTCATGAAATGATCAAACAACATTTCTCCATCATGACCCTTGATCTTCATACGTCTATCTCTATTGGAGTTGTACATATCTTGTTGAGTAAAACCAACATTTTCAATGCCTCCTGCTTGTGTTGCTAGAATGTCATATTGTTGGTGTGTGGATACATTTACGGATATTAGTTGTTGTGCTACAAGTTGATTAACACCAGAAATTCGACGATGAGACTTTAATAAGTGGCGTCTTCGCGGGGTTGTCATTGGATGACTATGAGCCTCTTCAAATATGGTGACTACATATCCACCATATTTTGATTTAACAACTACTAGCCGCGCCTTACAAGACTCTCTGCCTACTCCACGACGCCTTTTTACAACACCACTTGTTTCAGTTGACCAACTTCCCTCTTTATTGCAAACGTACTCCTTCCGTATGACCTCTCCATCTTTACTCTTCTTACTAGAGTAGGATCGAACGCTAAACCCAGCTTCCCTTGCATACTGATTGTAAAAGTCATACACTTCTTCTAATGTTTCAAATTGTTGACCTTGGAAGGGAGTGAGGTCACCAATTACTTGAGGATAGAAAATTGATACAGAAGGATTTGTTTCCGGATCAGTTTCCATGGGAAGTAATATGCCATTATTAGCTTCCATGGTTGAACAGCAGGTGAGAAAATCTGTTTAACCATAGAACATGCACAGATACTCTTTAATCACAAAACATGGACACACATATATATATATATATATATATATATAACATTCTGTTTTTTTCTTCTCAAATATCAATTAAGAGTAGATAAAAAATATATTATATGTATGAAATTCTGTTTTCTTGTCTTCTTTTTTTTTCCCTTAATCCAAAAGACTAGATTAAGAAAAGAAAAAAAAAGACAGAAAAACCTACTCTACTGCAAATATATTATGTAAGTGAAAATTGCATTGATTAGCTAATATTTACACCAACTCAAATAAAAAAACGCGTAATTGCATGGTAAGTTGGTAACTACTTACTCCTGTTCTTCTTGGACTCTCTAACAGCACAGATAAGGCTTTGAAACCTACAACTGGATTAGGTTGTTTCTTTTGCAAGAAAGCAAGACACATGAAGAGAGACTGCAGGAAATACAAAAAGTGGCTGGAAAAGAAGAAGGGAAAAGGTAATAACAATTTGATTTTGGTCTGTTTCGAATCTAATTTGGTTAATTTCTCAAGTGATTCATGGTGGTTGGATAGTGGTGCTTCTATTCATGTAGCTAATTCCTTGCAGGAGTTTACAAGCAAGAGGCTGCCAAGCAAGGATGAAGTGAAGGTGTTCGTGGGAAATGGAGAAGAAGTCCAAGTTAATTACATAGGGACAGTTAGAATCAAGTTAGAATTTGGTTTTGTTTTGGAATTAGATGAAGTAGTTTATGTTCCTTCTATGAAGAAAAGTTTGATTTCAGTTACTAGACTTGTAAAATCAAAGTTCAGTTTGAATTTTGATGGAACTGGTTGTTCTATTTTCAGAAATAAAGTTTAGTTGGCAAAGCAAGTCTCATTGATGGAATGTTTAGATTAAACTGCAAAAGAACTGAAATGGAAATAAACACTGTGCAAACCAAAACCAATGAGATTTCCTTCAAATTATGGCATAAAAGACTTGGACATGTTTCAAAAGAAAGGATAACACAACTGTGTAAGGAATCTGTCTTACCACCATTGAATCATGAAAACGAAGATGAAGTTTGCATTCCATGTATCAAAGGGAAATTAACCAACTTAAGAAAGAAAGGGGCATTAGGAAGCAAAGGTTTACTGGAACTCATTCATACGGATATATGTGGACCCTTTCCAAATCCAACTCATGAGGGATTTAACTACTTTATAACTTTTACAGATGATTTTTCAAGATATGGATATATCTATCTCATTAAAGAAAATCAAGTGCATTGGACAAGTTCAAAATTTATAAGGCTGAAGTAGAAAACCAGTTGAACTTGAAAATAAAGGTGGTTAGATCGGATAGAGGAGGAGAGTACTATGGAAGGTTTGATGAGACTGGAAGGAATCCTGGACCTTTTGCTAAGTTTCTTCAAGAAGAAGGAATTATAGCTCAGTACACCAACCCAGGTACACCTCAACAAAATGGAATTTCAGAAAGAAGAAACAGGACCTTGAAAGACATGATAAGGAGTATGATGAGCTGTACAAATCTGCCAATTTTTCTTTGGGGAGAGGCTTTAAAAACAGCCAACTATATTCTAAATAGAATTCCAACCAAAAGCATTAATAGAATTCCCTATGAAGTGTGGAATGGAAGGAAGCCTAGCATTAAACATCTGAAAATATGGGGCTGTAAAGCAGAAGCAAAACCTTACAATCCAGCAGAAAAGAAGTTGGATCCAAAAACCATAAGTGGTTTTTTTGTTGGCTATCCTGAAAGAACAAAGGGATACAGATTTTATTGTCCCAAACACACTACCAGATTCATAGAAACCTCAAGAGCAGTTTTTATAGAAACTGACCAAGAAATAGATGAGGAAGAAAGTTTTAGTTTTGAAGAAATAATCTTGAACCATGACATGCCACAGAATCCAAGTAAAGAAATTGTTAGATTACCTCAAATGGATTCAATCAACACTCAACTCGAACACACTGAAGAGACCAATGTCAATGAACCTGAAATTGCAGAACCAATGGAGTTAAATGACAATCAAGCACCACCAGCAGAAAATCAAGACATGGCTCAAGCACAAGAAGTAGCAAATCCAGAACCAAACTTGGAACTAAGAAGATCACAAAGGCAAAGAAAACCTGCCTTAGGAGATGATTATTTTGTATACCTACAGGGAGTAGAACATGATGTGAATATCATGGAAGATCCTGCAACATTCAAACAGGCCATGACAAGTGAAAAGAAAGAAAACTGGTTTGCAGCAATGAAGTCAGAACTGAATTCAATGGAGAAAAATGGAGTCTGGAAGCTTGTGACCTTACCTCAAGGTTGCAAACCAATTGGTAGTAAATGGATATATAAAACGAAACTGGACTCAAAAGGACAGATAGATAGGTATAAGGCAAGATTGGTTGCAAAGGGATTCACACAGAAAGAAGGAATAGATTTTAATGAGACTTTCTCACCGGTCTCGACCAAGGATTCATTAAGGGTTATCATGGCCCTTGTAGCACATTTTGACCTCCACTTGCACCAGATGGACGTCAAGACAGCTTTCCTAAATGGAGATTTGGAAGAAGACATATACATGGTGCAACCTGAAGGTTTTGTTCAAGAAGGGGGAAAGGACTTGGTCTGCAAGCTAAACAAGTCAATCTATGGATTAAAGCAAGCCTCTAGACAGTGGTACCTAAAGTTCAACAAGGTAGTGAAAGACTTTGGTTTTGTTGAAAATGTTTTAGATGAATGCATATACATGAAGATGAGTGGGAGACATTTCATTTTACTAGTTTTGTATGTAGATGACATTTTACTAGCCTGCACAAATCTCACCATGTTACATGACTGCAAGAATTTCCTATCTAAGAACTTTGAAATGACTGATCTAGCTGAGGCATCTTATGTTTTAGGCATTGATATAAGCAGAGATCGAAAGAATGGGGTACTTGGACTATCACAAAAATCCTACATAGAAAAGGTGCTCAAGAGATTCAATATGCAAAACTGCACAGGAAGTGATATTCCTATTGCAAAAGGGGATAAGCTAAGCACTGAACAAGCACCTAAGACTGAGCAAGAAAAGCTGGAAATGGTTGACAAACCATATGCTTCACTAGTTGGAAGCCTAATGTATGCGCAGGTTTGTACCAGACCTGACTTGGCTTTTGCAGTCAGTGTGCTAGGAAGATTTCAGTCCAATCCTGGACAAGCTCACTGGATTGCAGGGAAAAGAGTGTTAAGATACTTGCAAAGGACAAAAGATTACAAACTAACATTCAAAAGAAGTGGCACGCTGGAATTACAAGGTTATGCAGATGCTGATTTTGCAGGATGTCAAGACTCCATGAAATCAACATCAGGTTTTGTATTCATGTTTGGAGGAGGTGCAGTGTCGTGGAGAAGTGTAAAACAACCTTTGACAGCAGGTTCAACTATGTTTGCAGAGTTTCTAGCATGCTATGAGGCCACCTCTCAAGCCATATGGTTAAGAAATTTCATTATCAGTTTGAATGTGGTTGAATCGATACACAGACCAATTCAAATATGGAATGACAACAGCGCAGCTGTTTTGTTTGCAAAAGGAAACAAAAGGACAAAGGGTTCAAGACTATTGGATGTCAAGTTCATAATAGTGAAGGAGAAAATTGCTCAAGGCTATACTAATATAAGTCATATCAGTACAGACAAAATGATAGCAGACCCTCTCACAAAAGGAGTCCCAAATGCAGTGTTCCATAGGCATGTTATGAGCATGGGATTAAGGAATGATTTGAATGCTTAAATCAGTGGGAGCCTTGTTAAGTTTAGAGTAGTTTTCTGTTAAAGTCTTAATTTACAGTTGGTCATGGTTTTCGATGGATGTTGATTTCAGTTTCTGATTCAGAAATAAAGTTTTCTAGTTAAACAGTTTACACGTTTAATTGTTATGTATATATATTCTTATAAACACTTGAATGAATTGAGCAGAAAGCTAGCTGAAGATGTCTGCATATGATTTTCATTCATGACAGGATATCATTTTAAATGATAAGACCTTAGTAGTCAAATTAAGGGACAATGAATAGACATGTTCATAAAGCTTTACAGTGAAACATGTTTATTTTTCTGTTTAATCTTGATGGAAGCTTATGTGGTTTTAAAGAATGATCAATGTGATTATAAAGACTCTGGATCCTTATATATTCAGTGAAGTCTTGATGGTTCCTTTTCATTCTTTAAAATTGACAATTGCTTGATGGAATCAGATTGAGTTATATTTCACCAAGGCCTTAAGTGATCAACACAAAACTTTGGGATTAATCGATCAAGTGGGAGAATGTAAGACAATTTATTGTCTTAATCCATAAAAGGTGATCTTCTAATCCTAAGAGGACTCGGGTTTTGGTTTGATCAGGAGATACAACTCAATCCTTATTAGATAATGCTTGTACAGAGCTTATTAAAATCAAACACAAGTATTATCAGGATTCCTAATACAACATGGATTGAAACAAACCTATTCTAATGCAAAAAGGACACTCGAATACTTCTTGATAGGCAAGGTTTTCGTAGTGATGCATCTATAAATAGAGGTCCCTTCCCTTGCAGCAAACACGCTCTAAAATCAGTACTCACCCTATCTAAGAGACAGAGACATAAAGAGCTGCAGAGGGAAGAAGACTTTCTAGACGAAACCAGATTTCTCTTCTGCTTCAATGGCTGAACAAGGTTAGTATTATTGCATAAAGGCTTAGTACAGACTTACAACTAGCACCTAGCATTGAAATTTCACAAAGCCAAAATTACAGCCAAGACAACAACATCATGGAAAACAATGAATATGGTCTCAAGCACTATAACAACGGTCAACTGAACATTAAAGTAAAAGGATCACACATAACTTTTTAGACATTATAAGCCAATCGTAGTAGGAGTATGTAAGTCCAGATAATCAAATAAAACTTTTTAGACTTTTACCCTGCATGCCATACACCCGCTTACTCAGCCGAACTGTTCTAGGGAGGGATGGAACATAAACACATGCGCGCACACAGAACTCCAAAATCGAAGAACCATGGCGCAGATATTGAAAGAATCAGAACCAATGATAACATACCTCTGTCGCATAGATGGTGGGTCTTCTTCTTCAATTGACGATGGTGGGTCTTCTTCTTCAACTGACGATGGTGAGTCTTCTTCTTCACGTCGTTTGGTCTGCATGAAAGGTCTCCAAGCGTTGGAGGAAGAAGAAAGACGTTTGGTTTCCAGCGAATGTTTCGTTCCCAAACGTAAGTGGAGTTTGTGGTGGGTCAGGAGTTTTCAAACGGGTTAAAACATTTAAAAGAATCACAGCCACACAAGTTCATTAAAAGAGATCTAACGGCTGAGCGCCCCATCCCTCAAATAACACTATTTGAGGGATCCCTCAACTGAAGGGGACTGTCAAATTCAGATCATTTAAGGAAAAAAAATTAAATAAAAAGAAAAATAAAAGAGGATTAGGCACCATATAAACAAGTCTTAAATAAGATAACAAAGAAAAAAAGGCAATAAATAAACTTCTTTTTATCTGCTCATGTGAATCTTGTGGTGAATGCAGTTTTTTGTCCTGGTAATTGGGAAAATCATGTAATATACATGAAACAATTTCCAGTTAATTGTACTGTCCATCCCTCTTGGCACAATCAAACCTTCACAATCTCTTCCTTTTTTTAATTTACCAAGTAAATTTGGAAAAAAAAAATGTATATATATATATATATATATCTAAAATTGGATATGTATTGGTTTGGAATCAAGTAAGGAATGCAGCAGCAGCAGCAGCATATGGCACATATAGAAGCTAATTGAGGTTGATACGACTCCATAAATATGCTTAGAGTCAGAATTAGAATTAGAATAAGAAGCCACCTATATACTTTTGTGAAGGAAATAAATGGCAAAGCTTCTTCATATTCATACCGCCACCACCACGGCTTGCTTCTTCCTGCTAGGAGGTCCATATATACTTATAATGGAGTTTGATTTGTGTTGTGTGTTGTTAGTTTTGTAGTTGAAGCTAGTGGAGTGGTGGGTGTGGTGGCAGGTGAAGAAGAAGGTCAGACAAAGGCGAGCCTCTTCGGTGCTTAACCACGTGGGACTGCACTAGTGTCCAAGCTTGCAAGCAAGAATGCTCGCACTATGCCAGTAGCTATGGATCCTGCGTAACTTCAGAGCCTCCTCACAAAGTTTGCTTGTGCATGGTGCACCTATGACTGCCCACTCCTCCATCGCCCTAGCTACCTATAAGTTAACATACATACATACATGTAAATAAAACCTCACATCCCCTGTCTCGGTATATGGGATGGGATATTTTAGTACTTGTGCAAATGGGGTTAAAATCACATAAAATACTTGTAAAAATACAAGGCTATTGTAGTATAGATACTCATGCAAGGTCGTTCTTTTCAAGGACTATTTAGTAATTTATGTAAAATCAAGTTCCAATTAACTACCTAAAATTAAAATTTGAGAAAGATGATTATGAAATTGTTTGATACTAAAAACAAATTTTAAACAAAAACAATTACAATTGAAGGAAAGAATTTTAAATACCAATTTATAACAGCACTAGGGTTTCACCATCACCTAGCAATCCTATGAATTTTTACCAATTACTTATGATTTGCGCATGCCACTTTAAAGGTTAGGTTTTCCTAATTTATATTCTACTTGGAACCTCCAACATATAACGTATATCCAACATGCAACCCGTCCAGACGTTCAGATCAAATCTGAACATGAAAGACTCATTAAGTTTTGTGAAAACTCTTTGAAAAACCATGCAACCCTTAAGACGTGGTGTTCATCTTAAGTGAAATTACAATTATTAATCACAAGAAGCCAGCGTCAAATTCAGGAAACCTCCGACTAAAATTGCATCCAATTACTTTTCTAAAGATCCTAATGGTGATCAGGCATTAAGACAATTAAATAGTTTAAAACAATGATTAACAATTCAAAGTATGCATGCGCTCACTCATAAGCAATTAAATAAAAATTACATATTCATGCTAAGGTTCAAGGCTTCACCCTAGCAAAAGAAAATTAGTTACGCATATTCATAATTGAAATCCAAGAAAATATCATTTGAATGAATAAGAATGAAAACACCTGAAAGTCGCAAGAACTCCAAAACCCTAGCAATTGCTCTCCACAATGTCACGTTCAAAAGCCAAAAAGAAGTCTCCCAAAATTACTGTGAAAACCAACTTAAATACTTCCTAAAATCTAGCTGTCCAATCCTCGGAAACTAAGTTAAAATAAAATAATACTATGATATAAAATCCAAATTGGATTAGGAGAATCTGCCCATAATATGCCCAGCCACGTTTTGGCCTCAAATCTCCTCCAAATCTGGCCCAAGATAGCTTGTTTTAAAGATAAAAACATTTTGAACACTTCTCCAGAAGGCCACGAACCCACCCGAGGTCATCTTGGGCTTCAAAAATGCAATAAAAGCCCAAAATGTCATTATTCTAGCACTGCACATCGCTCCTTTATTTATTCACCAGGAAATAACCGCTTAGTAGAAAAATCTGAAATTTCGATACGATCAAGCCAATGGAATTACTCCAAAATTCGTCCATTTGATTATGTTTTGCTCCAGAGGAAGTCGAAAGTCCTATATTGGAAATATAATTCAAAGTATCAAAATTCTTCCAAAATGTTAACCAAAATATACTAAGAATGGAGTTAAATATATAATATAAAATATACCCATCAAAATACCTCCAAACTTAGCTTTTTGCTTGTCCTCAAGCGAAACAAATCTAGAAAACAAACACAAAAATTAACGAACTAAAAACTTTGAATAAAACCTAGCTAAACAAAATTTTCATTCAAGTTGCAATCCATAGCAAATTTTAAAAATTAGAACATCTGTTCACTAGATCCAACTAATCCCACCACAGAGTCTTTCATTCAAGTTGCAATCCATAGCAAATTTTAAAAATTAGAACATCTGTTCACTAGATCCAACTAATCCCACCACAGAGTCTAAGCTATTTAGAATCAATTAGAAAAGAATTCACAAACTTCATTTAGTGTAAAGTGAACCATCATAGTTAAGGAGACTCAACTAAAACCCTTACCCCTAATCCCTTTTATTCATACTTCACACACTTATAGAATCATTCTTTTTTTTTAATTTTTTTTTTTCCAGTAACAGTGGTGGTTGTGCAATGTTGGTTCCCTTAAGCTTTCGATCCAACCCATGTCGCGAGCTTTAGGTCAATGACTACCAAACCACTAAGGCTTTACGGCACTAGGTGTAGAACACCCCTAAGGACTTATTAACTCAAGCTAAAAAGGCTACAAAACCAACTCACCACCCTGCCTCATGCCAAAACTCTACCGTTTGACTCAAGAATCACTGCTGATTAGGCAAGACTGGCCCGGTTACTAACAAAGTTTCGGGTAAGGCAATTATTACTTTATATACACATTATTTTTTTTTTTTGGAACAAAAAATAAACACACTGGGACAAAAAGTAAGTATTTCAATCTCACTCCCCACAAATCATGTTGGTGTGATGTGCAAATTTCAAAGTATAATTCATGAATTAGCGTCTAAGCAACGATAAATAGAAAAGACTCCAATGTGGGATTGATCTTCACCATGTCCATTTGTTTTAACGTTTAAAATAATCTATGGATATTAACTTAAAAACGAAAATTTTAAACAAGACTAAAAAAAAATAAAAAAAAAAATAAAAAAAATATAAAATCTCCAATCTCAAATTTACTTTCCCACACCCAAACTTAAATCACACATTGTCCTCAAGGTGTGGAAAAGAAATAAAGAAGTTAATAAAAATAGTAAAGCCTAAAATAAAACATAAAAAATATGCGAGTGAAAATAGAGGACAATACTTAAGAAAAATTAAAATAAGAACAGAAGGGAAAGAACACACCTTGGACGCCATCTGTTGTCAAGCCTGGGCAAGTGGAATGGACACGCATGGGCAAGTTGTCAAGCATGAGTTGTTGTTGACTTGACATTCAAATTTTTTTTTTATTTGGCTGTGTGATTGCATGTCACTTAATTTAGTTATATCAATCTATTGTGGTAAGCACTGGCGGATCCACAGAGGAGCAAAGAGGTGCAGCTGCACCTCTCCTCGCCGGAAACTTCCTGGGGATGTCAGAATTTGCCCCTTCGCTATTGCCCACCAATTGTTCGACTAAATGCCTCAAAGATGTTGTTTTGTTTGCTGCTGTGTGAGACTCTAAATATTTACCTTAGATTGTTGGGCTCGATCTCACGAGCATGTAGGAGAAAACGGTTCATCAATCGGAGCTCCACAACCAAAGTTATGAATTTTCGAAGTTTTTCTAGAATTGAAGTTAGAGTTGCAGAGGCTCTTCGAGGAAGAAGAAAGACTCTGCTTCTCACTTTTGATTTTTTTTTAAATGGTCCAATAGCAAGCTGACACATGTCCATTTCTAATTGGCCTAACTTAAAAAATTCATTAAAAACTCATATGTGTGCCAAAAAATTCACAAAAAATTACCCAGAACTTTTAATCAAGTGTACTTTTATCTCTGACCTCCAAATCACATGTGCTTTTGGTTAGATTAATTGGTATTAATTTTGGTTAGATTAATTGGTATTGACTTTTGTTAGATTAATTATGTAATTGACATGGATTTTGTTCATATTTGATATTGATATTCCATACAGACTGTAATCAATTAGTAATACACGTAAAATTCTTATTTGTTTTAATTACGAATAACATTAGTATTGTTAAAATTCTAAGGGTATTTGGTTGTCTAAATTAATTTTTGAATTTTTAGCCTTTTTTTTAACACACTACATGGATATTAGACTTGAACCTTGGACCTTGCTTGAGTCCTTTGCGATTTTTTAGTCTTTTAAATCTTGCACCTCCCCTGAAAAATTCATGGATCCGTCACTGGTGGTAAGGTCTCATTCCCTATTGAGCGGTGGTTGCTCATCCCTCACCATGTTTAATTTTTTAGATGAATTAGTGGGCAAGACGAGAACTAAATCGATTGAGGATGCATTAGATGAGAGTAGTAGAGCTTTATTTATTTCTTGTAAAGTTGTAAGATTTCGGATCTATTTTTTAAGAGAAGTTTATTTTAAATCCTATTTCAGCATCTTTTTATTTTATTTTAGTTTTTATTTTCTCACGCACTGGGCGCGGGGTTTCCACCGACCCCCGGATCCGGGGCGTGACAATCAGTGCCATCGATAATTTCCAGAGGTCATGACCGACTAAAAAGGGTTTGAGCTGGCAGAGCCAAAGGAGATAGTTGGAGTTAGTAAGCTTGATAAAATGAGAAGAGTTGGGGCTAGGGAGGGAGATGGTGGATTCAGACGAAGCCATGAGGTGGACCTAAAGGAGAAGATGATCGAATAAGGGAGAAGGAGAAAACCTTAGGTTAGGCTGATACCATGTAGAGAATATATTTCCTTGTATTAAACTGATTATACAAAGTCCCTATTTATATTGATACAGAAAATCTACTTAAGGTAGGAAATAATATAGACATGAATATAATCCGATTTACAACAGAAATCTGATTTACAGCAGGAAAAGCTAATTGCTAGGAGGAGATTGTGAAGTTGACTTCCGTGTGTGCTAGAAAAGGAAAGCTGCTTTAACATTGGGACTCACAGGGGGAAGAGAGTGGCTAGAGTTTTTCCCAAAATTTTCCTCAACAAGTGTTAATTAGATAACAAAGCATGTTTAAAAGCTTTTTCCTCTTTTTATGCTTTATAAAAGCTTTCCTAGTTTTCCTGTCTATGCTAGTCTTGTTATTATGGATGTTCAGCACATGGAGAAGAGAGAGAGGGGACATAGATTTATGCCATCCTTCGGATCTGCGGTCCCCCAACCTCAACATTAACCCTGTCAACAACACTACATGTGAATTTTATGTTGTTTCTGTTTCTTGCTTTCTTTTATGTCAACAACATTCCATGTGAGTGTAAATTAGTCTAAATTGGACCCATTGATGCTGATTGTGAGTTTAGGTTATATATATATATATATATCCTTGGGATGGATCACCCTTCTCCATCGATAGAGATCTTCCTTAATATCTCCCTCCCTCCCTTTCTTAGTTAGCATAAATTGTTGAAATATACTTAAAATCAAGCATGAAATTCTCGGAGACCGTAGTTGCGATGGTTTTAGGTATTGCTCTTTCCTTCGACATTGGCGGAAACATGAGCTGCAATGCCGCTGGACAGTATGACTACTTTCAGTTTGTTCAGGAGTCTCCTTTTGTATTTTGCAAAAATATTACTGGAAAGGGATGCAACATCCTACCTCTGCCACGGATATTTACCATTCATGGCTTGTGGCCAAGCAACTTCAAACATCGTCATAAACCTTGCGTTGGTGCACAATTTAGTAGAGATGTGGTATATCTATCATACATTAATACACATATTGAGAATAATGCATGCAACTTTTGTTATGTTTCTTGTGTTTTGTTTAGTTTACTTTTGGTTTTAGTTTTTTGGTGTTTTTTTTGGCATAAATGCGCGAAATGATATTTAATTTTTCTTTGCCATTGTTATTAGATGAATGAAGCCTCCAATGATGAATTGCGAGCTGATCTGGAGTTGTCATGGCGAAGCTTCATCAGTGGGCGGTCAAATATGGACTTCTGGGAATATGAATACAACACACACGGCAAGTGCTCCGACCACAAGTTTTCGCAGACGCAATACTTCGACCGTGCCAGGAGTTTGTGGAAGCAATACAAAGCTCATACTCTATTTTCTAATCGCTCGGTTGAACCAGGCAAGTCATATAGTTTTACTGACCTTGAACAAGCCATCCGATAATTTATAGGCGGGAGAAGACCTCTTCTCCTTTGCAAGCAATCTAAGGGGAAGAAGAAGACAAAACAATATTTGCTGGAAGTCGTAATTTGCTTTGATGACAGAGCAATTAATCCAGTGAATTGTCCCAAGAGGATGTCAAAAGAATGTCTTCCACAATGAACTAATCATGATCATGATCGTAATGCTTAATTTGCAGTCTGTGTTATATATAATCTATGTTTTGATTTCTTAATGCACATCCCTATATAGTTTTGCAACAGGCATAGTCATCATGTTTGTCTGGAAATGGAAAATCTTATATGAGTTGCATGCATATGTCAATCAACTACAAGTTTAATTATATCTCTTTTGATCATCAACTAGAATGTACATACGTACAGTGAGAAAAAGATGAGAATTTTCTTTCTTAAAAAATCAGTGCTTTTTATTAATTGTTTGAAATTAGAAGCTTGGATCATAATGTTGTATCAAACTCGTGTACATGACACACTAAGAAATTCTATATTGCCAGATTTTCTCATCTCTCAAGTTTGATGCCTCCCAAGACCTATCGAAACTATACTATTCACATAAACAATTGGCGAATCCATATTCGACATACAAATTTGTATAGTAGGAAGAGACATTCGGTTTTCGGTGCGGAGGTTATAGCAGATTGTGCATCCATCTTCGTCAACCACAAGAAGCTCATCGCTTTTCCAGAGTGCCAATACATGTCCGCCGCCCTCCCTGAGGTCCATTATGGGGATTGATGTGAGCTCAAAACCTGCGTGTTTTGTCCAAACACAAGCACCAAAATCATTATCCAACAGCCACATTCCGAAGTATGGACTAACATCACAACTGTTATGCCAAACACAAAGAGCAATGGAAGATTCATTCCACACTGTAAGCAGCATGAAAAGCCCTAAAAAAGTTCTTTCATGGTCTAGCAGCTCATCTGGTAACGTTACCTCATCAAACACCTCATCGCTCATGTCAAACGAAACCATCACTTGCCTAATCATTTCTTCATATCGAAGTTCCTCCTCATGCACGAATTCCTTTTGTTGCTCAGATCCCAACCAATAACACATCCCCTTCAAGTGTATCTGGAAAATTTGAGGCCAAAGGAAAGTAGTTTCTGTTTCCAAAGAGCAAGTCTTGATCTCTCTCCAAGAAGAAGATTCTTCACTACTTCCCAGCGTGTACACTTGTACTCTCAGAGGATAAATAACCACAGAATATAATGTATGAGCATGCCTTTGCGAACCATAAAATATAATGCTAACAACTTTATAAGCTTTAGATATAGGATCATAGCCAAATCCCATGGCCCATTCGAGCCGATTATTTAATGGTCGATACGGGGCACGCTGCTGATCTAGGGACTCCCAATCCGTAAAGTATTTCTCTGAGGGAAGAAGCTTGAATTCCTGAATTGCCGGATTCCACACAAACACCTTACTATAATTATCTACGTGTACACAAATGATTCCATGACAATGGCCTACAATCCTAAGTTCTTCACCACCACTCATTACACTCATAGAAACTGGAACATTGATGTCCTCCACCCTAGACAATAGAAACCTATGCGCACCACCATCTGCATCCTCGCAAAAAGTAAGCACTGAGAACACTGATTCGGTCTCGCTAGCATTCGAGTCCTTATTAGGGACTAATCGCTTCAAAAAGATTGATCGATTGTTGTGCAAGCAATTGGAGAGTTGATTGTCTACGAACCTGGGATTGTTGATCAACGCATACCACCATTTGGCCGCGCACTTGAATCGCATAAGGGATTTTGGAGGTAGACTTGATAGAATTTTTACCAATAAATCTTCCCCAATTTTGCAACTGTGTGCCATTATTTCAGTATATATATATGTCTCAACCCTTCCCGTCTTCTACCTCTTCTTCTTTTGCACACACAAACCGGAAATAACAAAACAACACCCAGGTTAAACATAAGGAAAAATTATCATATCTGTATTATATATAAATCAAAGAGTAAAAACAACGTAAGACTTTCTAAAGTGTAATCCACAGAGAAAGTTCGATTAACATCGTGTTCAGAATAACAAATATTAAAAGGGATTAAAGTATACCAAACCATATTAAACAATACAGAGAAAAATAGGTATATATAGTTACCTTATAGTGAGTGGGAAGAAGAACATAGCAAATATACAATGGAAAGAAGCAAATTTAAGGTTTGATCATGGGATGAGAGAGAGAGATAGAGAGAGAAATGCAGCAGTGATTCCGGATCTGTTCTCTCTAAAATTGGTGTTCCCCTATGTCTCTGCTTGACATGTGTTCTTCAACCTAACGCTGGAATTTGTTATTCAAAAAATAAATTACCAGACAAAATTAAATATTAAAAACAAAAAAAACTAGATATATATAGTTAGGTTAGTTAGCAGCAGTAGGAAAAGGAACATAGCAAATATAAAATGGGAAGAAGCAAAATTAAGGCTGGATCAAAGGATGAGAGAGAGAGAGAAATGCAATACTAAGAACGTATTTGTTGTTCTCAAACTGAACTGACAATTTAAGGGGCCGTTTGATAACAATTTCAATTTTAGGTTTTTATTTTATTTATTTTTTTTTGTTGGTGCTGGAATCTATAGAGAAAAAAGAGTGAGAATAGTGTGGAGATGGGATTGAGAGGAAAGATGAGATTAAATTTTTTTCACTTTTGTTACTCCTCCCTCTCATCCTCTCTCTTAATCTCATACTTATATCATGGTCTAGCAGCTCATCTGGTAACGCTACCTCATCGAACACCTTACCACTCATGTCAAACGAAACCATCACTTGCCTAATCATTTCTTCATATCGAGTTTCCTCGTCATCCACGAATTCCTTTTGTTGCTCAGTTCCCAACCAATAACACATCCTCTTCAAGTATATCTGGAAACTTTCAGGCCAAAGGACAATAGTTTCTGTTTCTAAAGAGTAAGTCTTGATCTCTCTCCAACAAGAAGAATCTTGACTAGTTCCCAACGTGTACAATTTTTCTCTCAGAGGATATATAACCACAAAATATTTTGTATGAGCATGCGTTTGCGACCAAGAAAACATAATGTTAACAACTTTGTAAGCTTTAGATATAGGATCATAGCCAAATCCCATGCCACTTCTGAGCCGACTCGATGTTGGTAGGTATATGGGATCCTGCTAAATTAGGAGCTTTTTATAGAGAAGGTGTTTTTGCGAGGGAAGAAGCTTGGATTCCTGAATTGCCGGATTCCACAAAAACACCTTACCATATGGAGTGAATTATAGGGAGACCTTTGCTCCAGTAGCAAAGCTCAATACTGTACTCGTACTCTTGTCCTTGGCTGCTAATTATGATTGGCCTCTGTTACAATTTGATGTCAAAAATATATTCCTCCATAGTGACTTTAAGGAAGAAATATACATGGACCCACTGCCGGGTATCCCTGTGACCTCTAAGGAGGGTATGGTATGCAAACTACGAAAATCTTTATATGGATTAAGCAGTCTTCAAGAGCTTGGTTTGGGAGGTTTGCTGCATCTATGAGGAAGTCTTGGTATGTACAAAGTAATTCAGATCATACTTTGTTTATGAAGCGTCGCAAAGGTAAATTGACAGCTTTAACAATTTATAGTGATTATATGATTGTAACTGGAGATGATCAGACAGAAATACAGTCTCTAGAAATATATAGTGTCTGAATTTGAGATGAAATCATTAGGTGACTTGAAGTACTTTCTCGGGATTGAAGTGGCCAGATCTAAGCATGATATTTTCTTGTCTCAAAGGAAGTACGTTTTAGATTTACTTGCAGAAACTGGAATGTTGGATTGTAAACCAATTGATACTCCTAGTGAACAGAATCACAAGTTGGGGTTATATCTTGATCAAGTTCATACTAATAAGGAGCGCTATCAACGACTTGTGGGGAAATTAATTTATTTAGCTCATACACGTTTTGACATTGCGTATGCAGTAAGTGTAGTGAGTCAGTTTATGCACTCATCTAGTGAAGACCATATGAGAGCTATGAAACGTATTTTGATATCTCAAAGTAACTCCTAGCAATGGGTTAATGTTTTCCAAGTATGGTCATACAGATGTGAAAGGATACACAGATGCTGATTGGGCAGGTTCAGCTACTGATAGGCATTCTATGTCTGGGTATTTTACGTTTGTTGGTGGTAATCTTGTTATTTGGAGAAGCAAGAAACAAAAGGTGGTGTTTCGATCTAGTGTTGAGGTCGAGTATCGTGGAATGGCCCATGGTGTATGTGAGTTACTGTGGTTGAGGAGATTATTGAGAGATATTGGCTTTGGGTCTAAGAAACCAATGGATTTATATTGCGATAATAAGGCTACGATTGCAATTGCTCATAACCCTGTACAACATGATTGTACAAAGCATGTGGAGGTTGATCGAAATTTCATTAAACAAAAGTTGGATGCGGAGATTGTTTCTTTCCCATTCATCAGTTCTGAGTATCAGTTAGCCGATGTCCTTACGAAGGCTGTTTCTACTAGTATCTTCTACAACTTGCTTGACAAGTAGAGCATGCGTGACGTCTTTGCTCCAACTTGAGGGAGAGTGTTAGCGAGATATCCTAGTCATATTAGGATATTTCTTTCTTATTCTATTAGGATTTTATTTATTTCCTTTTTGTATAGATATTATGTAATTATGAATTTTCTTATTTCCTAGTATAACCCTACTAGGGTTTGTAATTTTGTATTATAAATACCTCCTTTCGGAGAATGAAATATATCTGAAAATATTCTACTCATATTGTTTGACTTTTTGTAGGAGGGATTTTGTCTTTAGGGAAGGTTTAAATATAACCCTCTCCTGCTGACTTGATCCACCATGAAGAATTTCATCCAATCAATCTCCTCTTTCGTCCTATATTTTAACTATATAAAGAAAATACAAAAAAAGAAGAGTTTGAATAAAGAAGAAAAAAAAACCCTAGTAGTTGCCAAACCCCACTTGACAGTCACTCAACCTCGATAACCGGCACCCTCTGCTCCTTCTTTCTCCTCGTGATGTGATGTGATCCCACATCAGAGAGAGAGAGAGAGACAAGTGGAGGGATAGACTTTGTTGGGGTTGGCAAATTACCAGAGAATGGGGAGTAACCATTGCATATTTGCATGTTGATAGTGTGTTTTTTGCTTTCTAGCGTTCTTGTGTGAAGAGATCAATCTATATATCCACAACCTGAAATACTCACCCATCGAATTCCTTAACCTCATTGATAAAAAAGAAAATATCTAAAAATACTCAAATCTTATACTGAATATGTAGTAGAACTCGATTCCCTTTGGAACAATTTTCTTTTCCAATTATCTGCAATATTGAAAATTCGTTGACAACAAATATAGCCTCAAAACTTGTTTTCAAACAATTTCAATTATGATCGAACTATGCAGGTGGTGTGTTATGTACTGTTATACACAAAACACCAACAGAGTACATCAATGTCACCATATATAAGAGAAAAGGAAAAGATAAAATAAGAATCTACCTTCCACAACATCTACTGTAGGCAAGGGTAGAGCCAGCATGAGATCAGTGTGGTCCTCGCTGCCACTCCATTTTTATCTATTCTAGTTGTATATTACATATGATATATATATATATATATTATGTTAGTTTTAGGATATTTACCCTAAAATAAAATAATATATTAGTTTTTTTGGTCTACAAATTAACTATAAAATTGCTTGATCTCTCTTCTACTCATCTCCCTTCTTCTAGGTTAATTTATACATTTGCGCTAAAAACTCTTAAAGTTTTAACCTTTTTTTTCTTCCTTTTTCGTTTAAAGCTTTGTGAATTTTTTATTTTCTTCATATTTTTTATGTATAAGTTCGATACCTTAATATTGCGCTTTATGAACTTTTTATTTTTCTATTTCTTTTCTCTGTTGGAATATAAATTATTAATTTTTAAGTGTTTAATAGTGTAGATGATGAAATTAGTATTTAATAAATTTAAAATATAAAATTCATGATAATTATGAAGAAAATACAAATTTTATGAATGAAACCCTCTAATGTAAAATTCAGGCTACCCCACTGACTATAGGTGTACATTATTTCTGTAAGCATGTGTGAAACACGTTATACGGAAACATGTCGTATACGGCAACTTTATTTTTGTAAGAATATGTGAAACACGTTCTATGTTTACTCCGTACGAAAGGCACTCTATTGCCAACCACGTGTATGTTTGTTCTAAAATATTAATTTGTGCTGTCCGATCACGTGCCATTCGCGCCTCAGAGTAGCAAAACTCCTTGTTATTATGGATGTTCAGACTCAGTAGATGGAGCAGAAAGAGGGAGGGGGAGAGAGAGAGAGAGGGGAACATAGATTTCTGCTGTCCTTCTGATCTGCGGTGCCCCAACCAACATTAACCCTGTAATTGTCAACCAATTAACCCTGTCATTGTCAATCAATTAACCCTGTCTGTTTAGAGTCCAGAAAAGTCAGCTGAGTTAACTGGGTAAGAGTTCGTTTGCAGCTGGTGGTTGCATTTAATTCTTGTGTCTAGAAAGCTCTGTGTATATATATATATATATATATATATATATATATATATGTTCGCTTGGGATGGATCACCCTTCTCATCCATAGATCTTCCTTAATATCTCCCTCCCTTTCTTAATTAGCATTACTTGTTGAAATATACTTCAAATCAAACATGAAATTTTTGGAGATGATAGTTACGATGGTTTTAGCTATTACTCTTTCCTACATTGTGGGAAAGTATGACTACTTTCCAACAATGAGCCGCAGTATTTCTGCTACACCGTATGAATACTTTGTGTTTGCTCAGCAGTCTCCTTTTGTATTTTGCTTAAATAATACAGATTGCAAGGGCGGACCTCTTCCAAAGATATTTACCATCCATGGCTTGTGGCCAAGCAACAAGTCCGGTTATATCGGAAATTGCAGTGGTGACAACTTTAATATATCTGTGGTATCTATCATACATACATATATTGAGAATTCTGCATGCATGTGGCTTTTCTGTTTCTCGTGTTTTGTTTTGTTTTGTTTTAGTTTTTTTTTGGGGGGTGTTTTTTGGCATGATTGCACGAAATGATATGTAATTTTTCTGTGCCTTTGTTATTAGATGACATCTGACTTGGTAGCTCGTCTGAATGACTCATGGCCAAGCCTCAAAAGGTCAAAGGAAAATTTGGACTTCTGGAAATATCAATACAACAGACACGGCAAGTGCTCCAACGACCTGTTTTCGCAGACAAAATACTTCGAACATGCCTGGCATTTGTGGAACAAATACAAAGCTCATGATCTATTTTCTAATCACTCGATTTTACCAGACTCCCCACATAATTATTCTAAACTTGAAAAAGCCATCAGATCATTTATAAACTGGCGCAAACCTCTTCTAAGGTGCAAGAGAAACGCAACAAACCAATATTTGCTGGAAGTCAGAATTTGCTTTGATAAAAAAGCAAACAAACCAGAAAATTGTAAGGGCGATACAGATTGTACGCAAACATTAGATGTATGGTATATGCTACAGCCTATAGATGCAAGGGTGAATTAAGCTATATTGATATAAATCGAAAAAGGATGAAATATATAATTTATGAATAAATGTGTACGTAGCTACGGGACAAGATGAATTAATCGGGATAATGATTGTAATGTCTAATTTGCAGTTTGTGTTATATATAAATATATATATATATAATCTATGTTTTGGATAATTAATAAGGAATTTCTTAATGCAGATCCCTATATAGTTTTGCAACAGGCATAGTCATCATGTTTATCTGGAAATGGAAAATCTTATATGAATTGCATGCTTATATCAATCAATACAAGTTTAATTATATCTTTTGATCATCAACTACTATGTACGTAGAAAAAAATAAAAACTCTTACGTACAGTGAGAAAAAGATGAGAATTTTCTTTCTTAAAAAATCAGTGCTTTTTATTAGTTGTTAGAAATTAGAAGCTTGGATCATAATGTTGTATCAAACTCGTGTACATGATACACTAAGAAATTCTATATTGCCAGATTTTCTCATCTCTCAAGTTTGTTGCCTCCCAATACCTATCGAAACTATACTATTCACATAAACAATTGGCGGATCCAGATTCGACATACAAATTTGTATAGTAGGAAGAGACATTCAGTTTTCGGTGCGGAGGTAGCAGATTGTGCATCCATCTTTGTCAACCACAAGAAGCTCATCGCTTTTCCAGAGTGCCAATGCCCATCCGCCCTCCCTGAGGTCCATTATGGGGATCGATGTGAGCTCAAAAACCTGCGTGTTTTGTCCAAACACAAGCACCAAAATCATCATCCATCAGCCACATTCCAAAGTATGGAATAACATCACAATGCCAAACACAAAGAGCAATGGAAGATTCATTCCATACTGTAAGCAGCATGAAAAGCCCAAAAAAAGTTATTTCATGGTCTAGCAGCTCATCTAGTAATGCTACCTCATCAAACACCTCATCACTCATGTCAAACGAAACCATCACTTGCCTAATCATTGTAAACGTGAGTTATTTAATAAGTATGTAAATATATTGTGAATACTAGGAGTCCTTTATTAGGAAGGATTTATTGTTGTGTCCTTTATTGAGTAGTGTTTCCTTGTAGAACAAGGATTATATATGTATATATTTCAAGGAAGTAATATAATGAAAAATTTACCCCGTAATATTCTATTTGGCATCAGAGCTTAGGTTGCCGTAACCTTAGAATATTTTTTCCGCTGTTGTTGACGGCCGACTCTTTCTTTTCTTCAATATTCCCTTGCAGAACGTCAGGCTGTGTGGGTGTGTGTGTGATAGTGCCGTGTGTGATTTGGCTGTGCTGTGTGGAGTGCAACATCAAGAGCTGTGCACCGTAAGATAGGATGGCCTCTTTGGAAGATAGTGCTGTATTGAAATTGGAGGGTAGCTCTTGTACACCAACCAATACCCCAGTATTGAATCCTGTTGTTATTCAGAATGATGCGTCTGCTGTACCAAACACAGTGAAGCTGAATGGATCAAATTATCCTCTTTGGTCCAAAGTTTTGGAGATACACATCGCTGGACGTGGTAGGAAAGGCTTTGTGATAGGGAGTACCAAGGAACCTGCTGAGAATAGTGATGGGTATGAGACATGGGAGATAGGGAATGCAATCATAAAAGGGTGGTTGATCAATTCCATGGAACCTGCTATCATGGGATTTTTTATTCACCTACGTACTGCTAAAGAAGTTTGGGAAGAGGTGGCTCGGACCTATTATGATGGTTCGGATATTTCTCAAATTTATGAATTAAAGGTTAAGTCTTTCACACTCTGTCAAGAGGGCAGGCCGGTTGGTGTGTATTACGCTGAAATATACATATATATATATATATATGTTCGCTTGGGATGGATCACCCTTCTCATCCATAGATCTTCCTTAATATCTCCCTCCCTTTCTTAATTAGCATTACTTGTTGAAATATACTTCAAATCAAACATGAAATTTTTGGAGATGATAGTTACGATGGTTTTAGCTATTTCTCTTTCCTACATTGTGGGAAAGTATGACTACTTTCCAACAATGAGCCGCAGTATTTCTGCTACACCGTATGAATACTTTGTGTTTGCTCAGCAGTCTCCTTTTGTATTTTGCTTAAGTACAGATTGCAAGGGCGGACCTCTTCCAAAGATATTTACCATCCATGGCTTGTGGCCAAGCAACAAGTCTGGTTATATCGGACCATGCAGTAGTGTAAACTTTAATATATCTGTGGTATATCTATCATACTTACATATATATTGAGAATTCTGCATGCATGTGGCTTTTCTAGTGCTTTTAGTTTTTTTTTTTGTTTTTTTTTTTTTTTTTTTTTGTTTGGGGTGGGGGGGTGTTGAAATGTAAGTAGTGAGCTAATAGAAAATGTAATTAAGCATGTTTAGCTAATGGTGTATTCACTTAGTCACTAAAGATGACAAGTGTTAGGCTTTAGTAGTGAAAGGCTGTACAAGCCACGTGTAATGATCTTAGAGAGAAGTTTTAGATAAAGGGTTGTGATACAAAATGATGTAATAGTATCCAGCTGTTCTCTCTAACGGTAATATAGCTCACGCAGAGCTTGCTCATTTTTTCAGAGCATTGGAATGAAAACCTTATGATGATTTGATTCATCCTGTATTCTCCTTGCTCCCTTCACCTATTCTTCACAAAACTCTAACATGGTCTCAGAGGCCAGGTTGGATCATTTAGATCTGGGCGTAATCTGTGAGGTCACTGAGCGCAATCGAAGCTCACCTAAAGCTCTGTGAAGGTTGCCGACGTTAGCATCTGAGAAGAGAAATCGATTGATTCATACCAAAAGATGTCTGGATTTGAAGGTGAGGAGGTGAGGACTCCAATTTTCTCCGGTGAGAACTACGAGTTCTGGAGGATTAAGATGGTAACGATCTTCAAATCTCTTAGGCTATGGAGTCTGGTAGAAAAGGGGATCCCTACCCCTGATTCGAAAAAGAATAAGAAAGTCAAAGAGTTATCGGAAGAAGAAGCTGATGCAGAGATGATCGTTGTGCTCATGAAGGACGCGAAGGCTCTGGGCATTATACAAAATGCAGTCTCTGACCAGATCTTCCCTCAGATTGCCAATGCTGATTCCGCCAAAATGGCGTGGAATCTGCTCTACAGTGAGTATCACGATGGTGACCAGGTCAGGTCAGTAAAACTCCAGAATCTCAGACGAGAATTTGAATACATGAGAATGCGTGAGAATGAATCTCTAACTGCATATCTCACTCGCTTGAATGAATTGATAAATCAAATGAAAACATTTGGAGAAGTGTTATCAAATGAGGGGCTGGTTCAGAAAGTGTTAATTAGTCTTAGTAAAGTGTATGATCCTATCTGTTTGGTGATTGAAAATACAAAGAGCTTGGAGACTACTGAATTGCAAGAGGTCATTGCAATATTGAAGAGCCAAGAGCAACGTTTTGAGATGCATAACGTGGACTCAGCTGAGAAGGCATTTGCCTCATTCTTAGTAAATGCAAAAAGTCAGAACAAGAACAGTACTCAAACTGGTCCTGCTAAGTCTCAGAACCATTGGCAGTCTAAAAACAAGCCATGGGATTCTAGATCTAAGCCATAACAGGCTAGTGCTGCACAGGGATCAAATGGGTCACAATTCATGCATTAAGAAGGAGTGAAACCTCAATGCAAAGTATGCTCTCAGTTCCATTTTGGAGAATGTAGATATAAGGGACAACCTAAGTGCTACAAGTGTGAAAGATTTGGGCATTTGGCTAGGGAGTGCACTGCAAACAAAGGTGTGCAGAAAGCCAATAATGCAAGTCAAATGAAAGTAGGAGGAAACTTGTTCTTTACAAATTGTGCAAATGAAGAATGGTATGTGGATAATGGTTGCAGCAACCATATGACTGGGAACAAGAAGTTGCTAATCAATATAAACACAAATGTGACAAGCAAGGTGCAGATGCCAACAGGAGAACTTGTAAGCATAACTAGTATGGGTACTTTGGTACTTAACACAAGCACTGGTACAAAGTATATCAAAGAAGTCATGTATTTACCTGGTTTGAAAGAAAATCTGTTGAGTGTGGGTTAAATGGATGAACATGGTTATCATTTGGTGTTTGGAAGCAGCATGTGCAGTATTTTATATTATTCTTCACTGGAGAATCTTGTCATGAAGGTGGCAATGAGAAAGAATAGATGATATCCATTGTCACTGTCTTCAAATGACTTTATTGCACTAAGAGCTGGTGTGTCTCACTCTACCTGAATTTGGCACAAAAGAATGGGGCATTTACATTTGAAAGGGCTAAATCATCTTAAGGAAAAAGAGATGGTGTATGGTCTGCCACATTTGGAAGATGTAAATGAAGTCTGTGAAGGCTGTCAATTTAGGAAACAACATAGAGAGTGGTTTCCAAAGAACCAAGCATGGAGGGCAAGTACTCCGCTTGAGTTAGTACACATGGACTTGTGTGGGCCCATGCAAAACGGGTCTCTTGCAGGTAACAAATACTTCATGCTTCTCATAAATGACTGCACAAGAATGATTTGGGTCTATTTCCTTAGATACAAGTCTGATACACTAAACTGTTTTAGAAAGTTTAAGTCTATGGTAGAGCTGCAGAGTGATTTTAAAGTGAAATGTGTAAGAAGTGATAAAGGAGGTGAGTTCACATCTATTGAATTCAATAGGTTGTGTGAAGAAGCAGGCATTCAAAGGTAGTTCTCTATGGCATATACTCCATAGCAGAATAGAGTGGTAGAAAGGAAGAATAGAACAATGGTAGAAATGGCAAAGGCTATGCTACATGAGAAGGAGTTACCCTATTATCTGTGGGCAGAAGCTGTACACACTGCAGTATACATATTAAATAGATGTCCTACCAAGGCGCTCAGAAACAAAACTCCTTTTGAAGCTTATAGTACAAAGGAAACCAGGTTGTGCTCATCTAAAGGTGTTTGGCAGCGTTTGCTTTGTACATGAACCAGATGAAGAGAGACAGAAACTAGATGCCAATAGCACAAATGGAGTGTTTGTTGGATATGCGACTTGTGAAAAGGGTTATAGTGTTTGACCTTATCACTAGGAAGCTCTTATTGTCAAGAGATGTGATATTTGATGAAGGAGCAACCTGGAATTGGAAGGAAGTAGCTGAGAATCAAGTGACAATGATGAACTATGAAGAGCGACCTAGGAATCTTGAAGCAACATCATTTGAAACACCTGTAGGAAATCAAAATCATGATTTCATGTTAGGAGAAAATGTTTCACAAGGAGAATCAAGTAAAATAAGCAGCAGGGTGAAAGACACTCAAAATTTCGATCATACTCCATTGAAATGGGGAAAGTTGGATGATGTCTTAGCACAATGCAATCTGTGCATTATGGAGCCTAAGAAATTTGATGAAGCTGTAAAGGATGAGTCATGGATAAAGGCAATGAAGGATGAGTTGTCAATGATAGAGAAAACTGCTACATGGGAGCTTGTTGACAGACCTACGGAAAAACCAGTAATTGGAGTTAAATGGGTGTTTAAAACCAAGTTAAACTTGGATGGTTCAGTACAGAAGAATAAGGCAAGGTTAGTGGCTAAAGGATACTCTCAGAAACCAAGGGTGGACTACAATGAAACATTTGCACCAGCGGCTAGATTAGACACAATTTGAACTCTAATTGCACTAGCAGCACAGAAGAGTTGGAAGCTATACCAATTAGATGTTAAGTCAGCCTTTCTCAATGGTATCTTAGAAGTGTATGTAGACCAACCAGAGGGATTTGTGGTGAAGGGGAGTGAAAGCAAGGTTTACAAGCTGCACAAAGCTCTATATGGCTTGAAACAGGCGCCAAGAGCTTGGTATAGCGAAATTGATAGCTATTTTGCTGAGTGTGGTTTCACAAAGAATCAAAGTGAGGCTACCCTTTATATCAAGACTAGAGGTGAAGCAAGCATCTTGATAATGTCTATATATGTAGATGACATAGTCTACACTGGAAATAATCAAGCAATGTTAGAAGAATTCAAGCAAGATATGATGGAGAAATATGAGATGACAGATTTGGGACTCTTGCACCACTTCTTGGGGATGAGAGTAATTCAAACAAGCAGTGCTTGTTGGTGTTTGAATTACTCTCATCCCCAAGAAGTGGTACAGGATTCGTCTGAGGTTCCGAGGAATTCGGGGCGAGTCCTGTCAAAAGTAATGAGCTGATTGAAAATGTAATTAAGCCTGTTTAGCTAATGATGTATTCACCAAGTGTTAGGGTGTAGTAGTGAAAGGTTGTACAAGCCACATGTAATGATCTTAGATAGAAGTTTTAGATGAAGGGATGTGATACAAAATGATGTAATAGTATCCAGCTGTTCTCTCTAACGGTAATATAGCTCGCGCAGAGCTTGCTCATTTTTTTAGAGCATTGGAATGAAAACCTTCTGACGATTTGATTCATCCTGTATTCTCCTTGCTCTCTTCACCTATTCTTCACAAACTCTAACCAGGGGGTGTTTTTTTGGCATGATTGCCCGAAATGATATGTAATTTTTCTGTGCTTTGTTATTAGGTGAAATCTCATCCTGACTTGGAAGCTTGTCTGAATAAGTCATGGCCAAACTTCAACAGTTCAAAAACAAATATGGCCTTCTGGAAATATGAATACAACAAACACGGCAAGTGCTCTGATGTTAAAGTATCAACCCCAGCTTAGCCCATTTTGAGGAGCAATCTCTACAATATTCTAGAAGCACTAGAAGTGTAAACAACAAGGTGATAATACCACTAGAAATCCATATGAGGGTCGACTTTCCCAACTTTTCTCGCTACCCTCTCTCTCGTGCGTTTTGGTTTGCACCCTCTTTGTTTGAGAGTCTCCTCACCCTCTGGTGGTGATTTTGCTTGGGCTTTATGCTCATTTCTAGTGGTTCTTATCCACCCTTTTCCATAGCCAGTGTTGTTTTCCCCTTTTTTCCCTATCTTCTCTTCCTTTCCTTGTCCCAAAACTCGGATCTTGGATCGCTCCTTGCTCAACTCGAATTCACGCAACCTCTTTCGCTCTACTGTGTCATCCTCTTCAGATCCATGGCTTCATGTTGGCATTTGTTGGAGCGTGATTTTGGAATCTCCTTAAAGCGCTTTTGTCGCTTATTGGTCACTAGAGGCTGTATACATCCTCCCAAGACATCTCTTTGAGTTCCTATGTTCTTTGTTCTTGGTGTTATCTTGATAGTGGAGTTGTTGGGTTCCTTCGGTGCTAGTGCGGATTGGTGGTCCTCCTTCCATGTGGTGGCAGAGGCTAGGGTTTTTTTATATGTTTTTTGTTATTTTTCTGGCCCTAGTTTGTTTGTTTTGTTTGGCTTTTGTTTGTTCTAGCCTGGGCTTTTGTTACTTTTTTCATTTTGTTGGATCTTGTTTATTGTGTGTGGTTGGGCCTTTTGTTATGGGATTGTGTTTGTGATCCTATGTCATTGGGCTATCTACCATAATTTCCTTATCTAATGAATTTTACGTTGACCAAAAAAAAACCACTAGAAATATCTAGAATAAAATATATAGATCAATCTAGGAGAAAACAATAGCTGAAGTATAAAAGCCCAAGTCGGTGGAGTGGCTAAGCAAGTTGGCAGATTGAAGCTTGGAGAATAGTCTAGAAACAATTATGTAGCTAATATTATATAGCCAAGGCAGTGAGCTATGTCGGCTAGAACAACTATAAATAGGCATGAAGCCATGCATTGTAGAATCAATTAAGAAGTGAGTCAAGAAGAGTGTGAATAAGTAGAGTGAGCAATAAGCTATAGAGTTAAGTAGTTCTTGTGAGAAGTGTGAGTGAAGTGAGAAAGAGTGTTTGTAAGAGTTGGTCTTTCCTTTGAGAGTTGTTTGTTGTAATATTTTGCGAGTCTAATACAAGTAAATTGTTTACTTGTTTTGTCTCCAACAAGTCTACATTAGAGTTGTGTACTCTAAATTTTCTCAACATTCGACAACCTGTTTTTGCAGACAGAATACTTCAAACATACTTGGGGTTTGTGGAACCAATACAAAGCTCATGATCTATTTTCTAAAAGCTCGATTAAACCAGGCAAGTCATAGAGTTTTACTGACCTTGAATGAGCCATCCAAAACGCAACAAAACAAAGCAAACCTCTTCTCAGGTGCAAGATTGTGGGAGCGAATTTCCCCACAAGAATATTCAATTGGAAAGATTCCCCTTCCTTCTCCGCCATCTCTTTCTCCCTGCAAAATAGAACAAATAAGACGGCCACACCCGGGGGGTGTTGGCCAAAGGCCCTCCGATGCCTAAATTATTTCTAGAGTTTGTAAGAAAAACACTAGATAATCTAGGGTACAGATATGTGTTTATGGTGTAAACCGGGAAGCCGGAGCCTTATGTAAGAGAGAGAGAGAGAGAGAGAGAGAGAGAGAGAGAGAGAGAGAGAAGATGGCTAAGGTTTGAGAGGAATTTTCTGCAAAGTTTCAATAAAGATTTCAAACGTACCTCAACCCTTGTGCGTGGTCATCCTTTTATAGTGGTCTCGGAGGGTTAGGGTTTGGAGAAAAATAATCCTTGTTGGGAAAGGAATTATTTTTCTGATTTTAGGAGATTTAAATCAATTAAGGATTTAATGCGAATCAAATCCCTAATCAAGGCAAGAATCCCCAAATCAAATATTCCCCAAATGGAAGGAATTATTTGACCTACGATTTGCTTAAAATTAGGTTCCCACAAAGATAATTGAAGAACAGAACTCAACAGAACAATATTTGCTGGAAGTCAGAATTTGCTTTGATTACTATGCACGTGAACCAGTAAATTGTACAAGGCCGAGTGTCATCCACAATTGTCCCAGGAGGAGGATGTCAAAAGAATGTCATCCACAATCACCTGTATGGTATATGCTATAGCCTATAGGTATAAGGGTGAATTAAGCTATATTGATATAAATCTAATAAGGATGAAATATATAATCTATGAATTAATGTGTACGTAGCTATGTGACGCGATGAATCGTGATCATGATCGTAATGCTTAATTTGCAGTTTGTGTTAAATATAATCTATGTTTTGATTTCTTAATGCACATCCCTATATAGTTTTGCAACAGGCATAGTCATCATGTTTATCTGGAAATGTAAAATCTTATATGAGTTGCATGCATATGTCAATCAACTACAAGTATAATTATATCTCTTTTGATCATCAACTGCAATGTACATAGAAAAAATGAAAACTCTTGTACGTACATAAACAATTGGCGGATCCAGATTCGACATACAAATTTGGTAGGAAGAGACATTCGGTTATCGGTGCGGAGGTTATAGCAGATTGTGCATCCATCTTTGTCAACCACAAGAAGCTCATCGCTTTTCCAGAGTGCCAATACCCATCCGCCCTCCCTGAGGTCCATTGTGGGGATCGATGTGGGCTCAAAACCTGCGTGTTTTGTCCAAACACAAGCACCAAAATCATCATCCATCAGCCACATTCCAAAGTATGCACTAACATCACAACTGTTATGCCAAACACAAAGAGCAATGGAAGATTCATTCCATATTGTAAGCAGCACGAAAAGCCCCAAAAAATTTCTTTCATGGTCAGCTCATCTGGTAACGTTACCTCATCAAACACCTCATCACTCATGTCAAACGAAACCATCACTTGCCTAATCATTTCTTCATATCGAAGTTCCTCCTCATCCACGAATTCCTTTTGTTGCTCAGATCCCAATCAATAACACATCCCCTTCAAGTGTATCTGGAACCTTTCAGGCCAAAGGAAAGTAGTTTCTGTTTCCAAAGAGCAAGTCTTGATCTCTCTCCAAGAAGAAGATTCTTCACTACTTCCCAGCGTGTACACTTGTACTCTCAGAGGATAAATAACCACAGAATATAATGTATGAGCATGCCTTTGCGAACCATAAAATATAATGCTAACAACTTTATAAGCTTTAGATATAGGATCATAGCCAAATCCCATGGCCCATTCGAGCCGATTATTTAATGGTCGATACGGGGCACGCTGCTGATCTAGGGACTCCCAATCCGTAAAGTATTTCTCTGAGGGAAGAAGCTTGAATTCCTGAATTGCCGGATTCCACAAAAACACCTTACTATAATTATCTACGTGTACACAAATGATTCCATGACAATGGCCTACAATCCTAAGTTCTTCACCACCACTCATTACACTCATAGAAACTGGAACATTGATGTCCTCCACCGTAGACAATAGAAACCTATGCGCACCACCATCTGCATCCTTGCAAAAAGTAAGCACTGAGAACACTGATTCGGTCTTGCTAGAATTCGGGTCCTTATTAGGGACTAATCGCTTCAAAAAGATTGATTGATTGTTGTGCAAGCAATTGGAGAGTTGATTGTCTACGAACCTGGGATTGTTGATCAACGCATACCACCATTTGGCTGCGCACTTGAATCGCATAAGGGATTTTGGAGGTAGACTTGATAGAATTTTTACCAATAAATCTTCCCCAATTTTGCAACTGTGTGCCATTATTTCAGCTATATATATTTCTCAACCCTTTCCGTCTTCTACCTCTTCTTCTTTTGCACACACAAACAGGAAATAACAAAACAACACCCAGGTTAAACATAAGGAAAAATTATCATATCTGTATTATATATAAATCAAAGAGTAAAAACAACGTAAGACTTTCTAAAGTGTAATCCACAGAGAAAGTTCGATTAACATCGTATTCAGAATAACAAATATTAAAAGGGATTAAAGTATACCAAACCATATTAAACATTACAAAGAAAAAAAGTTATATACAGTTACCTTATAATGAGTGGGAAGAGGAACATATATAGCAAATATACAATGGAAAGAAGAAAATTTAAGGTTTGATCATGGGATGAGAGAGAGAGAGAGAAATGCAGCAGTAAATAAGGATCTGTTCTCCCCAAAATTGGTGTCCTCATCATTTGTCTCTGCTTGACATGTGTTCTTCACTTTGATTGTATATATATGAATGTGTGTGATATTTACGGTTAATAGCACACCAGTGTCCTTTTAAACTTACAGTTAATAGCATGAAATAGATACATAATTTGCACATCACATCACCCAAGCTTGTTGCCTCCCTCCCTAGACAGAAACTATATATTCACAAGTCCATTATATTCTTCAGTAATTAGATTTTATAATGGATCATAATAGGGTGGAATTCTTCGAATAGGAAGACACGTACGGTTTTTGGTACGCAGGTTATAGCAAATGTACATCCATCTCCGTGAACCACACAATGCCAATGCCCAATCCAACCGCCTGAGGTCTATTATGGGGCTCGGTTCAAAATCCAAGTGTTTTCTCCAAACACGCTTGGCAATGGCAATGGCAATGGCAATGGCAACGGCAACATCATCCATCAGCCACATTCCAAACGATTCAAGCCACAAAGACCAATGCAATCATTCCACCTTACTATAATCAGCTGATTATATTCACTTCAATCTAACAGGAGAAAGTCATTATATATATATATATATATATATATATCTTGATCATCAACAACTACAATATAGAAATCCCTCCTTGTTCATCTTTACAAAGAAAATGTCAACTAGGATAAGTGGGAAGAAGCGAAATTAAGGTTCGATCATGGCATGAAGGAGAGAAATGCAGAGTTGCGAGCGAGAGAGCTTGAGCTGTCGAGGGGGCAGAGAGGCCGATGTTTCTTTCGTCTGTAAGGTGTTTTGTAGGAGGGATTTTGTTTTTATGGAAAGGTCTAAATATAACCCCCTCCTGCTGACTTGATCCACCATAAAGAATTTCATCCCAGCAATCCCCTCTTTCGTCCTATATTTTAACTGTACAAAGAAAATACAAAAAAAGAAGAGTTTGAATAAAGAAGAAAAAAACCCTAGCAGCTGCTGAACCCCACTCGACAGTCACTCAACCCCGATAACCGGCACCCTCTGCTCCTTCTCTCTCCTCGTGATGTGATGTGATCCCACATAAGAGAGAGAGACAAGTGGAGAGGGATAGTCTTTGTTGGGGTTGGCAAATTACCAGAGAATGGGGAGTAACCATTGCATATTTGCATGTTGATAGTGTGTTTTTTGCTTTCCAGCGTTCTTGTGTGGAGATCAATCTATATATCCGCAACCTGAAATACTCACCCATCGAATTCCTTAACCTCATTGATAAAAAAGAAAATATCTAAAAATACTACTGAATATGTAGTAGAACTCGATCCCCTTTGGAAAAAATTTCTTTTCTAATTATCTGCAATATTGAAAATTCGTTGGCAACAAATATAGCCTCAAAACTTGCTTTCAAACAATTTCAATTATGATCGAACTATGCAGGTGGTGTGTTATGTAATGTCATACACAAAACACCAACAGAGTACATCAGTGTCACCATAAGAGAAAAAGGAAAAGATAAAATAGAATTATATTCATAATGTAATTATAAAGAGAATCAAGGGATCTATTTCTTCAGTGCTTTAACCGCTTTCTCGGCAGCATCATCCAGATCTTCTGCTGTAATTAAAGCCATTCCACTTTCCTGCACAGCCATTAATGAACAGTAAAGTTTCTAATATACATTCTGAATATATTTTCCATGACTGACTTTTTTTTCTCTTTACTTTCATGTATTAGGATCCTAAATTTCTAATTGGTACCTTCAGAATTCTCTTTCCTTGGTCAACGTTGGTGCCTTCGAGACGAACGACCACGGGCACTTCTAGTTTAACCTTGAACATGGATGAACAAAAGTTAATGCTCCTTCCTTGGTGGAAATTTTTTTTTCTTTTCCCAAAATTCATCTCCCAGCAGCAATTAACCAAATTATTTCAATCTCCTTCTTAAGCACAATCCAAAGTGATATCAAGTAAAATGAATCCACCAGGAAATAATTTGCCAAAACATGGCAATTAATTGGAGAATCACCTGTTTAGCAGCATTGACGATTCCACTTGCAATCACATCACATTTCATTATTCCACCAAAGATATTCACCAAAATGGCTTTCACTTTCTCATCAGAAGTCAAAATCTTAAATGCCTCAACAACCTGTTTCACATAATTTAAAATTAGAGAAACAGAAAGAAATTTGAGTTTCTTATGTGCTATAAATCAGTCATATTCTTTAACAGGGGAGTGTAAAACCAATAACAAAAACTGGGATTAGGCTTTAGCACTCAGACATGCATGTGCACATTGCGCAAAGAGCATCATCAATTTTTTAACAAACTAGTGAACCATCTTAAACCCAAAGCCACATTCAAATTGAGATATAAAACAGATCCTAATACCAAAGAAGTAAAGAATAAAGCTGAAAAAGAAAAAGACTCGATGACAACAGTGGGGAAAAAAGGTCCGACAAGCAGTTCATTCATTTCCTATCACTCCATCATTACCTGGTTTTCAGAAGCATTTCCGCCTACATCGAGAAAATTGGCAGGAGTTCCCCCGTGTAATTTAATGATATCCATTGTAGCCATAGCTAATCCTGCACCATTCACCATGCAACCAATTTCCCCATCTAATCCAATATAATTCAAATCTACTTTAGCAGCAGCCACCTGTCAGTAGGTAAAAGGCACCAGAGCAAATAAGTAAACACCAAAAAAGATTGTTATCTAGCACAAAGAACTTCACATTCAAGTTGTGCACTCTTAACTTTAGACACAGCGTGTCCTGTTGTAAATGTATCAGATAACATTCAACTACCTAGATAAAGCATCTCCAACAAACAAACTCATGGGTGGCAGCTGGGCTTTACTATAACAATTAAATATTATTCCCAGTAGACAATATGGGAACTTTCATTGGCCCTGTTATTCCTCCATTCCTGTTGGAAGTGGGGATCAGGAATGCCTATTAAAAGCTGACAAAGGTTCACTAGGTATCTCGGGGCCCCACCTTCCTCCACCCCAACTATAAGGGGCAGGTCTAAACCTGCCCAACCCAGATCATGATCTTAAACAAAAAATTCTGTTACAGATCAACAAAAGATGTGTGAGAATAGCTGCTTGTAGCAAAAATCCTCACCAAATTTGGGATGCACATGTTGCACATGCATATAAACCAAAAATATATATTAAATCTGTACAGGAAGGCAGAAAAAGGAAAAAAAAATTGAAATATATTAAAAGGTAGAGCCCAAAAACCCTAAACAATTAGGAATGAAATTCAAGTCTACAAAGGAAGATGGGGTGGTAAGTGGCAACAGAACTGCAACGAATGGTACTAATCAGCTGTAAAAGTGATCAAGCACAAGGATAATTAACCAAACCTCTCGAGGATCCTCTTGTGTTGGATCACGAAGAGCAAATATCTCTTTCTGACGAAAAGCAGCATTATCATCAAAGTTCAACTTAGCATCAGCAGCTACTAGCAGGTTATCAGAAGTCTCTGCAAGTGGATTGATCTGTCCAAAAATCAAGGGTCAGATAGGTAAAATGGAAGGAGGGGAAGTGGTTAAACAGTACAATTACTTTAACCTAAAAATTATGCTCACTTCCAGAAGTGTGCAGTCAGTCTCACTGAATAGCTTATATAATTTCTTCACTTGATCAATTGAACTACTTCTATCGGCCACTTTAGGAGCCAAACCATCAACAACCTTTGCAGCATCTTCATCTGTAATTCCAGTGAAAACATCGACAGGTACCTATCGACCATAGAATAAGAAAACAAAAGTAAGAAGATACTAGTTAAATCACAATACAGAAAAGGAAAGAGTAGTTGCTAAAACATAAAAATAAAAGATACGGCTAAGTACCTTTATTATCTGATCAGGGAATTTCTCAGCAAGGTCTTCAATGCTTGTTCCTCCCTTTGCACAGGCAATTATAAGCTGAAAAATGGATATCAAAATATGCATCTTAATTCAGGAAGCTCACTTTGAAGAAAACTTACGTTAACAAAGACATAGGAAAATAAAATAGGTAATTTGCACCAGACAAAGATAATGAAGTCAGTTTGAGAACATACTGGGCCAGCAGTTTTGCGATCCAGAGTGATAGCAAAGTACATCTCATTGACAAGCGACAACTTTTGGCACAAATAAACCTGTACAGGCAATAGTTAGAAACCAAATCATAAGTAAAAAAATTTATAGTGCTGATGTGTATGTTCAATAAAGTTTGAGGCTTGGAACTCCTTAGCACCAAGTTTTATTTAATAAAATAAAAATGAAAATTTGGAATCCTTAGAAACAAGGATTCCAAGATTTAACATAAAAATGAAAGTTTGGGAACTAACATGTATTGAATGCTACAAGTTAATATAAATGTACAATATGAAACAAACTGCAATGCCAACCTTGCTGACAATTTTTCCCTGAGGACCTGTTTGCTTGGTAACAAGAATCTGACCAAGCATCTTGCCTGCAAGAGAAGTACAAAATTGAAACAAAGAAGAGCACCAAAAGGACAAAGCAGCATCACATCTTAGAAAGCAGCAACTTCCAGAATCATACAGAACAATAAATGTACAAAAGACTATCACAACATACTATTGTAAACTAACATGCATGCATTGCTAGAGGCATTGTAATCTAACATATCAAGCTTGGGTGCGCTAGAGTTATTTCTATGAGAGACAATGTTGGTATGCCCAGAGATAACTTTAAGCAAACAAAAACGCCAGGGAAACATTCTCATATAATAAAGATGGTTTTTAGTACCAGCGATATCTTCAACTTGGTCAGCCGGGACAATGTGAACACCACCCTTAAGACCATTTTTAAAGGTTCCCAAGCCTCTTCCACCAGCCAAAACTTGGCTTTTAACTACCAACTGCACCAAAATCCAAGTTAGCATTGCCCCCTTTCAAACACTAAGCTAGTTTGCTTAAAGAAAAAAGATATAACAACGGTATTCCAACTTTTACTTTTTCAGCCATTGAAATATGAAGATAAATTATCCTTAAATCAGACATAAAGTTTTGTCCTGGAAAAGAAAACGAATATTGCTATGAATATTTCTTTTTTCTCAGTTTGATCAGCAACATAGAATAGTGCTTGTCTTCTTGTCAAAATAAACCTGAATATGAAAAGACCATGATTTCCAATAATTACCTCACTTTCCTTGGGGAATACATCCTGAATTGCCCTTTTGACTTCATCAACGGAAGCGACGGCAGCACCTTTCGGAACATTAACCCCATATTTGCTCATCAAATCAGCCCCCTGGTTTCAGCCAAAGTGAAAGGCATTCATCCTCAAATTTCAAACAACATTCTCACTCTCGCACAGAAGTATAACCAACAACTAGAATGATGTAATGTGACTCGAAGATGTACACCATTCTCATAAATGAAAAAAACAGACATTTGGCACATATACATACACATTATATTCTATACATGTATATTTCAAAATTTTGAAGTTTTTTTTTGTTGCACAGGAAGACAATTTTTTAGGGATGAAAATTTTCACTGATCACTACTATTTACTTTAAACAAATGTATTAAATTAATCAAAGACAACAAAATAACTATGAAACATATAAACAAATCATAAAACGAAAAATTGTGTTCTTTACTTTCCAGAGTTTCTGGAGAATTAAAAGAGAAACAGATCAGCTACGTATGAAAGTTTGAATTTGATTGTAAGTGTGAGCGAAATATGCAGAGAGAGAGACCTGATATTCGTGGATGTTGAGGCGACGGAGCTGTTGCCGCTGCCATTTTCCGGCGATAGAGAGAGAACGAGAGGTAAGCTGCTTCAGTAATCCTCTCACCATTGTATGAAGCTCTCAAACCCTAAAGCAACTAGAGAGAGAGACGCACACAGCGAGAGAGAGAGAGAGAGAGAGAGACTGCGTTTGCCGGACGCAGAGGCGATTGGGTCTGAGAATGCGAAAGGATCCCTAGTGCATTTTCTTTTTTAATATTCTTTTGACCCGTTTTAGGCATTTTATGGATTTCATTTTGTTTTTCTTTTCTTATTTTATGTGAGCCAATAGATCGGCGCCGCGTCATAGATCTCCGGTTCCTTTTTCTTTTCTTTCAGACTTTCAAAACCTGTTACTATGAATGAACCGGTTCTCGGTTTGATCCCAATGTCCCATTTACTTGTTGGTAAAATTTCAAGCTTAAAAACCACGAGGGGTTGTGCGATTGACAAACTTTCATTTTTAGTTGGCGAGCTATTTGGTGCCTCAATGACAAGGGTTTGAAGCTTGTTAGAAGTATTTTGTGGCCATAGACAAGTCAAAACACGATCAGATTAATCTCACCATTCGGGTGTGGGAACACCTAATGGTATTTATCCACAAAAAAAAATATATCAAGCTTAAAAAATGTCTATGCCCATAACGGGCTAGTATTGTAGTTCAAGTGTATTTACTCTTGCATTTGATGTCCTAGATTCGAGTCACCTCTCCTAATATCAACTGAATATAAAATAAACAAAAAACATAGACACACCATAAAATATATGGCACCATTGAACTGTGATACAATCGTACAAAAATAATGTTGTAGATGATATTACCTCATAATCTATTTTTTTAAGGCTTTTTATGGCTCCACTTTCTGAACAACCAGAACAACAATAGGCTATAGCAATGGAAATGTAGGAAAACTTCAAGGTTTTTAATTATATCAGTGATATATCAATTGATATCACACATAGATTAATACATTAAATTCTAGAAAAAGGACTAATAAATTAGGGCCCGTTTGATAACTATTTCAATTTTAGTTTTTAATTTTCACTTTTTGTGCTAGAGTATAGACGAAAAAGAGAGTGAGAATGGAAGTGAGGATGACATTGAGGAAGATGATGAGAGGGAGGAGTAACAAAAGTAAAAAAAAAAAAATTCATCTCATCTTCTCTCTCAATCCCATCTCCACTCTTCTTCTCACGTCCATTCTCCCTTTTTTTTCTCTATAGATTCCAACAAAAAAAATATATAAAAACTAATATTGAAATTGTTATTAAACGGTCCCTTAAATTGTTAGTTCAATTTGAGAACAACATATACAGACTTAGTATTGCATCTCTCTCTCTCTCTCTCTCATCCTTTGATCAGGCCTTAATTTTGCTTCTTCCCATCGTATATTTGCTATGTTCCTTTTCCCTAGTTTTTTTTTGTTTTTAATGTTTAATTTTGTCTGTAATTTCTTTTTTGAATAACAAATTCCAGCGGTAGGTTGAGGGACATATGTCAAGCAGAGACATAGGGGAACACCAATTTTGGAGAGAACAGATCCGGAATCACTGCTGTATTTCTCTCTCTCTCTCTCTCTCTCTCTCTCTCTCTCTCTCTCTCTCTCTCATCCCATGATCAAACCTTAAATTTGCTTCTTTCCATTGTATATTTGCTATGTTCTTATTCCCACTCATTATAAGGTAACTATATATACCTATTTTTCTCTGTATTGTTTAATATGGTTTGGTATACTTTAATCCCTTTTAATATTTGTTATTCTGAACACGATGTTAATCGAACTTTCTCTGTGGATTACACTTTAGAAAGTCTTACGTTGTTTTTACTCTTTGATTTATATATAATACAGATATGATAATTTTTCCTTATGTTTAACCTGGGTGTTGTTTTGTTATTTCCGGTTTGTGTGTGCAAAAGAAGAAGAGGCAGAAGACGGGAAGGGTTGAGATATATATATATATACTGAAATAATGGCACACAGTTGCAAAGTTGGGGAAGATTTATTGGTAAAAATTCTATCAAGTCTACCTCCAAAATCCCTTATGCGATTCAAGTGCGCGGCCAAATGGTGGTATGCGTTGATCAACAATCCCAGGTTCGTAGACAATCAACTCTCCAATTGCTTGCACAACAATCGATCAATCTTTTTGAAGCGATTAGTCCCTAATAAGGACTCGAATGCTAGCGAGACCGAATCAGTGTTCTCAGTGCTTACTTTTTGCGAGGATGCAGATGGTGGTGCGCATAGGTTTCTATTGTCTAGGGTGGAGGACATCAATGTTCCAGTTTCTATGAGTGTAATGAGTGGTGGTGAAGAACTTAGGATTGTAGGCCATTGTCATGGAATCATTTGTGTACACGTAGATAATTATAGTAAGGTGTTTGTGTGGAATCCGGCAATTCAGGAATTCAAGCTTCTTCCCTCAGAGAAATACTTTACGGATTGGGAGTCCCTAGATCAGCAGCGTGCCCCGTATCGACCATTAAATAATCGGCTCGAATGGGCCATGGGATTTGGCTATGATCCTATATCTAAAGCTTATAAAGTTGTTAGCATTATATTTTATGGTTCGCAAAGGCATGCTCATACATTATATTCTGTGGTTATTTATCCTCTGAGAGTACAAGTGTACACGCTGGGAAGTAGTGAAGAATCTTCTTCTTGGAGAGAAATCAAGACTTGCTCTTTGGAAACAGAAACTACTTTCCTTTGGCCTCAAATTTTCCAGATACACTTGAAGGGGATGTGTTATTGGTTGGGATCTGAGCAACAAAAGGAATTCGTGCATGAGGAGGAACTTCGATATGAAGAAATGATTAGGCAAGTGGTGGTTTCGTTTGACATGAGCGATGAGGTGTTTGATGAGGTAACGTTACCAGATGAGCTGCTAGACCATGAAAGAACTTTTTTAGGGCTTTTCATGCTGCTTACAGTGTGGAATGAATCTTCCATTGCTCTTTGTGTTTGGCATAACAGTTGTGATGTTAGTCCATACTTCGGAATGTGGCTGTTGGATAATGATTTTGGTGCTTGTGTTTGGACAAAACACGCAGGTTTTGAGCTCACATCAATCCCCATAATGGACCTCAGGGAGGGCGGCGGACATGTATTGGCACTCTGGAAAAGCGATGAGCTTCTTGTGGTTGACGAAGATGGATGCACAATCTGCTATAACCTCCGCACCGAAAACCGAATGTCTCTTCCTACTATACAAATTTGTATGTCGAATATGGATTCGCCAATTGTTTATGTGAATAGTATAGTTTCGATAGGTCTTGGGAGGCATCAAACTTGAGAGATGAGAAAATCTGGCAATATAGAATTTCTTAGTGTGTCATGTACACGAGTTTGATACAACATTATGATCCAAGCTTCTAATTTCTTAGTGTGTCATCCTCAAGATTAAAGAAAATTTTGAGTATGATAAGTGATGTTTGTATTTGATGGGAAGGATTTGGAGACAACCTATGAATCACGTGCCATCTAGCCACAATGGTTTTGGGTGCCGTATTAGTTACAAGAATACATTTTTTGAGACGGGGTTGGAATAAGTCCAATATGTCTGAATTCAATAGATTTGCTAATTAGCGGTATCATGTTCGAATTCTCATGGTATATTGGTAGTGTATGTTGGTCGATTTGAATTCGGTCATGCAACCTCTATCTTTTTGTGGAAATGGAACCAATGGGTTTAATGACAAAGTTGTGGGCAACTCTAATTGGGTATGGCCATCTAGGCACCATGTCAACATACAAGGATTTTATGGATGAAGTTCACGGAATTGGGTAACGTGGAACACATACTTAGGCCCTGTTTGGTTCACGGAACGGATTTGAGGGGAAATCATTTCCCATGTCATTTCCCAAGGGATGAGAAATGAAAAATTCATTTCCCACGTTTGGTAATGCCGAGAAAGTAACCCTGAGATATTACTTTATTTCCTTTCCCATGTTTGTTTTGAGTAGCAATGGAAAACAAAGTTTGTATAATTTTCCAATTATACCCATATTAAATCAAATAAAAAAAAATGCATTTAATGATATATTGTAATCCTAATAGGGACAAAATTGTCAGAAAAAATGTGTATTTAATATTGACTCATTTCCCTAACTTTCCCATGAGAAGAGAAAACAAAACCCAAGTTGGGAGGAGGGCTTCACTTTCCTCCCTACTTTCCCATGTATCGGGCAACCATATTTCTCATACCTGGACTTATCAAACATGGGAAAGCAATTTATCTCCCATCCCTAAGTCTCTTTTCCCATGAACCAAACAGGGCCTTACAGCTTCATATGTAAACTAAACAAAACACAAGAAACATAACAGAAGCTACATGCATTATTCTCAATATGTGTATGTATGTATGATAGAGATATACCACATCTCTACTAAATTGTCTACCAACGCAAGGTTTATGACGATTTGTGAAGTTGCTTGGCCACAAGCCATGAATTGTAAATATTCGTGGCAGAGGTAGGATGTTGCTTCCATTTCCATTACTATCTTTGCAAAATGCAAAAGGAGACTCCTGAACAAACTGAAAGTAGTCATACTGTCCAGCAGCATTGCAGCTCATGTTTCCCACAATGTTGAAGGAAAGAGCAATACCTAAAACCATCGCAACTATGGTCGCCAAGAATTTCATGTTTGATTTTAAGTATATTTTGTTTACACCATAATCAACCGAGCATATCTAGCCTTAAAACAACTAGCACCAAGGCAGCCACGTCTTCCCCGCCGAAGGAAGACACTCTTCCAAGGTGCCAGACACCTGCCGAAGCCCCCGACTGCCGAAGCTCTCAAACTGCCGAACCTAATCTCCAGGACACGTGTCACCACCACAGTGACTTGCACAAAGTCCCACATCAAAATTTTACACGAACCTTCCACTTTCACTTCCCTATAAATAGGGAACAGTACCCTAGTAAAAAGGGTAACTACTTTCTTACTTTTACTATTACTCTGCCAAAGTTACTACTCTTAGCTTACTTAAGCATTGGAGAGCCTTCGGCCGGCACCACACCGGTGTCCGAAGCTTAACAATTGCTTCTCCCACTTTGTCTTCTGCAGGCTAGTCCCTTGTCGAAGGTCCTCACCTTCTCTATTGTTGAAGACAAACCCCTTTTCTCTAAGTTGACCCTCTCCGAAAAAGAGCCTCAACATATTTCAACAATTTATGCTAATTAAGAAAGGGAGGGAGGGAGATATTAAGGAAGATCTCTATCGATGGAGAAGGGTGTTCCATCCCAAGTGATATGTATATATATATATATAAGCTAAACTCACAATCAGCATCAGTGTGTCCAATTTAGACTCACATGGAATGTTGTTGACATAAAAGAAAGCAAGAAACAGAAACAACATAAAATTCACATGTAGTGTTGTTGACAGGGTTAATATTGTTGAGGTTGGGGGACGGCAGATCCGAAGGATGGCATAAATCTATGTCCCCTCTCTCGGCTCCATGTACTGAACATCCATAATAACAAGACTAACATAGACAGGAAAACTAGGAAAGCTTTTATAAAGCATAAAAAGAGTGCTGAACATCCTATATTATTATATGCTATACGAGGAAATCGGGTTCATGTTGCAATTTTAAAATTTCTGAGTTACAATAACAATGTGTTGAGATGATTTTTCAGAGCTTATGAGCTGCAGAAGAACAAGATAAGCTAATAGCTAATATTATTAGGATAAATGTATTTTTCTTTTTCCAAGGACTCTGCAATCTTCTTGGAAATGCAATAAGCCGTGGATTGGATGGTAATCATGGGATTTACACCAATTGCAGTTGGAAGCAAACTCCCATCACAAACAAACAACCCTTTTGCCTCCCAGCTCTCACCATTCTCATCAACTCCTCCTTCCTCCTCACTTGCACTCATTCTGCAACTTCCCATCTGATGTGCAGAAGAGTATATGGTCCAAAGCTCTTCCCTTGAGCTTGGCCCTGCAGGTGCAACCACAGTGTCCAAAAACTCTTCCAAATCCTCATGCTTTGTCCCCTTGCATTTTATTCTCTGCCCATCATTTCTATATGTTCCCACTTCAACAGCTCCTGCAGCAATCAAGATTCTCAAAGCCTGCCTAAGCCCAACTTGAAGATTCTCTTTATCCAACTGGTCTAGTGTGTAGTGGATCCTACCCTCTCTCTTCACCACCCCTGAACCCTTATCTCTGACCAATGCAAACAGGTGAGCTGTTCTTGCATACTTCTCCATCCTGTCCTTCATGTCAAGCCTTGAAATCCATGGAGACAGTGTAGCAAATGAGGCAGGCCCTAGTGCAGGAGTTTCTATGATTGCCCGGACGTTTGTGGTATCGGAAACCACCTTATGGAGTGAAGTGATGATCCCTCCCTCATAAGTTCTGCCTCTAAATTCTGATTCGTGTTCAGGAAAGTATCCCCAGGACAACAGAACAGGGTGAAGGTGGAGGTTCCTGCCGATATTTGGGTTCTTGAGTCCACTGGAGATCATCAGAGGAGGTGTCAAGAGAGATCCACATGCTGAAATTGTCACCTTGGCCTCAATTTGCAGCTTCTTTTTCATATTCTTGCCCAAAGATGTTGCTTCCACACCAAGGCATCTTTTTCTTGTACCTCCTCCTTGACTGTCATTCTCCAATATGAACTTCTCAGCTTTGCATCCAGTCAAAATCACTGCACCACATTTAACAGCATCAACTAGCCAAGTAGAATCAGTCCCTTGCTTTTCTCCTGTTGGACAGCCATAGTTGCAAGAACCACAGTAATGATCTCCCGGGGAATTCCTAGGAACCAAATCAACTTTCAGACCAAGAGTGTCGCACCCTTTTCGCAGAATCTGATTCTGAAAGTTTTCTTCAGTACAACTATCCGTGACTCTAATCCTCTTACACACAACATCCATGGCAGATTTGTAATCAGAGCTTGCATAAAGTCGAACCTTATGATCCACAGACCACTCATGCAGAACCGTATCTGGTGTTCTGATCGATGCAGACCAGTTTATAGCAGAACCTCCTCCAACTGTTGAGCCAGCTAATATCATTATCATCCCATCAACTGATGACATAATTCCACCTGATTCATATAGTTCATTCATTGAGGGGCCTTCTAGAGAAGAGTAATCTTTAGGCAGAAAATAGTTCCCTTTCTCGACAACCATCACTTTTTGGCCAGACTGTGCAAGAACTGCAGCTGCAACTCCTCCACCACAACCAGAGCCAACAATGACAACATCACATTGGATCTTGTGGATGTTGTGAGTCGTATCATCCGAGACCCGAAGGCCTCTCTTAGTGAGAGATTGAACAAGTGTAGAATCACTCTCATTCATGGTTTCTATGATTCCCTGTTCAAGAGGTCTCTCCTTTGGAGTATTTATCAACTTTTTTTTGGTGTTCAAATCGTATCCAACTGCTTTCCATGCTGGGTTTCTTGAATTTTTATCAAGCTGAAACCAACCAGACAAAGTGATATTAAACTTCAATTCCTATAATTGAAAAGATGAACACATATGTATTCTGCCATATATCTTTCTATCAGACATTTCTTGTAGGATTTTGTTATTTAGATCCACATTTTCCAGCAATTTTACATATAGCCTTTGTCAAATCGTGTTTTGAACAATTATAAACAGTTTAGATGCAGAATGAGATATTATTGAAGACATCATAGACGTTGCAGATGAATGCTACAAGATATTATAGACGGTCTCCTGATCACTACAAACCGTCACACATTTTTTCACAAGAGAAACAAACAGAAATATATAGTAAAATCCGCACTTTGAGTTTAATTTTTTATTTTTAAACTGACCGAAATTCTCAGACCCTCTTGTCATAAATTATTAAATACAGCACTAATCTATCTCTTTGATTTTTCTTTCTAGTTTAAAGAGTTTTTTATTCTTCTTTTACTTGGAAAGTGTCACGGAGGTCGGTAGGAGTTAAAGAATATTTGTCCTTTTGCTTTCCCTTACCATTATCAAAGCAATGAGCCATGAGTGAAGAAAGGAACAGATAACATAAATTATAAAAAGAAAGGAAAAAGGCCAGCTGACAAGTCTGACAAGACTTGCATTATGTAATAGTGGAGGAGAAAAACTAACTTCTCTATTCCCGTTTCATTGTCCGTTTCATTGTCCCAAGCATAGAGACAGAGAGAGCAGGATAATGAAACGGGGATAGTGAAGTATGACTCATTGTGGAGAGAGGGGGTTAAAATCAGATGCAAGATTACCCAGGAGAAGAAGGTGTAGAAGCAGAAGATTTTGACCACCAAGAACATCAATCTGAGTGTGAGTACAAGCTTTTCCTTTGACCATTTCTTGAGGACTTCCTCTCTTTTCTCCAAAGACATTTCAGAGAAGCTGTGGATGAATGGCCATTTCCAACTAAGACAACGATGCCCACAGAGTAATAATGTTCCTAATCTGAATGACAGCATCTTCAGAAATAGCTTCATTCCCTCCAAAACTTCTGGTAGAGCCCTCTTCACCATCAATTCTGCTACCTGTTTGTTTACCAAATTGATCCAAAAGAGAAACAGAACAAGTTGAATATTTCATAAACTAAAAAAATTAAGGGCATTGACTTGCAAACTCTCAAGTTCGAACCATTGTGACACCTTAAGGGTTTCTTATACGCTCCTGTAGTTTAGACTACAGCTTTTTATTTTATTTTTTTAAACAGAACAGAAGAGCTTTCCTATAAACTTCAATAGAAACCAACATGAAATTCACCTCATCTGGTATAGGAGGCTGAGACCCAGAAGCTCTGTAGATGGAATGAAGGGCTTGGTCATCTGGGCTTTCCTCCTTCTTGTTATTGTTGTTGTTTATGGTGTCTTCCAGTGACAAAGGAGGTACCAGAGCTTCACAGATGGCAGCCAGTGATTGGATTTGAGCTGGAGAGAAACCATGGCTGAATTTGCTTTCCCTCCTTCCTCCTCTCAACAAAGGATGGCAACTGCTCTCTCTTCCCTCCATCTCTCTCTCTCTCTAAGAAGATGCTTTGCTCTTGTAAGGGTGTGTCTTTGGCTTCATGTTGTTCCATAAAGAACAAGCATTGCCGAATTTATATAAAAACAGGAGAAGAGAGATGGTGTGCCGTGCGGAAACAAACAGATAACAATTGTTAATTTGTCATCGTCTAGAACAAATTAGAACGTCGAAACCAAACACTACACTCATTTAAACAGTTTAGGATTTGTACATAAACCAAATAGTTAGGTTGCACATTAAATGGGCCTATAGTCAAGTGGAAAAGTTCAAATTATTAGATATAATATACTCATTTTGCGTAAATCTTTTAAACATCATTGTATTTATATATATAATAATATAAGTCATAGTCTAAAACAAACAAAAAAGAGAAAAAAATGTTTCTATAGATTTCATAGGATGGATAAATCAAAGATCAGATAACTGATATATGAGTTTTCAAGTCAACTTTTATGCATTAAAAAAAAAGTGTAGTACTCATATTTTGTCAAACAAGTGGCATTGAAAATGGAGATCATACTAGAAAAATAAAACCCTCTTCCCAGTTTTTAAAAAGAAAATTAGAAAATGCAATTACGTACATCCGTATTATTCTATAATTTCTCTTATTATAGTTAAATTCTCATATATATAACCTCAGTCTACCGTTAATAGTACTGTTCTATAATAAATATCAACTAACCTAGCCTATCCGCACGGGCTTCCGCGCTTGCGAGATAATTTTTTTTAAAATTTTTAATTTATTTTAGAATTAAAAAATATAATGGATAGTTGTGTTCCATAAAATTAGGGTTTATTATCTGATTTTTTTTTCTTTCATTTTAATTTTTTTAAATATGAAAAAATGTGAATTTACCATATTATCCTCATAAAATTAATATTTTTTATTTTTAAAATTTACATTAACCAAGGAAATTTCTGGTATTTTGAATGTTTTACCATTCTCTGTCTTTTACTTTATATATATAGATATTATGTTGATAGGTAGATGCCTTAAAAATCTAACATTAATATCTTTGCGTTTTAAGAAGACAGATGTTATGGTCGATCTCTCTCAACCGCCCATTCCACGTTAAAAATTAAAAACCTATTATGGTGATGCACACCCCCACCCTGCTAAATTTTATGGGCCTCCGATCTGTGAATAGTTGTTAGCCATTTCTGAGTGTAGCTACAGTTTGAACAACTACTGGTTTTGGTGAAGCACTTATGGCTGAATAGGGCCATGCATGCATAATATCCACCCATATCAAACATTTCTTTTATTAATTGCCTCCACGTCTTTACTTTAGAAGGATTCAAATTCAACAACCACCACCAAGTCAACCTGCCTGAGTTTCAAAATTAATCCATGAACCATAACACACTGCCAATTCCAGCCTTTTCTTGTATTTCCCCTTCAATGAAGTAGCAAAAACCCACTCCAGATTTGTATCCTGTTTAGCACCCAATATCCCATGTTGGAGAAATACTAGTTCATCTTGACATGGTATATAATTTGGCAGTCTTCTCTTACAAGCCGATTTTGTATGGATAAATTCTACAGGAAGATAAATTATCAGTATTATGTATGGAAAATACTTGGCTCTTTGTATATAATATGCGTGCAGTTGGTCATTTTAATGAGTTAATTTTGCATATGTATCAACCTAATTCGTTTGTGATGCCTCCGTTATGTATGAGCAAGACTGCCATCAATTCAGAGAGTCCATACAGATGGATCTCATTGAAGATCGTCAGGCAATGTCCAGTGACCCCACCATTTGTGGTCACAAGACAACTCACACCTCAGATCTGTTGGGGTGGTCCTCGGACTTTATGAGCGAACGAACACCGAAAATTTGCTCACAACGCCATTGTATTTACTTTTTGTTACTATTGATGGTGGCTGGAAAAGGTTTGCCACTAGGCATTAGTGCTTTAAAAGGATCGACCCTATATATAGGCTATATGTTAAGCCTATAGGTTTCAATCTCCCCTCTCCCAATATTGTTTGTTTTAAAAAATAAATAAATAAGGCTTTTCTGGTTATTTCCAATGATTTTTTCTACTGAATGCCAATTGATAAAACTAATTTTTCTACTGAATGTTAGTATTACAGGCATGCATAGTTTATGAGTACATCTACAGACTAGAAAGCAATCATAATTTGAAATGAAATTACATGATAAAACAAAAATATGAATTTCACCAAATCTTACCAAAATTGTACCTTTTTTGGGTTTGTTTTTGGGTGTTTCCATGTTTTATGCTTTAAGAACTTGAGCAAAAGAAGAAAACATATGTTATGAAAGAGAACCTGCTACATTATCAGTCATGAGGAAGTGGATTTGCCGTCGCAAGTACTGAACCTGCCACAGGCATTCAATCCATGAGTTACTAGAGATAAGGTCTGTGCTTCTCAGCGTGTGTGTGTGTGTGTGTGTGTGTCTTAAAATAAGTGTGTTAAAGGATTCAAGGCTTGTCCATAAGAAAGCGCTTATTATAGTACTAGTAGCAGGATGGGTTGGGGAAAATTAGGTATTGGGTTCTAAACTGATCAGACAACGGAGAAAAATTGGAGTTGTAGTAAAGAGTCGAGGCTCCAAAGAAAGAGAATTTACCTCCCCTTGAAGCAAAGTGGGCAGACAATCAGTTGATATGAGACTATTAATTTCTGCAAGTAGCTTCTCTTCTTTAATGCCAGACCATGTGTGTTGAGGCAGAGCCAACAGAAGTACTGTTAGAATATCGCCCGTAGATGGATGCATCCCTATGCAGCTGCCATGATAAAAAGAACACAGACTGCTTGGATCTGTTTGACATGAGGGAACCAGCATATCAACTGCTTGTTCCATGCCATTAGTTGTTACAGTTCCTGAGACCACTGTTACGGGCTTTTCACCGTTGGATTTTAAGACTTTCATGTCAGTTTTTCTACAACACATTCCATCTAATGAACTGACTTTCCCAGCCAAAACTTTAGCTCCTTGGCAACACACATTTGCTGCAATTTCAGGCAAGGTATCTTTACCACCCAGTGATACGGTATCCTTACAAAGTGAATTTTTAGCCGCCAACCATTTGGTTACATGCTTGAAGAGTTCCATTTCCTTTACTTGTTTCAATACCTCTTCCTGAAATCCCAATTTTAGAAACTCAAAATCAGAGATCCCCCACCTATATATTACTTTTCATTTCAAGTATAAGAAGAAAAAGGAAGGAAAAGAAGTATATGATAAAAAGGTGTGCTTCAAACTTTGCCCCCTTTGAGGATTACAAAGCAAAAGCAGAAAATCAGAATGCATGAATTAAAATAGGAAAAGGCTGTAATAAAACCTTGATAGCTAGCCTTCCTTTTTCCTCTTTGTTTACGATTGGATTCCCATCCTCTTGTCTCCGAACTTCAGCAACCCATTTAATGAACTCTCTCAAGTCGGCAGGTGGTGATTTGAATACAACTGAGATCACATTCTGGACATCTTTTACATCTTCTGACTTCAACAGGAGAGGAACATCTTCTATTAAGTACTTCGCAATACTATTCCAACCTTCATGTCTGCAACTCTGGGGAAAATTCACAGTTACATCAAGATCTAAATGTTTTATGGCAAGTGGAAATAGAATAGTAAAACAAAAATGTGCAACCACAAACAATAACAAATATCTAGCAGACTACCACGGAGAAAGTGAGCAATAGAGATGTGAAGGGAAACAAAGCCTGCCACCTTTATATGTATAAGGAACCAAATAATGTGGATTTTACTTTTACCTTCCAGTCTCTATTTTAAACATCTCAGTTTCAAATCATAAAAAACCAAAGAAGTTCAGAATGTAAAATGCATGAATTTATTAAACGACAGGGTTTTCGTGTCAAATTATCATAGTTAATTTTGCTCAAGCCTATGAAGTTGATCCAAATTTAGTTATATCTAAGTTTTTCCACAAGGATACAAGTGTAATACTGAAATTTCGCATGAAGGCTAACAGAAACTAGGTTACGTAAAACAGATCGGCCAACAAGAGCAATACCACAGTGTAAAGAATAGATGGACTTCTGTTAAGCCTTGAAATAATCATGTACCTGAAAGAGCCAAATTACAGAATGCAAACGGATTGTAAGTGACATTTGTCAGTATAAAAGAGCCTACAGCCAATGACTCATTAAATTAACAACTATGAACCCCAGGAGGACATAATGCAAAGAACAAAAAGTGAGCAAGAAATACTACTGCAGTTTGAACAACAAAATTCTATGAAATAAAGAAGAAGGAAAAAAGCCTAACTGGCTACTAAAGCTTTGAATTTCATACTTCAATATGTGGAAGGTTAAAAGTGAAGGGCATACCCTCGAGGATGTCCAGTTGCTGCATCAATAGTATCCATTCCCTTCCAAAGAAGTGAAAGTGGAACCCAATGAGGAGGATATTTAAATCGAGCAACATCCAAAATGAGAACCATATCTCTTCCAGCATGATAACCCCCAATCGGTGAAAAATGGCCAGTTCCAGTCTGTAACCAGACAGTACAATGCCAGTAAGTCACTAATGATTATAAATAGAACTCAAAGACATCAGATAAATCTAACTTAAATTCTTAGATTAAAAAAGGAAAATAAATCCAATATTGAGACAAATGTGTGATAGAAAGAACGGTGTTACAAAACCTGGCTAAATACACCTCTGTGGTATGATGTGATGACATGACAATCCTCTGAAGAAGTACACGAAATGACTTGGTTACGAAAATCATGAACGGAACTTTCATGGGTTCGAAAGGCTATGACTTCAGCTCCATTGCAATGCGCCAAGCACGCAACTTTCCCAAAGGTGATGCCTTCGGCTTTGATTTTTTCCAAAGGTTCGCAGCAATCCAGCATTGAGTCATCAAACCATCTCCATGGGCCTGAGCTCACAAAAAGTCACAGCGCACATCATGAAAATAAACAAGTATATGGCTTTATAACCCAAGAGCAATTTGAGTAAAACCAATTGAAGAAAACCCAAAATCCAGTTCCTAATTTAGCTCAAAAAGCAAAAATAAAATAAAGTAAAACTGAGAAAATTAATTACCTTTCCATTTTCTCCCGGGATCGATAGCGAGGGCGTTAAGGACGACGGCAAGGGTGCCCAGCCCACAATACGCGGGCTCTGATTGCGTTTGGTAGTAAGAGATCAGCTTGAAAAACCCTTCCATGGTTCCATTTCCTAGAGCTTCAGTAAAGAGCTTCTGCATAACAATGAAATTTACATTGACAGACCCACCAAACCCCTCATTCAATTCCACACACACACACACACACAACACACACACAGAAGAGGGGGGGGGGGGGTGGGTGTGTCGCACCTTTCCATCTGGGGAAGCAAATTCAATTGCAGGAGGAGAAGGAAGCTCTCTGCGATAGAAACCAGCCACTGCCATTGAATCTGCTGCCTTTTGTTGTTCTGGGATTCAAATTTTCCTTCTTCTTGCTCGGATTTCAGAGGCTTTGATGTTAATTGAAAAATCAGAATGAGAAAACTGAAAGTGAGACTGATTTCTTGAGCAAAGGTCTCTGCTTTGGGCTTCAGCTTAGTAATTCAGCAAATAAATTCTCTTTTTTTGTTATTTTAAAATTTGAGAAAAGGAATTGGTTGACCGTTTTTTCTTTTTTATTTGTGGCGGGTAGTTTACCGACCATTCCATTTTGGCCTTTTAGAATTCAAAATTGAAACCTAAAGAAGTCATGTATGCAAGCGACATGTCGTTTTGATACCACAGATTGTTACAATGCACAATATGACAAAAAGAGTGCTCTGCTTGGTGGTCAGTCCAATGTTTTGAGCTGGTTGGGCAATGGGTGGTGGTCATATTATACATAAATAATTTAAAAATAATAATAAGAAAATCTCTCATTGTTGATGAGATGAGACCGTATGTCATTTATGAATGGGACCTTGCAAAAACTCAATTCAAACGCCCTTGACTTGCAGAACAGGTTTCAGATTCGAACTTTCATAGATATACATAATAAATAAATAATTCATGGTTTGAATTTTGATAAAAACTCTTTCCACGACAACAAAGTCAAAAATACATATAGACAGATGTAAATTGTAATAATCAAGAAGTTCGTCTGTAAAAAATTAACATTGTATCCTAACACCAGTATTTAAGTTAGCACATGACCCGGCCAGCAGCTTTATCATGGGGAAACAATCGTCTCTTCACCATGACTCTTCTGCATCATCATGAAGTACTCAACTCTACAATATAGCCTCTCCACAATGCCTCTCTCTTTCTGTAACAAATTAATACGTACATCCGAAACGGGTTGGTAAAGAATTCTAAGGAAAAGGAGCGCCAAGATCCTCATCTACCCTATCCTCTTGGCATTTCTTGAGAAGTTGGAGCTGACACCGTAGGTGCAAAACCTGTGCCAAGCCAGTAGTTAATGTTATGAAATCTTTTAAATGAAAGTAAAGTGTCTGTCAAATTTGCAGCAGAAAGATTAATTTGGGCATGAAAAAATATTGGTAATCATATACATTGACCAACTTTGCAGAAAAATACGCAACTTTACTTCAGGAAATATAGGGAGAAGATATCCAAACTTCAAAAACGTACATAAACAGTAGAATTAGTCAACAACTTATCTGAATAACGACACTAACAAATGAGAAAGCTAACTGAAAAGTACCAATGAAGTGAGAAGTTGCAGAAAGGATCAAAATACACAAGTTTAAATTTTACCTCTTCTTGAAGCAAAGTAGGAAGATTATTAGTGGAAACAAGGTTATTTATTTCTTTCAAAAGCTTCTCCTCCTTAATCCCAGACCATGTCTCCGGGGGTAGGGATAGTAGAAGTGCTGTTAGAACATCATTGCTAGCTGGGTGCATGCCAATATGATTTATTGAGCCTCCACAAGAGCAACCCGAATTTTTTCGGGATGAAGGAACTAGCATGTCCATCCACTCCTCAGTTTCACCGTTTACCACTGTCCCACTCACCACTGTGACTGGCTTCTCACCATTAGCCTTCAAGCATTTCACACATGTTTCCTGACAGCAGTACATCTCTGAGGAGGCAGACTTCCCAGACAAAATTTGTGCCCCTTGGCAGCAAACACTCGCAGCAATGTTTGGCAAGTTTTCTTCATGACCAGAAATTAAGTTTCTGCAGCATGAATTTGCTGAAGATAATAATTCTGCCACATGTTTAAAAAGGCCAGTTTCCTGCACTTGTCTCAGTACCTCCTCCTGCAAATAAAAATTTGGGCATTGAGTTTTGAGGTGCAATAAACTAGAAAAATAGTATGGGGTTCATAAAGGTAAAAACAGAGACAATTCTCTGCAGAAAACAGGGGAAAAGAAGAAACGGAAAAATAAATGAGAAGCTGTAGAAGACTAGATTACCTTAAGGGCAAGCCTAGCTTTTTCCTCTGGGCTTAAGCTTTGGTCACCATCTTCTCGTCTCCGAACTTCTGCAACCCACTTGATGAACTGCCCAAAATTGGATGGGAGCGACATGAAAACAACAGAGAGGACTTCCTGAATGTCTTTCACCTCCTCTGACTTTAAGAGAATAGGAACATCATCCATTAAGTATTTCGCAATACCAACCCAACTCTCATGTTTACAGCTCTGCAAGAAGCCCCATAGATAAATATCTTCAGCAAGCATACAATATATGTAAGAAATTCCAAGATTTCAGATTACTCTAGTACACAAACATACTTCCGAAAAAACACATACTAACACACACAACATATAGGAGAGATGGAATACAATAATGACAATTCAAGAGATCAAGAGACAGACTTCTGACCATCTCTCTGATATGTCCAAAATCAGAAATTGAGGCACTCATCAAGGAACTATCTTCACTATCAGTTAAAGCAACAAAATTAGCTCTTAAGAAGAGGATACAGAAGTGAAAACATCAACCTTGCTTCTCAAATATACTCATCTCTTATAATTCTGAACGAAAGAAAAAATGCACAGCGTAGGTAAAACTCATAGTGACTACTAGACAGGAAAATGCATATAAACAAATTACTAACCCTAAAAGAAAGGGAATAAGACATGCACATCAAGACAAAAGAAAGAAAAAATGCACAACGTAGGTAAAACTCATATTGACTACTAGACAGGAAAACGCATATAAACAAATTAATAAGCCTCAAAGAAAGGGAATAACACATGCACATCAAGACAACCAGAATGTACTGTGTGTTAGTGTAAGGGAGAGTTGGGTTTGGGTTTTGAAGTCATAAAATTGCCAAATTCAATCATACCAGGGTATAAAGTTGTCCTGGCTCCCTGTGAGGCCTAGATATAAGCATGAACCTGGGCAGAAAATGGAACTTAAGAAGTGAGAATGTAATTTACATTCAATGCGTCTCATAATTTAGCGAAATTATACAGAAATTGCTTCCAACATGCATATCCAATTTAATTGCCATTAGCTAATATTCACTGGCACACAAGAATGCATACCCTCTGCGTTGTCCAGTAGATAAGTCAACATTATTCATGGCGTCCCAAAGAATTTTCAGGGGCACCCAATGAGGAGGATACTTAAAACGTGCAACATCCAAAATAAGTGCCATGTCATTTCCAGCATGATAGCCACCAATAGGTGAAAAATGACCAGTACCCGTCTGCAATAAAAATTTGATTCTTACTAGTCAATACCTGATCAATTTTCAAAGAATTGGAGAGTGTGACAGAGGGAAATTTAAGCAGAATCCTTAGATGAGATAATCATCAGTATAGCAGTATAGTAATTCATAAGGCTGAGAATACCAAGCATATCTACAGCTAACTTAAAATAATGGTTCCACCAAAGAAAATGTACAGTAGTATGGCAATTAATAATACCTGTTTGAGAACTGATCTATCATATGATGAGATCACATGACAATCATCAGAACTAGAACATCTCTTGACATATTTACGAAACTCATCAATGGTGCTATGATTTGTGCGGAAGGCTTCAACTTTTGCTCCAGCACAGTGAGCCAAGCATACAAGCTTTCCAAATGAGATGCCTCTAGCTTTGACTGTCTCCAAAGGTTCGCAGCAGTCTAACATAGATTCATCAAACCATCTCCAGGGTCCTGTGGGAAAAGTTGAAGTGTATAATACATTTGCATTATAGGATCTAAATGGATGGAAAATCATGGACCAGAAAAGTTTACTACATTCAAGACATTTGCAAAGCATGATGGAGTCAATAATGAGAGACAACACCTACTATATTGTGACAATGTGTTTATACTATGTAAAGAATACCAATATTGTATCAGAATTTTAGGAGCAACAAAAGCTCAAATGCTGATGATTAGTAGCATATCAATTGAATATTAAGCATCAAACCCTCAACTAATTGGGTAATGACAATGATTATAACAGTTAACACAGTTTGAGTATCAACAGTTCAAATCATATCAACATGGACAATTTCATAATCCATGTAAGCTTAAGTTGTCATATAAAACTAAAGGATGTGATTAACAAAAAAAGGCCAAATATCTATGGATTATACAATAAAACTTATGCCATTCACTAGATGGAAAACAAAATGATGATACTTTCAAACCCATTAGATGATGAATCTTACCTTTCCATTTCCTTCCAGGATCAATAGCAAGGGCATTCAAGACCATGGAGAGGCTCGCCAATCCACAATAAGCCGGCTCCGATTGTGTCTGAAAATAAGAAATTAACCTATAGAAGTTTTCCATAGTTCCATTTTGAATGGCTTCGAGAAAAAGTTGCTGCAATTCGAAAAACAACAGAGTTAGCAATAATAAGCAGAAAAATACTCACTGCCTAGAAAAACGTAAGTCCCACATGATGTGACTAACAAACTGGTACAGTCCCAAAACACAGCCTTACTCTTACAGTGAACTGAAAAATTCTTATCAGATTTTGCTTAGCTAAATATTTACCTCTCCTCCATACTACAACTAAAATTACATCAACTTTAAGTATGACACAGCTTTCTACTAATATACCACAAAATTTTTACCAAAATTAAAAAAAAAAAAAAAAAAAAAAAAAAAAAAGGAAAAAAAAATTTCAAACTGTAGTATCAAAATCCTGTGAGTTCTTTGTAAAAACAAAATCATTTTACAGAACAAAGTTGCAAGCTTTAATTCTAAAGCATAACAGAATCGCAAACCAACAAATAAAAAATAAAATAAAATAATTGGGATCATAAAAGAAAATATGATTTTGAAGGATATATAAGGGAGTGAGTGACGAAGCAACTAAAGCTTGTACCTTTCCTTGTAAAGAGGCAAATTCGACTGCAGGGGGAGAAGGAAGGATTCGCCTATACAGCCCAGCCATAGCCATTTTTAATTATTTCTTTTTATTTTTTCCAAAATTTAAACCGAGAAAAGGCAAAAAAAGAAAGAAACAAATAAGAGTATGATTTGGTAGGACTGAGAAATGTGAATTATTGAGATGACCAAGTCAAAAGGGTTTCTTTCTGTATGAGGGAGGCAGAATGCTTGCTAGGGTTTTGGTAGGAAAATTCTCTGTTTGGCCGATTAGGAAGGAACCCGCGTAATTTACTGTTTCAAAAAGCGAGAGTTTTAGTCAAAAATGTGGTAGAAAACAACAAATGAGTCCAAAAATAAAACCCTTCGAATAATAATCAACGAATAGGATAAGATTTGTCATTTTGCTGGAAGGGGGCTGCGAACTTGGCGATGGCGATGGCTATGATGACGAGGTGGGGATTACGTAACGTGGGTGGATTGAATATTTTATTTGTTTTTCAAATTTGGACTTAATTAAGTGTGTTATTAAATAAGCATTAACCTTAAGATGTTGGTGTAATCAAATCCATTATATGATAATAACATGTATGATATTATAACTTAGATTAAACATATCAAATTTTATCTTTGCCTAATAGTATAACACAATTTAACAATGTGATCATCACATTTTTATATTTCTCGTACTTCTAATATAACAACTTGAAAAACTAACCATGTTATTCATTTTTTTGTTTATATAAAATTGAGTTTGAAGTAAGAAGAAATTCGAAACGCAAAATTTTTGAGCTGCAAGCTCTTTGATAATTACTTTGATACGATGAACAAAACAATGAAACTCTAACTTTTATATATATGCAATTGAAGTTGAAGTAAGGAGAGATTCGAAACACAAGACCTTTGAGCTACAAATCCTTTTGAAAAATTGCTTTTATACGATGAACAGAACAATGAAACTCTAGCCCACTAAATAATACAAACTCGATAAGTCTTACGGTTAGTTAAGACAAACTAATTTGCTTTTATCTAATAATTGTTATAGTAATTACGTGAAACCCTAGCTAAACCTTCATGCTAAACACCCTTTGAATCATAAAAAGATCATTTAAAAACAAGACAATGAACCAACCTAACACCAATGTGTTTTTGAGACACCAACATCTCCAATATTCAAGCTCAACTTTAAACAAAAAAACATTAAAATTACAAAGCCACAAACCTTGCCATGAGAAGAAGCAAACTCAATTGCAGGAGGAGAAGGAAGAGGTCGTTTGTAAAACCCAGCAGACATGGAAACTTTCTGAGGTTTCTGGTCTTGCTTCACCATGGTGTTTCTGTGAGTATGCTTTGCTTGGAAAAAGTTTGATGGGAAATCACAAGTAGAGAGAAAAAAAACAGAGGAAGATAATTTGAGTTCTCTCAAGTGGCTGCACAATTTAAGAGGAAGACAACATGGGACGAAAGTATTAGGACTTTTCCAATCAGTGCTTAAAGTACACCACGTTTGATTCATTATTGTTTTGGACAATGTGGTCAAATAAATAAACAGATAATTACTTAGTTAATCTCTGTTCATCTGGTGTGTGCTTTTTTTTTATTATATAAATAATTTAATTTTTTCTGTTCCAAGCAAAATCTCAGTTATTTGAGCGGATAAGAAAGGAAACAAAAGATGTTGATTTGCTTGCTTGTACAAGTCAACAAGGAAAGAAGAAAAGAGGGAAGTTTGATTCTGGTCAATGAACATATGGGAGGGAAAAAACGAGGAAAATACTCTTCCGTCCTCGATAAGGTAGATCTTTTTCAGCCCAGGCCCAAGTTGGCCTGTGATACACAGAGGCCTTTAAGCCCAATCAAATGGGCCAAAAGTTTGTATATATGAATAAAAATTAAAAATTAAAAAAGGCCCAAATGGGATGAGAAAATTAAACGCTAGATTTCCTTATATTTTTTATTTTTCATGCATGGAGGAGGGTCAAAACCGAACAAGAAAACCTAAGCGCCGATCATCGTAGGCCTAGAGTACTAAAATTCCGACTAGTTGAAAGAGATTTCAAGTTCAAATATATTCATCTTCATTAATTAATAATAAAAACAATTAGCCTTATCATAATGGTACAAAAATGCTTCATCCGAACAATGTGATTGTAACCTAGTACTAACAAAAACAAGTATAAGTACCAAAGAAAAATACTAGTACCGGTTAAAACAATTCGGTAATCGTAAACACCAAATGATGCGACAGTTGTAAAATTGATTCCGTTTGTTAAATTCGTCAAACTTTTAAATTTTTTTAAAATAATAATAATATTTAAATGAAAAAAACAACATCATCTATTTTGAGCAGATAAAACACTGTCATATCATCCATCGCTTGATATCTAAATTTTGGGATCTACCATTGAATTCTTTACTCAAATTTATGCGAACAAAACAAACCCTAAGCTAAGGTATGCAAATGGAGTCAGTGTTTTACTCTGAATCCCAATGACTCCATTTTAATGTTATTTTGCATATTGTGTGTGGACCACTCTCTCTCTCTCTCTCTCTTCCCTAGTTTCAGAAATCAGAGCCCCACCTCCTCCAGGCTCTGTTTGCTTTCCTTCCACTCCAAGACGCAGCAAAAAGGTCAAAAGCCCAAAAGCAATAACAGCAAAAACGCATTTTTGAACATGTGGGTCCCAATGGTCCCTCCCGCGACCTTACAGCTGCGATTGGAGCAAAACGACCCCGTCTCCAACATGGAATTCGCATGCCTCTTACATTTCCGGAAACGGATCCTCCGTATCACTTCCACGTGTCGACACGGTCCAAGCCGTGCCACTGATGCGCCTCGTTTCGATCGGTTAGGCGTCGCTTTCATGGTACAAGCAGCTGACACAAGACAGTAAGTCGGCGGGTGCGGCGCGGCTCTGTCGCTTCGCGGTTGCCAATGTCCGCGCAGGTTCCTGTCGGCTCCTCCGCCGGTTAACTCCTCCGAGCCCAGCCTTTCTGCCGGTTAAAGGTCGAACGCCTTTTAGCGGCGAGGGCGGGAATGTGTCCGTTGAAGCACTTTGGGGTACGGGGTTGATGTGGTCGAGGTTTATCCGGTTCAAAGTTTTTCTCTCTGTGGCATTCTGACTTCTGGCCCCGATGTCGTCTGCTTTACATAATTTGCATGAGGTTGGTGGAGAGCTATACGGTCCATATTGTAAATGTCTGCAGTACCCCTGTCAGTTTTATCCTTTTTTGGGAACCGCAGTCTGTATTTATGTAATTTCAAATTTATCAATCCCTATGATATATTTTGACCCCCCAAAAAATCCCTATGATATATTGTTTTCTGGACTGAAGTTTCTATTATTATTGGGTGTTAGTGTAATTTTATTTTTGAAAATAAAATGAGATTTGGGTAAAGGAGGTTAATTTAATTCTGGTCATCTAGTTTAAAGATTTTATTCTTTATAATAAAATAACTTAGAACAAAAATGTAATAGTTATGGTGATTGTCGAATTTTTTTATGACACATATCAATGTCATGTCACGTTCATATACAGTGATACACAAATTTTACTTGAACGTACTATGCATGAGTAACTAATATTAAATTATGTGACAATTTCAAGCATTTTCCATTAAAAGATTATGAAATACTACCAATATAGATGCGGATATTGATATAGTGGAAAAAATATTGTTGAGTGAATGTTGTAGTAGAGCTAATAAAATTTTATAACATACAATTTAGGGACTTTAGTTTTCTTTATATGTTTTTGTGTGTATGTATTTAAACTTGTCCAACCCCCTCTCCTTCCTCCCAAATCATAAATAAAATAAAGTCGAATGTAAAAAAAAATGTTAATGTCAAATTGAATTTGTCACTATGTATGTATTCGTTTTGTGTAAATCTTAAAATAGCAAAATAATGAATTTGAAGTGTATGACTATTGACTATACTGTAAATAACAACTGTCGTTTATGAATCATGACAACAATGATTGAACATATCTCATAATACTTATCGATTCACTTCATCTAATTGCTACATATACTCTTTGTGATTAGGCTTATTTACGTAGAATCTTCTATGTTCATTTTAATTTAATTTAGATGTGATAAACAAATTATTTGTATAAGAGCATTGTTTTGCTCCTTCGAGCAATTTTTGTAAAACCAGGAAGGCAAAAATTATCTTGCAATAAAATCTAAAAATGTATATAAGAAGAAATTCCCCCGACTTTACTTGTATAAAAATGGAAATATTTAATTTAAAAGAAAAGTTGGTAATTGGTTGGTCTTCCACTCCAGTCCAAAACCAAGGCCACATTGGTAAATTCACTAAAATTTGCAGAACCAGCAGCAGCATCAGAAAAAAGCCAGCCTCCTCCTCCCCCACTTAATCACCATGATCCAACCACTTCTCTTCCTCACAGAGAATGAGAGAGATTGAAGAGACCTCACCTTAACATTCCTACACCCTACCACACCCTCCCTTTTTTATCCTTATACCCACCAGTCTCCACCTCCTTCTCTCAAACCCACTCATTCACAGCCTCCAAAAAACCTCTCCAACTTCCCTTCTCTCTTCAATGGCTCGGTTTCCTCTGTTCCATCCATTTTCCAAATTTACCCTCCTCTTCCTCGCTACCCTCCTGTCCACAGTCGTCATTTCGAACCAGCAGCAACCCCTCCTCAGCTCCACCGAGCAAGACGCCGTCTACCAAGTCCTCGACTCCATCAACTCCGCCATCCCCTGGCGCTCCCTCTTCCCCGACGACCTCTGCTCCTCCTCCGCCCCACACGGCGTCGTTTGCGACTTATTCTCCAACCCCAACGTTTCTTTCGCCGAAACGGCTCACGTCACCGAGCTGAGTTTCGGGTACGTTTCGGACTACACGCCCAACCCGCCTTGCTCTCCCAATTCTACCATCGACCCACTTCTCTTCACGTCCTTCAAGTACCTCCGCAAGCTCTTCTTCTACCAATGCTTCACCGAAACGCGCGTCTCGGTCCCCGAAATTCCGCCGAGTTTCGGTTCAAGTTTGGAGGAGCTCGTGTTCGTGGACAACCCGTCTCTGGTGGGCTCCATCGGTGGCATACTGGGTAATTTCACCAACTTGAGGAGGGTAGTTCTGACCGGAAATGGGTTTTATGGGAACATCCCAGACGGGGTTGCCCACTTAGTCAACCTGGAAGAGTTGACTCTGTCTCGGAATCAACTCGGCGGCGAAATTTCTCTGAGTTTTGCCAAGTTGAAGAAACTGAAGGTTCTTGATCTGGGTTATAATGGTTTTGCCGGAAATGTCCCTGAATCGGTCGGTAATCTCTCGGAGCTGTTGAAGCTAGACTTAAGCTCCAATGGGTTTTCTGGTAAAATCCCAGAGAGCTTCAAGAACATGCAAAGGCTAGAGCTTTTGGACCTCAGCCTCAACCAGTTTAGTAACTCTGGGATTCCTCTGTTTTTGGCTGAGATGCCTCAGCTGAAACAAGTGCATTTGAGTGGGAACTTACTGGGAGGGAAGATTCCGGAAATATGGAAAAACCTGGGAGGTATTTTGGGAATAGGACTCTCAGACATGGGACTGGTTGGGGAAATTCCAGCTTCAATGGGTGTGCATTTGAAGAATCTGAGATACCTTGGGCTTGACAATAACAAGCTTGAAGGGACAGTGCCTGAGGAGTTTGGGTTCTTGGAATCTGTGAATGAGATTAATTTGGAGAACAATAGTCTGAGTGGTAAGGTTTCATTATCTCGCAGTTTTTCTGCCAAAATTGGGCACAAGCTGAAGTTGGCTGGAAACCCACAACTCTGTGTTGACGATGGCTTCATCTTCTTCTCCAAGACTAAGAGTGCTGCTGGTTTGGAGCAATTGAAGGTTTGCAGAAAACCCCATAAACCTAATCCTGCCCTTCTCAGTGTGGTTTCTTCTTCAGTGCAGGTTGTTGTTCCTTCTAAGCTTCTGTTTGCCACTTGGGTTTTGTTCATGCTTATCTTTGCTTAATAACTGGGATTAGACTTAATTGAGTATTTTGTTTTTCCTTGAGAGAGCTTGGGATTAGGTCATCTAACAGATTAAGAAAGGAACAGGTTTTATACTGACATGGAGATGAATTTTGGATGTGCAGTCAATGTGGTGATACAGTGGAAAAAACTAATGTAATTATGGACTTTTTTTAATGGAAAGTGCATATAAATTATAGCATTATCTTTAAGCATGGTTCTCTCTCTCTCTCTCTCTCTCTCTCTCTCTAATATTGGTGCTTTTGGTTTCTTTTATTTTAGATTTCATTCTAGTTTAGTTTTATCACATTTTCCCAAATTTCCTGGGATTCTGCCCATCAGTGAAAAAGTTGGACATGATCTCAACTTTTTGGTATGTAAACAACTATCTATTCTGCAGTTGTTTATTTTGAAGTGGGATTTTTGAGTGGGGATCAAGCAACTATTTTGGCATTTGATATGGTAAAAGGAGAGAGAATCTGAAAGTTTCCCAGAATGGTTGCTGTTCACAGTCTCAATCATGTTTTGGCTCTTATCTAATTGAAGGCATAATTGATCACAAATCATGAAGAGAGAGAAGAAAATCATCTTTCTACTGTTGGACAAGGATGGATAGCTGTAGACAATTAGGGTAAGTACTTTGAAATTGGCGCACATACACTGGCTGGACAGCATTGTATTTGAAAAATTGCGAAACATAGGAAGCAAAATGTTCAAAAATTGAAATGATGTTATTACACTGAAGTTACAATTGTTTGGCTTCACTTCCCTGATACATTTTATTCTAGCTACACCAATAATAAATTTTGTGAAGAAATTCATGTAAATCCCTTGTCTTCCCCCTCTTGAAAAGAATTCTGAGATAGTTGGTCTTTGCTATTACATTTATAAGTAGTTGCAGGTTGGTGTCCAGGATCTGTACATGTTTCTGAACTAGCATGGGGTTTAGCCTTTCTTGATGCCCCCCCAACAGAGGAATCTTTGGATTTCTTTCGCCGCGTTTTCTTAGGGATGTCTGGCGGGTTTTGCGGCGATTCACTGCCATGAATTGACTCTATGGATTGCCGGATACCTCTAGTAACACTATCTGTTGTGTCCCTATTCTTAGAAGACCGCCTTGTTTGCTTCGGTTTATCTGATCTTTCCCTCTTAGGGGAGTCAATTCCACCATCTTCATGCCCACTTGATGTTTGCTGTGGCGATGCCCTTGGCAAATCCGGCATGTCATGTGCCGGAGACCTAGCACCCCTTGAACTACCCTTCCGGCTTGAATCTACATACATACACACAAAAATTGAATAGTCATTCGGAAAATCCAACACATTAACTTGTTAATACATAAATAAGGTGATGTGATCCAACCAAAACCATTCACATTTGCATGGAGATTTACAATTTTAGGGTACAAAAACAAAAATGAAGTACCTTGAGAGACCCATTTGACCCCAGGGTCCTCTTTTGTCTCTCCATTGCTTAAAGGTCCTGATGAGTATCCAGGTGGAGCTTGAAACTCATTCATCTGCATGCAGCATCATCCACAAAGATGGCTTTCATGAGGCTTCTAATTAACCATTTAAGCAAAAATTAACAAACAAAAAAAGGTTAATTACCCAGCTTGGAGAACCAGCAGCAGTTGATGGACCCTCCCATCCTATATGGGCCACATGCTTTACATCTGTAGGAAACCCAATCTGCATTTCTTGGCCTTTGTTATCATCTGCCAAAGCAGAGGGCAAATCCGTCAGGCCACATTATAAAATTTGTGTATGATAAAAAATACTCTAATTATAAAGCCTGCTTCTACTTGGAACACAAATTATACATACCAAAAATTTGAGAAATGTATCTTAGGCCTTTCAAGAGGCCCTTCATCTTCGTGTTATTTGCAGTGTTTGCCATTCTTGTGGAAGATTATATAATATATATACTGGCTCTATCAATGAAGAACCAATTAAGCTACTCCTGGAAAGTCTCTAGTTGAAGTGGGATCCAAAATTTGCCCTCCAATTCTGCAAATATTGGTAACAAGAAGAAAGTCAATGATCAAAACAATTGAAATAAAAAAAAGTCAAACATTTCATCCAATGATACCTCAGAAGGAAAACCTTGCTGCAAGGCTAAAATTTACAGAGTCCCCCATGAGAGGGTTGCATTAATTCAAACTATATATTTCCTAAATAAGAAACTAAATAATAAAAAGATGCCCAGAAATTTGAAGTGGGCATATATGCATTCACTTTCTTGTATTGATTTTGCACAAGATGGGGAAAACTTTTGAAGAAAGGGAAAAAGGTGTTCAAAAACTAACAACAGCTTTTGACAAATGTGGCCATGGAGGGTTGCAGTGATGAGAAAAGGGATGAAAAGTGGCAAACAAATTATGCTTAATTAAAGTAAAGCTATCGTTTATCTCGTGCATTTGATGGCAGGGCATTGTTTTTTTACGATTCATAACCAGAAGTAAATCGAATTTTTCGGTGTGAAAATATAGGAGAAAGAAAGAAAATCTTTGACATGCTAAATATAGGGGAAGGTTTTAACGGGTCATTTTAGAGGCTGTAATGAATGGTTTTGTTAGATGCATATGAATTTTCCATGGTTTGTTGGCTATTTCCTTGGTTGCAAATTGCATGGGAGAAAATGGATAGATCTAGACACAACTGCTAGGGAACTAGAATTGATAAACTAAAATGAAACAGACAATGGATTTCTTCTGGTTTCATAACTGGTCAACTACATTTTGCTCTAGGTTTGTCCGTTGACCATTATTGTTAGGTTAGGATTATTAGCTTTTTCTTCGAAGTCACACTCTAGTTATGAATGCAAGGGTAAAGAACGCCTTCTAGATTGGTTAAAATCTCTTTCTGACCATCAAAAGTACTTGTGCGAAAAACATGAAAGTCAAAGTACAAACACATGAATTTTTAATAAATTTTTTAATGTTCTTCGAATGAGGGCACTTCTTCAAAAAGCAATTATGAGTAGAAATGCTTTCTACCAAACGGATATGCTCTGTGTTTCTCCAGTCAAGATCATGAAGCATCATTGATGTGAACCAAAATTGCCATATTTACGGCTAATTATGTAGTCATTGATTAATTTAGGTAAAAGTTAATCCCCCCTTGTTCCTTTGGTTCATCATTGTTGGCTTTCTTAGCAGTGAAAATTGGTCTACTTCAATACCTTAACACTGACATATCTCTGATGTTCCATTGCAAGTTACTATCATTGTAAATAGAGTGAATAACATCTAGCGTGGGGTAAAAACTCACGCTGGATTTGGGCGAATTTGGATTGATCCGACACGACCCCAGTTGCACCTCTAGTTTTTACTTGACAGAATCATTAGTAACTCAGTTGGTCTAAGATTCTTACTGCTTTGTTAGCCAGAGATCCAGGTTAAACTTCTAATTTCTCTCTCTCTCTCTCTCTCTCTCTCTGTTTTTGAGGACTGATTTATAGTCCAATTGAGGTAAGTGGTAAAGAAAATGAAAATGTATTTAGTAGCAAATCAAACAATGCTTACAAGAAAACCAATGGAATTTTATATATTTTTTGGTATATTAAAATACATATACAACTTGTAACGAACAAGCATTTAGATGCATCAAGCTTTCACATTGTCCATTCCAACAGAGTCCTGAAACATTAGAAACACAGAACTTAATTAAAACCCAGTTATGCAAATTTGAACCAAAAGTGGAAATATTGCATGAACATGAGAATAACTTACCAAGAACTTATGATTCTCTTGGAGTAGTGGAGAGAAGTTTGTGCAGAATTTACCAATGTCAGAATTCAAATCAGGTGTTTCACCACCTAATATGTCCATAAATTTCTTCCTATCTGGTGCAAGCTTAATTCCAACCTGCATTTCGACCGGAGAGAATCAGAACAATTTCATTTCCTTTTTCTCAGTGGATGATCATGTGAAACCAAAAGTAGAAGCATATATTATCTAAGAAAAACCAGTGTGCTTCAAATCAGATGCTAGATGGTCTTCCTAAATGGAGAAATTGGTCAAATCACATTTGGATTGCATCAAGAAAAGATTTTCCTTTCTTTTTGTTTGTTGCTGAGGCAAAATAGCATGCATATTCTACTTTGATCTGCCTCAATGACTAAACTAAAACCCATAAAGTACAATCTTTTAAAAGGCTAGAAGAAGAGGCTATGGCATTGTGCAGATAAACATCAGCAAGTGAGAGTTCTTACACTAAAACTTGAGCTAGCTAGCCAGTTATGCCATTTTTTCAAGGTCTTGCCATAGGCCTCGGAACAAGCCTTGGACATTGGCCAGTCTGGATTGTCATGCAGATTCCGGAACAGCTCCACCAAGTAGTCCATGGCCCTACGGAGACATGAGAATTCTCAAAAACGTAATGATTGGCTTGCTGATAAAAAACATGCAACATGCAACATGAACATGGCATACCTTGTTAGCCAGAGTAGAGCATTTGTGCAACTGGATGAGGATTTTGCATTTTTGGCTTCAATCTCAACCTGGACTAGACTGTACAAGAGATTGAATTCTGACGGGTTCGACGAATATTTAGAGTCCAATCTCTGCAATGTGGGGAAGAACATGGAAAAATATTTCAAACATTAAAAAACTGGAACATGTTGCTTCTTACAAAATTCACATTGTTTTCTCCATAAAATTTTAAAAAAAGCACCTTACCGATATGTTGTTACCAATATCAGATTTCACAGGCGCAAAGGCAGCTCCAAACTTATCTGCCATAACATAAACAGGTCCTCATGCATGTGCATTGAAGAATATTGAATGAAGAAAAAAATTGTGTTCTCAACATGAAAATGCATCGAGTTCAATCTGTTTTAGGGTAAGAATAAAAAATTTCATACCTAAAACGGGCAGCAAGTGTTTGCATACATCCAAAAAAGGCTTGGTGAGCATCTCCCCCGTTTCGGATTTAACATGGTTCGTCCCTTCCAAAGCAGAAGTGAAAACAGTTCCTGATCCTGCCATTCTTGTGTTCAATTTTCTGCATAAACACCACAAGTCATACTTGGCAACCAATCAGGCAATCAATATGTATTGGTGTTACTTTCATAATTCGATGCGTGCAAGTTAAGAACTAGCCAAATTTTTAAATCATGCAATACCATGATTGATGCATAACTTCAATTTTTTTAAAAAATTAGTAGAGAAGAAATTTGAATTAAAAAATGTCACCCTGTGTGTAGGGATTAAAAAAAAAGCTCTACCATTAACGCTATAAGCCTCACCGTCCAACGAAACTGGAGATGGAAAAGGATGATAAGAAAAAAACAGAACAAGAAAAACGTAAAATGGTAATGGACACAAACCTTGAAAACAACAGACAAACGTCGTGAAGATCCGAAAATCAGTTATGTGAATTCTAAGTGTTGTTGATTTAAAGATGATGAGGCCGTTATTTCTTTTCCCGGTACATTGTGGTGTTAAAACAGTTGTCGTAGGCCATCAACGGGGGGGAAAAACAGTTGTCGTCGTGAGATCTACGACATGTCAACATAAACAGGTAAATTATGTTAACTTAAGCAAAGCAAATGGAAATTGTGAGATGGGTTCTCTTAATTTCTAATTGTAAAGTTGATAATTTGCATTGACATCCTAATTTTTTTCAAAGACAATTGATTGGGAGATGAGATTTACACAAATATTCATTGGGTGTTTGAGGGTTTCGAAACCAACTAAGCTATACCCCACTGACATTCCATACTTTCAAGTCCACTAGAATGATGGGAATAAAAAAATTGAATTTTTACGTGCCTTAAAAATTAGGGCTTGGTAACGCCATCTTACGGACACACCAAAAAATTACTCAGCGTTTAGATTGACGTTGAAACCCAACTCAACTAAGCCCAATATACCCATGACCATATGATGGGCTGGATCCTTTTGCTTTCTTTTCCGATATTCCCAATTAAAATTAATTTCAGTAAAATTGTGTAATTGATTCAAGGCAACTTCTCTTTCTTCAAGTACATATTTCCCAAGAGAGCAACCCAAATTCCCATAATGTGCTATAAAGTTCTCTTTGGTTTTTTTTTTTAATAAAAAATTTCTTCTCTTTTTTGGGTCATGGACTTGGAGACATGAAATGAAAGCAAACACTGCAGCAAACAAACCCGGAGAAATCCAACCACCAAATTGGGCCATAAATTCGACCGCGCAAAGATGAGAGAGAGCCTGACACAAAGTTCGATTTTCTAACAAGAAAATAGTAACCAGACCAAACCAGACCGGACTGGCCCACTACTTCCAGATCAGAAAAGAGACAGAGAGAGAGAGATTGAGAATATCCCATAATTAGGACCGGGAAGATCCTCACATATCTATTAAATAACTAAATCTGAGAGAGCCAGCCAACACAGATAGAGAAGAAGAAGAGAAGGCCAGGCACGTTTTTTTTTGGTATTTTTCTTTTCTGTTTATGGGTTGAACACGTTTTTTAAATTGAAACCAAAGCAAAGTTTATTTTTTTCTTCTTTTTTTTCCAAGCTCGCCTTGACCTGACGGACCTGACAGACTCACAGACAGCCCAAACGTGTTAGGCTGCAACTCAGAATCTGAGAAGGTAGCGCTTTACCCCTCATATTTTATTATTATTGTTCTTATCTTATAATTTATAATTTCTTTTTTTAATTACAAAAAAATATTTCCAAAAACAATAAAATTAAATAAATAAATTTTAAAAAAACAAACAAACAACTCTAATCATCTCCCCAACCTCATTTCCCTTCTTCTGCCCCCCTTATTATTATCTCTCTCTCTCTCTCTCTCTCTCTCTATCTCGTTGTCTCTCTCTGCAGTTTCTTTTCCTCTGCCAATTTCCCTATTTTCTGTCTATATTTTAAAATCGATTTGTCTCTTTCTGTGTCCGATCCCAATACAAAAACCTATCCTTGATCCTCATTTGGTACTTTTACTATTTAAAAAAAAAAAAAAAAAAAAAAAAAAAAAAAAAAAATTTGGAGAATGATTCGAGGGCTTCAGGGTCAATGTAGGTCAATGTTCTTGTAATTGAGGTTTCAATTCGCTGTCTGCAATCAAGGATTTCGGATTTGGGGCGTTTTGGATATGTAGTTGGAGAAAGGGGGTTCTTGATTTTCGGAAAAAGTTACCCTCAATTTTGACGATTTTGTAATTATTGTAGAAAAAGTCGGATTTTTCCAATTGGATTTTCTGGGATTCGGTATTTATCCTGTTTGATGCTAATTTAATGCTTAGATTGTGATCGTGTGGTTCTTAGGCCGAGTTATTGGGGAAAAGTGAAGGTTTTGATCTGCGGAGAGGTGTCAATTGGGAATTTTTCGAGATTTGGGGGTTTATTGTTTGGTGGGTTTGGGGTTATGCACACAATAAAGGCTGAAATTAGCACAAATCCTTGTAAAATAGCCATTTTGAGCTTTTGGGTTGAGCTGTATTGAAGATTGTTGCATCATGGAGCATGTGATTGCTGGGAAGTTTAAGTTGGGGAGGAAGATTGGGAGTGGCTCTTTTGGAGAACTCTATTTAGGTATGGTAATCAGTGTTCTTCTGTAAAATCATTCTGGTTTTTTATTTATTTAGGTATTTTTCTAATGAAATTCATGTCGTCGTGTCAGGTGTAAATGTGCAAACTGGAGAGGAGGTGGCTGTTAAGCTGGTAAGTGATTAACGTTTAAATAGTAGATTCTGTTCTGATGTTTAGTTTGTGGGTAAATATTTTCTGAGCGTTCTTTAGTTTTCTAACATATTTTCAATGTGATACCTGACGGGATATTGAAGTTAATTTCATGTTTCATCAAGTCATTTTTCCATTCAAGAGGTTCAGAACACACTGGTGTCACTAGAGTAGATCAAAGAATAAATCAAATACTCTCTCTTTTGAATCTTTGTGAATAAGAGTAAGAATGGTACATTAGATTTTCTAGTCGACAAACTCTATTCGAGTTACAACTGAAGCTTCATGTTATATATCTTCCGTTTCATTTATTATCAATGAAAAGAGATACGAAGCCATATCTTTTTTTAAATCTCTCTTTATTATGGTTATGGATGCATTTCGAGCTCATAAACTTCCATTCTATTACAACCTTGTTATATTCCCTCATTGGAATTTGTCTGCATTCAACTCATTAGTCTACAATCATCTTGCATTTGATGGGATAGTTTATTTTCCAAATTTCAGGAACCTGGGAAGACCAAGCATCCCCAGCTTCACTATGAGTCAAAATTGTATATGCTTCTTCAAGGAGGAAGTAAGTCTCTCTCTCTCTCTCCCCTACAGATATATTTACATATAGTAATGATCAACTGTTGTCATTTTGTGATGAAGCGGGCATACCCCACCTCAAGTGGTTTGGAGTTGAGGGTGACTACAACATCATGGTTATTGATCTTCTTGGACCAAGTTTGGAAGATTTGTTCAACTACTGTAATAGGAAGTTCACATTGAAAACAGTGTTGATGCTTGCAGATCAATTAGTAAGTACTAGTACTTCCTTCCCCAAATATGGTCTAAAATGGCCAGGATAATAAATTTTTTCCTTCAATTTCATCTTTTCAGATTAACAGAGTTGAATACATGCACTCAAGAGGTTTTCTTCACCGTGATATAAAGCCTGACAACTTTTTAATGGGCCTAGGGCGTAAAGCCAATCAGGTATCTTTTTCTTGTGTAATTGTGGTTAGTGCAAGCAAATTATAGCAACTCATGCATGTTTTTTAACATTTATTGTTGAAAAACATGCTATTGAGGATATCCTATGGTATTAGAAGTGGGATTTCAAATCTTTCATTGAGAAACACTCCATTCTCACTTTTTTCTTTGGAAATGTAATTTATCTGCCATTACTTGTCACAGGTGTATGCTATTGATTTTGGTCTAGCAAAGAAGTATAGGGATCTTCAGACTCATAGGCACATACCATACAGGTGAAATATAATTATTTTGTAGAGTTACAACTTATGATAAATTTGCTTTTGGGTTGTGTACAGTTGTACTTGTCTTGTGGTTCAAGAATCTACTTACGGATATACTTTTTATTGCCTAGGTATTGCCTCAACTGGGGAAAAGAAGGGGGGAGGGGGAGGGATTTGGATTCTAGGAATTGCTTATGATTTGTCTTGTTTGAAGAAGAAACCGTTGGCTTATGTTTTGTCTTATTTTAAGAAGAAAGCATCGGCTTATCATTTGTCTTGTTTGAAGAAGAAAGCACTGGAAACTTTAGTTGTAAAGAAAGTAAATAAATTTTATGAGCATGAACTATTTCTTTAAAAAAAAGTATATATTTTTCATTATAAAAAAGTAAAGAAGCTTTTAACAGTTCTAATACATATTCTACCTTGTCACCATTGTTTTTCTATTTACCTATAGTTAATGTTGACCATCATATCTATAAGCACATTATTGATCTACTTCCTGCTTGGTGGTGCTCTCTCTCTCTCTCTTTTCATTTATACATATACATAATATTGTATATATTAGTGTCATGCATTATGTATTATCTAAGTATCTCCCCCCCCAATTTCTTGGATTTCACTTGTTTTTTTTTCTTTCAAGTCTTGTAAGTTTGATTCCTTTGTGCCAGCCTTGGTTTTTATTTGGTTGTTGTGAAAGTTCATTACCTTTTTTTTCCATTTGTTAGGGAGAACAAGAACCTCACAGGCACTGCTCGCTATGCAAGTGTTAACACTCACCTTGGAATTGGTGAGAGATATTATATGTTTTATCTGTTGGTATCTAACTTTTAATAGTAAATGTATAATAACGGATCCAACTTACTATGCTCCATTTCTAATTCTCATTGCGTTTTATTGTACGTACAGAGCAAAGCAGAAGAGATGATCTGGAATCTCTTGGTTATGTTCTAATGTATTTCCTAAGAGGAAGGTTAAAATAAAGTCCTTGTAGTTGTGTTCTTCATATTTTTTGGGCATTTGCTACCTGATGTTGGGTATGCAACATTGTATTTTATTCTATTTTTGACACCTTTCCTTTTTCGTATTTTCTTTTTTCTTTTCCTCCAATCAGCCTTCCCTGGCAAGGTTTAAAAGCTGGCACAAAAAAGCAAAAGTACGATAAAATCAGTGAAAAAAAAATGTCAACTCCTATAGAGGTAACAACTTCCTGCATGCATTCTTACTACTAGCAACTGCATATGTACCGCATAAATGAACCTGATGTGTGTTGTATTATGTTTTTACTGTGGTGTTCATCATTGTAGAAGATAACTCTATATATACGTGTGTGTGTGTGTTTGTTGGTATTGGGGCGGGACTGGACTGAGATTTGAATTGGGCAGATGTAGATTGCTAGGGATGGCAAACCCAGTCCCTCCCCTTTTGCCATTGCTTGTAAGATGAACAAAAATAAGTCTCAGCTAGGATGATCCACTTTCGCTGATTTTGATCGGCTGCTTGGCTGGCTCAATATTTGTGTTTGGACGTGAACACGTTATAGAGGTTGTTTGAACCAAGCCTAGCCTGATAGTTCATGTCGTCATGTTTGTTCATATGTATTCATGCACACGCACACACACTCACCATGCTGCTATTAATGATCTTCATTCTGTGCTGGGAATTCTTGTTAGTTGCAACATGGGTAATATAGCCACAGATATGTTTAACAGGTGCTGTGCAGATCACATCCATCTGAGTTTGTATCCTACTTTCATTATTGCCGATCATTGCGGTTTGAAGACAAGCCAGATTATTCTTATTTGAAGAGGCTTTTCCGAGACTTATTTATTCGAGAAGGTAACGGCTACCAATTTGGTTATCTTCCTATAGATTCCTAATTCTTTTGTTAGAAGTCAAGCTTGCTGAGTGTTTTACCTTTTTTTTCCCCTTTGGGGTTAGGATGCTAATATTATGATTACTTGCAGGTTATCAATTTGACTATGTATTTGACTGGACTGTATTGAAGTACCCTCAGATTGGTGGCAGCTCTAGAGGATGGGTTAGTGTATGGAAATTTTATGTTCAAATGTTGACCTCATAAGAACATTACTTATTTAGTTCATTTCTGTGTTTTTAGCATGCCAATGGAAAAGCAGGTTTAAGCGCCGGGCCATCTATGGAAAGAACAGAAAGAGTCTCAGGTGTTTCTCTCTCTTGAAAAAATATATTTGAATTAAATGCCAACAAGGATTATTAACCCTTGCTGATTTCATAAATAAGTTTTGGGCTAGGAGCCAGTTACTCCCTTATTTTTGAAGATTTATTTAGTATCTGAGAACTTGGTCCTCTTTAAATTTTTTTAGTATGTCTTCCTTTCTTCAGCTCATTATTTAACTTTAAACTACAATTTTACTCTCAGCATTTTCCTTTTTGGTTTCCCACAATTATTAAACCCTTATGCAATTGGTTTATCCAGTAGGGAAAGAGATTCGAGAACGATTCTCAGGTGCAGTTGAAGCATTTTCGAGGAGAAATACTTCAGGTTCTAGTCCACGTCAGGATCATTTGAAACACAGGTCTTTTGAGGATGCACCTTCATCCAAAGATGTGGTAAAGTTTTGATATCTGACAAAATATTTTGTATTGTTATTATTTTCTTGTTTCTTTGGGCCCGGACAGTTTGTGAGTTCTTGTTCTACATGAAGTTAATCTTGTGGATCTGTTCTCTCTCTGAAATTGGGTGTAGAGAAGTCACCAAGTAAAATAATTTCAAGCACCCAATTGAAAATTTTACTAATTTCAAGTCTAAGCTTAAAAGTTGCTATTCTTTGTTTTGATAATTATAATCAGTGCGCTTCTTTTGACCAATTTTCTATGGTCTTATAGTTACCTCCTTTCTTTGTTATAAAATTTCAATGAAAGCAAAGTTGACTCCTGGCCAAGTTATTAAGTCTAAGCAATTGCAGTAGGGGGTCTCAACTCAATTTCCTTAGGGAAAACAAGACTAGAATTGGAAACTAGGGGTAAAGTCAAAGAATGGAAGAGTTGCAAACTTTTAACGTTAGAACTTTGTTTATTGAAGCCATCTCCTTACTTATCCTCGTATTCAAGTTGAAGTGGTGCAATTGTTTCTCAATTGTTTATAGAAAAAATCCTTATGGAATGCTATTGCTGTATTTTCAGCACCATGATTCTGAAAGGGGACGCAGTTCCTCTCGATATGGCAGCACTTCAAGAAAAGCTATTATAAACAGTAAGCCAAGTTCCTCAGCTGGTGATCAAAGTCACAGTGATGGCCGCACAAGCCGATTAGTCTCAAGCAGCAGCCGCCCTTCTACCACACAGAGAGGTCATTCGGGGTATGAACCCAAGCGCTCTGCAGCTGCAAGAGGCACACGTGATGATCCTCTCCGGAGCTTTGAGCTCCTTTCAATCAGGAAGTAATGGAGAGTATTTCACTATAGATATTGTCCAGTCATCCAATGGATAAATCCTCGTACTATTTGATGAGTACTGAAAAAAGAAAAACAAAAAACCAAGACAAAACTCGCTTGCTTTGTACATGGGATATCACCTAAGCACTGCGTTTTCCGATCTTATTGCATGTCTAATGACAGCATTTCCAGGCTTTTCTTCCTCCCACTTTTTTCTCTCCCAAGAGTTTCCTTTCCGGCCATTGTAACCGCATTAGAAACATACATTTTTCTTAGCTGTAATAATTACTATTTCTTTATTATACACCCACTTTGAATTGAGACCAGTTTGTGTTGTTTGTAATGGTCATCTTTTCAAGAACTTCCTCACTAGTGCTAGCTTGAGCTTGGCCCGTTGGAAATTTTCAAACCCTTGCAGTCTTCTAAAATCCATCCACAAACTTTTCCACTTTGTGTTGGTAAATGGCAAATTAAAATTAAATGCATGGATGCGAGCTCATTGCAGGGACAATTTAGCGATTCTAATTGTTAAGTAATTAGCTAAGCTAAATTCTAGACAACTGTGATTTTCAAATGAACGTCTTTTCCAATTGGTTAAGAAATAAGATGCTTTGAAACTTAACCGGAAAAAAAATGCTTTGAAAAGAAAAAAAATTAAGTTACATTCGCTAGATACAATACAAGAACTGACTAGTCTAGTAGTCCACTCAAATAAACTTTGATAGCAAATATCCCAAGTGTATTAGCTCTTCATTTTACGATACAAGGAGGAGCAATTCAAATCTATCGACATCAGTAAACATCCCAAGTGTATTAGCTTCATTGTATGTAGTGGCGCTGAAATGGATAATTGCGATAAGCAACAAAATATTTACAATGTGCAACCTAGCAAGAATTTGATATCAAACTCGGGGGAGAAAAAAAAAATCTCTGCTTTCTGATCTCTGACTCATGGATTTCGAAGAGCTGCCAATCTTTTCTCAAGTTCATCAGTGCCAGAACTGTAAGAAGTTGAAAGTTTGTTAGTTATAGCACATAACCATATTAAAAACAGAAAAGAAGCGGGGAAAGAAGAAAAGCATTAGAAGTTTAAAAGATCCACTGCAATGATAAATGCATATTACAAATGGCACATTAATTTGTTTGAGGTGCTCTTTCCACAAGAAATTTCTTGTTCTGCCAGCGTATATGTGGTCATGAGATACTTAAACGCAAAGTATGCCAAACCATCAATTACTTTGTAGAAAGACTAACTTTTAAGTTGTGCTGTAAAAATCTTCAGGCAGTTAACTTATTACAATAACAAAGGGATTGGAGGTTGTACCTGCCAACACCCTCAGTGTTCTTCGCTGCAATTCTTCCTTTGGGAGCTGCTGACAGCTGTCAATAGATCATGTACAAAGCACATCAGTTTAAACGACTGGGAATAGTACAGTACATGCCAACAAAAAATCAAAAAGGCATAATCAGTGATACCAACCTGTGAGGCGACATCAACGCCAATTTCATCCAGCACCTGTTCAAAAAAATTTAACCAAAAAACAATCTGTCAATTCCTGGCACCAAGACCAATAGTTAACGACATCTATAAAGAATGAGACTGCTTCTCAGTCTCATATGAACACTTTCCACATCATTTAACACAACCCCTTCTCAATCTTTCTTGCCTCATTACCAGATAAACCAAATAATCACAAGATGGCAATCAAACTTCAACTAACAACTTGTTCAGAAAGGTATACAGAACATCCTAGGTAACAATAGGAATTAATCTAATCTCGGAGGAATAGCATGCTTTCTTTTCCTGTTCTTGGGTATCGTCTATGAATATATTCATCTAAATGAAAAACTAGTATACAATGCAATTAGGACTTACCTGGTTTGTCAGCTCGTCAGTTTCCTCTTCTGCCTCATCATCATCCAAGGCATCATCTATTGCGTCGGACATCATTTCAGTCTGCATGTTCAAAGCTCTAAATTATGATCCACTCATGCAACCAAAAGCCGAGATGAACATAATTCTATGCCAATAATTCAAAGATAGAACCAATCTTACAGTCATATCCATCTGTGCAGATTGCTTCTGAAATTCGCGTATCACCTGTGCCTGCTTTGCAGGAGCCATTTGCTGCAATGTCGCACAAATTCAGTTACTAAAAAGAGCTTGAATTACTAGCTATAAAAACAGGAAGCAATATAATAAAGAACAATTCTCTAGGATTTTATTTACATTTCAAACTAAACACAACACTAGGCAGGGCTTCTCTTAAACTAAATCTCATCATCAGATGCAATCTTAATGTATAATTTACAATATGAAAACCACATAAAATATTTGTTTCATTGTTAGAATCAAACCTTATTCATAGCTGCCATCGCCTTACTAGCACCTTTCATGCCAACAGCGACTGATGACTGAGCATGCATTGCCTGCATGATGGAAAAGAATTTACTAAGAGCACAACTCACAAATGCGACATATAAAGTTGAATCAGAATATGATGATTTCACAGTCCACCTGCGTATGAGTTGCTATTCCTCTCATTTGAGCTCGACTTCCTTGTAAGTTAGCTATCTGTTGCCTAAGCCTGACTAGCTGCCTGGCTAGTATTTTAGTTGCAGCCTGCAGAATGCAAAACAAAGGCCTGAGAGAATATAAATTGACTACTTCTGATAAGATTCAATTGCCACAGTCACTCAAGTATTCCTGGACTGATGAAAACAGTCAAATACAACACAGAAAATACCTCATTTCCTGTTTTTGCCGTTCTCTTTATCTCAGCAACAAGCTTTTTTTCCTGACATGATAGTAAAATATATTAAATGAAACTGTAGATAAAAATGCAAGAACAAAATGGGATCACCAACAGGAATCTCTTGACATACTTCTAATTGCAATGCTCCAATTTCCTTCTCTATTCCTGAAGCAAAATGGGGAAGAAAATAAATATATCAAATGAGAAAAATTAAAATCAAGGAAATGCCCCATTCATAGCATAATGAGATATACACATCAGGTGTAAAATTACAGGTCAGCTGGACAAAATAACATATAATTTAAGCTTGAACAGTAACCCATCTAATCACAAATCTAATCCAGCCTCTAATGTCTATTAAAGCAGTGCAATATCAAAACTACTGCCCAATGCCTCAATTAGTCCAAGAGGGTCATAAATCAGTTACCACAAAATGAATGATGAAAATGATCATTATAATCACAAACATTGAGAAATGAAAACCAAAAAACATATAATTTATATTACCTCTAGTAGCATTAGCCATTTCTCTCTTGCTCTCCCGAAGAGCCTCTGCGATAAAAATGCAAACCCATATAAACAAATTACGAAAATATAAATTATACCCATAATTCAGATCTAGTATGCAAATAAGAACGCTTGAATTTAAGTTTAATCGCACACAGGGAAAAGAAAAAAAATGAGCGGAAGATTAAGAAAGCTCGAACCTTTGGCGGTGGGTTTCTTACTGAAGATGTTCATGGTACCAGTTAGATTGGTCGCAACGAAAGCAAAGCACACGGAGACTCGCGGAGATATCTTCTTCAAGCTGTGAAGCTTTGAGGGAGAGAAAGACAGAGAGGACCAAACCAAGGTGGAGATTTCTGCGGTCCTTTCCCATTTATTTATATAGGTAGGGACTTGGCGGTAAATATCCAAGCAGACCCTTCATGATTTGTGAAATTTCAATCATATCCCTGGATTTGGATGGGGGACTTCTCTTTTTTTAATATTGGGATTGTTTTTCTTCCAAAAATATTGGGATCTTTTTGAATTTTACAAAAACGTCAATGATTCAAATGGGCACTTATTATGACAAATGATAATGATTGGATAATAGACTTTTAACTTTACTAATCATTTTAGTTAGTGGACTCGTAACAAAGATTTGATCATATATTTGAAAGAAATTTGTTGCAAAGAGTTTCAAGAAGACGTCTCCCTTTCCTATTTTTTCGTTAGTAGCTAACCTTCCTTGTATATTTTTTAAAAAAATAATGTCATATTAAAATTGTCACGAACCGAATTCTATTTGAGGATAAGAACCATTGTAATTAGGTTTTTCCTTATTGTACCTATCATTCTATATATGCACAAAAGATATCAATTACTTACTAAACCGCCCTTGCAATCATGATACAATGAATACAAATTATGATTATCTATATCTATCCAATGCGTTATATAGAAAATCTCAAGTATAGTTGGAAAGATCATAACTCCACTATTAACTTCTTCAATCACGAATTTCACGATGTTCATAAAAATACATGTTATACTTGGATACAATTTGTATTTGTCATCCACGTGTCTAACATGCAACGATTTGTCTTCATGGAAAATATCTTTCATATGGATACGAGAATCTAGTTATATTATTCAGTTAGATATGACGTCGTATTTTTAAAAGAGATTGACAACCCTATTCCTAATGTCTGGGTGGAGGGAGGCATAGGCCCTCCATTTTTGTTTTCCTCCATGTAGTATTATGTGTATCATATGAAAGGTCCTAAGGAAAAATGATCAACATTCAGCTTATGGCTCCCTGCAAACCTCAAATCGTGACTTTGCTCATGCTTGTCATGTCACAATCCTCTCATATCCTCCTTCTCGTTTTCTTTCTGTTTGTTTTTTCTCTGTCATGTTTTCTACTGTATTAGCATTTTCATTAGGATACGCTAATAAAATGTAATTTATGTGTTTAACCACTCAAAAAATTGAATCCATAAAAAAATAAATTTGTCTTTCTTTGAGTTGATGGAAGAGAGGTTTGGGCTCACCATGCCCACTCATTCAATTCACACAACAGATTAATAGTCAGACCTTGACGAGCAAGTCTCCGGGTCCGGGCGGCAGTTTCCGTTATATAAAGGCCCACGTGGCACTCATCCTCACGCTCGCCGCCCCCTCTATTTTAGCCTTCAAATATTTATTCTTCACTTCTTCTTACAATCTCTCTCTCTTTCTCTCTCCTATCTCTCTCTCTGCCCAAAAAAGACCCTCTCAGTCTTCCCAAGTCTTCACTTCAGACACGAACTCTCAGGGCGCGGTTCTCCGATTTCCGGGACGCAAATGTCCGCTTGAAACCACAAGGTTTCTTGGCGGGTTCTGAGTCTTGCGGCAGCAGAGCATTCGTGGTGAGAATCAGAATTGAAGAAAGTGCTCGCTCGCACAGAGCATCGGAGAAGAGAACTGGTAACTGGTCTTAGAATCTTATTCTGTTGGGGGGAACCTAGGGTTTTTCGTTTTAATTCAAAGCAAAGCTCCGTTCTTGTTTCAGACTTTTCGTTTTCGACCTAGGGTTTTTGACTTTTTGTGTTGAGAATTGAGCCCCAGAGAAAGCGACTGGGTTAGGATTGTGATAAGTGTTGAAGAGTCACCGATTGTGATGATTTTAGGAATTGAAGAGTTGAATTCTCAATGGATATAGACGCGGTTGTAGGGGATGTTGGTTCTTTCGATCCTGAGCTTTTACAGCTCCCGGAATTGTCTCCGTTTGCGCTTAAAGCTAGTCCCCAAATTGCCGAGGATTTGTACGCACAGTGGCTTTCGCTTCCTCAAACCGGTCGATTGGTAAATTGCTTACCTTTTGTTTTTATGTACAATTTTTGTTATCAATGTGCATTTCTGTCCTCAAAGCTATAGCTTGTTGTTCTTGTTTGGATAAGTACAGGGTTTCCATTGTTAGCTTAGTACTTCGCTGTTGGTAATTGCCTCAGGGATGTCATTACTTTCCTTTTTACAAATAATAGTTTTTGCCACTAAGTACAGGGTTTGTATTTTTCTCTATTTTTTATGTATGATTATGGTAGACGTAATAATAGTTGATATTATCTGATGGTGTTTTGCGGTTTGATTTGACAGGTGAAATCTCTAATTGACGATGCAACCGCAGGCATTCCCATCAATGCCCTTGGGAACTCTTCAAGTGCAAATGCTGCCGGGAGCATTCATTACCTTCCATGTTTCAGGCTGGAAGTACACCCCCACTTTCACCGAGAAGTTCCTCTGGTTCTCCTCGCTTTTCAAAGCTGAAAACTAGTCCTTCTTCTCTGCGATCTCCGCTAAAAGTGGTTAGTGAACCAGTTCGAGAAGCCATTCCTCAGGTTGAACTCAGTTCTAATTGCTCTATTATTATTATTATTATTATATTTTTGTAAATATTGTGAGGTTGAAATTTAGTTGTGAACTTGAATGCTGGGGTCTTTTTATGATGTCAAGATTGAAGAATTAATGCTCATAATGTTTTATGATTTAATATGCTTGCAGTTCTATTTTCAAAATGGCCGTCCACCACCAAAGGAACTTCAGGAGCATTGTCTTTCTAGAATTAATGACCTTTTTGGTGGTCATATGGATGGATTGCAACTTCACGGTGAGATGTGTATCTGATATATAAATTCACCTTTTAGAATTAATGATTTTTTCTGCCCCCTAGTGAATCCACTTCTTAGAGATTCGTGAAACTGAAACCATTGAAAGCAAGGAGTTGATGTTATTTTCATGGTTATGCAGAGTTTAAGTTGGTTACGAAGGAGTTATGCAAGCTACCAACATTTTTCTCCTCTGCTATCTTTAAAAAGATAGATACTAGCTGCAGTGGGATAGTGACCAGGTATGCAGAAAATGTAATTAAGCTTACTAGAAACAATTAGACCTAGTGTTGATGGGACCTCATTTTGTACTCTGTGGAAGAAAAGATCTATGGAATGCTTCTCCTCATGTGTTTGTTGTTGGGCGATTATGTCCTGCAGCTTGCTCTCTGTGTCTCTGTCTCTCTCCCTGAAGATATGAATAAAGAAAAGGGTGTAAGTATAGAGCCTCCTAGGAGACAAGAACATAGAAACACGAAGTCCTGATATTTGTAGCTCACTTCCTATTGTTTATATTTGATTATAAACAATTGTAATTTTTATTTGATCCCAGCTTGATCCTACATATTCCCAGTTTAAATATTATTTGCAATCCTTCTACCTTTTGTTGTAATTTTTTTATTCGTTAATAGACAGGCTTCTCTTACTTATAGAACCACGACTATACAAGTCCCCTATATTGTTTCTATGTTTTACTTTTCTTCTTCTTGTTATATATATGTAATTATTTGCTGATTTGCATAATTTGTTTGTAGGGATGCATTCGTCAGATATTGGGTTGATGGCAATATGCTGACAATGGATACAGCAACTCAAATATTTAAAATTCTAAAGCAGTCTGATAGCAATTACCTTACTCAGGTATGATTTAAAACTATTATCTATTTGGTATAGGAACATGGAACTTTGGTTTTCTGCACTGTTAAATGACCATTTATGTCAGTTATGTGCCTTTGATTTCGGACCTTTTGGTTTTGCAGTGTAATTTGTATCTTTTACAATTATTTGTTTGTATTGTCAATGCAGGTAGACTTCAAACCCATTCTTCTAGAGCTTGTGGCAACCCATCCAGGGTTAGAATTTTTACATGGAACTCCTGAATTTCAAGAAAGATATGGTATGTATTTCGTACTTCTACGTAAGTGCAATAATGATTGATTGTTTTTATGTATTCCATGCCTGAGTAAGGTTTATAATTCACTTATCAGAACTGGTTGCATGGTTCTGTTGATTATAGAATAGAGACTGTTTTTGAATGCATAGTTATATCCGGTTAAGATCTCTTGTCCTTTTCAGGTATAATTATTTGTTAAGATCAAAATTTGAAAAGAAATAAAAGAGTTTTATCAGAATCTGTTGCAAACAATCTAGTTGACATCAGTAGTTGTTATTGCTTCAAACAAATATTGCAAATTATAGATGTAATATAGGATTGATTGGAGGTACTTTAAACTGCCATAAAAAGCATGTATTGTTACATTAGGTTCACTTTTTTCTATTTAAGATTACTTTTTGTTTTTCCATACTAATATTTTCTTACATAAGCTTCATTTTCAATACCCCAGCTGAAACTGTAATATACAGAATATTTTACTACATAAATAGATCAGGAAACGGTCGCCTTACTCTCAGGGAGCTGAAACGAGGAAATCTAATTGCTGCCATGCAACATGCAGATGAGGAAGAGGACATTAACAAAGTTCTGAGGTTTGTTTATCAACATGAAATTTCAAGTACAAATTACAGTTGATATATATGACCTGTGAGCTGTGTGCTTTTGCCACCCTGGGGGTGGTGGTGTAATGTGTATTTTTGAAAGTTTTTATTTTGGATTTTGTAGTGTTTTAATAGTTGGGAGATTCTCCAATAAGTATTTTATGTTAAGGATTGGTTACATACTTTTAATCTTGGCCGTTGGATTGCATTCATTAAATGTGTTGGTAGTCTCTTAGATGCAATCCAACGGTTGAGATTAGAAGTATGTAACCAATTCTTAACTCAAATACTTATTGGAGAATGTCCCTTAATAGTTTGACCCTTTTTTACCTGGAAGAAGTTAATTGTGGCTGAAAGATATTTTGGAGGAACTTAAGTACAACAAATTTTTATATATTAGATTTCAGGTACTAAATTGTGATAACAAAAATACTAAACCATGTTTTTATTTTTTCTGTCAAATTTCAGGTACTTCTCTTATGAACATTTTTATGTTATATACTGCAAATTTTGGGAGCTGGACACGGACCATGATTTCTTGATTGACAAAGAGAACCTCATTAGATATGGTAACCATGCCCTTACCTACAGGATTGTTGATAGAGTATTTTCGCAGGTTGGTGTATATATACTATAGCTTCCTCCACAAACTTCTGGAACAAATTATTTACCTAAATGAGGTTTCCATGTTGATTGTGTATTTGCTCAATTCCACTCCAGATTCCGAGAAAGTTTACTAGCAAGGTTGAAGGGAAGATGGGTTATGAAGATTTTGTTTACTTCATGCTGTCAGAGGAGGATAAGTCGTGTGAGCCTAGCCTTGAGTATTGGTATATGTTTCTTGTTTCTTTGTTCTTTTTCCATTTGGTAATTTCATATGGCGTGGAAGTCTTGATGTTTTAGAAGCAGAGTCAAGGTTCCTGTTTTTAAGTGAAAATAGTAGGTATCTAACAAAGAAAAGAGTGAATCCATGTTTTAATACGTTAATCCAAATCTTGGAAGTTGGTGTAATATTTTAAATCCCTGAAATGTAATCTTTTGCAATATGTTTAAAATAAATTATCAGTAATTAACAGATTAAAATTGTAAAATGGAAAACTAACTTCCCTTTTCCTGTGAACTTCTCATGAGTTTTAAATTTTATTCCCACTTTCCGTGGAAATTATCAGAGGCATTTGAATTCAAATATTATAAATAACTTTCTCACCTTCCGTTAAAAAAAATATCTTATAATTAAAACTCAGTATGTAAGGAACAATCTTATATGCCTGAAGTGCGTGTTGGGGTGCTAGTATTCTTTAAATATGAGATTTTAGCATGCGTAAAGTCTCAGAGATAAGTCATACATATACCATAAACATTGCTGTGATGACAAGCCTTGATTCACCAACCTGGTTTTCTGATGCTATGCTCCCAGTAATTGGTCTTTTACTATGTCTGCTTTTCCACTTTTATTTAGTCCAATCTTATTTTGTAGGTTCAAATGTATAGATTTGGATGGAAATGGAGTCCTTACACCCAATGAGTTGCAGTTCTTTTATGAGGAGCAGCTGCATCGTATGGAATGCATGGCCCAAGAACCTGTTCTATTCGAGGATATTTTGTGCCAAATAGTTGACATGATTGCACCAGAGGTCAAATATCATCATCATCATCATCATCATTGATATTGTTATTATGTTACTGAATGCCAGATCTTGCTTTCAGTTACTCACTAGACAGGACTACTTTTTGAAATCTTACTTGCAGAGGGAAGATTATCTCACACTAGCTGACTTGAAAGGGTGCAAACTTTCAGGAAATGTCTTCAATATCCTTTTCAACCTTAATAAGTTTATAGCTTTTGAAAGTCGTGATCCATTTCTTATTCGCCAGGTATTTTTGCAATAATTGGTGTTTTAAACTATTGAGTGACTAATGACTACACATTAGAAAGTTAAAATAAAATAAAATACTGTTTTAATTTTCTGGAACAATAATGGTGCACTGGCATTTTGGATTGAACAGGAACGCGAGGATCCAACTTTGACAGAGTGGGACCGCTTTGCACACAGAGAATATATAAGGCTGTCAATGGAAGAAGATGGTGAGAATGCCTCTAATGGAAGTGTAGAAGTATGGGATGAATCACTCGAGGCTCCTTTTTAAGTTCAAGAAGGTGAGCTTTTACATTGAGATTTTGTGGTGATATAACGGAAAATATTTTGTTCCTGAGCCTAAACAAGTTTCTCCAGCATCTCAATTGGAGTCATTACCCTAATTCTCGAGCAGAGGATCCAATAGATGGACCTCATTGCTTGCAATTTCATTGGGAGGCTTAAACAACCCCTTAATTTGGTAAATTGTTCTAATTCTGTAGTGAATTCAGAGGCTTGAATTATTCATTTCAATTGTAGAGATGAAGAGAGGAAAATTGAGAAAGAAAAATTGTTAGCTATATGTTATTTTTTAATCAGCACTTGCTTGTCTCTTAGATCTTAGAGTGTAATGTGAATGTACCATAGCGACTTGCTAAATTCAAACATGTAGTAAGGGTGTGTAGAATCTATGCATCTCTTTTCTTAGAGATGATGAATGATCCTTGTAGAAGTTAGTATTTCTTAGGTTTAGGTTGTACACAGCAGCAAAATCATGTCTGTTAGTGAACTGAGTTCTTTGATGTTTTTCTGTTTATGCAGTTGCCTATGAGATAGCTTCAGATGCCTCGTCAAAGTTGCTCATTTCAATGAAGAATAATTTGTTACGTCAAAATGCTCCATGGCACACATCAGCGGCAGTAGTCCTGTTCAACATTAGATCTCAAGCTTGGTCATGTAACCTTCATCAACCGTATTCAAGCAACCTTGGCACTCATTTTGTGTGATAGGCAACGAGCTTGCCCTTTCATGAAATTCAAGGAGGTACAAACTGGAATTCTACAGTGAATAGCTCGTTTGCAACGGGAGAGTGCAATTAATTGTTGACAAGGTAACAGTAGTCCATGCTGTTATCGAAGGAGTGAGATTGTTTCCAAAAGCAGCTCACCATCTGGTTGCTTTTCTTCTGGTGCCTCTTTGTAGGTCAAGGCAAGGTGGCTGGCAAGTATGTCCTTGTAAACTTCAAGTGCCTTGTAATTTTGCTCAGATGTTCTATTCTGGTCCAACAGCCCCCCAAACCATTTTATTCTCGCTGCTTTCTCTAGCTTTATACCTTGTCCATAGCTTATTTTATTGGATTTTTTTAATTGAAAGAATGAAGAAAAGGAAAATGTGCAGGAGTTCGAGGCTTCGTTGTCTTTACCATGCTCTGTTCAATTGGACAAAGCCTTGGTAACCCGCTTATAAGTTCAGTTGTTTTTTTCTTCAAAAAATAAAAAATAAAAATCTTGTTCTGATTGGCCACGACTTACGAGTCGAACTTTGGGGAGATTATTTGATTTACGGACTTTCTAGGTTTTATATAACGAACTCTTGCTCGTAAGCAATTTTTTTTAGAAATGCTTTTATTAGTAGCCCATTGTAAATTTTATCAAAAAACTTATTGAAAAAGTACTCCAAAAAAACACTTTTACAGTGATTTCGCCTAAAAGTGCATTTAGCATAAAAGTACATTTAAATTTTTTTGCCAAATGCTTTTAAAAGTGCTTTCAACTTGTCCAGAAATAGTCCCGCTTAAAATCTGCGGAATTTGACAGTTCTTACTTATTTTAAAGACAATTTCTCTCAGCAATGTGGCATAACAGCACCTTTAACAAGTTCCACAACATTACCATCACCCCCTCGCACCTCACCAAAAGGCTTTACACGAGGAGTTGGATTCTCTGTCTACAAACCAGAGCAAAAAACGAAGACGTGGAATATGAAGGCTATCAAATTGCCCACAAATATATTATTCAGCATCATAAGATAAAATTGAGAAGGAAAGTTCCTTGGCTCCATTTCATTTCAAAGAAAATCCATACAAGGTTTATAGAGATAATCACTTGTGGCTGGTTCCCACTCATAATAACTATGACCTAACCAAAATATCAAGTTACTGCCACCACAACGAATCAAAACATAAAGAGACAACTCAAAAATATTGCAACAAGGCTGCAAAAACTAAAAGAGTACAGATTCAAGACTCAGGCTGCACTCTCCTTTTTGAGTTTCGTTAGCTCCTGCCTGATGATTCCCGCCCTCTGCACAAACACAAAAACAAAGCATAATTATTAATTAGTTATACCAGCTCACAAAGTCAACACTGAGACCAAAAAAACAAGGTTAACAGATCAAATTTTTAAAAGTTTAATTATCTACTTTGTGTTAACGATTCATGCTCTTTGTATGCATGAGCTAGGATGCAATCTTCATCCACGCATTAAGAAATAACTAAGTGCGAAAGACCAAGTTATAATTCTAGAAGCCGTTTGACAACTACCATGCAATTAAAATTGAAGAAACAATTTTAGCTGATGGTAGAAATTAAAAGGATCTAAAAAGCAAGAGATACCTAATTGGCAGAGTCTAACATTCATGAATTTAGCTCCTCCACCCAAAAAGAGCGTAGGGGGGCCTTGGGTGGAGAAAAGGAAGGGGAAAGGGATGAAAACCTAACCCTCAAAGGTTTGATCAACCTCTCACCCAACGAATAAAATGCTAATTAACATACAAACTACAAATAAAAAATACGAGGAATCTCAGTTTTTCAGGATAATACAAGTTTGAGAGATAAAAAACACACCTTGATCTTTGCCAACATGAGCTTAAACCTATCAAAATCATTTAGTGCAGCTCTTCTCTTCTGCACTATCAGCTTCCTGCCCCATGAGCTGTTTTCCCATTTGTTCTTTACGTCTGCCAACCACAATATGAAAACTCAACTCAGTTGGGAACAAGCAAAGAAATAAAAAGGTAGACGACTTAAATCCTCATCTTTCCATAATCACTCAAAACTCACCAGCAGCCTCCATGGCAGCAATCAGAGTCTTCTTCTTAGGAACCCTTTTGATGTCAATGGTAATATCAGTGAGTGTAAGCCTCTTGAAATTCAATTGGGTCCTCACCATGTCAGGGGCATCAACAAGAGCCTGCAAAATAAAATGCAGGTCTGCTAAGTTCTTACATCAAACTTAAATATTCAGTATCAAATGACACACGCTTAATCCAGAAAATAAACGTAAATATTCAGTATCAAATGACACACGCTTAACCGACCCGCCCAGACCCCAGAACCGCCCAGGCGCCGCCTAACTCCCTGGCGCTTACCCCTAACGATTAGGGTGAAATCGCGGTGGTGTCCTCCCGCCTAGCGCCTCCCGCCTAGCGCCTAGGCGCCGCCTAGGCCGATTTTTCGAACTTATTTTATTTTGTGAAAAAGCATTACACTTTGTAAGTATTCAATGGTAAATGCTTGTGTGCTATGTTGTGCTGCTTGTAAATATTCCACAACTCATCTATTTCAAAGTAAACCAGCATTGAACGAACAACAAACGCATACCCTTTATTTTAATCACAAGTTTAAATGGTAAAGTAGAAAACTTTGAACCTAAATGGATTGAGAAGAAAGGCATTTGCGTAAATAAACGCAACAACATACCCTGTTTTGGTCGAGGACATCGACGATCACGACAAGCCTGCCGTAGTCTTTCCCATAGTTGACGAGGGCCACTCGTCCGATCTCAACGTATCTCTTGAACGGCATTTTTTAGATCCTCTGAAAAAAGTCGGGCAGAGGAGTCAGAGAAGATGAGTGAGGAAAGAGGCCGAGCTAGGGTTTGAGATGTGAAGAAATAGGGTTTTGTTCAAGCTGAGCCCAATCACCTGCGGTCGAGTTTATCGTAGAATTTCTTAGGTCGTAATTCTATTGGCTAGAGTGTGTAAGACCAAGTTCTATTTTCTTGCGTGCCCTGACATATTCTAATTTTTACAACTAAGACCTTTATTTATACTTTATTTGAATAAGTGCCCCAATGGTTTTCGTTTTGACAGAGTCAGGCTCAGTGAAAAATGGTGGGGGCTGGCTGTTGCCGCTTTGGGCTAACTATAATCCAAAAAAGGGCTCGTGAAATAAAAAAATACCGTTAGAGCAAACGAATTCACAACGTCCTTTTCTATAATATTTTCGCTTCTTCTTCGCTCCCATCTCTCTCTCTCTCTCTCTCTCTCTCTCTCTCTCTCTCTAATCTCTTGTGTGATCTTTATCATCTTGAAGAAAGCTCAAGGAGGTTGAAGCATTTTCAATTCAAATTTGAATTTCTAAGACTCCAGTTAGTGAAGGTACATAAATCTACATGTTTGAATGATTTTGTATGCATGTGATATTTAGAAACAAAACAAGATATGTGATCTGGGTTTCTCTTGATTCAAGGCCTTTTGTTATAGGATGGATGGTTCAAAATGCAATCTTTGGAATCTTAATGTTCAAATTATATTTCATTTGATTCATTACAACGAATAATAAGGGATTTTGGGTTTATCTTAAAATTTGATTTTGAGATATTGACATGTAAAAACTTGCATTTTTCATAGGGATGATATAAATCATAATGTTGAGAAAATCTGGGATTTTGGGTATAATGGTGGTTGTTTGTACCATTTGGATGGTAATGTATTGGGATCCTATATGTTTGTGTTGCTTCCCTTTAAGTCATCATTCGACTATATGTGATCTTCTTAGTGTTTCTGGTTTGTTTATGTTTAAGTGGTACTGACTCTTTATTTTAATTTTGGTTCCCAACCGAAGAAAAACTGAAAGTGATTGAATTGATTTTTGGATGCTTGGTTGTGAGAGACAATGGCGTTGTTTTTTATGAGGAAAGCTTCGACAGCTGAGTTGGATGCTTTCTATCCACTTAGACCAGAATGCCAAGTTGATGTCCCGAAGACCCGGTTTAGGCTCAGGGTGTGCCCTTTTCACTTCATTTCGTTTGCTAATATATTGTTTAGTTTTATAACACAATTCAGTTCAACACCACCTTCTATAAGACTTTAATTATTGCTGCTAGCATAATATTCTAGTGTTTTTCCATTGCAAAGTTTCGGTTATGCACCACTAATACTCTATCACAGTATGATTACTTATTGTACTTCTATGGATGTATATGATCCATGTTTAAAACTTTAAAATTTTGCAGGCTGGGAAAACTCTTAGTGCAAGAAGATGGCATGCTGCCTTCTCTGAAGACGGTCACTTGGATATAGCCAAAGTACTAAGACGAATCCAACGAGGGGTAACCTTCTCCTATGTTATATTTTTTTGTTTGGGATTTGTTGGGGGGTTGGGGTGTTGTTTTATGTCACTGTTGGCATGTAGACGTAGGATATAACAAATACGTGATACAATTTTTCTTAACAAACACATCAAATATATTTTTATTCTTGGTGGTGTTAGATACACCATACATGTTACTCCTTTGGTGTACTGAAAGTTAAAATTGTATGTGTATGATATTAAGTATATATCTTCTTATTTCATTTATTATACTAGGGTGTCCATCCTGCAATCAAAGGTGTAGTCTGGGAATTCTTGTTAGGTTGCTTTGATCCAAATAGCACATTTGATGACCGGAATCAGCTCAGGCAGAGCCGGAGGTAAAACATTTTGTTTAATTCTGATTTAATATGTAGAATATGTCTCTCAATTTAATCACTATCAAAAGCAACAGAGTATACTTCGCTCCTCATATGCTATCTCTATCATGTTTAGAGGGTTATATTAGTTACAAGAAGGGGTTTCAGTTATATTAGTTTTTCTTTTAGTGTTATACCTAAGACTGTGCTGTAGTTGTTTGGAAGTTAATAGGGATGCAGGTAAGTGAGGCTTGGATAGCAGTGCCTTTATTTTTTGATATGGCATATAACAGGGATGAGCAGCCTTTGAAGGGGTAGAGAATCCATTTCTATTCAAGATGATGTCTCTAGGTTGTGCCTCTCATGGCTTTTAGATCATATTTATGTGGTTCAATAGATGCTATTGATTTCAGAAGCTGGTTTTCCTTGGATCATTGGGGCCCTTTTGCTTACTCTGTACTTGGTTTCATGCTTTGCCTTTTTCAAATATATTTTTTGAACTATTAAATTTCTAAATCTTTATGCCATCCAGTTGCTTTAGATTCTTTTTTATGACAATTGTTTTTGCATTATTCATGCTCACCTACGTACATGTTATGTCTTTTCCATCATGCTCCAGCCCATTGAACATTTGTTTTGTGAGCCATATGCCCTTTAAGGTTCAAGCCTTAGTTTATAAAATTCTTCATCTGAGTTGCCATATGGGTATGAGTGGTTTTCCATATTCCAATTCTCATTATGTTGATTTTTTACCTTTAAATAAAAAACTATTGGCATGCTGTCCATCCTGCATTATTTATTTTGATTGAATATTGTGAGTTCATGTATAACGTTGACCATTTTAGGGAGCAGTACAGCAGATTGAAATCTGAATGCCAAAAGATGGTTCCAGTTATTGGCAGTGGAGAATTTCTTACAACACCAATCATCACAGATGATGGCCAACCAATAGAAGAATCAGCAAATGGCAATATAAGTAACTATGGAGGGGATGCAAACCATGCTACTTCAGACAAGAAAGTGATTCAGTGGAAGCTTTTCTTGCATCAAATTGGTATATATCTGTTGTACGTGTTGCAAATCTACATTCTTTGGATAAGTTGTGAACCTAAGATCCAACCTACCCTTTACCATTTGATAAAATCTCAGTTTTCTGTTGTTTTCACTCTTTAGGGTGTTGCTTTCGGTAAAATGATCAACAAATGTCCTTGAACTGATTAAGGAAGAAAACCAGAACACTAACTTAACTTGACACTTCTGTATTTCTTTTCTCGAGGGACATGTTTTACACTTATTATTCATGCATGAATGTTCAGCATTGATATGTATGATACTTTTTAACTTTTTAACTTTTTAACTTTTGTCATAATGGTTAATATTCTGAGGCATATATATTTGGATATCTAATGGTTATTTTACCTTTTGTTAATACTTAATTTAGTTTTTTAATATATTTTTTTATAGTTCAAATTCTGAATCTTATCTATTTTGGTATCTTATGGTTATTTTAACTTGTGTTAACTTTTAACAGTGGTTAACTCAAGTTCAACTGGGGGATTTGGCTTGTAGGTTTGGATGTTGTTCGCACAGATCGATCACTTGTCTTTTATGAGAGTCAAGCTCATCAGGCAAAACTTTGGGACATTCTTTCAGTTTATGCTTGGGTGGACAACGATATTGGTTATGTTCAAGGTGAATGTTACTGAATCTCAGTGATATTCTATCAAAGTTGAATAGCATAGGTGACAGTTATAATGGCCATTTGTGAGCAGGAATGAATGATATATGTTCGCCAATGGTAATTCTTATTGACGATGAAGCAGATGCCTTTTGGTGTTTCGAACGTGCGATGCGAAGGCTGGTATTAATATTTCTTCCCTTGATGATACTATTATTGAATTGCATGTTTGGATGGACCAGTGTTGACTGCCTCTACTTTTAATTTTCCATGAACTTGTTATGAGTGATTCCGAACAGGTAGTAGATAATGACACTGGGATCTAGTAATTGCTTTCTAGTACCATTATGAGCAATTTTGGTTTTCTTATTCTTTTGGTAATTTTTTTCCTTGTACTATGAACACAAATTTAATGAAAATGTAGAATGAGTCCTGACTATTCAAATTCATCATGTAGACTAGAATGGATGTCAGAACACCAAAATGGAGAAGTGAATTATTAGTAGAAGGCTTTAGAAGGACAACAGGAAGGCCTGAAGTGATGGTACACCCTTTGGGCAGTTGAGAAAAATGTACTGAGAATGGATTTGAGGATGTTTAGATGGATGATTGGCAGCCCTAGAAGGTATCTTGGAAATTGATTCCTTACAAAACACTGCAAATGGATTTCTTGACAATATAATAAGCGGAAGTGCTCTAGTCAGTGGCTCTGATTAGCCAACATGATTCAATCTTAGGCACTAAAAGTAGGTTAAAGTAGGCAAGTTGCTATAGTTAAATCAACTCTTAAACCTTAGTCAAATTAATGCATTCAACATGTTCTGAAGAATAGTTGGGTTTGGTTCGTACATCGACTAATTAAAGACTCATTTAGTTTTGTTCATCTGGTGTTTCTAATTCTGCTTTGATAGAAATATATGGATGACAAGAAAGCTGTTAATGGTCTTTTGGGGACCTTGAGGCTGATTATTTTTTATTTATTTATTTATTTCAAATGATGTGTTAGATGTTTGGTGCTTGTGATATGCTTCTGTTAGGGTATAATTCAGATTCCTGCTTTTGTTTCGAAAACAGAGAGAAAATTTTAGGTGCAGTGCTAGTTCGATTGGAGTGCAATCTCAGCTGAGCACACTCTCCCAAGTAATCAAAACTATTGATCCTAAACTTCATCAGCACCTCGGTAAGATTTCCTTTATGCATGTCCACTAACACAGGTCCTTAGTACTGAGCTAAAACTCCATTTCCTTTTTATTGTCAGAGGATCTAGATGGTGGGGAGTATTTATTTGCATTTCGCATGCTGATGGTCCTGTTCCGAAGAGAGTTTTCCTTTGTGGATTCACTGTATCTTTGGGAGGTGAGGAGGAAAACTGTACTCATTTCCCTAACTGGGTTCTCTTTTATTGATAAATAGCTACTTCCTTATGGATGATGGATGAGATTTCGTTTGCATTCATGTTGTCGATTTCTATGTGAATTCAAATTTTAGGTCTCATGAATCTGAATGTAATTAATGTCTTGGAGTTTCTTTCTTTGCTCTTCATTCATAAGCTTGTTTTAAGACAGTAATATAGATTGGTTTCAGCTGATGTGGGCCATGGAATACAACCCAAACATATTCTCTTCATATGAAGTGCCAAGTGGTGGCGCCACACCATCTAATGTAAATGACAAAGAACTAAAGCAATACGGCAAGTTTGAGAGAAACATTGTGAAGACAGGATACACAGAAAAACATGGTGCACTTTCCATTTTTCTTGTTGCAAGTGTTCTTGAGACCAAGCAAAAGCAACTTTTAAAGGAGGCTACGGGTCTAGATGATGTTGTCAAGGTCTCTCTCTCTCTCTCTCTCTCTCGTGTGCAGGTGCAGGTGCAGGTGTACACTCATGTTTACTTATATTTGTGTCTTCATTTATCTCATATTGGTCTCCAGATCTTAGGTGACATAACTGGAAATCTGGATGCTAAAAAGGCATGTAATGAGGCATTGAGGATTCACAAAAAGTACCTCAAGGTATTTTCTTCCTCCTTTTATCACGTTTATGTCTCTCTCCCTCTCTCTCTCTCTCTCAAAGGCTCTCTTCTTTTTGTAATTATCTTCTTGGGTATATCATTAGTGTTGATTTAGAAACTGATTTGTTGGCTTGCAGACTGTGAAGCAATAGATAATTTCCTGGGATGTCAACTGTTTACCGAAGTTTTGCACCCAGGTGTTGGTGAGTTGGTGACAACATGGGACCTTCAATTTTCTCATCACCTTTTTTCTGTCATGTTTTCTTTGTACTTGTCTCTCTCTCTCTCTCTCTCTCTCTCTCTAAAAACAGAGAAGCAATGTGTACCTAATTGGGCATCGGCTTGCATACTTGTCCCATATAGAAAACACAGAGAGAGAAGAAAACAGAGAAGCATGGTGTCATATTATGTAAAGTCAAAGTAACTAGGGTTATAGAATATAAAATTTTGAACGAAATGCTTCTTTGGCAATGGCATTATGAGCTTGCATTACAATTTTTGTTTTTCCCTGGTCACATGGGTGGCAAAGCTCAGAACAAAACAAAGATGAGCTCTCCCAATATTGCTTGTATTAAAATAAATAAAAAACCAAAGACAAAGATGAGCACTTTGATTTTTGGGGCTCACCTCAGCTGTGGTATTCTTTTCGCAATTATATGCTATAACCTTAAAATTATCACAGCCATGATTTTATATCACAAGGTCATCATCTTCACAGCATCTTGCACACCCTGGAATTCGAACTGTAGTGCTGAGGCAGTATTTCTTGCATGGGCCAGGGCACCCTGCATCCAAATAAATAAATATTTTAATAAACTAATAAGAATTCAAACAAAAGACTTGAACATTACGATTTCTAGATACAAATAAATAAATAAATAAAAAAAGAGAAGCAAAAATGTGGAGCATTATAGAATAGAAAATTACCCCAACGGGTCAAAGGTGGCTTCTGTGAACAGAAGATTGGTAAACACCAGCAACAAGAACATGCAAAGGACAGTTCTTTAAGATGACATTTTGACCTAGACGAATTCTCGAATGGATTTTCTTTTTTTGTTTTGTTTTGGGTGTGTTTGATAAAAGAAAAAGGCTTACACTCTGCTCTTTATAGAGGTGGTTTATGATTCATTGCATTCATTTTATTTCTATGGAAACTTGGGATAATATCATGGTTTACAAGAAAGGAGCTCAATTGTTTTTTACTAAATAAAATCTTGCTTTATATTATCGGCAAACTAAGTTGCTCCTTGTAAACCATGATACTTTTTTTTCATTATCCCAAGTATTCATATAAATAGAAGTTTACACAAACTTGAAATTTTTGTCGGTGAATCGAAAATTTGTTAAAGTGAACCGGAATGTAATTTTTAAGATCCATCCCCTAATTTGTTTTTAAGAGAAGTCGTTACGGTTTTCACTCATTCCTAATTTCTTACATAAAAACTTGAGATAATGAAAAAAGTGCATCAGTTTCCAACTCACCTTTTAAATTATTTTCATTCTCCAAAACTAATTTAATCTTTTTGAAAGGGAAAAAAACACATAGTTCTTGAGGTGAAATTCTGAATTACATAAGGTCTCGAGACTTCCAAAACATACCAAAAAAAAAATTATTGTAACTATATAGCCTAGCCATAGCTACCTTGAAGCATGAGAACAAGTCCATGCAGAAGCAACATACAAACTAGTATCCTTCCACCCAAGCCTAATAGTCCCATCTCCTTGCACAAGGCTATACCCATGTGTAGGAGGAAACATGTTCAATATCAACTGAGCTTGAGCCATTGAATTGGCACTCATCCCTACTTGCATGAACCCATTTCTCCCCCCAAGCTCACTCCTCCACTGCCTGAACTTGTCCTCCCCGCTTCTCGCCGGCCCCCCGATCGCCAAAATGTTGTTGATCTCCCTATAAAACAGGCAGTGCTCCACATTGTGCCTGCTAGGGTTGTCGCTAGACAAATATGACTCTAGTGAATCAAACATGGTCGAATAGTAATGTAGTGACCCAACAAAACGATCCAAAAATGAGCCACTATGTGACATGTCTTGCTCTACCAATGTCACAATTCTTGGTGCTAGTTCTTCAATCAGTCTCATTGTTTTCCAATCGGGGCCGGTTGCGTCGTAAAGTGAATGCTGCAGCCAATGCACGGCTAGAGTCTCCCCTCTCCTTACTTGCACCATGGAAGCATCTATGTCACCTATTTTCCTCACAATTGGATGAAATTCGAAGGGTAGCCCTAGTCGCTTAGCAAAATTCGAGAGCTGTTTACCGGTCTCCATCAAATTTTCCGATGATGTTCCCACACCGGTCATTCGCACCTGTGGAGGGCCCTCCATTCGTGTCGCGAGGATGTGAAACAAGGCTGGCCATTGCAAACCCTGCGCACACAAAGTATTCAACATCGATGTTAGTTGATGTTCAAAAACACATAAATATCGACAAAATATCAATATATATATATATATATATATCAAGAGAAATTATAAAAGTATTTGGATAAATCACATGCCTGCATGATGTCGAGGTCAAGAATGTGAACCCTATCTCGGCGGTGAAAGGCCTCGAGGATGGCTTGGTTTGAAGTGAAGTGGGCAAACTTGATGAAGGGGGAGATAGTGTTGAAGACTTGAAAAGCACTATGAATGCTTTTGTAATTCACCAAAGGAGAGCAAATGCCTAACCATGAGTTGATAACCCTACTAGTCATGGCCTTGGCGAAATAGGCCACCACGCGCTCAGCGCATGATGGCCCATACGGCGAGGCCATCTGACTCAGCTCAAGAAGCATCCGGTGGGCCTCGGGGAGGTTGTCAACGGAGATGGCCACCGCGCATTCGAAGAGGAGGGTGATTAGGGATAAGCCATGCTCATCAAGCTTGCTCATCCCTCTTGGCCTAATGTTGTTATCTGCATGGAGTTGAAGCTCATTCCCCCATTGAAGCTCATGGTCATGATCACCATAGCTTCTCTGGCTGATTTTACTCGGACTAATTAAGTCGGTGGAGAGAGATGACGGGACAAAATAGTCCTCGGATGTTTGCAAGGTGTCTGTGGTGGCGGCGGCGGGTTCAGGCAAGTCGTCTATGAGCTGTTTGGTGATATGCTCCACCCACTGAGAGAGTTCACTTCTCTCCAAGGTTACAAACCGGTTTTCAATAGGCTTGGGATTGGGGAAAGGATTGGAGGTTGGATTATTTTGAAACCCAACAACAGGACTGGGATAGTTAGTCCAAGGTTCATGGGATTGGATCATATTCATAGTCCCATGAGCCATTTCAAATTTTGCTTTCATCAAAATCACAAATGAAGATAGATGGTGATGAAGGGGGTGTTAGAAAATAGGAGGAGTTTATTTTTAAAGGTGGTGGGCAGAGAAAAGGTCCTGTGCATGACATAGCAGAATTTTGGCACTTGTTTGGTATTGATGGAAAGGAATGGCCGGCATATCCAAGACATACAGAAAAGGTTAGCATGCTACAAGCCAAGACCCACGTCAGTCAGGTAGTGATTTTCTTATATATTATTGATTAATGATCATGATGATAATATTTTCCATTAATTAATTTGGCAGGGAAAAACAATTTATACACGCATATCAAACGGCGATTGGCAGAAAGGTAGGAGTACTTCTATTTCTAGAGAAATGAACTAATATTTTCCATTAATTAATTTGGGTCTTCAGCTAGATTATCAACAATTTGATTAATGTTACTTTGATTAGAAGTATTCATACATAAAAGTGTGTTGTAATTATATAAAACACAATGTCACTATCCATATATGTATATAACCCATATTCTATCTAGATCTAGATGAAATTACAAATCAAGAAGATGAGGAAAGAAACAACTAACCCACTAAGTACTTCAGGGCAACTGTTAATGATGGCTGCTGTGAATTAATTAATATTATTTTAATTTAAAAAATAATAATTCATCATATTCAGACTTTTGGATTGTCACTACTCTAGTCTCTGGTTTTTAGATGTATTGTTTGTTTGAAATATTTTGTTTCTTATTGTTTCTTATACGGAGGCATATTGGCCCACAGGAAAAGACATTTTTGGCAACACACCAAGATAAATTATTCCCAAACTAAATTGAGTATGAATGGGTCAAGGATTGAACTTGTTTGGTTTCTGGGTTTGGGTTTGGATTGAATCATTTCCATCTGATAGCTTAATTTGACGATTTCTTAATTGATAGCCTCATACTTTAGAGAATTGTCCAAATTAGCAAAAAGCCCATTTGGCCATAATGTTTTAGAATTGGCCCCCACCAATTTGGCCAGCAAAGTCATATTTTCTGAGGTCAGATCGTCAACCTAAATAAAGGAAGAATAAAAGACCAGAAACCATCAAACTTGTCAAGATCTAGGGTCCAAGTCCTAGTCAACCAGTTTGGATCTTAGCTCAATTTCTTTTTTTTTAATCCTTTGTTAAAAAAAAAAAAAAAAAAAAAAAAAGAACACATTAACGTTGAGGTTTTGTTTGTTTTGCAGAATCAAAACCAAGGGAATTAGCTGAGCATTTTAATACTAAATTTCCACATTTTGCTTTTCCCATCTAAAATTTATAACTAAAAAAAGAGACAATTAAGTTTCACTTTTCCGTTATGACGTTTTGCGTAAATAAGAAATTGTTGCACCAGTTGGTGTCTACAAGTAGTTGATGAAGATCCAATTGCATGTGTTTTAGTGGATCACAAGTTTTAGTTTTATGTGCCGTCGTTTTGAAGGTTTATTAGTATGAACTCTTCAACCTATGTGTCATTTTTCTCTCCAGTCAATTGAGAATGGATATGAGTGGTTCAATGTCTAATTTAAATACAGAAATGGTAGCTGAATGATGGCGACTCTATATTGTCCTAATGTCATGCCAAATGGCACTCTCAGAGAAAGCATGGACCCACGGGGAATATATAGAGAGAGCCGTGGAGAATATCTTTCGAATTATGCCCTATTTCGTTTGGCCTCAAATCAAGTTATCAGATTCCTAATTGACCTGCATTCCACAAAATCTTTGTGCACTTCTGGTTTCGACTGAGAAAGAAAGAAATTAAATAAATACAATAATAATAAAAAGTACAAGGCACAGTCACATATTTTGTATTTTGCTGGCTCGAGCATGCGTGAAAAATCACGTAAGCTGACATCATTCACCACAACGAATTTGATCAATTTGGTTTCTAAGCAACAACAAAAAGAAAAAGGAAAAAATAATTAAAAACTAAAACTACAAAAAATGATGTCTTTGGCGGCAAAATTTCTCCTGACAGACATAATATTTGTTAGGAGAGACCGATATTTTCCCGGCAAAAGGTATACTTTGTAGTCCAAGACATGGCGTGAAACCATCAAGTTGGTACAAAAACTATGCCTGCAAAAGTTCCACCTTAGGCGATAGGTGGGAGCACGATCTCACTTACAAAGAATTTGTGGTTTATTCAGATCATCAAGCTTCTCAAAAGAAGTTGAATGCTCAACATGTCAAATGGAGTTCCTACTTTCAAGAATTCAACTTTTCTCTCAAGTACTGTACAAGATTGGGGAATCTAAATGATGCTTTGAGCATAAAGAATCTATTGTTAACTAAGATGAGTGCTCGAGTTATTGGGTTTGAGGAGTTAAAAGATCAGTATGTTACAGATCCATATTTCAGCTCTATAGAATCTGAACTCCAAAGTCCTATTGGTTGAAAGGTGCATCCATTTCGAATGCTTGATTGGTATTTACTTCAAGGAAATTTGTTGTGAATTCCCGAGGTATCGTTACGTGCACAAATTGTCAGTTTGGCAAAGATATTGATAGACTGGTTCGAAAGTGTAAAATTTGTCAGTTTGGCAAAGGAAGTTCACAAAACAATAAATTAAACTAAATCCTAGTTAAGATAGGAAAATAATTAATTGAATAATTTAATACAGCTAAAACTTAGCTCTTTTTGGCTAGGATGGATGCTCCTGCATCACAAGTCAATCCTGCCCTTTTCAATACACAACATAAAAACGATTCATTCATAATTTGTGATGCTAAACTGCATACAATTAAAACCTTAAACATTTGTCCTCCATATTATTCACTATCCTTTGATTTTTCAATTAGTGAAGGAGACCTCACATAGTGTCAACTTTTGGAATGAATTGTTGATGTATATACAACATTTCAAAATATACTTTGGAATGAATTCGATCAAAAGGTTAATGATTCTTCTTTTTCTTTTTCATTTGCTCAGAATTGCTCTTCTTTTTTTATTCGTGGGTAATAATTTGTTTATCAATGATTCTTTTGGGTGTTATTTGTTTGATTATCTTAAAGTAAAACAAAGTGTGAAGAATCAAGACAAGTTTAAGTTGTGTGTTCACCCCAAATTCAAATTTTCAATTGAGATTGTTACCCTCATAAAAAGGTAGGAAATTATATTACTTGCAGATAATTAATTAATAAATTGCATGCTGAGAAATTCGATTAAGTTGGATAGAATAAGAAACTTATTTCAAAAGAATTTATTTACCAGCCTAGGAAAGAAAAACTTTTCTTTCCAACCATTAAGACGATCCTAACAGACCGAAATAATTCCTTCTTACCTCTATTAGCCTTTGGAGAAGTTATAGAATAGTACCACCACCTCAGCTTAAGAATAATAAAGGCACAGGCACAGGCATCAAACCCTAAAAAGGATTTGTCTTCTCTTCTCTCCACCCATCCCTCTCGAAACGATGATTGACGAGCCGATGCGAGTCGTTTTAGAGATGATCGATGCTGTGATGAAAAAAACAGATGCTATGTCTGGCGCGACTGATACTGTATGCATGCGTCTCTCTCTCTCTCCTTTTTTACAGAAAACTTAAAAAGTATGATTGTTGTTGGTTTTTTAATGAAAAAAATTCTATCCAATTTGCCATTCAGTTACCTCCCCTTATGTCAAATCTCAAGATAGAGGAGAAAACGGACGACCCTCCTGGACGACGGCAGGAGGAGGATGAGGGAGAGCAGGATTCGAGCGAGTAAAAATCCTCACTCATTTAGTTTGGCCTCTATTCTTGTAAGTTTTAACGTGTCCTCATGTATGATATGATTTTCCCCTCTTTCCCATTCTGCCGAGTCTATTCTTGGTTTTCTTCATGAATCTACCATAGATTTTGTGAAGGAATCATGCGACACGGAGGAGGAGCGTCATAGGGCTATGAAGTCCACCTGCAGATTGTTTGCAAGTCTTCAATCGGTAAGATCCTGACCTAACTAAACTTGTCACTAGTCTCTATAACAAGTTGGGTATGTCTTTTCCTTTTTTCTGCTCTTTTTATTTATTTATTTATTATGCTGCTAGTTTAGATGTTGGTACAACCATTCGTGATAAGGTAATACCCAGTGTGAGATTCCCAGTTTTCCTGGTCTTCTTTTCAAGATTTGGCCCTTCAGTTGTTTTTGTGAGGTCTATTATTTGCATATTAGGCACATACAAAAGCTTTTTCTCTGCTCACTTTGGAATTAAATTTTGCATCTATGATTGTTGTAGGGGGCTCCTCGTAATCGTGAGGAATTTGAGGCATCCATCCCTGAGAATCCTGACCACTGGACACAAGAGGTGAGTAAATAATAACCATGTATTTGATAAACGTTATTAGCTTGTTTGTAAATATTGTTGCAATCACCTTCTTTGGGTTCTTGATTGTTGTTGGTTGACTATGAGCCTGAGATGGTAAGTCTAGGCATGGGAAATGGTTTCCTGGCACATGGGAAAGTTTGGGGGAAAGTGAATCCCTCCTCTTAACTTGGGTTTTGTTTTCCCTCCTCATGGGAAAGTTTGGGAAAATGAGCCAACATTCAATACACAATTTTCATGACTATTTTGTCCTTATGAACAATTTATAATTACAATGTATCATTAAATGCATTCTTTTTTTATTTGATTTAATATGGGTATAATTGGAAAATTATAAAAACTTTGTTTTCCATTCCTACTCAAAACAAACATGGAAAAGGAAACAAAGTGAAATCTCCCGGTTATTTTCCCGACATTACCAAACGTGGGAAAGGAATCTTTCATTCCCATTCCTTGGGAAATGACATGGGAAATGATTTCCCCTCAAATCCATTCCGTGAACCAAACGGGCCATAATTGCTTTTCAGATGTCTATTATTCGTATATCTGTTTGATGAACCGTGTCTTGGAAACATACATCTGGTTCCACTGGTCAACCATGTCATCCAGTAAATATGCTGCCAATGTTAAGGGGCATTAATTCAATATCTTGTTTGCAAATGTTATAATCAGACCGGAGTTTGAATATCTGATTGTTGTAGGAGAGCTTTCAAAATACACAACACAATGTCTCTAGGGCTTGCTTTGAAAATATCAGCTTCTGTTGGTCATCTTTAAGAATGTTATTCTAATGTGATATGTGGATGGATTGTTTATGGAGTCAAAAAAATTGCTATAGTTTGTACTGAATCAGTTTTGTACTGCATTTTTGCAGATGTTGGATTATCTATACGAAAAGGAACAGGAGAATATGAGGAATTTCGCAAAGCAGCAGGTGGGGATATAAAATTTGGTCAAATGTATTACCCAAAGTGATTCATGTTTGATATATATATATATATATATATATAGGTGGATTGATTGTTCCAAGAGTCTATGAATGATCTATCCATATATGTAAAATCAAGTTGATATGTCAATGTTTGGGTTGGGATGCATGCTGCAATAGCTTCTTTGGAAATGTTGTAATTCACTTTTCATCTTTGATTGTTGTTGTATGACAGGTGGCTTTGCAGAAGCAGAAGCAGAAGCAGGAGCGATTGGACAGAAAATTTCGAAGAAGACGGAAAATTGCGAAGAAGAGGAGTAAAAGAGAAAGAGAGAGCTCAAGTGGCTTGGCTTGAATGTCTAGTATTTTTCATGTTCTAAATTAATTAATTAATGCTGACTCGGAGAAAGGAAATTATTTTTTTTTTGGGTAAAATAGGGGGCAAAGCCCCTCGGATAAAGGAATTGGTTTGTCCTTGCTTTTGCATTAATGGGTAATTATTTGATAATAGCACCGTTTTTCAATACAACAATTTTTAGATGAGATTATCTTCTCGCATGTTCCTACTTTCAAGAAATCAACTTTTCTCTCTAGTACTGTACAAAGATTGGGGAATCTAAATAACAAAGTTGAAGATGCTTTGAGCATAAGGAATCTGTTATAAACTAAGACGAGTACTCAAGTTATTGAGTTTGAGGAGTTAAAAAATCAGTATGTTACAGATCCATATTTCAGCTCTGTAGAATTTGAACTCCAAAGTCCTACTGATTGAAAGATGCATCCATTTCGAATGTTTGATGGGTATTTATTTAAAGGCAATTTGTTGTGTATTCCTGAGGGATCGTTACGTGAACAAATTATCAAGGAGCTTCATGGTAATGGATTATGACATTTCGATGGGGTTAAAACATTGTCTATAGTACTGATCATAATGTACAAAGATATTGATAAACTGGTTTGGAATTGTTAAATTTGTCAGTTTGGCAAAGGAAGTTCACAAAACAAGAAATTAAACCAAATCCTAAATAAGATAGGAAAATAATTAATTTAATAATTTAATACTGCTAAAACTTAGCACTTTTTGGCTAGGATGGATGCTCCTGGCATCCTGCATCACAAGTCAATCCTGCCTTTTTCAATACACAACATAAAACGATTCATGCATAATTTGTGATGCTAAACTGCATACAAATAAAACCTTAAACATTTGTCCTCCATATTATTCACTACCCAATAAATCATCACTGTCCTTTGATTTTTCAATTAGTGTCAACTTTTGGAATGAATTGTTGATGTATATACAACATTTCAAAATATACTTTGGAATGAATTCGATCGAAAGGTTAATGCCCTTCTTTTTCTTTTCATTTGCTTAGAATTGCTCTTCTTTTTTTATTCGTGGGTAATCATTTGTTTATCAATGATTCTTTTGGATGTTATTTGTTTGTTTATCTCTCTATATAAAATATATATAAAAAGCAAAAAAAGGTAGAATTAAAATAAAAAAAAAAAAAAAAAAAAAAAATGCAAACATTAAGAATTGACAATTATACAAATTTATAAATAAACACAATCCTAGACATGTATTTATAAAAAAACCCAAGCACTATTTAAATATAGAAACACACCCAAAATCAACCCCAAAGTCAATAATTGTATATTTTTTGAGTGTGTTTATAAATGGGTTTTGAGTGTGTGTAATGATGTATTTTTGGTGTTTTTATAAAGTGTTTTGGGTGTTGGGTTTTTTTATAATTTCAGCCTCCATTTTGGGTGTTTTAGTGAAACTCCCAAATTAAATGAGGATAATATGGTAAATTCACACTTTTTCACATTAAAAAAAAATTAAAAGAAAAATCAGATAATATATCCTATTTTTATGGAACACAACTACCCATTATCTTTTTTAATTCTAAAATAAATTTAAAATATAATTACAAATAAATAAATAATAAAATAAAATTACAAATTAAAGTAAATACAAAAGGTTAAGATATTACTTAAATGCATACATTCAACTAAGAAGTTGGCGGAAAAAAAAAACACAGAGCAAAGAAACTAAATTTATATTAATAAAAAAAAACAAACAAAGTAAAATCGGCCTAGGCGCTAGGCTCCCGCCTAGGCGGCCTGGTTTTTTGTGTTTTTTTTTCCCTGACTTTAAAGAAAACACCCTGCCTCCTCTGAGTCGGGTACTTCTCTCTCTCACGACAGACCACCACCACCAGGCCTCCACTCACGACGACCACCACAAGGCTGCGACCCGCGACCCCCGAACCACGTAAAGAATTTGGGTTGTCCTCTTCGGCCGAAACAAGTGCATTTGCTGATGTGGTGGGCAAGCTTGTCTTAAAGTGAAACAAAATGTGAAGAATCAAGACAGGTTTAATTCCAAATTCCATTTTTCAATTGAGATTGTTTACAGTAAATCTCCTAACCTCATAGAATAAGAAACTTATTTCAAAAGAATTTCTTTACCAGCCGATGCTAACAGACCGAAATAATTCCTTCTTAACCCTACCAGCCAAAGTAGGCAGAAATAAATAAAAAAGGCATCTATATCCATATCTATAATTTCCTAAAAAAGTATCTATAGAAATTAAAAATAAAAATAAAATCTATATCAATTTAATATAGCTAAAACTTAGCCCTTTTGGCAAGGATGGATGCTCCTGCATCACAAGTGCATCCTGCCTTTTTCAAAACACAACATAAAACGATTCATTCATAATTTGTGATGCTAAACTAAATATACAATTAAAACCTTCAACATTTGTCCTCCATATTATTCACTACCCAACAAATCATCACTACCCTTTGATTTTTCAATTAGGGAAGGAGACCTCGCATTGTGTCAAGTTTTGGAATGATTTGTTGATGCATAATAACCCAAAATATACTTTGGACCAAAAAGATTATAATCACCCAAAAATTAGAAAAGTTATGCACTATTTCCTAAAACATTTCTGTAAAACAATACTATGAAGAGCATGGATTCACCGTGATATATAAACTCGATCTGAGACAGAGAGGGGAGGGGGTACCATGGCGATTGGTGATTGTAGTTCTTCCTCCTTTTCTTCTGGTAACAATCCTCAATTGAAAAATCCATGGGTTTTCGATTTTTAGTTTGGAGATGCTTAGAACGTGAGAGAGAGCGAGAGAGAGAGAGAGAGAGAGAGAGGATGGGAGTTTCCTTCTGTTGCAGAAGGCGTTTAGATGGAACCAACTCAGTGGCAATCTCCGTAAATTTCTTTAGTTTTAATACTAAACTTAAAACAATACGTGTGTTTGGGCTTGGGCCCTATTTTTAAAACTGTAGCGGTTTGTCGGTGGAGTGTTCTATATATAAAAGGCTGACGCACGCATTCAAGAGGAAAACGCGCAGTCGTCTTCTCCAACCAACCCTAAAAAAGATTTGTCTTCTCTTCTCTCCACCCATCGCTCGCTCGCTCGTTCCAAGAAAGAAACAATGATTAGCAAGTCGCTGCAAGTCCTTTTAAAGATGCTCGACAGCACGGTGGAAGAACCCAATGCTCTGTCTTGCCCAAGTGATACTGTATGCATGCGTTTCTCTTTCTCTCTCTTTCGTTTTTTTCAGTATTTAACTTTCTTTTTAATCTAATATAAACTTAAAAGTATGATTGTCATTGGTTTTTTTATATTTAAAAGTTCTATCCAATTTGCCATTCAGTTACCTCCCCTTATGTCAAATCTCAAGATAGAGAAGGAAACGGACGAAGCTCCTGGACGGCAGCAGGAGGAGGAGGAGGAGGAGGGAGAGCAGGATTCGAGCGAGTAAAAATCCTCACTCACGTAGTTTGGCCTCTATTCTTCTAATTTTTGACGTGTCTTCATGTACGATGTGATATTTCCGCTCTTTTCCATTGTGCAGGTATCCCGATTATTTTCTTGGTTTAAGTCGTGACATCTTTGAAAGGTCAGTGAAGAGAAATTGCGACACGGACGAGGAACGCCATAGGGCTATGAAGTCCATCGCCAGATTTTGTGCACTTGTTGAATCGGTAACTAAGACTTGTCACTTGTCTCTTTAACAAGTTGTGCACTTGTTTAGGTGTTGATTCCCAGTTTTCCTCGTCTTCTTTTCAAGATTTGCCATCTAATAAATCACTTAATATTAATGAAAGTAGATTAAGGTTTATTATTTTGCATATTAAGCACATACAAAAGTTTTTTCTCTGCTCCAGAAAAATCTACATCTGGGTTCAGTGGTCATCTGTGTAATCAAGTAGATGAGTCGGTGTTGAGATGCATGCATTTATTTCTTGTTTGTTTGTAAACGTTATAATATCACTTTGGAATTAAATTTTGCATCTATGATTGTTGTAGCGTGCTCCTCGTACTATTGAAGAATTCGAGGCATCCATCCCTGACGATCCTGACGACTGGACACAAGAGGTGAGGAAATAATAACCATGTATTTGGTATGCTTTATTAGCTTCTTGTTTGTAAATATTGTTGCAATCACCTTCTTTGGGTTCTTGATTGTTGTTGGTTGACTATGAGCCTGAGATGGTAACATATTCCCCATTTTGTCTGGTCTTGGTGTGTATATTTAGCACCTTAATTGCTTTTCATATGTCTATTATTCGTATATCTGTTTGATGAACCGTGTCTTGGAAACATACATCTGGTTCCACTGGTCAACCATGTCATCCAGTAAATATGCTGCCAATGTTAAGTGGCATTAATTCAATATCTTGTTTGCAAATGTTATAATCAGACTGGAGCTTGCATATCTGATTGTTGTAGGAGAGCTTTCGACCATTGCATGGGGTCCTTGTTATTCATATTATTAGACAGACTACAAATGATGTGTTAGGCACACACAACACAATGTTGTCTAGGTCTTGCTATCTGGAAATATCAAGGCTCTGCTGGTCATATTTAAGAATGCTATTCTAATGTGATATGTGGAGGGATTGTTAATGGAGTCAAAAAATTGCTGTAGTTTTTGTACTGAAACAGTTTTGTACTGGATTGTTGCAGATGTGGGAGTATATGTACCAAAAGGAACAGGAGAGTATGAGGAAATTCACAGAGCAACAGGTGAGGAAGTAAAATTTGGTAAAATGTATTATCCAAAGTGATTCATGTTTGATATATATATATATATAGGTGGATTGATTGTTCCAAGAGTCTATGAATATGGTGATCTATCTATATATGTAAGATCAAGTTGATATGTCAATGTTTGGGTTGGGATGCATGCCACAATAGCTTCTTTGGAAATGTTGTAATTCACTTTTCATCTTTGATTGTTGTTGTATGACAGTTGGCTCTGCAGAAGCAGAAGCGGATACAGAAGCGATTGGACAAAAAATTTCGAAGAAGACGGAAAATTGCTAAGAAGACAAGTAAAAGAGAGAGAGAGAGCTCAAGCTTGGCTTGAATATGTCTAGAATTTTTCATGTTCTGAATAAATTAATTAATCAATGCCGACTCGTAAGAAGGAATTGGTTTCCCATTCCATCTATTCTAGATATGTTTTTTGGTTTATTACTAATATTGGGTCCTTTTTGCATTCGTGGGTAATTATTTGATTATAGCCGCATTTTCAATGCAACAATTTTGAGATGAGATAGCTCACTATCTTCTCGCATTTGTTTATCAATGATGCTTTTTGATGTTATTTGTTTGTTTTTGTTAAAATAAAACCAAATGTGAAGAATCAAGACACGTTTAAGTTGTGTTTTTACGATCTTTTCAGATTTAATTCCAAATTCAAATTTTCAATTGAGATTGTTTACAATAAATGGCTCTCAACTAAGAAAACTGAGAAAACTAAGCAAATCAAATATCAGAAAAATATCTCTGACAACCAAATCTAAGTTTTAGACCTATAAGTTCATCTTGTCTCTATTATTCTCTTCTCTCATCTTGCATAAAATCCAACACCACAAAACCAAAGTCAGCACTGGAATTGGCATAAGAATTTTACGAAATAGAAACACATACGAGAAAAATACTCAAACCTCAGTTTCACATGGACTGACAGAAACAGTCGCACTTTACCTCTAAGCCTTCATTATTTCTTCTTTCGTGGAACTGCAAAGTCCCTTTTTTGGGTTTTGAAGGAGATCAATTAATGTGCTTTTTTCTTTTTCTTTTCATTTGCTCAGAATTGATCTTCTTTTTTTTTCTTTTTTGTCGTGGGTAATCATTTGTGTATCAATGATTTTTTTGGATGTTATTTCTTTGTTTATCTTAAAATAAAACAACGTGTGTGAAGAATCAAGACAGGTTTAAGTTGTGTTTTTACAATAAATCTCATAAAGAAAAAAGGAAATTGCATCCTTCCATTAAGACGATGCTAACAGACCAAAATAATTCCTTCTTACCCCTACGAGCCAAAGTAGGCAGAAATAAATAAAAAAGGCATCTATATCTATATCTATAAAAGGGCACAGACACAGGCATCAAACCCTAAAAAAGATTTGTCTTCTCTTCTCTCAACCCATCGCTCCCGCGCAAGCTCTTTCCAAGAAAGAAACAATGAGTAAAGAGTCGCTGCGAGTCGTTTTAGAGATAATCGAGACTGTGATGAAAAGAAGCGATGCTCTGTCTGGCGCAACTGATACCGTATGCATGCGTTTCTCTTTCTCTCTCTTTCCTTTTTTTCAATAAACTTAAAAGTATGATTGTTGTTGGTTTTTTTTTATAAAAAAAATTCTATCCAATTTGCCATTCAGTTACCTCCACTATGTCAAATCTCAAGATAGAGAAGAAAACAGACGACCCTTCTGGACGGTAGGAGGAGGAGGAGGTGGGAGAGCAGGTTTCGAGCGAGTAAAAATCCTCACTCATTTAGTTTGGCCTCTATTCTTGTAAGTTTTAACGTGTCCTCATGTATGATATGATTTTCCCCTCTTTCCCATTCTGCAGGTATGCCGAGTCTGTTCTTGGTTTTCTTCATGAACCTACTATAGATTTTGTGAATGAAGTATGCGACACGGAGGAGGAGCGTCATAGGGCTATGAAGTCCATCTGCAGAATGTTTTGCAAGTCTTGAATCGGTAAGATCCTGACCTAAGCAAACTTGTCACTTGTCTCTATACAAGTTGGGTATGTCTTTTCCTTTTTTCTGCTAGTTCAGATGTTGGAACGACCACTCCTGATAAGGTAATAACCCGTATGATTCCCAGTTTTCCTCGTCTTCTTTTCAAGATTTGGCACTTCAGTTGTTTTGTGAGGCCTATTATTTGCATATTAAGCACATACGAAAGCTTTTTCTCTGCTCTGGAAACATCTGGGTTCCTTGATCGAGTAAAACAAAGTGATTCTAATTCGATGTATAGGGGATTTTTAATTCCAGGAGTCGAAGCATGATGTGGCGGTCATCTATGTAATCAAGTGGATAAGCCGATGTTGAGATGCATGCCTTTACTTCTTGTTTGTTTGTAAACGTTGTAATATCACTTTGGAATTAAATTTTGCATCTATGATTGTTGTAGGATGCTGCTCGTGATCCTGAGGAATTTGAGGCATCCATCCCTGAGAATCCTCAAGAATGGACACAAGAGGTGAGGAAATAATAACCATGTATTTGGTATACTTTATTAGCTTCTTTTTGTAAATATTGTTGCAATCACCTTCTTTGAGTTCTTGATTGTTGTTGGTTGACTATGAGCCTGATATGGTAAAATAGTAAGTAATTCCCCATTTTGTTTGGTCTTGGTGTGTGTATTTGGCACCTTAATTGCTTTTCAGATGCCTATGATTCGTATATCTGTTTGATGAGCCGTGTCATGGAAACATACATCTAGTTTCACTGGTCATCCATGTCATCCAGTAAATATGCTGCCAATGTTAAGAGGCATTAATTCAATATCTTGTTTGCAAATGTTATAATTGCATTGTTTTCGCTCGCAGGGCTCCTTATTATTCATATTATTAGACACACACAACACAAGGTCGTCTAGGTCATCTTAAAGAATGTTATTCTAATGTGATGTGCGGAGGGATTGTTTATGGAGTCAAAAAATTGCTATAGTTTGTACTGAAACAGTTTTGTACTGGATTTTTGCAGATGTGGGAGTATATGTACCAAAAGGAACAGGAGAAGGTGAGGAATTTCGAAGAGCAGCAGGTGAGGAAGTAAAATTTGGTAAAATGTATTGTCCAAAGTGATTCATGTCTGATATATATATGTAAAATCAAGTTGATATGTCAATGTTTGGGTTGGGATGCATGCCACAATAGCTTCTTTGGAAATGTTGTAACTCACTTTTCATCTTTGATTGTTGTTGTATGACAGTTGGCTTTGGAGAAGAAGAAGCGGATACAAAAGCGCGATTGGATGAAACATATCGAAGAAGACGGAAAATTGCGAAGAAGACAAGTAAAAGAGAGAGAGAGAGAGCTCAAGTGGCTTGGCTTGAATATGTCTACTGTTTTTCATGTTCTAAATTAATTAATTAATGCTGACTCAGAGAAAGGAATTGGTTTCCCATGTTTTGGTTGCATTTTTAATTAATAATACTGGGTCGTCGTTTTTGCATTTGTGGGTAATTATTTTATTATAGTTCCCTTTTTCAATACAACAATTTTGAGATGAGATAGCTCACTGTCTTCTAGCATTTGTTTATCAATGATTCTTTTGGATGTTATTTATTTTGTTTATGTTAAAGTGAGTTGTTGTGACGGAAAAAAACAGAGAAAAAAAACACAAAGTGTGAAGAATTGCTTCTGCTAGAAGTGTAATTGAGGAGCTGTATGGGTTTGGTGTTGGGTGATAGAGTGTATTGGTATTTTTGGTAGTTAAATGGGGTTAATGACATATTCAGGATTCTAAACCTGGGTAGGCAAAAACTTACATACAAAGCATGACAAGAGCTTTGTTTTTTGGGTCAATAACTTGACAAGAGCTTATAATAATTCACTACGCCAAATTTTGCCTTTAGTAACGGATAATATCCATTGCCAAATCACCCTTCCTACCGTGGTATTACTCACCTTTGCCTATAACATAACCTTTATTTATTTGTAACATTAGTTTTATAGTAACCACTGATGCTAAAGGACAAAGGTGGAGTCCTAAAGTTCCTTATGTGCCAAAAAAATGTTGACCCCTTTTAATAGTTCTTATGCTAAATATGGTTTAGAGCATTAGAATTTTCTGAACAATACGGTTTATACTGCACTAATGCATTTTCTGACTTACAATATCACAAAAATTAATAGTGATGATGCTACTTCTAGTTATACGCATCAGTTGTCTTATGAGCGATGTTGTTTTAAATTTTGAACTTTAGTGGTTTTTGCAAAATTAAGGTTGTTATGAACAATATCATGATGTGTTACCCATTGCACATAAAAAAAAACATATATAAATTTAAAGAGATCCAACATTACAATTTTTCCAATCCCACATATGACAGCAATTTTTGCAATTTACGTAGAACAACATATTTCATCATTTATCAACCTTGAAATTTGAGTACAAAAGAGAAATATAGTCTAACAAACCAAAGAAATATAAATTAAAATAAGTAACCCTTTATTAAAATTATCATAATAAATTCCAACCAAATACAAGAGGGTCTGAAAATATTTGTGAGGGTGATGAAGTTCCAGAATAAAATCTCAATACAAATTCACTTTGAAGCGACTATTCCCTAGATACACACGTCGTAATTTTTTTTAATTTCACAAAACTAAGAGTGAACAATAAGAATTGACTAAAGATGATAGAGGTACGTAGCTTGCACTAAGGAAGAAAGAAACGTTGTATCACTTCTTTTCTTTTAGTTAATGGTTGTATAGTAGATATACCAAGTTATCGTTGCAAACTCTGAGATATTATTGCAGTGAAGGATGAGCAAAAATCAAGGGCTCTGATTCTAAGAAAAGGGATAATTTATAACCAAGTTTTCGCGTATCACTAACCCAATTGTCGTCCATCTTCACAAAATCTTGTTTCAAAAAGCCTTTTGCCATAGAGAGCACGATCTATGAATTTGTTGTCTTCCACATCAATTTTGTATTTTTCTAAATCTGAAGGCCTCACTCCCAACCATCTAATGTCTCCGATGGCTAAGTTAACGCTATCAAATGCTGAGTTAGCCGAACCATTGTCACGCCCCGGACCCGGAGGTCGGTGGAAATCCCGCACCCGGCGCGTGAGTAAATATAATAAAATGAAAATAAAATGAAAAGAAAGCCGAAATAGGGTTTGAAATGAACTTCTCTTATAAAAATAGCTCCAAAATCTTACAACTTTACAAGAAATAAATAAAGCTCTACTACTCTCATCTAATTCAGCCTCAATCAATTTAGTCATCGTCTTGCCCACTAATTCATCTGAAAAATTAAACAGAGTGAGGGATGAGCAACCACCGCTCAGTGAGTAGATTATGTAATATGCCAGTCAAGCAATGCCGTTTTTCCCACTCTAGAAAATATCATGAAAAGATACACCAATCCAGATCATATCACATCATCCCTTCATATCTCGGTTATCCTTCATAGCATGTAACCAACCATGTGACCCCTACTGGCCTTACTGCCCTATGTCCCCGTGTGGTACATCTATCCCTCGGATACCCCAACATTGAAGTTCTCATGTTCCATGAATAATACATACTTCACAAATATTCCAGTCAAAATATATATAGTGTGAAAAATTGCATCAAATTAGACATGTTTGACTTGAAATAGAGAGATATTTGTAAATAGAACAAATCCACGATAATTCATGGTTTTCATATTTTATTACAAAATAAGAACTTTTAGAACACATTACATAAACCACTCACCTCGACAATGAGAGCCCTTAAAATAAATTGGCAAGACAACCCATTTACCTATCTCGTCCAATATCAAATTTCCTTGTATCTCTCTCTCTCTCTCTCGTTGCATTTATTTCTATGCAAGTTCTGTAGAAGGTTTTCTATTTAAACAACAAGAAAGGCGGTAAACCAATGTTCACTTATTGGCTGGCAACAAACTTGTTACCCAAGTTTTGGATAACTACATCAAACCAATGACGGCAAGAATACAAAATATCTTTCATATTCTAATATTTATGATGGCCACTTGTAAGTCAATTACTAAATTTGCGTGTGCTAAAGCCACCTCTTACTTCTAATATTATAATTTAAACATTTAATTAATACATATATATAATAGAATAATATATGGAATAAGATATAAATATTTATTAGTACAAAAGATAATATATATATATATATATTTTTAAAATACGAGTCTTCACAACCATATTTGTAATAAAAAAGTATTTGAAGCCCATACGGATTGCAATCGATAATGGCTAGTATCGGAATCCTTAACTCATAATAAAGCTTTTTCAAGAATACCTTGGTTGCTTTAATACCTGGCAATATCGTACACGACACGAATTCGCTAAAAAATTTCAGTTTTCGGGTTTGTGTTATCTGGTCGTTATGCTATCGTGTTGACCCGTTAACCACATGATAAGTTATCGTGTCGTTTCGTGTTAATTCGCGAAAACACGAACCAACCCGTTAAGCGAGGGTATTTGTGTAATTTTATATTCTAAAAAATCCTTACCTTACTTACCAACCCTAGCTATCTCTCTCTTTATTCTTCATTTTCTTCTGCCGCCTCCTTCCCAATTCACTCTCTTTCTTTCATTGCCAAGCTGTTTGCTTTGAAGTCAAAGCTTGGAGCTTTTCTCCCATGGCTGCTTCCTCAGTCACTGTAACATACAATTTCAGCTGAAAAACTCTACTTGCTCGAAAACCCATCTCCAAAACAATCCCCTCTTCTGTTTTAACTTTCTCAACAGCAACCCACTTGAAGAAGAAGAGAAGGAATGTTCTGCGCTTGGTTATGGACATATATGTTAATTTTCCTTTTTGTTTTATCAACTCTCAAGTTTGGTGTAAATGTTTAATACATTTTTAGTTTTTTTTTTGGAATTTTTTTTCGGCATGTATAATGTATTGTTAGTAATTGATATTTTATTTTATGATTTTAAAATCTATTAAAAAAACTGTTTATTTTTCTTATCGTGTGAATCGTGTCGTGTCGTGTGATTCGCGAATTGTAACGGGTCGTGTTCGTGTTGGGCATTTCCAACCCGTTTTCTTATCGTGTCGTGTCGTGTCAACCCGTTAAGAAAAACGGATTGACACGAACACGACATGAATACTGGCAACACGACACGAATGCCAGTCTATCTATCACCATATCTTTGGCCACTCACCATAATGCATTTAGCATTCTCATGAAAATTCGCCTGGGCTAAATCATGGAACACTGTATTTTTCTCAACCAATAAGATGAATGATGCCTTACAATTGTTGAACCTAGTATCAGCTATAAACTCACAAGACGAGATCTTCTTGGCACTCGAAGAACATTCATGTGGAGTATCACCGCACACGAAGGTAAATGGACCAATAACCGTACATGTTGTGTCGGAAACTACCTCGAGACTCAAACTTGTGAATCTTAGCATACAACATATGTCATCAATTATTCCATATGCAGTTTTCCTATTACAATTAAATCGCACAACATTATCATAATAAATCCCACATTTCTTTACGTACCTTGCTTTATTTTTGAAACATCGGGTGTAAATGCTCGATAAAATGTACAAGGTAGGCAAGCATAGCTGTGGACTTCTACCAGATGAGGAACGTCTTACATCATGTTTGGTCAACACCCTACGGAGTAAGTAGGTTCATGCAAGCAAGGGCGTGGATTCACCATGATATATATAAACTCGATCTGAGATAGAGAGGGGGTAAATTCCACACCTGTTAGGCTTTGTAAGTTTCTTAAAAGTTGTTGTTGGTCATAGTGGACCTGTAGTCTCTCTCTTTGATCGGGCTTGAATTTCACATACGTAAAAGTTGTTCTATAATTACAGGCTTAAAGAGGAAACAAATTTATGTACTATTTTTTCTTAGGATTTAAATATACAAAGTGGAATGTATTACCTGTAGAAATTGGAGTGCCTTTGAATACCTTCACAACACAACCTTACTCACTTTTTCCACAAGAATGAATCCTATAAAGCTGTTAGAGACGGAGAGGATATAGAATTAACAAATAATTTGAAGAAAAAACAAAAAAAGAGCTAGGGAGTTGCTCATGAATTATCTGTGCATTATCCGGTGGAAATGCGAAGGGCTAGGGAGTTGCTTGTACTAATTATAATTAGAACGATATAATAATATTAATTCCACACCTGTAGGCTGCAGGCTGTAGGGAAGGGACATCTTTTCTTCAATCAACTCTCCACACCAACACCTGTCTCAAGGAACTTTATCCAAAAGCAACTTTTGTTCATTACCAGAGTAAAAGAAAATGTGATATATATGGGAGAAAAGAGTTATTTTTTTTAGAGAAGGAAAAAAGAATGATACCTTTAGAAGAAAATGTGGTATGTCACTGACTTGAGTTGAATAATTTTCTCAACAACAATTCACAGACTATATTGAATTTGGCAGCTACCACGGTATGCAGTCAACTAGAGATTTAAACATAAATATTAGAAATCGTAACATTATGTATGAAAAAAAAAAAAAAAAAAAAAAAAAAAAAAAAAAGAGACATACGACATAACAAATAATTAAGTTAAATGTACAACCAGAAAAATAGAAAATATAATACAAATTTATAAATAAACTCAATCCTAGACATGCATTTATGAAAAAACTCAAGCACTATTTAAACATAGAAACATACTCTCTATATATGGAATATGAGAAATCCTAAGCCATTCTGAGCCGCTATTCTTGTTGCATATCTCTTTTAAAAAGGGACAAAGCAAAATATGTATCCACGGCTTTTCGATTTCTTACTTTGGGAGTTTCCTTCTTTTGCAGAAGACGTTTCGAGGCAATCTCAGTGGCAATTTCTTTATTTTTAATACTAAAATTAAAACAATACGTGTGTTTGGGCTTGGGCCCTATTTTTAAAACTGGACCGGTTTGTCAGTGCAGGGTTCTTCCAACAAAAAAGAAAAAGTCGAAAAACGCAAGTCTTCTTCTCCAACCAACCCTTAAAAAGATTTGTCTTCTCTTCTCTCAACCCATCGCTCCCTCGCCCGTTTCGAGGAAGAAACAATGAGTAAAGAGACGCTGCGAGTCGTTTTAGAGATAATCGAGACTGTGATGAAAAAAAGCGATGCTCTGTCTGGCGCAACTGATACTGTATGCATGCGTTTCTCTCTCTCTCTTTCCTTTTTTCAGTAAACTTAAAAGTATGATTGTTGTTGGTTTTTTTTATAAAAAAAATTCTATCCAATTTGCCTTTCAGTTACCTCCCCTTATGTCAAATCTCAAGATAGAGAAGAAAACAGACGACCCTTCTGGACTGCAGCAGGAGGAGGAGGAGGAGGAGGAGGAAGAGCAGGATTCGAGCGAGTAAAAATCCTCACTCATTTAGTTTGACCTCTATTCTTGTAAGTTTTAACGTGTCCTCATGTATGATATGATTTTCCCCTCTTTCCCATTCTGCAGGTACGCCGAGTCTCTTCTTGGTTTTCTCCATGAACCTACTGTAGATTTTGTGAACGAAGCATGCGACACGGAGGAGGAGCGTCATAGGGCTATGAAGTCCATCTGCAGATTGGTTGCAAGTCTTGAATCGGTAAGATCCTGACCTAACAAAACTTGTCACATGTCTCTATACAAGTTGGATATGTCTTTTCCTTTTTTCTGCTCTTTTTATTTATTTATTTATTATGCTGCTAGTTTAGATGTTGGTACAACCATTCCTGATAAGGTGATAACCAGTATGATTCCCAGTTTTCATCGTCTTCTTTTCAAGATTTGGCACTTCAGTTGTTTTTGTGAGGTCTATTATTTGCATATTAAGCACATACAAAAGCTTTTTCTCTGCTCTGGAAACATCTGGGTTCGTTGATCGAGTAAAACAAATTAAAGTGATTCTAATTCGATGTATAGGGGATTTTTAATTCCAGGAGTCAAAGCATGATGTGGTGGTCATCTATGTAATCAAATAGATAAACCGATGTTGAGATGCATGCGTTTTCTTCTTGTTTGTTTGTAAACTTTGTAATATCACTTTGGAATTAAATTTTGCTTCTATGATTGTTGTAGGAAGCTGCTCGTGATCTTGAGGAATTCGAGGCATCCATCCCTGAGAATCCTCAAGAATGGACACGAGAGGTGAGGAAATAATAACCATGTATTTGGTATACTTTATTAGCTTCTTGTTTGTAAATATTGTTGCAATCACCTTCTTTGAGTTCTTGATTGTTGTTGGTTGACCTGATATGGTAAAATAGTAAGTAATTCCCCATTTTGTTTGGTCTTGGTGTGTATATTTAGCACCTTAATTGCTTTTCAGATGTCTATTATTCGTATATCTGTTTGATGAGCCGTGTCATGGAAACATACATCTAGTTTCACTGGTCATCCATGTCATCCAGTAAATATGCTGCCAATGCTAAGAGGCATTAATTCAATATCTTGTTTGCAAATGTTATAATCAGACCGGAGTTTGAATATGATTGTTGTAGGAGAGCTTTCGGCTTGCACTGTTTTCTCTCGCAGGGCTCCTTATTATTCATATTATTAGACACACACAACGTAAGGTCTTCCAGGTCTTGCTCTGGAGATATCAGCTTCTGTTGGTCGTCTTTAAGAATGTTATTCTAATGTGATGTGCGGAGGGATTGTTTATGGAGTCAAAAAATTGCTATAGTTTGTACTGAAACAGTTTTGTACTGGATTTTTGCAGATGTCGGAGTATATGTACGAAAAGGAAAAGGAGGAGGTGAGGAATTTCGAAGAGCAGCAGGTGAGGAACTAAAATTTGGTCAAATGTATTATCCAAAGTGTTTCATGTTTGATATATATATATAAATCAAGTTGATATGTCAATGTTTGGGTTGGGATGCATGCCACAATAGCTTCTTTGGAAATGTTGTAACTCACTTTTCATCTTTGATTGTTGTTGTATGACAGTTGGCTTTGGAGAAGAAGAAGCGGATACAAAAGCGATTGGATAAAACATATCGAAGAAGACGGAAAATTGCGAAGAAGACAAGTAAAAGAGAGAGAGAGTGCTCAAGTGGCTTGGCTTGAATAGGTCTACTGTTTTTCATCTTCTAAATTAATTAATTAATGCTTACTCAGAGAAAAGAATTGGTTTCCCATTTCATCTATTCTATGTTTTTTGGTTGCATTTTTAATTAATAATACTGGGTTGTTGTTTTTGCATTTGTGGGTAATTATTTTATTATAGCTCCCTTTTTCAATACAACAATTTTGAGATGAGATAACTCGATGTCTTCTAGCATTTGTTTAGCAATGATTCTTTTGGATGTTATTTGTTTGTTTATGTTAAAGTGAGTTGTTGTGACGAAAAAAACAGAGAGAACAAACAGTGTGAAGAATTGCTTCTGCCAGAAGTGTAATTGAGGAACTGTATGAGTTTGGTGTTGTGTGATAAAGTGTAATATAGTGTATCAGTGGTATTTTTGGGTAGGAAAAAACTTGCATACAAAGCATAACTTGACAAGAGCTTATAATAATTCACTCGCCAAATTTTGCCTTTAGGAACGGATAATATACATTGCCAAATCACCCTTGCTACTGTGGTATCACTCACCTTTGCCTATAACATTACCTTTATATATTTGTAACATTAGTTCTATAATAACCACTACGGTTTATATTGCACTAATGCATTTTCTGACTTACAACATCACAAAAATCAATAGTTATGATGCTACTTCTAGTTAGACGCATCCGTTGTCCTATGAGTGATGTTGTTTTAAATTTTGAACTTTAGTTGTTTGTGCAAAATTGAGGTTGTTATGAACAATATCATGATGTGTTACCCATTGCACATCAAAAAAACATATAAATTTAAATATATCTAGCATTACAATTTTTCCAACCCCACATATGACAACAATTTTTGCAATTTATATATGACAACATATTTCTTCATTTATCAACCTTAAAATTTGAGTACAAAAGAGAAATATAGTCTAACAAACCAAAGAAATATAAATTAAAATAAGTAACCCTTTATTAAAATTATCATAATAAATTCCAACCAAATACAAGAGGGTCTGAAAATATTTGTGAGGAAGCGTGGAAAATATATTTTGGGAATTAGGAGTGCAATAAAGAAATCAAATAGAAATATGAATTATCATTTCATATTGGATAGGTATTGTTATTTTATGACATGAAAAATTGTGAAAGCATGTTGAATTTGTATCATGTGGGCACCTGAGAAGCTTTTTGGGAGTTGAAGCTCATGCCTACCTTGCCAACCTAGTGCGTACCCTACGTTACATATGGGTATTATTATTTTTTTTGGGAAAACTTTTGGGTAGGTAATTGCCCTTGCTCTTGACGAAGGATTGTCACTGAATAGGGTGTATTTAGTAAATTTTACAATTTGATTTAAATATTATGGTTTTTTTTTTGGTCAGACAAATGTTATGTTGTACTTAGATTTTAGAGTATGTACTCAGTTAATTTTAAGGTTCGTTTAATAAAACCATTGTAATATATATATATATATATATATATATATATATATATATGCAAAAGGGTGCCTTCATTTTAAATCCAACATACAACATATTCACGAGTGAACCCAACTCATGACCAAGAAGCCACCAAAAGCAGCATCGCGGTCACTGCCGCCGTTAAAGCCTCTCTCACACGAAGACTGGCGGTGGTGCAGATGGAGACCACCCATGCTGCAGTCATAAGTAGTTGAAATTAAATAAGAAATATCTTCAATAAAACACTAGTAAAAGTGGGTTTGCGCAATAAATAAATAAAACGCAAAGTCGGTCTTCCCGAACCCTAAAAAAGATTGTCTTCTCTTCTTTCCCCCATCGCTCGCTCCCTTCAAGAAACAAGGATGAAAAACTCGTTAGAAAGCCCTGAACCGGAGAACAACAGCAATGCTGACCCAAGTGATACTGTATGCATGCGTTTCTCTCTCTCTCTCTCTCTCTCACCATTCACATTCTGTCTTCCTCTCTTGGTCGTTTTTGTTTGCTCCCTTGGTTGGTTAAGGGTTGTTTTGTTTCTCTTGGCCTTCTCTTATGGGCTGCTCTGCTCATCATATATATGGTTGGGATTTGGTTTTATTCTAGACTCACATAATAAATAATAAACTGAAAAACTTTCAAAAGAAATCAATAATTTGAAGCTGCCTATCATACATTGATTGATTTTTTATAATTCTATCCAATTTTCCATTCAGTTACCTCCCCTTATGTCAAATCTAGAGATAGAAAAGAAAACGGAAGAATCTCCTCGACGGCAGCAGGAGGGAGAGCATGATCCGATCAAGTAAAAATCCTCACTTATTTAGTTTGGCCTCTATTCTTGTAGTTTTTAACGTGTCCTCATGTATGATGTTAATTCTGCAGGCATGCCAATTCTATTCTTGCTTTTTTCCATGATGCTATTGAAGACTTAGTGTAGTTCAGTTCTCACATGGGCTTCGATCGTGATACCCTTAATAGATTCGTCACCCAATCGTTGCAGACCCTCGATTTGCTGACCTAATGAAAGTTTTCAGCGTATGTCTTTTACTTTTTTCCTTTTCTTCTCCTGCTCTTGTTATTTATTAATTAGTTTTTTTTTCGTTTTGAGTGTCGCAGGACGATGCTGCAAGTTCAGATGTTGGTACAACCATTCCTGATAAGGTAAATAACCAGTGTGATTCCCAGTTTTCGTCATCTTCTTTTCATATTAAGCACATCTGGGTTTGTTCTAATTCTATATAGTGGGGGGATTAATATTATTCCAGGAGTCAAAAAGCATTATGCAATCAAGTTTCGTAAATGTCGTAATATCACTTTGGAATTTAATTTTGCATCTATGATTGTTGTAGGTTGCTAGTCGTGAAGATTTCGAGGCATTGATCCCTGAGGATCCCGACGACTGGACAGAAGAGGTGAGGAAATAATAACCATGTATTTGGTAAACTTTATTAGCTTGTCTTGATTGTTGTTGGTTGACTATGAACCTGATATATGGTAAATAGTAAGTAATTCCTCGTTTTGACTGGTCTTGCTGTGTATATTTCGCTCCTTAACACAATGTCGTCTAGGTCTTGATCTGGAAATATCAGGTTCTGCTGGTCATCTTTAAGAATGTTATTCTAATGTGATATGGGGAGGGATTGTTAATGGAGTCAAAAAATTGCTGTAGTTTTTGTACTGAAACAGTTTTGTTCTGGATTTTTGCAGATGTGGGACTATTGTTACCAACAGGAACAGGAGGATATGAGGAATTTCGCAGAGCAGCAGGTGAGGAAGTAAAATTTGGTAAAATGCATTATCCAAAGTGATTCTTCTTTGATATATATATATATGCAAAATCAAGTTGATATGTCATTGTTTGGGATGGGATGCATGCTATAATAGCTTCTTTGAAAATCAAATCTAACCCCTAGAACCTTCTTGTCATTGCCGCAGACGCCTTGCTGATATTTCAAAATCAAATCTCAATACAGTTTGCTCTGTTGAGGAAAGGAGTATGCTTCATCATTTGGCTGGGTGTTGGGTTGAGAGAGAAGGGACTGGGTCTGGGTGGGTGTTGGGTGGACTAAGAGATTCCAGGGGGTTTGGAGCAACTTTTGCCACATAAGCATTTAACATATCCACTAACGGTTTCACCAACGGATAGTTCATGTATGAACTTGAAAATGGATAGTTCATGTATGAATTTGAAAATATGTCTAGTTTGGAGGGTTCTTTTGTAGTTGACCCTTAATTCTATTGTTTTGCTGCTACCCACCCTTAATTATATTGTAGTTCAGAACTTTTTAGTTGATTGGTAATTAACAAATCGGAAAACTATATTCTAACCGAAAAGTAATTAACAACTTAAGATGGGGTCACACATGTGTTGTATTTTGTTGGCTCGAGCATGCGTGAAAAATCTCGCAAGCATGACGTTAACTGAATTTGATCAATTGGTTTCTAAGCTACAACAAACAGAAAATAAAATAAAAAGAAATACAGAGTGAACAAATTGTATTTTTGCTGTCATGATTTAATACAGTGAATGGCACATGTATACAGTGAATGAATTTGAGCGTCTTTTGTACAGTATTTTGGTAGAATGACAACAAAGAAGAAGAAGAAAATTACATTACAGCGTTAGTTGTAAATGAATTGATATTTACTCTGGAGTTTTTCTTTATCTTTCAAGACAGAAAAACTTACAGGACGCTCAGTGAGAATTAGTGGCTTCAAAATCAGTGCCTTTCTTCAGGCCTTTAGAGCCTGGGTTTGGTTTTCAATCATACCTCAAAGCTCCAGCCTGTATAGCCAACGAAAAAAATACAGGCACAGAAGGCAGCATCTGTTAAGGACCCATGGGTAGAACTTGCCCCTACTTTCGGCTTCAAAGTCAAAATACAATTGGGAACAAGCTCCTAGTCCATCTGACGGATTGGCAAGGTCAGAGAGAGCCGTCCCGGTGTTGAGATACTTCTAACTGGGGAGGCAAGAGGTTCAAAAAGCTCCCTTGCACAGGATGACTGCTTCCGCTGTCAGATATCTCTGATGTCTCCGATGTCTCTGACTCTTCATCTGCTTCAAGTGAACACAAATAGGTGAGAAAAGTGAAAGACATTTGCTCTAAATTTAAATGGATAAAGGTATAAGTTTACCAAATAGTGTTTTTACAGACGGTCTCTTTGGTTTGGTGCTTTTCTTCTTCAACGAGGCTTACGTAGAGACAAGAGACCGAATCAGTTTACAAAGAAAGAAAATGCCACACTAAGAGTACTTATAATATAAACATTGCTGTATAACCAGCTAAAATAATGTTCTTCCAAAGCCAACATCAGGATGGATGGGTGGCCTTAACCAGACAGGATACTATATATAATCGAAATCCAGCAAGTTAGTACATGCTTCCTCTGTTTCCCAGTTATTTTGGTCACTTGACTGTCATTGATCAATAACTTAACAATAATCTGTTTACGGCATCTCCCATTCGAACAACCATTAACATTTTCTAGATTAACCCATGCATTACATGAACCATCAAAATCTATATATCTACACACACAAATATAACACAAACTGTGAACTTAAACCAAAATGTAACAAAAGATAAAGTTTTAAGGCAAGTTTATGGGAGAGCAAGAGATATATATACCCATCCCAGGCACTTGATAATCGTTAACGATTTCGAAGTTTTTATACGTGTAGCCCACAAAATTAATGTCCTTAGAGGAGAGCATCTGCAAAATGGAGAGAAAATAATGGAAAGATTTTGGGGTAGCAAATTGTATATACAAATTAGTGACAAAAGCTAAGAATAGACAAAACTCAAAAGCTAACCTTTCTCCAGGGACCAGTTTTGGATGAACTCTGAGTTTGGGAGTCAGACTGCAGACCAAAAATTAGTATAAATAAAATTATCAGAAATATGATGTGCTCGACACAGGTAGCTTCACAACTCCACAAAAATTGAGGCATATCTATACATACCTCTTCGAACTTTTCAAAATTTTGAGTATCCAAATCATCATTGACCTCAGGAATAAATGCAGCATCCATTTGATAAAGCTTCTCCCATTCAGTACCATTGAACCAAGGATGAACCTGAAAAAGGAATCAGCAGCAACGTAATTCCCATTATATGCAACAAGTTCATGAACAAATTGAAGAAATTTAGAACAGGACACACCATACAACACCTTTATTTCATCTGCCCCGTTTGTTCCCAACCTTTGGTTGACATTACACAAGAGTTTACTGATAAGATCTTTTGCCTCTGGAGATAGCTTTGCTTCTTCTGGAAACTTCAAATGAGTTCTCCAGTTTACAATCTGCCAGAGACGGGCAAGACAGAAAACATTATTACGCAAATAGTCAGTTGCGGACAAGTGTGGTTCGCTACAGTTAAAACATAAGTGGCATCATCAACATCGTGTCATGTCAAGTCAGGGGAGTCTACAAATGTCCCAAGTCATATAATTAGTTATCAAAAAGAACCATAGTATATCAACTTCTACCACAAAGAAAGCCATGGAGGTGAGCAGGGCTTATGATATGAATCATTTAAGCTCCAAAATTATGAAAACAATAATTAAAGAGGGAGAAGAGCACGTAAAAGTTTCATTAATGCAACACCGAATGAGAGCAATTAACTACACTTCACCAAAGTGCACAAACAATCCAGGAACCAGTTCATGCATTGGAATCTACAAATTGAAGGATGCAGATTGATTAACTAAATTTTCAGAAACACGTAAGCTCTGTAAATGATGAAAAGAGATGTCACAAGCCAAAGAGGCATGCCCTCGGAAATTACGCTTGAGGCTTTAAAAAAGAGATATATTAAAATAAAATGTTCAATATTTCTAAAATTTACCTTCCTGCATGTTGACATCGGATCATCAGAATAGAAGGGTGGGTAACCCACAAGCATTTCATACATAATGGCACCAAGTGACCACCTGCTCATCAACGAAAATCATAACCTTGTCAATCCAGGCATCCAAAAACAAAGTAGCTCTTCAGTTCGTTGTCCATAATAGTATCATGGTAAGTACCAATTTCCAAAATGGTCCCATTACAATATGAATGGTAGGAAAAATGGTGAATGCTAGGTCGTTGAAAAAAATAACCAATTGCTAAAATGCATAATACTCACCAATCGCATTCCATCCCATAACCTTTTTTCAAAAGAACTTCTGGAGCAATATAGTCAGGTGTACCAACAGTGGAATAAGCCTGCAGTGGCCATATATCAAAAATTAAAGGAATGATACCTTCGCAATGTTCAACCAAAAGGTCATGAATGGCAATGTTATACATCCAAAAAGAAATAGTTCCTCTTTTATCTACGCCACAGTCATTGCACTAGAAAGTGAGGAGGCAGTGGGGAGGTAGGGAGAGATAACAGTTCCTCTTTTATCTACGCCACAGTCATTGCACTAGAAAGAGAGGAGGCAGTGGGGAGAGAGGGAGAGATAATTTAATTGCATAATGGTGTATAACTTACAAGCATTCTCCTATTCTTCTGCCAATGTTGCAGTTGCTCTTGTTGTGTTCGTTTTGGAGCTGCAGGGCGTTCATCATTCTGTGGACCACCATTAACATTGGGTGCTATTGAAAAGTCTTCTCGGATTGTACTGCAGTCTAAAGGTTTACACAACCCAAAATCTGACAGTCTTAAGTGTCCATATCTATCAAGTAGTAAATTGTCAGGCTTGATATCCCTGCAATATGCAAAACAGACTATGTTAACATCCATTTTTGCAGTCCAATAAATTGCATTATTTAATCTGTCAAAAGAGTCAGTGTTGATATTGTACCACAAACCTGTGAATGTAATTGTGTTTATGGATAGACTCAATAGCCAAAACTGTTTCGGCAACATAAAATCTAGCTTCATCTTCTGTCAAAATATCCTTTCTCATAAGCAAAGTCATCATATCTCCTCCAGGTAAGTATTCCATTATAAGATAAAGAAACTCATCATCTTGAAAAGAACAGTACAGCTTCACAATGCAATTGCTGTCCACCTCAGCAAGCAAATTCCTTTCAGCTTTGACATGCTCAACCTAAAAAGAATGTAATATAAGTCAACTGACAGTAAATACAGTTTAAATCACCTCGGTAATTCAAGTGGAAGAACAGTTGACTAAATACCTGGCCTCTACGAAGCATCTCTGATTTCTTGAGCTTTTTCATGGCATAAACAGAACCTGTTGTCTTTTCCCTGCAGACACGAACCTGCACCATAAAAGAAACATTTTACTGGTTAAAATCTCATATCAAACTCATGAGACGAAATTCCCACCCTGTGGCTGCTGGGAGGCTGAAAGTGAAAACATAGATCTGATAAGAAGATATATACCTCACCAAATGCACCCTTGCCAATCATAGTCAACAACTCAAAATCATCAACACCCATTTTATGCCTCTGAAGGCGCATGTATTCAGTTTCTTTCTTCTCCAAGAACTTAAGAAGGTTGTTTTGATCTTCCTCGGAGACATCAGCATCAGCCAACTTTTTTTCTAACATATTTCGTCTGCCCCAGAAAGTGTAATTACCAATTAGAAATCATAAAACCACTAAAACTGGTTAAAATTTTGTTTGCCTATATCACAATAGCCTTATAAGAAAGGATCACAATCTGCATTGTAATTACCAATTAGCAATCATCAAACTTGCAAACCCAGCTCCCAATACTTTTTGGGCGTTACTAATTCTGAAAAAAAAACAAAAACAAAAGAAAGAAAAAGGGCAAAGTATCAAATTATTATCTACCTTTCCTTCCTCTCCTGGAGGTTCTTCATCTGTTCCTTGTAATGGTTCTCAATATACTGCTTGGCCGCTGCAGCCTTCTGCTTGGTGACATTGGAAAGCGCTTCCTCATCCGTATTCGAATCGTCCTCGCCTCCACTGCAAGGCTCCTTCTTCCTAGTCGAGCTCCTCAGCTTATCGCGCGGTTGAAGCTTCTGAAGCCAACTTCGTGCCGAATCCATCTCCCTCCTCACAATGCAGAGCCCAATGTGACCAGATAGCACCACACCATGCCAAAAGCCGCAATGTATTTCTTCAATTGCAAGCCATCTGTATTGTAGCTAGCGATTATCACAATTCACAATGAACGCAATACATTGCCTGTAGATCAAGCATTGCAGGAACGAAACTTTGGAAGCAAAATATTTCAAAATCGATCACAATTGACAATGACAATGACAATGGCGAGCGAAAGAAAATGAAGAATGTGGAAAGATTCTTGGGAACAAGACAGATGGGGCTGAGAAATCGGGTTACCGCGTAAAATTAGCGACAGGCAGAAAAAGAAAAGAGAATGTGATCCGCGAAACCCTAAAGATAGTCCGCCATTTTCGCTGGAGCTTGCAATTGCGCTTGGGCATTCGGGTCCGGAGCTTCAGAGAAACTCCGACGACTCTCTTTGCTTTGTTTTGTTATCCACGTAACTCTCTTTCTCTCTCTCTCTGTTGTGCACAGCACAGAGAGAGACACCTTCCCTCCATTTTTATATTGATAGATATAGCTTTTCTGTTTTCCTTCGAATTTTCCATTTTGCCATTTTTAATAAAATAAAATTTTAATATTCGATTTTTTTTTTTTAAAAGGGTGTTAGTTTCAGATTCGTTGAATCTCACGAGAAATTGATCCGCGAAGATTCGCTTGGGCGGCGCGCATCCTCTCTTCTCAAGCCCAATTAGTTTGTCGCCAAAGTAATTTTTTTTTAAATTATTATTTAATTATTTATTTTACAAGCCCAATTAGTTTGTCGCCAAAGTAGTTTTCATAATGCATGTTGTGGAATGTTTGTGGAAATTATATTAGTTGAAAGTGGAGCAACATGAATTACCATATCCATAAATCTTAACCATGGAAAATTGATATCCCCTTTTTTTGTCCAGATAAACCCGACATTCGAAAAGGGCAAGTTGCAGACTTGTAGTCCCTTTAGCACAAGGTTTCTTGCATTATGGGCTACATGCATGGGACCATCCCCAATCCCTTTGAGAGTAATACATCAACCAGAAAGAAAAGCAGAGTGTAAATTAAGCTCACACAACCAACCACTACAAGTCCAAATCACTTCAAATGTTACTACCATTTACTGGAGAAGCATTGCCCTCAGAAAGTGACTCTAACAAGCAATTGGGCAAAGCAAAAAGCTGCCATGAGTTCCTCCAAATTATTATACTTTGTACTCTTGCACTTAAAAATTGTGTGCCTTGAAGCTCTAACAAGTGTATAATACTCAATCACCAACATCAAATCAAACTCAAGAAGCTAACGGGTCTAGTCGAGTGGAAAAATGCCATGATTTGCAAACCAGTAGTCTCATGTTTGAACCCCTATATTACTTTGATAATGTGTGTGTATGAGAAACCCTCTCTCCACTTGTAATATAGACTATTGCTTGTATTAAAAACAAAAAACAAACGCAGTGTAAATCACACGATAGCAACCTTCCCATCAACAAATGAATCTAGCTTATTATGAATCTTATTAGTTCAACTGGCATGGAGATGCGTGAGGTGGTTCAAATATCTTTGTAGAAAAGATCAACCTAGAGCTTTTCAGTTTAGGCATGAAGAGTACATAGCTAATCGCATGAATTTCAACAGTAAACCTTTTCTGCTCATTTTTATGCCAAAGGCAGAAATGATCTTTGAGACTAACTAAAAGTTGAAGCTGTATATCATTTGAAATATATCTCTATTATAAATATGCCATTGTACATCATGTGTTGAAACACGAGTTTTTTCATCTGTTCACCTTTTGAGACATGCTAAGACCAACAGACTCAATTACTGAAAGTGAACGGTTTCACATACACTAAAAGAATGCTTCATACAATATCCTCAACCAAATCTAACATGAATCATGTGTCAGTCACATGTTGATGCTCCTATTATACGGCCCCTCTCATCAGAAGACTTTCTTTTTCCATTACCGTAAATAGGCAACACCACCCCCGGAAATAGATTGCAGACTGATCTTGTAACAACTTTCTTATATAACAATGGAGTACAACATATCTGCCAAAGTCAGGCCATTGGGGCTTCACCTTGTAGCAACAAACCCGAAAGGTAGAACTGCGGATTCATCTACTGCCACCCTTATTTCTACAGTCTAAAAGGGGAAATCCTCCTTAATGGGGTCAACCGAGGAAGTATTAAAAAAATGCTGATGAATGAAATTGCTTTACTCACTTGCATATCTCACTTCGAATTTAAATGTTTATCTAGCAGCTTAACTGAAATCAGCGGTAATATGCCATGTGTCTTGATGACATAAATGGAGATGTAGCAAAAGGAGAGGTCTTTTGAGTTTGGGCAGGAGGATTTGTGGATCTCTTTTTCTCATGCTTGGTTTCAGCACGGAGCCAGGACTCAACAACAGAGAGCAGATTGGCCGAACTCTTCAACTCATTGACCTCCGATAACTTCTCAGCCCTCTTTAGCTCCCCATCTTGGATGTAAGCCAGATGGGTTGCCCATGTCTCCAACCCATCAAAAATATGGGTTGCATAAACAATTGTCGCTCCTCTCTGCAGTCAACACAAAAAAGATGAATAAAACTATACCAGAGTAAGCAGGTTTAATGATGAGAGTATAAAAATATTTAAACTACTTAACCAAACAATAAAAAATGGCCTCCCCATGATATATGCAGCATGCAATGGTATGAAATAATATGCATCATATAATTTGTCCAGATGAAATGATATATGCAGTTTCCCCCATTTAAAGATCTTCCACATATCAGAAATGGAGTCTGTACATGCAAGTGAATATTATAACAGTAAATAAAGCAAGTCCGTACCTGTTCACATTCTTCCTTGAAGAAATCTAATAAGTCCAGTCTGGCAACAACATCCAAGTCGACCGTTACCTCATCAAGCAAGAGAACCTGGGATTTAACAGAATGATTCTAGTTAGAAATAGTTTCAAATGTCAACATAATCTACTGGATTTTTAATCACAGACGGACTTGGAATACGAAATGATACAGCAATTAGGTGGAGATTCCAATTCGCAGGCAATGGGGTGAAATACGAAGCACACCCCTAGAACACAATATAAATACAAAATTGACCATTACGAAACGCTTCAGGGGCAATTGAATGCAAACTATAGAACCTCATACGCGTGCACTGAAACAGCCATTTCATTTTTTGGTACAAACTCATATTCAAGATTTCAAGATACCTTGAAAGGATGAAGAAGCCCCATGCAGATTTGGACTCGACGTCGTTGCCCATCAGATACTTTATGCATTCTCCACTGGAGGTTTATATCAAGTAGCTCAATCAACTTGTCTCTCCTAACTGGATCAGTCCCTTCAACTGCCAAAAATTGGGGGCAAACACGATTTAATTTCAATCGATTGAATTTCACCCTTATATGCGATGAAGAAAGATCTACAAGCTCATGAATTGAGAAAATGGAACTAATAAAATTTGACATATGTTAAAAACAATAGATAGACAAAGAACCATTAGGTATCAACAAGTTACATAACATTATCCAAGAGCTTCAAGAAGTTGCATGGTAGAAATCATTCACTACACTATGTTTTTTGCTTGACCCTTCTACATTAAGATTATATTAAAAATTTATATGAAAAGGAAATAAATGTAGCATGCCAGTCAAAATTACCCACCTCCAAATATCATATGTTCAGCTGAGAAATCTCCCTGCAATGGAAGTTCTCCCTAAAAATTTCCAAAGACAAATTTATTTTCAGTTTCAGTCAAGGAAATGAAAACAAATTGGCAAAAAAGCCTAAAATGCATGGCCATGATACCCAAATAAGCGTAATGCAAGTGCTTTTCAGCCTAAATAAACCATTCAATTATGGCAGAGTTTGTTTAAGAACTCACAGCAGAGCCAACAGATTTACTCCACGAGCCTCCCAAGTAAGCTAAATCGCCGCTGCAAACCAAATGAGTGTCATGAAAAGCCGAACAATTTAAAACCCGCACCACATCTCTCCCTCCCACCATCTGCTTCCCTGCTAGAATCTTCAGCAAAGTGGTCTTGCCTGCAAAACTACCCAATTAGCTTCGAAATACAAATTTAACTGCTTTCCAGGAAATTGAGTTTCCTTGGAACCAAAGAGACCTAAGAAAAAGGTCAAACCGGTGAAAGAAAGTCTGGTTTTCAATTACCAGATCCGTTGGCGCCGACGAGAAGGCATCGCGATCCGGGGGCTATGTTAAGGTTGAAATCGCAGAAAAGCGGAGGTTGTGCATCGTACGAGAATTGCATGCCATGGACTCTAATACCGCTCGACGTCTCTCCTTCTCCTTCCGCTCTCGGATTGGATGTTTCACTGACCCTGCCCGCCATGGTTGCTCTGCAAATCCGGTAGCACGGAGCTGATTGTGTTTTCTGTGGTCATTTTATGAATACGAGTTGGCCGATACTAATAGGGTGCCGATGGTGGATGTTGGTCCCACTGCTTGTGTACACGTGGCGGATAAATAAATGGCCACGTAACATGCTCTAGCGGAAGGGATAAAATCTGGTGTATAAACGGCCACGAGTTTAGAAGTAATGGCCCAACCAGAGTTGGTCAAGAGCTGGTTGGAAGTTCCCACCCACTTCACTTTTTTCAGACGTGGCCACAAGCTATTGGCTCAACCGAAAATTAAAGTCGTTATTAAGTATATGGATCTGGATTTGTTTGACCAAACGCTGCGTTTTTATTTTCTTTAAAGAAAATGTGACCAAGAATTTAATAGACTCTTTCCATTTTAAAATGAGAAAGCGTATAGCCGGACGGCTATACTATTTATTAAAAAAAATTAAAGGACCCAGTATTGCCGCACGGCTATACTCTTTATATATTATAATTAAATAGTATAGCCGAGCGGCTATACTATTTATTAAACAAAAAACCGACCCGCCTAGCCTCTAGGCGGCAGATTATTATTTTTAATTTTTAAATAGTATAGCCGCGCGGCTATACCTGTAAAAGGATTAAACCGACATGTCGTAATTGTTATTTTGCATGAAGCGACATGTTTGCGCAAAACCGCGCGGAACCCCATGGCCACCAAAAAAAAACAAAAAAAAACCTGCGGACCCGAGGTCACCTACCCGTCGCTACAACTTGTAGCCTACAAGTGATAAGTCGTGGAAGACAATTCTCCTTCTCGGAGACGGAGAAAGGGTGCGCGGGTTAACTAATCGTGCGCCCCTCGCGCGCCATAGAAACAGCCTCTTCGCTAAAACATCCCTAGTCTCGTTAGGACTGTCGCTGAAGCAACAGCAACCAAGTAAAGCTGCAAAACCCTTCACACGGGAGAGAGAGGGGTTTCGGTTCTGCGAATCTAGGTTTAAGAAAAATCCGAATAAGTTAATCCGAAACTCCGATACGTGAATTTGATTCATTTTGACCACTGTAATATCTAAATTCGGTACGTAAGCAATTGAATTCCGGTAATTGCTCCGTCGCAATCCGTGATCGAATTCGGTTTCAGGTTTTGTGTTTGATTTTTATGTTTAATTCAATGCGAATGAATGCCTACTTGCTCTTCCTTCTCGAAATTGTCAGATAAAATTGCCCTAATTTACACATATACAATTGCATGGAGGAAGACGAAGACAGGATTTTGTTGGACAGTTTGGGCGTAACGTCGGCAAACCCTGAAGATATCGAGAGAGACATTTTATCAGGGGTATGTAAATGCTAGGTTTCATCGTTTTCATCTTCATTGTTAATTGCATCGTGCCCAGATAATCAAAACCATGTTTTTTGAGCTGCGAAAATATACCGAGAGTGATTGAATAGTTAATCAAATGCTAGAATTTGACAGTAGGCAGTGTTTGAAGTGCAGGCGCAGAACAATGGCAATGCCAGTGAAGTTGGAGGGAGTACTGAGGAGGAGCCTCTTGAGAGATCAGAAAGTATCGATCCATTGGCGGCCAGCCAGGCCAAACTCTATAACAAATTGAGGGCAGTTGAGTTTGAAATTGATGCCGTTGCCTCCACTGTTGAACCTGAACAAGCGGGGAATGAAGGCGCCGCTTGTGATGGTGATGATGATGGCGTGGAACCCGGGGATAAGGAGGACCTTGATCAGGGTTCTGCTACTGGGTTGAACCTTCAGCATGCCTTAGCTACTGATCGACTGAGAAGTCTAAAGGAAACAAAGGCTAAACTTGAGAAAGAGCTTTCAGATTTGGACAAGCAAAGACCTTCCAAGGGTAAACAGCGTGACAAAGTCTTATCAGATATTGTCAAGGAAAAGCCTGCACCCAAGAGGAAGTTGAAACAAGTTAAGAAATCTGGAAAAAATCTAGAAAAGAGGCTTAAAACAGTCTCATTTGACGAGGATGATGACTTCGATGCTGTGTTGGATGCAGCATCTGCAGGCTTTGTTGAAACAGTGAGTTTAACACTTGAACTTTACCTAGTGGTTCAATCTTTCTCACCTTGTGTTTTGTAAAATTTGGTGTGGGTTACCTAATTAATTATGTATAATGTTAGTAAAAGATGTTATAAATGGTTAAGTATAAAAAAAAGGAAGAGAAACAACAGGGATAACTAAGTTGACGCTTTTGATATGCCAGGAAAGGGATGAATTAGTTCGAAAAGGAATTTTAACTCCTTTCCATAAGCTCAACGGCTTTGAACGCCGCCTTCAAGAACTAGGGCCATCTCAGAGGCGTAACGTTCCTGCAGAAGAACACAGGAGTAATGATTTTGCTTCAGCCAGTGTTGCTAGAGCAGTGCAGTCAATTTCGGAGGCTGCTCAAGCTCGCCCATCCACCAAGCTGCTTGATCCAGAAGCTCTACCAAAGCTTAATCCACCCACTTATCCTTTTAAGAGGCTAAAAAAACCTCTTAAGATTCCTCAATCCCTAGAAAATGATACACACAAGAATAAAAGTTCAAGATTAAGAAGGAAGCGCCCTTTGCCAGATAAAAGATGGAGAAAGCTCAGTAATCTCGAGGAAAAGCATGTGCATGAAAATGGTATGTTCAATGTTGTCCTTGGTAGTGGTGTTAAGTAGTTGCATGGCATAGTTAAATGTTTTGTACAACAGAAAGTTGTTTTAATTGTTTTATCTATTTTTCTACCAAATCTTAGCAAGTATGTTGTTTCATTTTTGTTCTACTTGTTTTTTCTTGCAGAAGACACTCCCAGTTGTGAAGAAGAAAACCAAGAGGATGTTGGAGATGTAGATGATAATGAGTATACTTATGTTACCTTGGAAGGGGGGCTGCAAATCCCAGAGCACATTTTTAACCAACTTTTTGACTATCAAAAGGTAGGCGTCCAGTGGCTATGGGAACTACATTGCCAAAAAGCAGGCGGAATTATTGGAGATGAGATGGGTCTTGGTAAAACCATCCAGGTCTTGTCCTTCCTTGGTGCATTGCATTTCAGTGGCATGTATAAACCAAGCATAGTTGTCTGCCCAGTTACACTTTTGCGCCAATGGAAAAGGGAGGCTCAAAAATGGTACCCAAGCTTTCATGTGGAGTTACTTCACGATTCTGCTCAGGATCCTGCTGGTAGGAAAAAACGATCCAAATCTAATGAAAGTGATTCTGATAGTGAAGGTTCACTGGACAGTGATTATGAGAAACCGGCATTATCCAAAAGCACTAAGAAATGGGATTCCTTGATTAACCGTGTTTTGAGGTCAGAATCTGGGTTGCTAATTACAACTTATGAGCAACTCCGTATTGTAGGGGAAAGTTTGCTTGACATTGATTGGGGTTATGCAGTTTTGGATGAAGGACACCGAATTCGGAACCCAAATGCAGAAATTACTCTAGTTTGTAAACAGTTACAAACAGTACATCGCATAATAATGACGGGTGCACCAATTCAGAACAAGCTGACTGAACTGTGGTCCTTGTTTGATTTTGTTTTCCCTGGAAAGTTGGGGGTCCTGCCCATATTTGAGGCTGAGTTTTCAGTTCCCATATCTGTTGGTGGTTATGCGAATGCCTCGCCATTACAAGTATCCACAGCATACAGGTTTAGATTGATATATTTCAAATTTACAACCTGATATTTAAATTTTCAGCGTTCAGTAGACTGGATTATTATTTCTATCTAAAGACTCTTACAGAGTACTTATCAATCTATTTTTGTTAACTTTTGAATTTTGGAAATTCCTAAACTATCTGAGTGTTTATATTTTTACCACCCTTAAGAAAGAAAACCCATAAGATAAAGTCATTCATGAAAGATGAAACTTCTGGTATTTTTTTCCAAATTGTTCCCAGGGTTGTATATATATATATACACTTTTCAGTCTAAACCTTTCACCATGCAGGTGTGCTGTGGTTCTGCGAGATTTGATCATGCCGTATCTCCTCCGGCGCATGAAGGCAGATGTGAATGCCCAGCTTCCTAAGAAGACTGAACATGTCATATTTTGCAGCCTCACTGCTGAGCAACGTTCTGCATATAGAGCATTTCTGGCTAGTTCTGATGTGGAACAGATTATGGATGGTAATAGGAATTCGCTTTATGGAATTGATGTCATGCGTAAGATTTGCAACCATCCTGATCTGCTTGAGAGGGAACACTCCGACCAGAATCCAGATTATGGTAATCTCGAACGCAGTGGAAAATTGAAAGTTGTTTCTCAAGTCCTTAAAGTTTGGAAGGATCAAGGTCATCGTGTTCTTCTTTTTACGCAAACGCAACAAATGCTTGACATTATTGAAAATTTTCTGGTTTCTGGTAGTTATAGCTACCGGAGGATGGATGGTCTTACTCCCATCAGACAGAGAATGGCCTTAATAGATGAATTTAACAACTCAAGTGATGTGTTTGTTTTCATTCTGACAACTAAGGTTGGTGGTTTAGGGACAAATCTGACAGGTGCAAATAGGGTGATAATCTTTGATCCTGACTGGAACCCTTCCACTGACATGCAGGTACATTTTGGACTTCACTATTCTTTTAATTTGCAATTTGATGCAAATGTTTGAACTTGGAAACTAGTCGTCTAACTGTAAAGGTTACTACTATATATATGGTCTGTCTTGCGAAATTGTCAACATTCAGGAGTAAGGATCCTTCTAGTGTCTTTCTGATGGAAGTAATACGTACAAGTTTTTTGTTGACCCTTGTTTGAAAATTTTGAATTTTTTTTGGTACTTTGGAAACACATTTTTGTAATCTGAATGTTTTTAACAGGCAAGAGAGCGTGCTTGGCGTATTGGTCAGAAACGGGATGTGACTGTATATAGATTGATCACCCGTGGAACAATAGAGGAGAAGGTGTATCATAGACAGATTTACAAGCATTTTCTCACCAATAAGATATTAAAAAACCCACAGCAGAGAAGGTTCTTTAAAGCTCGAGATATGAAGGATCTCTTCACTCTGAATGATGAGGGTGAGAGTGGGGCTACTGAAACAGCTAATCTGTTCGGTCAGTTATCTGAAGATGCCAATGTTGTTGGTACACAGAATGACAAGCACAATAAGCAAGAATCTCAGAAAGTCTCTGTACCGCTTGCCAATGGTGCTGGGGCTGACAAGGGGAAGAACTCAGAGGTTGGACCGTCCAGGAGGAATGGGAAAGAAAAAGCTGACCACAGCAACGATGAAGTAGATGAAGAAACAAATATTCTGAGGTGCCTATTTGACGCCCAAGGGATACATGTAAGTTTCTTCAATTTGTGTGCCACGTACACATTTTTCTTCATTGGTAGTATTGCACCTGTGTCTGTTAGGATTCCTTTATAGCTGTGGAACTTAATCCGAGATAAAATGTTATAACTTTGGTCTAATCAAGTTGTTTGGTTGTCTTCCCCAAAATAATTGCAAGCATTTTCTGATGATTGGAGTTTTGGATTAAATCTCATTTGTCACTGTTGGAGAGTCTTGTACGATGGAGGGAAATTATATGTAATGTAATATATATTTCAAATTATTTAGTAGTATTTTACTATGTATTCATGTAAAGCGCATATAATAAGAATGCATTGATTGTAACACGAGACTGACATTGTTAATGCTCAATTCAGTCTCCATCTCCCTGCAGTCTGTTTACGTTTTTCTTTTAACATGGTGTCCAATTTCCACTGCAGAGTGCTATGAATCATGATATGATCATGAATGCGCATGATGAAGAGAAGATGAAGCTTGATGAACAAGCTTCCCGAATTGCACAAAGAGCAGCAGAAGCACTGCGCCAGTCACGGATGCTTCGAAGCCGTGATAGTGTGTCTGTCCCCACATGGACTGGGAAATCAGGAATGGCTGGCGCACCATCATCTGTCCGTGGGAAATTTGGTTCAACTGTGAATTCCCAGTTGGTCAATAATACCAAACGCTCAGATGAAGTTTCCAACAATGGAACAAATGGTGTTGCAGGGGCATCTGCAGGGAAGGCATTATCTTCTGCTGAATTACTAGCAAGAATTCGAGGAAAGGAGGAAAAAGCTGTTGAAGCTGGAATTGAGCATCAGTTTGGGTTGGCTTCTAGTTCTAACAGAGCAAAATCTGTAGATGTTGGACCTTCTAGGTCGTCTCACAAATTAGGTGGGGTGCAACCTGAAGTACTGATTCGTCAGATCTGTACATTTATCCAACAAAGCGGAGGAAGTACGAGTTCTTCAAGCATAGTGCAGCATTTTAAGGACAGAATACCCTCAAAGGATCTTCCCTTGTTTAAGAATCTTCTGAAGGAAATAGCCAAACTAGAGAAAACCCCAAACGGATCAGTTTGGGTTCTAAAGCCAGAGTTTCACCAGCAGTAATCTCAATCTCAACCTCCGATTCATTGCCTGAGATGAGAGTGCTGATTTTTTGTGGATAGTTGTGGGTTCTCCAAATATCCGGAGTTTATTTGGAGCAATGTTCATCTGTGATCCGTGAAATCTTCCTAGTAGGTCACTTTTTTTTTCCTCCCAGTTTCCTCCATTCTCATTGTTGTTAATATCTTCAGTAGGGCAAAGGTGACAAGAAATTTCATAGTTTTTTTTGGGTACGTCCTCGAACCATTTTAATCAAAACCACACAGAATAGAGACATTTTCTCTGTACAGTAATTTATGGAGTTCTGAGAATTTCCTCTTTCCATGTTTTGGAGGCAATTGAACAATGTTGCCCGATAGAGTGCTTTTGGCTACTTGGGTGTAGATGATAGACGGTATAGAGAGTTCTTTTCCCCTCTTTGAAAAATGGCCTCAGAAACATTTGAGAACCAGATTTCGTCGTTTTGGGTGTTTGTGATTGTACATATCAGATTTCCAAGCACTCTGTTCCGCCGGCCAGTTCAAATCTTCTGCTCTAGCCTGTCTTATATAATGCCAAAGTGGCCCATCGCGTACTCGTATTTGTATATGGATAGACTTGGCTGCCTTTTATGTTATTATACTCTACAGGTGAACCACTCAGGTTATGTTACCCATTTTACTGCTATAACTTGAGTGGATCGACGCCTAACCTGAGTGGATCGCGTACTCGTATTTGTATATGGATAAGACTTGGCTGCCTTTTATTTGGTTGCCGCTAGTTTTCTTCAAATTAGGCGTCGATCCACTCAGGTTATGTTACCCATTTTACTGCTATAACTTTTAGGCTGCTATAACTTTTAGGCCAAGTTATGATTTTGATCCATGTAGGATCAGTTATTGCTATTTAATCTCTGTAGTTTATTAAGTGTTACAATTCAAGGACAATATGGTAATTTCATCAAGTTTTCCTACCGAATTAGTTTAGCAGGCGAGTGGCATATGTGAGGGTAAATGATTCCCAACAAATAAAACTACAGGGATGATGGAGTGCAATGACAACCAAATGACTTTGATTCTAGGAGAAACCTGCAAAGCACTCGAGGACTATTCCAGTCCACAACAAAAACCACAAATAAGTTAAGAAGGCAGAAAGTAGACAATAAGACAATTACTTAGGCTTTTGGCAAAGATTTGGTTAATCGAAAACGATAAAGGAATCCTCCGATCCACACGGCAAGTTTCCATTAGTCCAGAAGTGTGCCCATTTTATCAGGATGGCAACCTTCGTTTTCAGGATTACAAAATTACAACAAATATGATGTATGCAAAATGACAATCCATCTTAGTCCACCAGAAGCTGTCAAATTGCGAAGTTTGTCATCCAAATAAAAACAAAAAGGAAATTAAAAAAAAGGAGCAAATAGCAAATGGATTAGACAAGGAACATTTCTCTATTATATAGAAGTGAAAGCTTGAAATTTTAAGTGAACAACTAGCCGGCACAAAGAACATAGATGTCAGGACAAGAGAAGCTTCAAAATATATTGCAGGGAAACATTATTTCCATAAATGGAAGTATTTGGTACCTTGTGTGCTTTCTTTCTTTTCTCACATATTCCTTCCTCACTTTTCTCTTAAAAAAAGATAAAAATAAATAAAAATAAATGAAGACCTCGATCATAATTAACAAAATGCTCACACACAATTAGAAAGCCGCCCATCCTGCAGCGGTTGTCTTTGTTGAACCTGATCCAGTCGCTGAAGGAAGATTCCTCTGGAAATGATCATGAGAATACCATAAATCACAATCATAAACAAACAAGGCAATAAGCAAAATATCCATAAATCACACTCGTATTTGAACTGGAAGAGGTAATCTTTTTTCCTTTATGTGTGTGGAAGAAGTGTATCTATCAACCAAATGCACAGAAGTGCACTGCGGCATAAAAGTCGCTCAAACAAACAGAAAAACAATACTGATTCTGCAAGAACTAAGCTTTCAGATTGAAATCAGTTCCTACATGGTTCGAACTTGGACAGAAACTAATGTGGGTTATAGCTACTCATTCTCAGCTTGCCTTTCTAAGAATGGGATTACGCTCGTCCAAAAAAAAACAGAATGGGATTAGGAACCAACTTTCCCAGTAAATCAGGAATTATAGTGCTGGCAGAGACACCATCAAATGTTGGGATTTTGATGACAAGCATAAGCCATGAACGGGTAAAATCAGTAACACGAAACACGACATGTATAGACAACAGAAATTTGCAAATTGCTGCGTCCAAGTATCTTAGTCAGCTAATTTTGATGACAAATTACCTAATGATTACCAAAACTCAAACAAATTCATTCCATGTTGATTTTGAACAATTTACTCTTACTATATCATTTCTCTGAGTTCCAAATTCCAACAAGATGAACAACAATTCAGCTAAACCAAGCAATGTAATGCCAAAGCAACACTGAGTTACATTTCCTACCTCAATCTGAGAAAGATCGGATAACGGGTCGGAGCTCCGCCTCGGGTTATCCGGGGGCGACTTGAGGCCACCACCAGAGCTGATTCTAGCAGCAACAGGATCATTAGGAGGTGGCGGCAGAGCCGACCTCACTTTCCCAGACCCGGGCGGCGGAGCCAGGCCCAAACTAATCGGTTTGGGCTTCACCGTCCCGGATAGCCCAGCCGCTGACAACATCCCAGTCCCACTCGTCGGCTTCGGCTTCACATTTATCCTTATCGTCTCACCTTCCTTCAGATCCCAAACAAATACACAAATCAATGAAATTTTTCATTGAAAATGAGAAATTAAAGAAAAATCTTAAATCTTTTATACTTTCAATCTGTGATTAACGGCAGGGTGAATATCGATATGGCCATCGTCGCTGGTCTCGCCGCCGTTGCTCTCCTTCTCGTGCTCTCTCTTGACGTACTTCTCGTGGTCCGACAAAGCCACGTTGAAATCAAACGCTTCGTTTCGCTCTGCAAACCCCAGCCCAATGAACGCGTGCTTTCCGTTGCCGTCCTCGATCTTGAGCACGAAGTATCGCGACGAGTCGAGCACGGTCTCTACGGAGGTCTCGCGCTGGCCCGGGTGGACGAAGCAGGCGGCGAAGAGCTCGCTGGAGTTCGGATCCTCCAGTCGGATCTCGCACCGGTCCTTGCAAGACACAACCCGGAGCCGACCCGACCAGATCTTATCGGACTGGAGCCACTCGCCGCACTTGTACCCGCCGGATGTGCTCCGCGGCGGGATTTTGTAGACGGCGACTTCGCGGACAACGAGCAGCGTGTGCTCGAACGCCTCCTCCTCGTCCTCGAACGACATCGTTTCGGGATCAAAGTGGGGGCAGGCAAAGCTTCGAGCTTTAACGGATTCTTATGAGCAATGCGGGTGATAATTGGGATATTTTTTATTTATTTATTTTTTTGGTTGGGGAATTTCAAACTATGGTGAGAGAGTTGGGGGATTGAATTTGAGGTGAATTTGGGACGAATTTGACGTAAATTTGAAGAAATTGTGATGTGGGAATGAAGGTGGGGGGAAGGTTTCAAATGGGAGTATGCAGAAACGTGGGTTCGAAGGAGAGTGCTTGAAAGGTCAACTGGATTGTCTAATGGAGACGGCCAGATATTACCATTTTGCCCTTATCCCTTCCCCTTTTGGGCTGGCCAAGGCCTAAGCTTGGCTTGGAGATAAACTGAAATCAACAGTTATCTGTTGGTGGTTTCCATTTTCAATTTCCCAAAAAGTCGAAACCAAGAAACATTCTCCACAGAAGCCCAACCAATATCTGCAAAGCACATCTGTTACAAAAATTTACCTCTACGAATCCCTCTTTTTATCTCTATAAAAGAAAAGTATAGTTAGTTACGACAGTTGAATAAGGTAGTATCAACCTCTTTGCACTCGAGTTTAACTTCTCTTTTCGTACATTAGAGTAGTTTAAAATATCGTTATTATCAACAAACAAAACTCGATAATAGAACGAAGCTTACCTCACTCAAACTTTTTTTATTTATTTTAATCTCCTGGCCAAAGCATAAGCCCTGGTTTTCAACTGTAATAACAACAGAGAAACCTAGGTTCCTATATTTTTGTTAAACCAACCTCTAAAACTTGATCTTATATAAATTATGACCATTTTTCAACAAACAATGATAACAGAGAAATTAATTTTGTTGAACAAAACCTCCAAAGCTTGATCCCTATCTACTAGCTTAGATTAGTTGCAATTTCCACATAGCCAATCACCATTGCTAATTCTCTAATGGCTACAACTTACAAGCTTATCATCCAGCAGGCCTTCCTTCCTTGTCTTTGTTGTGGTCTTATTTGCATTAAACTAGCCTTTGAGAGGTTAGGCTTTGTGGCCCAATAAGGAAAAGCAAAAATTAACTCCAAAGCACTTTGGTGCTCAAGCTAACAATTCTTACAACTTTTGAAAGAATTGTTTCTCATAGTTGAAAAATAGCCATTCTTCCCTTCTTAGAGTCAAATTACTGTTGACATATATGCATAAAAAATATATTTTAATATTTTTATGGGTTGTTTTTGTATATTTGTAATATTGTGATTTGCAGGTAAGGATAAATGACGCATTTCTCGTAATTTGATTTACTATTTCGTTGGTGTTGGGGCTTCGAATTCTAAAAAATTACCACGTCTGAGGTTCATATTGGCCCAAGCCCAACATCTCAACAAAATCAAAGAGTTTGGGCTTGGTTTTTATCTTCAACACCCATAGAGGGTCATTTTTGGAAGATCAGCCCAGCATATATCTTTTGGAAAACCCCCATCTTCGCCAGTCTTAAACCCTAGCACCAACAAATAACCAGAGCACCTTCTCCTCCGCCTACACTTTGAGCAGGTACGAATTTAACATATTTTACAATTACAAATTGTTATCTTTCCCTGCGAATTTACAACTTTCTTGTGTCAAAACCTCTAAGTTCTAGATCGCCAAACTCTTTTTTAATAAAATCGAAAATTTTATCAGCATGAATAACTGTTGTGAAATATTCAGTGTGTTAAGTTCTATATGAGATTTTGTGTCGGAGTTTCATGCATCATTGCTTTGATTTTCAGCAGGTTGAAGAAGAAGCAGCCAACATGTATCTCCAGTACTACATAAACGAGAATGGCGACAAAGTCTACACCACTAAGGTTTGTGACGATGATTTGCAATTTAGCTCCTTGTTTAGAGCACATTAGCTAAAAAATTCGACAAACCCACTTATCAATATTTGAATTTGATGTGTTTTACTTGCTCTTCTATATGCAGAAAGAATCACCACTGGGGCTTCCCACTCAATCTGCCCATCCTGGTAAGAACAAAATCAGTCTATTGAAGTTGGCTGCAACCTAGTTGCATCTTTGTTGATTGTCTGAATATGATTTCATAATGGTGGTTATGTTGTTAGGATATCATGTCCTGTTGTTCCGTTGTCGTGCTGTCACGTAAAGATGTTAGTGTTGTTAAGTTGTCGAAAAACTAATGCCATTTGGGGTTCTTGAATGTTTGCTGCTTGCTAACATGACAGTAAGAAACAGCTGAAATGAACGGTAGTCCCAAGTTCTTTGCAGGTCGTTTTCTATGAATCTATCAGAAAGTTCTAGATTGCTTGAGATTGTAATCTTCCAAGGGACATGTTTAGTATCGTTGCTATAATGAATGCAAAATATAAGATTGCAAGGAACTTAGGTCTTCTCTGTTGGGTTCCAAATTAAGTTCCAAGAAAATCAATGTTTTGCTCCGGAGGAAAATGCTTTCGTGATGAGTTTTGATGTTGATGATTTAGTTGACTTTTATTTACTCAACTCTCTGAAATTTGGCACCAGATTGTTCCAGATACGGGTGTTTTCTAATTTTAATTGGAATGATTTGGAAGTGTTTGAGATGATATAGAAGTATACAAAAGAATCGTTTTTATTAGGTAGCGCACTAGTTGAAGGAGAGAGTTCTTTAATGATCTGTGGCTACCAGTCTTCTGCATAATCTTCCTTGGAAAAGGTTCCCAGTTTTTTGGTTGTTACTAATCTGTTTCTTTGTTCATTATTATCAACTGCAGCCCGCTTCTCCCCCGACGACATGTATTCAAGGCAAAGATTTCTCCTGAAGAAACGCTTTGGGTTGTTGCCGATCCAGCAGTCACCTCTGAAGTATTAGATACTTATAAAGGTTCAGCTGCTTTGAAGGGCTTCTTCGTTTGAAGTGTCTCGGACTTTAGGGTTTTACTAGGAGTGCTATCTTGTTGGACCTTTCTATTGGGGACTGTAACTGGATATGTCTACCGCTAGTATGCAAGCAGCACAAATGGTTGTAGACTGGTTATGTGTTAAGTTTTTTAAAATGTAGTAGATTTCTATAAATATGCTTTGCAAATTTACTTTCAACCTTCATATCTACTAAAGTTTGTGAGTAAAGCTCCCATATCTACCCAAATATATCCATCCACTTAAATTATTGGGTTGTCGCACCCTTTTACGTTTTCCTCCTCTTCTTCTCTCTCTATTTTTTTTCCTTTTGATTTCACTTTGTTCATATGGAAATTGATTTCGAATTCACTTTTTTCCATATGGAAATTGATTTCGAACCTTATGGGTTGGAATATATTTCAAGTTCGAACAATGACGGACAAATTGGAAAAGAAGTTGAGAATAACTTCACATATGAACAAATTAAACAAAACTAGGGTTTTTTTTTTTTTTTTTTTTGGTTAGAACAAAACTATATTAGTTGGATGTTAAATTAGAGGACATTTTTGTGCCAGAATGCTAAAGAAGAAAAAAAGCAGTTGCTCAAAATACAGTGACATGCCCCAACCAATCAGAAGATCGGATTGTTAATTTATATGCAAGAGAGTAAAAAAGAAAATAATTATATGCATGGGCCTCCATTTCCTGATGGAGCGAAGTCAAAAGTCAACAAAGCCCAAAACACAATCGGCCGTTACCAACCAAACCCACTAAAACGGCCTCGTTCTCTATCTTCAGCTTCCCACTCCTCTCTCTGTCACTCACTACGCAGCAGTCGTCGCGCCCAGAGACTCACCACACTGACCAACTTTCCAACGCTTTCAGTACGTTCTTCCTCTCGATCTGAAACCCTAGCGTCTTCCAGATCGCGTACTTGCATACATGCATAAATGTAGGCCTCATTATATGTATCTGAAGCTGTTGACTTTGCTGCTGTTTCAGGTATGGCTACCAGAAACCTCGGGGCATTTCTGGTGCTGATTTTGGCGATTACGATCTGCGAAGCTGCTTCCGTCTTCCAGCCGATCTCTGACTCTCACCGATCCGCGGCCTCTGAGCTCTTCACAGCCAACGATGGATCCTTCGGGAGGTGAATTAAACCCTTGAAGAAATGATTTCTTTGTTTGTTTTCATATTTTCTGTTTGGTTCCTGTGAATATGAAACGATGTGGGTATGATCATTTGTATGATCCAATTGAATTAAAACGGATTTATTTCATTTTGAAGTTCATGATTCGGTTATTTTCCTACATTTTAGTCGAAATGTGTCATTAAGTTTTGATTTTGGTTTAATTCGATTTCATTTGCACGATTAGATTAATTTGGATTGTGACTATATTTAATTCTATTTGTTTTGACCTTGCAAGCAAGTCCAATAATTTAAAAAGAAATCTAACTATTTGATTTCGTAAATTTTTGACAGTTTAGAAGAGGCATATGAAGCCCTAAGATCGTTTGAGATTCTTGGGATTGATAAAAAGTCTGATATACGCACCGCTACTTGTCAGTCCGTTGTGGACACACTTGGGTCATCGTCTTCTGCCCCAAAGGATTTGCTTTATGCCTTAAAGGTTAACAGCATTTTGAAATGCAAGGTTAACGATAAGATATTTGAGGTATGGTTGAGTCTTTAGCGCTTTTTCTTTGTTCTCAGCTTGAAAGCCATTGCTTATGAAGCATGTGGCAAAATACTGCAGTTAGTGCTTAATTCTATTCTCCATGTCTAGGGCATTGCTGCAAGACTTAAAGCTATTGCCAATACTGCAAGTTCATTGCTCGACTTCTACCACTCAATCGGAAGCTTGGTACTTATTAAGGTAAATTATTGAACAACTACCTCTTGGCTGCACTGTCCAACTCAGGTTTTATTTTCTTTTTGGTTTGAAATCTTAAGTTTGGCTGAAGATTCAACATATAGCAGTGGCGATTAAGAAAAAAATTCAACCCTGTGCAGGGCAAATATGATATTTTTAATAGTGTCACTATTTTAATTGTTACAACTGTTGTGCAAGGGTCTCATTTTTGTGTTTCTTAGAGGGCTTATATCTTTGAATTATTAATTCTTTCCTAATTCTGTTTTTTCTTTTTTCTCACTTTAGGATCAAAGTTCTGAAGTTGATGTACTTCTTGCTGATGCTGTTGGAATTTTCCATTCTATCAAGGTTGGTTCCAGCAGCCACTAATGGTATTTCTTAGTTGAAAAAGGTTCAGTTTTGACTATCTCCAGGTCCCGGCAGAACTTGCTATGTCAGATAAGGCTTAGCATCTGGTGGCACTTATTTTTTCTTGTAATGTTGATGCGGAATTCTGACTCCGAACTCTCAATTATTTTCTCTTGCTTTGCAATTTTTTTCTTCTTCATCCTTTTGGATGTCTCTAGCAAGAAAAATTGCTTTGTTGAATGTCTGAATAATGGTGAAATATTATTGCAGTCTCTGAGCCAGAGTGATGGAAGGTGGCGTTTTAGTTCTGATAATCCCGAGTCTAGTACCTATGCTGCTGGTAATGAGTTTCTATGAATCATTTGAAAGTTATGCTGTTTCTTTTCTCATGGCTGATTTTTTCTTATTAAGTGGTAATTATTGGATAAAAGAAGTGTGGTTTCCCACTGCACACCTAAATTCCTTCCCTCCCATGAGTTGAATCTGAGATTTTTATTCAACTAGAGAGGGATTAGTAGCACTTGGTTACAATGACTAATATTTGTTTTACCATCAAATTTAAATCTTTGCTAAACATGGTATTAATTATTAGTAGGTATGTGGCTTATATTCACTACTTGAGCTTGGCATCCTTCTTGCAGGATTAGCACTTGAAGCGCTTTCGGGGGTTGTCTCATTAGCATCTTCCGAAATTGATCAGTCCAAGGTACATTCGTTAGCTTGCTTAAATAAGCACCAAACATAAGCTTCATATGTTGTTAAATCTAAAATTGAACTTGTTTGGGCCATTCAGAAAGTTCCATACCGATTCGCACGCTGAATTATGAGATTTTGGTCCTAATTGGGATACTTCACACACTGACCAAATCATTACCAATATCTGTGGACCTATTTTTCCATTCTATTTAGCTTTTATTTTTACTTTTTACATAGCTGCGTAGTAAGGCTCTATAGATCTTATTAGTATACTGTAATTCTTCTCTGTTACTGTACACACACACACACATATATATATATATATTTGTGTTCCCTGTTTTTGTAATATTGTTGTTTCAACTTCATTTTGTTAATATTTGATAATGTTGTCTTTGGGCAGATCGGTACATTGAAAAGTGATATTTTGAAGCTTTTTGACAGTGTTGAGAAATATGGTATGTGGTTTTTTTCCCAACATTAGATGTCTTCTTATATGCTTCTTTCCCTTTTTAATATATTTTTCATCTATTGCTTTATAAGTTGTAAATAGTTTTCAGACCCACATATGTAATCTAAATTTGCATAATATTTTGCAATCCATGGTTCATGACCTTCTTATTTGAAGTTTTAAATCAACGCATTTTACCAGGGCTGTGGTGCAAAAACGTTGGTGATGATGGGTCATAATTTGGGTCAAGTGGCTTTAATAGCATCTCTTGTCGGGATGGGATCATGGAACTTTATGTTTTTGTAGTATACCCAAGCAAGTTTGGCATGATAAGGATGGGTTTGTTAGCCTGCGTGCATTTTGATGTGTATGTGTGTTTGTGCATTTCTGTGAAACACGATTTGTCGTTGAAGTTTGAATGCACAACACAACCTTGCCTAAGTTTAAAACATGTTGATTAATATTCTTCCGGCCCTGCTTTCAGTTTGGTTTTGTCATTTCATTTTCTGGTTAGCTGTTATTTTAATAAAATATATAACTACATTCTCTAGATGATGGGGCCATGTACTTTGATGAAAAAGTTGTTGATCTGCGTGAGCGTCAGAGTCCTCTTTCAACTACTGCGTCAGTTGTTCGAGGACTGACAGCATTTGCAGCTGTGACATCTGGAAACATAAAGGTGACTGGAAGCATACTCAATGTTGCGTTCTTTCCGGCTCTTATGTTACAAATGCATTTTCTTTTGGGAGGGGGGGTGGTGGGCGGTTGGAATGCATACTAATGCTTTAGATTTGAGTTTGCAGGTTCCAGGGGACAAAATATTGGGTCTGGCAAAATTCTTCCTTGGAATTGGCATTCCCGGCAAAGCTAAAGACTTCTTCAACCAAGTGGACTCATTAGCTTCTTTGGAAAGCAATAAGTAAGTTCTATTTCTTCTTCTTTGATTGAATTACATCTCCAATTATTTTGCATTTTGTTACTGTGTACTGCAGCTTTTTAAATTCTACTTTTAATTTATTGTCTACTAAATTTTGGTTGTTACTTTTCTGGTGCAGGGTTGCAATCCCACTGATTTTATCACTTCCAGCTACAGTGCTTTCATTGACCAAAAAAGACCAGCTCCAGGTTTGTCAATTAATCAACACAGTATTTCTTATTTGTAGATGAGTGTTGAATCATCAATTATTCCTCTTTTCTTTTCCTTCTTGTTGTGAGGTAGATATTTGAATTGAGCAAAAGTTGTATTATTTTCTAACTTTATGCATAGCTATGTCTATATATATTAAGTCTTGTGAAATCTGCACTGTTTTCTTTTTCCTCAAGCTGACTATCTTTGTTTTCTTTTTAAAACGCCAAGCTCCTCAGTTATGATTGTATTATTTTCTAACATTTTGATCTGCATATATTCAGTATTGCATCAACCTGCTGTGGATTAATTATTTTATTGAGGAAAATATAGAGTTAACAAGTAATGTTGTTTATGCCAAATTGCATACTTTGGTTAATTTAAGTGTGTTGGTTTGTACTTTCGAAATTTTAATCAGGTTAAAGTGAATACTGTGCTTGGTTCAAGTGCACCTCCTCTGACAGTTAAGTTGGTGCGAGCATTGAGTTCTGGTTCGAAAGTTGCTTCCACAATTGAAAGCCAGGTAATAACTTTTTTTTCTTGTTGTATCTAGTTTATCTGCAGCTCAATAGTCACAGATATCCTTCCTCTGAAAAGATTAGTTTTATTTATCCTCTTCTGACAAATTGATTGCATGAATGGCCTCTGGTTCAATGCCTTATAATGTGTGTGATGTAGGAACTCAAGTTTGACAAAGAAAGTGAATCCCATTTCTTGGATGTGCCAAAAAGTGTCGATGTTGGAAATTACATATTTGTCTTTGAGGTACTCTTAATTTCTTTGGTTAATTTTACATTTAGACTAGCTTCCATTTGGCTCTCAATTTGTAATGAGTTAACAAAACTTTTTGTAGGTTGTTCTGCATGATTCTGAAGATGAAAAGGTTTATGCAACTGGAGGCTCTACTCAAGTGCAGATATTTGTCACAGGAGTTATCAAAATTGAAAATGCAGAGATTGTTGTACTGGATAGTGATGTCGGGAGCATAGAAACCCAGAAAAAGTACGTGCTTGAAATTTTTTATGGTTCATGTTTCCAGCTTTAGTTTATGTTCTTCCTTTGGAAGTTGGATGCTTGTAATCACAAACTCGTGTTTCACAATTGTTACATGTCCACAATTGTGCCTATTCCATTCTAACACGTTCTAAAGCATATAAATCTTTTGTTACTTCTACATCATTCATTTTACCAGACTAGATTTAGCTGGAGAAAATTCACTTGCACTATCGGCAAACCACCTCCAAAAGCTGCGCCTATCCTTTCAATTGACCACTCCTTTTGGAAATGCTTTTAAGCCACATCAGGTTTGTAGTTCTCCATGCCTGCTGAGTTAACTTCTCTCTGTTCAGTTCATTTAGAAGTTTGTGGGGCTGCAGGTATTTTTGAAGTTGAGACATGAGACCAAGGTTGAGCATATCTTTGTGGTGGGGAACTCTGGCAAAAAGTTTGAGATAATACTGGTAAGTGCTCCCTTGGAAACCTAGAATTTTAATTCACCTATTTAGCTGATACTCCTCATAAGCCCATGATTAATGTCTGAATACTTGAATAAAATGAATACTCAGTTTTCACCATCTTGGATGGATTACCCATTTTAATTCCTTTGTTTTGCTAATTTTTGGTATTTTGTTTTTCAGGATTTTCTTGGATTGGTTGAGAAGTTTTACTATCTTTCAGGTAGTTATGACATTCAATTAACTGTTGGTGACGCTGTAATGGTAAGCATTACTTTAGCTCAGATTTTTCAAAATGTATATAATTTCTACCCTCTGATTATCTGAGGAATTTTTGTCTTCTCTTCCAGGAAAACTCTTTCTTCCGGGCTATTGGCCACATTGATTTGGATCTACCAGAAGCACCTGAAAAGGCATCCCGCCCTCCTACGCCGGCCATTGATCCTTACTCAAAATATGGCCCCAAAGCAGAGATAAGCCATATCTTTAGGGTTCCAGAAAAGCGTCCTTCTCAAGAGCTCTCTCTTATTTTCTTGGGTCTTGTGTTTTTGCCACTGATTGGATTTTTGGTTGGGGTGAGTATTTAGCGAATCCATATTACATTGTCATTTGGCTTAGAAATTTTTGACATTTTATGCTCTGATATCTCCCTTGGAAAATCCAAAGAGTTTAACTAGATTGTGCTGTTTATAAACAGACATTCTCTAGTGTACAAAAAGACCAAAAGAGATATGGGGGGATGTCAACATTTTAAAATGTTTGCCTATTTTGTACTTTGATAGTGGAAAATCTTTGTTAACCTTATTTTATGTTAAACAGCTATTACGCTTAGGGGTGAATCTGAAGAACTTCCCTACTTCAGCAATACCAGCCACCTTTGGTATCCTATTCCATGTCGGCATTGCAGCAGTTCTTTTGCTCTATGTGCTTTTCTGGTTGAAGGTATGCCGTTGATTTGTCTTTACTGTAACTTTTCGGAAGGTTCCTGTCTACATCACATTCCCAATGATCTGGACAATCCCATTTTTACGCATTACAGGGTCACCTGTTCTAGAACGGGAAAATTACATTAGCATATATAGTATTTACAATAGTGAGATTTCGAAGTAATTATGTTATACACTTGCTGAAGAAGATTTTGGCTTTTCAATGCATTTTAAAGTAAATAGTATTTTTTTTACTTGCACATTGATTAAGCTTTTCAAACGGCTGGTCTGCTTACTAGTTTGTTCCCATGTACAGCTGGATCTATTTACGACACTGAAATGGGTTGGACTGTTGGGAGTTTTCTTGCTGTTTGTGGGACACAGGATTCTTTCCCATCAGGCCTCTACATCAGCCAAGTTGAAATCTGCTTGAAAGAAGACCGAAAAAACTTGAAGAAATCTCCCGTTTAGAGAAATCAAAAGGATGTTGGGCCTGAAAAGAGATACCAGAAAGATGAGGAGATTTTCCTTTGGAGAGAGAAACAGAGGGTGGCACATTTTAGAACAATTTTGTAGGACTCCTTGTTATGTTATACCTGTACCTCTTACTTTAGAATTTTTATTACCCATAACATAAAGTCATATATTTATTGCAAAATGAAGAAGTACCCACGTGCTTGGTATAACTTTGACATATCAAAGGTTCATGGCTTGCAAGGAAAGGAACTGTGTCAAGTTACATCTCATTTAATTATCATTTTTCTTTATCTTTTTTTTTTGTCTGAATTATCATTTTTCTTTTGCAGTCTCCTTTTATAATCTGCCTATAAAATAGGGATAAATTGGCTAAATCTTAACGGGTATGATTTATTCTGCCGGACTTGAGATCCGGCTTGATGAAAAGATTTGGTTTAGTTCTCTAATTACGTTCAAGTTAATCAACATGTTGATCCAATGGCGTAAATTGACCACATTCTGAGAATTTGGATTCACAAAAACCTGTTGATAGCATTATTATTGGCCTCTACATTTCTCCAATTAATGGCAGAAAGTGTATCTTACAATTTCCCAATGAATTATAAAATAGAATGAAAAACATATCGGTGACCTTTCTGTGTGCCAATTAGAGGAACAAAGAAAATTGTAAAAAAATAAAAACAGATCGAGCAAATGCAACAAAATTATAAATAAAACCAGCACCACCGAGGGCCAGTGAAATGCCGGGATCATATCGTCCTCAGGCTATTCTACATTCCTAAAGCTCTCGCTTGTACGCCAAATCTTTTTCTGGACGATAAACACTACGTCATCATCTTGTTCAGAGCCTCCCTCGGCATCAGCAGTGGCCACTGCTTCCCAGTGTAATGCCTTCATATATTTGTTTATGAACTCCACCACCTTCCGCTTGTCACGGAAAATAACAAAACCTTTGGGCCGGAGGATGCGATCCATCTCAATCAACAAATCTATGCCACTGCATCCTTTCCTTTCAATATCAGCGAAGACAGTCCATGCATGAAGCAGATCATAGGTTCGTGGGTAGGTTGAGAAAGCTTCACACCTGCCACAAGTTTGCAACCAATGAAGATATATCAATTTTTTTATGCAATGCTACAATTTCAAAGAAAGTTGATATAATGTCTATACGTAGTAAGCCTGAGAACATCTCTAAAAACATTTAAGGTAAAGAAAAAAAACTGTATGTGGCAGCAATGGCAGCATAACTATATAGGTGGGAATTTCTGCAATACCTTCGAAACACCAACGGCCACCAATGGTTTAAAAATCAAATATGTTTCTGATCAAACTTTTCATTAACTTATCAAAATTGTTAAACGTACCAACTGTGTACTGTGCCTATCAGCCCTCTGTCATATATTATTTTAAGTGTGTTGGGTCCGTCTTCTGGCACCACATTCATAACCCAAACATCTTTGTTCTTCAAAGCAGCTGCAAATGAACCCAAGTTTGCCTTCATGTCCATCACATTCCTCAGTGTGTCAGAATTGATCTTTGGGCTCAAAAGATTCCAGTAACTGTCAACTCTTTGCTGCCAAACTTCCTGCATCACATCAATCCTGTTATATACCAAGTATTTGTATGTCTGTATTTTTGCAAACTCAGATATTACCCAGGCAGAGCAGACATGAGCTATGCACAGAAAAAAACAAAAAACAAAAATTGTGAAGATTACCATGTCCTTTTCAAATATATCATTAGAATAGCTGAAATCACCAAGACGGGGAGGTGGTGAAGTCAATCGAGCAGGCCAAGGAGCCAAACCACTTCCTCTTGCTCTATGGTTTTCTGAAAAGAAAACACCAGCAAAATATATTTCAACTAAAACTGACGTTATTACCACAGATGATAATGCAACACAACAAGAGGACGAATATTAAAGTAAAAGCCAGTAGTGCTTGAATATTAAAGATATCTTTCTCTTGCCAAAATAGCCATACACAGAAAAGCTCTTGGTGCATGAAACATGATACTGTCTTTAGTAAAACACTTTTATTTGACATTATAACAGTCCGAAATCTTATGAGAGATGAGTGTTGGGTTGAGGGGAGTTGGGTTATGGTGCTTTCAAGTTGAAGACTGGCTAAAATGATACAATTTTTTAAAGAAAAAACATGATAAAAAAAAACCGACTATTCAGTCAGTTCAAAAGTTCAACTTTATTTACTGTACTTTATACTGAAAAAAAAAAAAAAAAAAAAAAAAAAAAAAAAAAAAAAAAAATCGATAATTATAAAAAATCACACAAACACATGCTGCAAACTGCAATAAATCATCATCTACAGTTCCAGGTGAGTCCGTTTTCTAAATTAGTAGTTCTCAAATTCAATTAACTAACATGTGATTGACTTGAAGAAAGTTCTGGCATGTTGCTTTGAGATTCCCCAAAACCACTAACAAAGCACAGAGATTATGGCAATAATTTAGAAAATGGAAGAAATAGTACTCACGGTCAGAGTATGGTGTGATACAAGCCTCCATTTTCACATTCCAGACAGCATCTGGATCATCATCTGATCTGCAGAGGGGTGGTCGAGTACCAGGCGCTCTTTCCATGTAACAGTCATTAGTCAATGGCTTGACCCAAATAACAGTTTGGTTCCTTTTAGCAGCTATTTTCCAACACATCCGTTCCACAAGCTCACTCATCGCTTTCCATATTCTCAGGTCCTCTTCATCCTGTGCATAGGCTTCAGGAGACGAGTAGGCAAAATAACCTCCTGGTCTCAGTACCCTATCCAACTCAAGGAGAAGTATCCCATCCCTTTGAAGCCAATCAATCCTACAGCGAGAACAATGTGCCAGTTCAAAAGATCTACTAGGATAAGGGAGTCTCTTGGTCCCCAAAACACCAAGGTATGCAGGAATCCCTCTCTCTAATGCAAACTGGATTTGATTTTGATGAACATCATTAGGTGCCAAGGACATTGCAATAATATCTGAAGAAAGCAGGTATCCTCCGAAACTAGCAACACCACAGCCAACATCAAGGACTGTCCTGACCTTTCCTCCATTATTTAAAATGTTCTTAGGAAAGTTGAGCATCTGCCAATCCAAACCAAAAGTAATCATTTTTTTATCATGAAAGAAAAAATTATAAACCTACACAATCACTAATGACTAGTTACTTTTTCCCCCAGTATGAAGGGCCACTGACTTACATTAGCCATTGATGCAATGTACTTGTCAGCTCCATAATGGAAGTGAGTACCTCCTCCAGGAAATCCAATCTTTTCACCTTTGACAACCATCCACTTTTGGTCAGACTTCTCAGTTGCAAGATGCGTGTGAGGTATATTTGCTTTCCACACCTCGTCTCTGCTTTTAGGCCACTTGATTGGGATCTATTTCCATAAAAACAGATGAACAAATTCAGACTATAATTCAAGTCAAAGTTAAGGTACAAAGTTTCCTCACTCAAAATTCCATTCGATATAAAGACTGAAGCAGGACCTCACCTTATATCCAGGTGGAGGTGGAATCAAACAATTATATCGCCTTTCAGGCAGTGGGCAGTGTCTCTCGTAATGCTCCATCACAGACAGATCCAACTTCAATCTTGTTTCGTAAATAAGGTTTCTGTCTAAGCAAGGAATGAGTTCTGAATGTCTATCATCACAAACCTGCAACATAAAAAACAGTCAGATTAAGACTTGGATTAGTTTAATATGTACATACATATATAAGAGAACTCAGACAAATTATTCATTAGTATAAAGTGAAATGACAGAGGAAAAGTCAGCCAGGACAACTGACCGGTATGCTCTTCAATATAATACCATCCTCTTCATCTTCACCAAGTCTGGAAGGTGACTCCTCAACATCTTCATCCACGCCCAAGTAAGTAGAGCCGAATTTTCTTATTTTACTGCCATACTCCAGCGCAGAGGAACCATTTCTTTTAGAATACAAATACAGGAGACCACAAATGGCCACCAAAACTAGAACTGAGGTGACCAAACGTTTCTTTGGGCTCCCATCAGATCTTCCCCGCGACATTGTTGTAACCAATAGACAATTACCCCTCTACTTTGACTTCAACATGCAGAGTTCAAAATCAAGCTACAAGATGCCAGGTCCAGTTTCACTGCAAAGGGATGATCAGCCAACGTACTTTAGATGCAGCTTCAATCACAAAAAGAAAGCTTCAACTTGTTAGTTCCAACTTAATGAACTAGGTACCCCTTAGATTACAGATGCAATGCCGGAACAGAAAGAAAATTATCCACGATGCAGCAATAATTCAAACCTCTAAACATTAACAAATAAGATTAAGACCATTCGATTCATCACTTCAAGTAAACCCCACAGAAGTTCTATTTGGCTTTACTTTATTTTCCTTATAGGAAGAAAGACAACCCTATAACTCAATTTAGTAAAACCGCAAGATTTGCAACAAAGAATCTATCATATTATAGGAAAAGGAAAAGGGTATTAACTGGTAATCTAATATATTCTTTATTTCATTAATAAAAAAGAAAACCAGAAAATAACAATTAAAAGGTAGTGGTTGATACTCACAATCCGGCACCAGCTAAAAACCAAGTGAAACAAGTACAATAACAACTAAAACTCAATCACAGCACACTAGAATGAATTCAAATCTGACCCAGTTCATTCAAAGAGGAACAAATCTGGAAAAAGTACCGGTACCTGATTTGCATACATAGAATAAATGTCTGAAATATAAATGGTATATAAACCAATGGCACCAAACAAAGCATAAGAGTGGAGAAGGAGGAGGGTAAAAGCGGGAAAATAAAAATGTAAACATTATCATAGGCTAAAGCACACCGACAGTTGACAGTTGCCAGCTATAAATGTGACACCTTGAACTTCAACAAACAAGAATTGACAGAGATTGATAAGACCCAGCTCGTGAAATCACAGAAAGGGTCGGCAATATTAACTCACACAGCTGAAAATGGTCGATTTGAATCTTATGCCGACATGAGAATTCTCACACATATAAGGAAAGATGGAGTTTTGGGCACACCAAAATCAGATCTTTATTCAAGAAACACAAACAGAACGAAAGTTGAAGATAAATAAAATTGGACAAAACAAAGACTCAAAATTTTCAATATGGGCATTGCAGAAACAGAGCAAGTAAGTGAGATTGCACACTGTTAATGGATCTGAAGCGTACATGGGGCTCAATGTTCAATGAGGATTGTACAAAGGACGTACCTGCTTCAAAGATTGGGCTCACAGAGAGAGAGAGAGAGAGAGAATCTGAGATTGAGAGATGGGTCCTTACTGCTTATGAGTGAGCAGCATAAAATACGGATATAAAGAATATTAATAACAATATGGGATTGAGAATTTGACTGGGAGCGAGATCTATTCGAGTAATAAAAAAAGAGTGAGATCTAAAGACACTAACAGAGAAGAGAGAGAGAGAGATCAGGGAAGAGAGAGAACGCGGGTGACACGGTGACGGTGTGTAGAACACGACAGATACAGGGTTGTCGTTTGGAGGCGACGAGTAAGAGTGAAATTGCATACGCGCTTTCCACACCTCAAACGGGAAATTTTGGCTCATGAAAATGAAAGGCTTTGCCTTTTTAACTTTTTTATTGGAATAAATCATGATGGCAAGTGCAAGTGGCAGCTCTGGCCAAGATGAAGATGGCAAGAAGAGCCCACAATCTTAATAGAGAGGTTGATATTCCATTACCATGAAGTGGGTGGCAATTTCCCAAAAAAAATTAAAGTAGGTAAGGTGATTTTAATATACCAACAAAAATTCAGTGGGCAAGCCTTCACCAAACCCTTCTTATTTCATAATCATATCATATATGACAAGATTATGAAATTAGGTTTTGGCACTTCTTCACTTTATCTTAATACCACCACTTGACAATTGAGTAATTTGATGTTTTTGTGTCAATGCATTGAATTGATTTTTTTTTTTTTTTTTTTTTTTTTTTTTTTTTTTGTATAATCGTAATCGTCGTTTTAAATTGTCGATCTCAACTGTTTAGATTTGAGTTTATATATTATTGTTTTCACTATTTTTTGACATATCTCAGTTGAAGTTCATGACATTCTGGCTATAATGCAAATGGCATGCAGTGGGCCCTAGAGGACCAAAAACGAATATAACGAAAACCACTTTATGTGGATTTTTGGTTCAATTATGGATCATCTTTTATAAAATCATTTTCAATAAAGCCTTTCCCATTCAAACGGGATGTCGTTTTTGGTCAATTAAACAGTTACTTGTCGCGCGGTGGTGAAAACGGTCAAAAACCAAACTTCACGAGCTCCTTCAACCGACAACTGCAAAGCTTCTAACTTTACGCAACCCCCCAACCAGAATCAGACAATTCATTTTAGGGTTTTTATACTTTACCTAAAATCCCAAATCGAATTTCATCTCCCACCCATTAACCATGGCCAATAATATTTCAGAATCTTTGAAAGGTAAAAAGCGCGCGCGAGAGACAGATACCGAAGCCGAAGCCAGCGATTTCGATCAGATTTTATCGCTAGGTATATTCTCACTATTTCCACTATAAAGAATTTAAAATTTTTATATGCTTAACACTTAATTGATCAGTTTTCAGTGATTGAAGATTATGAAAATAACTTCTTTGTATTTGGTTAGTAAATAGTAATCAGAAAGTTAATATCTTTTGGCAAATGCAGAGGAAAATCTTACATTTAGTGACACATTGGTGGCGCTTCGCATAATGAGAGCTCAGTTTCCACAGAGTGACAAGGTTAGGATTTTAAAGTTTTAATTTTGGTGTGATTGTTTTAGCTATCTTTCTACTTTGCTCTAAGCTGAATCACAAGCAGCTCAGCTCATTGAATAGTTGTGCATTGTGGTATCTTTATCTTTTTGTGGTGTCCCAAGTATTCATACTACTCAAAGTAGTGGTTAATCAGTTGTATTAGTTGTGGTCCTTTTAATTTTTGTTTTTCTGAATATGGTTATTTGACTGATGCCTTCTTTTCAGGTAGCAGTTCAGCCTTTCATTTTGCGATCACAGTTGTATAGCAGTGTAGAGGATAGAACCCAAGTGGATAGGGATCTAGAGGTATGTGAAACTTGAAAGAACATAACAGAAATTTGTTTGAGTGCATTTTTTATCAGTTTATACGAGAGTAATAATGGTGTTGTGAATCCTTTTTGCTTAAGATTTGAATCAATCATCTCAGTTACTGATCATAAGATACAGAACTATTTCTGAGACTTGTGCAAATTTTGTATACTCAAGAAATTACATGATTCCCAAGTTCAAATTAGAGACCTTTGTTTCTTTGGAGCCACTGTGGGATTTGATTCCAGGTGCTTGGGACAATGTCGCTTTACCAACTAAGCTAGATGGCACCTCGTCTTCAGGAATCTCATGTGATTGACCTAGGCTACCTTTTTTTTTCTCTGTGCAGAATCTAAGAAGGGAGAAAGTGCTGCGCATTTTCAAGTTAAATACTGGGCAAGATGATCATGCAATAATGTTTTTTGATGACTATCTATGCCAGGTTTGCTTACATAGTTTTCTCGATGTTTTTGGTGTGTGTTTCATCTAATTTTGATCCTTATCAAAACCTTGTAATACAGTGCATTGATGAACGTTTTTTGCTGTCTGTATACATGTGTGTAGATGGAACGAGTTGTGAAAAGATTGGAAGAAAAGAAGGACAGTGATATTCTTGAAGTTTTTAAGTGGTTTAAATCACACGTCCTTGATAACAAGCTCGAACCTAGTATTGAACATCAAGAACTTGTGAGTGATTGGAATATCAGTCTACTTGGAATGTTTATTTACTTTTCTACTCTCTTTATTACATTTTCTACCCATCAAAAAGTGCTGTATATATCTACTTGGAGATGAAGGGTTTAAGGCAGTTTAATGTTTTAATGGAATAATGCTTGAACAAGTCACTCTGTAGATACTATGCAATTGCAGTCTGACTGAAAAATGTTTTGCCACAGTGTACACTATTAGCTCTTGGAGGAAAGGTGAAGGATGAACACATCTCCCTTTTAATCAATTCTGGCCTCCTTGTAAGTGAAGTTACTCCTTAATCTATTATGTTGCTGCTGTTTGAATTTCATGATTCATTATGGTGCATTTGGTGCCTATGTTGTTTTGTCTGCAGTGTTGGAAACTAACACCAGTACTGAATTGGTTTTAGAAGATTCTTCTCTTTTATCTGTTCTTAAAGAATGAAATAACATACTTTATGACAGTTAAACTAGTAAAATAGCTTAAACTAAACAGTATTTGATTTATATATTTTCCCCTTAAGATTCCTTTCACAAACTCTTTTTCTTAATAGGGACTGTTTCCCCTTATTTCTGTTTGTTGGGTTTCTTTTGAAATTTTTTTATGGTGTCCAGCTTTCTAACTATGGCATCTACTTCTAGACTCGGCAACTTATTGACTCAAACATTTATTGGTTCGCAATTCCAAATATCGGTTCAGTACTTAAAGGCCTCTCTCAGGTAATGATCAGTTTGTCACAATATATTTTTAAACCAAATTCACATGGAATTCCTTATGCACCCTTTTTCATTCTATACCTTATGTAAATAGGGTTTCATCAGACTGGAAGTTTTCACCTTTGATACGGGGTCAACTTTGTAAACTCTTATGCTCCTAGATTAGAGACATAGCTTTTGGCATTCAACACAACATGAGTGTGGGATGTTAGCTTTGTGATTTTGAAATCCTGCAATTATATGTGTGTGTGTGTATATATATATATTTGCAAGTCTTGAACAATTAAATTGTCTAAATTTAGAATAATTGTTTCTTCTTTGTTCAGGGAAGAAAGGAAGTTCTTTCTCTTCTAAACCGCAGGAGATACAAAGAAATGATGCTAGCACCTCTAGAGAAGAAGCTTCTTCGATATTCCCCACTTGATATGAGATTTCATCTTCGTGATCTGATAGGCTCAGGTCATCTCAAAACTGCCAAGACACCAACAGGCTTAGTTGTTCGAGTCTCAAAAGATTGAAACCGGGAAGAGTATTTGCTCCCCATTGATTGATGGAAAGATTGCATTTCTTCTCTTGGCTGTCAAAATAGGTACACTGACTTATGCTTTGAGGTCATCATTGCCTTATTACGCTACATATAAATTCTCCTCGATACATGACCAGAACTTTGCAGGCTGTCCAAAGTGGACAAGCAAAGATATCATATCAGCAAACCGGCCCAACCCAAAGCCTAAGCAGAATGGATAAAACATAACGTATCTTCTCAGCTAGGTCTTGTATAATTCATTTTTATCTACTGTTTGGCATCCATATGAATTCATTCTTAATTCAATTCTTCTGATTGGATTATCCACTTATTTATTTTTAATACGTTGTACTTGCTCAGCTTGGTTTGACATCTTCACCATTGGACTCGTGTAAACTCGGTATGATAATGCATTACATATCATTAGGTGCTCCTTTTTCTACACATCTTCAGCCTGGTTTTATCCCATACTACTAATAATTCTGTTATATCAAAGCTTTGGAGCTAAATCTTCACCAAGCCATAACCTCTTCTAATTTATTTCTACCTGATTTTCTTTTGGGATAGGACTATGTGGGTCAGAAGACTTGTTTTAGGAAACAGGCTTTGTCAAATGATTGCTAATTTGGAACAGTTAGGTGTCTTTTGTACTTATTAACGACATATGTTTGGTGGTCAGACATAAATGATTCATGGAAACAGAAAAAACCAAGTTAGCATTTTAGTTGGTTCTTGCTTACTTGGAGAGCATTTTCGTGCTTTTGTTGGTTAAAGCAAATGTTTGTGTCCTGATTTTGACATAAAATGAACAAGCTACAATTAACTAATCCTTTCTCGTATGTTAACATTTGTTGCTATTCTTGATGTGTGGAGAGGGTCAATTCCCTAATCTTGGTCGTTAATTGTGCTTAACACTTGAAATACACGTGCTAACTCGCTATACCGTGCCTGTTCCAATGGATTCCACTCAAAATCCCCATGCTAGTTGAAGCAAAAAAAATTAGATACACGGGACGTACTACGTTGGATGCTAATAAAATTATGGAATAACTTCTAAAGTAGGATCAATCTTCATGACCCACACAAGAACAATAAGCGGTAGCATAATTTTCCATGGACGATTGTGTGGAGAGGATTAATTTTCTTGCTTGGGTCAAGTTTAGCCTCTCCTACTCTAACTCCCAAAAGAATAAAATTGTTTAGATTCTTCTGTTCATGTATTGCTTTTAGCACTGAGAAAACAAATTGGGTAAGAATTGTCAAATTGAGATTATTTGTGGAGGGTTGCAATGTTTAATTAATTAAGTAAATTGCAGTCACGAGCAGAATTTTGGTTTTCTTGCTGCTAGGCATTTCTGTCTTTGTCAATACTCGGTTTGTAACAATTATGTTTGGATTTTGGGCCATTAATTTGGACCTAATCTGCCAGAACTGATGACATGGGGAAGTTCTTTTGGAGAGATTTGGTGGTAATCTTGGACACCACTCTATCATTGTCTTCCTGTCATCTTATTTGTTCCCTTCTGTTATGAAACTAACGTCCAAGTTGAATTGCTTTGGACCACGGGTCCAAAAATCATTTACTTTTTCTCCTTGTCGACATGAGAGAGAGAAACTCTTAACTGTGGTTACGAAAGATAAGCGCTTTACCACTAGAGCGGACAAGAAAGCTCGTAGAATGACACGTAGCGGAATGAATTATTTGAATAAACAGGTCTAGCCAAGGGAATATACCATTTTAAAGGATCGAGCAAATCATTTCAGAACCTTCCCAGTTAACAATTTCAGGGTCTTCAATTTGGAGTTGGGAAATTATTTAATCTGGCAAGCTTCCTCCTGGCGGCGTGTCTATAGTTCATACGCGCACCCACGATTAATCTGCTAATTAGTTTTTTCAACTGCAAAACCAGTCACACAAGTAAACTAATAACGTCTGTTTTATTAATCAGATTATCTAATCCGATACTTTATCTTAAAATATATATATATATTTAAATGTCTTTGCTGAGATTAAATTTTTTATTTTGGGTAGAAATAATTGTTTTGGAGATTCCAGTGCATGCATTATATGTCTGTACTGTAGTAGTCTGTATCAAGGTAGGTTTGGAAACCTAGTTTGATTGAGATATTTTGGTAGATTTAGAAATAAGTCCAAAAGTGATTATATACACTGCTCCAAGAAAAAAACTAATGGTTGTGTTGGTCAACACGAATTTGACCAAAAACCAATGGGAAGAGAATATATGCACTTACGTGGTTAAAATCTTGATTTGCATTAATTGGTAGGCAGACACTTTTGGACTCGGTTATATATACAGATTAGATATAAACCTTTTCGTGAAAGTTAAGTATTACTAATAATTTACTTAGTTAATCCCTTAGGCAGATAACCAACATTGTTTAGGCTTTGTTTTAGAATGCTTAATTACCTTCTATTATTTTTGTTAATTACGTTCATCATTTCCTTGATCATGATGGAAACCCAAACACGTTTTCAACATTGTCTTCTTCAACATTGTCTTGACATGTAGGGCTACATTTCACTTTAATCTTGGTCCTCTCATTTATTTTATTTTATTTTATTTTATTTTATTTATTCTATCCTTTGATGCTCTCTGCCTCCCATTGAATTAATTATGTAGCTAATTCCCCTCACCAATTTTTATTTTTTTTTAATTTTAAAAAACCATTAATTATACCAGTAAACTGAAAATTGAAAATTGGTGTTACCAAAAATTACAGAGGCAAACTGATGCGAAGGGACTATGCTAAATATAGAGATGATACATACAGTTGGAGTTTATACGTATGTACTTTTAAGTGTATATCGAGCCAAGCAAAATGCAACATGCATGTGACATCTGGATTTTGTTATGCTGTCACTATTTTAGCAAAGGAACTTGTATCGAAACGGGATAGCACTGTTTTGCTATTTTTAACTAATTACAGACTATCACATGAAAAAATTATCACATCTGTCATGTCGAGATTGGCCCGAAATAGAAAAAATTATCACCTAATATTAACCCAAGAAAATACATGTATATAGCATTGATATGACACAACACTCTCTGTATATCTTTCCATGAAAAATCGCTTGGGCAATAATTGAGTCTAGCTAGCAAAGAGACGCCTGGAAGTTAGCTTATAAGTACCTTTTAGAGATATTTAGTCACATACTTATTTTTAGCACTAATAATATAGATAAATTCTACACCATTTAATTTCTATAAACAAACTCAAAATTCTTTTTGGGGTTAAGTCTGTTTTAAGAAATCAATGGCAGTTTTGTAATTTAAAAGAAGTTAAAAGTTTTTTTGTTATGTTGTAAATGGGCTTTGTTTGTGTTCCTAAAGTCTATTTTATATAGGGTTTTTTTTATTATAAATAATTTTGGCTTCTATATTGGTATAATAGTGAATCTCCCTACTTTGTATTCCCTTGATCAATTCTTTTTCGCTTTTCAGGTTTTTCATTTGAAAAAAAGACCAAGCTGTTGCACTTATATAAAGCTGGAGAGATTTTTCTATGACCCGATATAAAACGTGTACAATCGCTAATACTAGTCCTAAATTCTACCGAGACATTATAATAATTTGAGTGAATTCGTAACGTTACATTAGTATGTATACGTTATATACAACTGGCTTAAAATAGAAAGTTTCCGTTTTCAACGTTTAATATATGAAACTAAAGAAATCCCTAACACGACAATAATGAATAGTAGATTTATTATTATACCATCATCAGTTGGCATGAAGTCGAATATACCATCCAATCTCCAAAAAAGACGATCAGTTTGGAATCCAAAGCGCATATAGCTAAACCAGACACCTTGAAGTTCATGTTGTTACTTTCACGTACTAGATTGGATTTGATAGCGATGCAAGTATACTCTGGCTCAGTTATCTATCCATACATATATGCAGACCAAGTGCCCACCACAAAAACTGGCTTTGGAATCATTCTGAGCAAATTATTGATTGGATTTAATCAAAGCCACAGCCATGGCTATAGCAAGGCATGAGAAGGCATATATGATATGTGGCTTCCCAGCAAACGTGCCATCTCCAAAATCCAATCAAAACTGCGAGAGTCTGTCTGGTTAATCATGCGATCCAACAGTACGATTGGCATGCAGTGCAGCTCTAGAACTTGAAGGCATACAAATCATTAATTATTTGCTAATGATGGGGACGAGACGAGGGTGTAGCCCACCAAACGTATATATAGAATCTCAGAATATTGATAGATAAATATATGGACATGATTGAAAATTAATATATATTTATCGTAGTACGGCCAAGTAGTATAACTTGTACACTTGTTATAATATAAGTGGATATTTATTGAAATATCAACCTAGTCGTCCACCCAGTGTGTCCGTCCGTATTTTATACTGTTCTGTAATTTCTTGTGATTTGCTAATGATACCAGAGATTGATGGGCACGTGTCTCTTCGTCTCACAACAGGTAAAGTATAATCTCTAAAATCTGTAACCAAGTTAAAACGGTCATCTTAATTCACATAGGTGCTAAGTTTTTTACTTGCTTGCTCCAAAATAGTATTGGAGCTGACATGTTATGGGATCTGTAAGACGTCTAATGTCTGCCTTTAACTTAAAGATCACGGACTCTAAGGATCGGTATCACGGTGACAGCAACTGCTTTTTGCTTTCTCTCTATTATTGGAAGGTGAAAGGGGGAAAATGGGAAACAAACAATAAGTAATTTGTAAGGCCAAGTTCAAGATTATGATGTCGATGAATTTCAAAGATTGATTTTTTTATAAACAGTGAAAAGAAGAGGCTAAAAGAAGGTTTAGTTAAACTAGAGCTTTCAGCCACTAGTTACTCTCAAGCACACACACTATGCCTTGCAGATCATGGTCTAGGGTTTAAAGAGAAGGACCGGCCGGGCTTCAAAAAATCCGGATTTCCAAGGAAATAATGCATGGAGCAATCAGCATCCACGTACTCAAATGACAAGCTG